GGCAGCAAGAACCCAGTCGCTGACGGCCTGTCCCGCTCACACACCATGCAACCAGACAAGCCACCCATCCAAGAACTCACAAAGCAATCGCTCCCTGCACCTAAACCGACAACCACACCTACACCTGCAACAATAGATGTACAACAGCCACCACCACCGACAAACAAAAATCAGCTGCTACTGTCGACACTGCCACCGCCACAACTGACAAACACAAACCAACCACCACAACCACCAGCACCAAAACATACCGATGAACCAGATGATGACATCGAAGACCTGATCAATGCTCTCGACAACCTGAACCTGTGTGCACTGACTGTCCCAACGACCAATGAAGACACACTACAAATCCAACTCCTACACGACGACGCAATAATGCCCTGCAAGGCACACCCGAGGATGCTGGTTTTGACGTGTTCTGCTCAAAGGAAATTATGCTCAAGCCCAAGACATGCCTGACGATCCCGCTGGGCATTGCTGCCACAACACCAACCGGCACATACCTGCGTATTGCCCCATGCAGCGGCCTGGCGTCCAAGGGTGTCACCATTCTTGGAGGTGTTGTCGACAGCAACTACCGTGGCAAGATATCGGCGATTTTGTTCAACACAGGTGCCAAGTCAATTCCGTTTGCTGCACACGGCCGCATAGCACAGCTGATCCTGACCAAGATTTTACTGTCATGCCTGGAACAGGTCGATTCCCTCAATACTATGCTTCATGGAGCCAATGGGTTGGCTCTTCAGGGATGGGGGAGAGAGTCGAGCTACGCATGGCAGCCATCACAGCAATGGCGCTGAAGACGAGCGCAAACCCCGAAGACTCCTACAAGGGTGACAGCAAGTTGGAACACATGATGGAAACAATTAGCAGTGGCAAAGAACCGACATCCAGAGCTGCACGCGAGATTGCTGACAAATTCCACACACAAGGTGGCATCCTGTTCAAGAAAGGATGCCGTTGCATCGGCTCAAAACAAGACAGATCCTTGCTGCTGGCTGAGTTTCATGACACCGCAATGCATCCAGGAATCCAACCAACATACGACAAGCTGAGTGAGCTGTTTTACTGGCCTGGTATTTACCAGGATTGTGAGAAGTACGTCACAACGTGTGACCTGTGCCAGCGAGTCAAGGGCAGCAACAGGCCAAGTGATGGACCACTGCAGCCACTACAGATCCCACGACGCAACTGGTCAAGCGTGAGCATGGATTTCATAGTGAGCTTACCTAAGACAAAGGATGGATATGATGCAATCATGGTCGTCATAGACCGCCTGTCCAAAATGGCACACTTTGTACCAACACACAATGCCGCGACCGCCCAGAAGACTGCTGACCTGTACTTCGAGACCATCTACCGCCTGCACGGCCTGCCGGAATCCATTGTCTCTGACCGCGACCCGAAATTCTGCTCATCATTCTGGACTACACTGTGGAAACAGACGGGAACGCAACTTAATATGTCCACTGCCGGCCATGCACAGACAGATGGACAGACAGAGCGCGTAAACCAGATACTTGAGACAATGCTGCGCGCAATGTGCAACAACAAACAGAACGACTGGAACAAGTTCATGCCACTCGTCGAGTTCACCTACAACAGCCGCAGCAACAGCTCGACACAGCACAGCCCGTTCTATACGAATTATAGCTTCCAGCCACTGAATGCCGCCGATATTGTGTTCGACACCTTAACCACTGACCCCAATGCCGACGCAGACAACACAATTGTCAAGATTAAACGAATTAGCGATGAGGCCAAGGAAAACATAGAGTTTGCACAACTATGCATGATCAAGAACCATGACAAGAAGGTAACCATGCCCGACATTGTACCGGGTGATGAGGTCATGGTCTCCACAAAATTCACAACGCCACCTTACCTACGCAACCGGTCTAGCAACTCCCTGCAACATAAATGGGCTGGACCCTACAAAGTCGTGAAGCAAATCGGCCGAAATGCATTCCGCCTCAAGCTGCCGCCGGACATGCACATACATCCAGTCATCTCATGGTCACACCTGAAAAAGTACCATGCCGCCGAAGATCACCGTGCCGAACTCCGCTCAGAACCCCCGCCTGTAGAAGTCGCGGGCCATCTCGAGTACCATGCCGAGAAAATCGTGAATGACCGTGTGTGGCGCCGTAAACAACAATACCTGGTCCATTGGGAAGGTTATGGCGTTGAAGGACGGACATGGGAAAATAAGAGCAACGTGGAGGAGACAGAGGCATACGACAAATACTTAGCAGCACATCCAAAACACAAGCCGATCGCCGGAGTCTGATCTTAAATGGGGGCAAATGTGACATCAATTATTGCGATGTCACGTGACAATTGCAATTGGGAATTTGCGATTGTTTGAAATTGTGATTGTTTACGATCGCGATTTCTATTTTCACGGGCGATAGTTTCGAATAGATAAGCGGAGCTCTTGAAGCTCCCTTATAGCGGATTTTTAATAAAATTAGTTAGTACAAATAAGTTTTATTATAGCAACCCTCTTGGTGCACAAAAAGAGTGCAAAAAATATTTCAGGCTGGCAGAACACAAAGAAACCCACTGCATTTTCATTTTTCCATCTCTTTTTTCAACTGGCAGGGCTTTTTTGCTGCCCTTTTCCATCTATTTGTATGTCTCATTTCATATAAAAAAGGCGCTCACTTTCCAAAATATTTTTTGGTTCCCTATCTCCCTCCCAACAACCACTACTTCCTCTAAAATACTACCACCCTTTTTCTAATACACACATATTTTCCTAACATTAGGGCATCACGACTACAGTACATGCGCGCATACACAGCAGCATCAACTTTGACTTCAACATGGATTATCGGTTCACAATACACAACTTTTGTGGGAGGGGATCAGACACATACAACAGTTTTTGCGCAGCGTCATCCATTGCACTACACCAGCCCATATATTATATCTGCCGTCTACCACAGCCACGCTCATTCGCACATCACAAAAAATAATGTGTGTCTAGTAAACACTTGGTAAGATACCTGCAACTGGTCTCATCAATGTCATGTCTGGGATGTCTGGGTATATAAGGGGACCTAAAGAACACCCTTATAATAAAAATCGGGCCGGTTCCATTCCGTAAGACCCGTAACTGTGGTATATACGGGGGCCCACAGAACATTTGTTCAATAGGTATCCGGCTGGTGATACGCCTAAGACCTGAAATCAGAGGCAGCAGAATAGGAGAAGGGTGGGGTTTACCCATATACCTTCTCCAGATTGCCAGCGTCTGGATGGGCTCCTCATAAAATCACAACATGGGCATGGCTAGAAAGAGTAGCGCATGTACCAAACCCAAAGACATGACAACCAGTTGCAAATATCTCTGAGCGTCCAACGACATTTTGCACTCGAAGCTCTATGAGCTCCAAACAGCTATCATTTGCGCGGTGATGATTTTAAATGGCACTTTACTTTTAACTGTGCTAATTTTTGTCTTTGCCGCTCATCATGGCAGAAAATAAAACCACTGTACATACCACACCCAAAAATCCCATTGAAAAATATAATTACAAAAATTAGACTGAAAAAGCCAAGAGAATGAATTTTGTAAATATCGCTCGAAAAAATCAGATAATATTAGAATAATAAATTGCATAATTTTAGTTTGCATGCACTTTTGCAGCCGCTGATTTAGTCTGTGTTTTAGTTGATCATGTGCAACAGCCATCGAACACGAATACATGTACAACTATTGGGCACTTGTCCAGGTTAATCTGCGTTGTGCTTAATTTGCTGTTTAGTTGATAAGAGAGCGTTGGTAAAAATAAATATAAAATAAGAGATGACAGCAAGCATACAAACAATGTGGCTGTATTGACATTCGCTTGGGATTGCGATTGGTATTGGAGACCATTGCAGCAAAAAGCTATCGCAGCAAAAAAATGCTTCAGCTTTTTGTTAAGAAAAACAGGAGATATTGGAGAGTGTACAGCTAATGATACATTCAATTAGGAGTTATTCGTTAGGATCGAGATGGGAATATTCACTGTGTAGATAATCTATGGCCCCATTTATACAGCCTGTTCTGCAAAACCACATCTAGTGCAGCTCAAAAATAGCAACGTTAATGTAATGCTGCGCAGCCTGAAGACATGGAAGTAGATGTCGAGGTTGAGGATCGTGAAACAAGGTTCCATCTGCATGCCGGTTGATAGGGTACTAATTGGATCATGCAGGTGTAAATTAGGGAGGCATAATAATGATGTCTAGACATGCTCCCCATTTTGCAATGCACACGCGTGAGTGCACATACACGAAAACCACAACACTGACTTGCCAAAATACCGGTCTGCTTGCAGAAGAATTAGTTTTTGCAAACGGAGTGCACAATTGGCAATGTGCACAACAAAGGCGACAAGGCACATATAGGACAAGGCGGGCGCTAGCAACATTTTATAAAAGTTAGTAATAAAACTCTTTGTAAAATCACCCCTACTTTTCTAACACTAGACAACTAGTGCTTTTCACACCCCCTCTTACATAGCATTATTACAAAAGAAATCAAAAGTATAATTAAGGTCGGGTTTGGCACACGCATATGTGTGTGTGTGCCATCCTCGACCCTGCCCTGTCTTACACACTAGCCGTTATAATCACTAATGCCGAGTACTGACTTTTCTGCAAGCAGCTCAAATATTGTGTTTTGGTGTTGCAATCTTTGTGTATGCGTGCATGTTATAAAAGGGCGATCATATTTGGATAATATTATTGAATCCCTGATCTAATACTCTATAATCTTCTTTGCCTTCTATCAGTTGGCATGCAAAATAAAAGCAGTCACTTGAATCTCAATCCCAACATTCACATCCATGTTATTTGGCTGTGCAACATTGTGTGTAAAGGCTAAAAAGGTTGTTTCAATAAAAGCCAAGTTGGGCAGAACAAAATAGAATAGAATAAATAAAACCAATGAAGTAAAGAATACATATTAGAAATAAATAAAAAAAATGGCTGTAAATATGTCCATTCATTCTAAGCCAAGAGGAGGGAGTAGATGCGAGTGGCATAAAGCTATTTTTCTAACAAGAGCCGAGGGTGTGTAATGCACAAATTATGCGAATGCTTATTAAAATGTTTGCCCCAATAGCTCCTGAACTGTAACACCCATTTGAACCTGGTCATCTTTGCAGACACACGCGGGGATGTCATCAACAGCGCCCAGCTCCAGCGACTGCCCGCGTTGCTGCCTCCTTTTCCCTGGGCGCGCGCATAGCATCCACCAGCACCTCAACGCTACCGACCCAAACCACCCTGCCGACCCGTTGCGGCGTCATCACCGGCACTTACAGAAATACAACTATCCTCAACCGGCCCCCCTCTACTGCTGAACTACCCAGAGCCTGTGCGACTATCAGCTGCAGCATCTCTCACTGTATAGCCGTATCGAGCACCAGCTCAGACGCAATATCCTGCAGCTTAAAGTTGTGCGACTTCAGCGCCAATTGTGCCAAGGAATTAACCATTCCGGGCATCTGAATGTCCAACGCCGCCTCACTGTCTGCACTCCCGTCAGGATTAGTCCCAGCATAGCAGGCGTGTTGCCATTTCTTCTTTTGTCGGTGTGCGTAGCATAAATCTAACCCGTACTGCAATTGGTCCAGCAGATGCAAAAGCACCCAGTATGTGCCGAGTGCTGTTCCGACGCTAATTGCGAGGTAATACCGGCTATCATCTATGCTAGCAAAAGAATATTGAAAGTGTGTAAAAAATACTAAATTGTAAAATGCAAACTGTGAATTGGAAAGGAAAGAAAAAATGATAAAGTAAATTAAGAAATGAGAAAGAACAACGTTAAATTGAAATCATTTGGCAAAATAACAGAAATCGAAAATTATGGATGCAATCAACCTTCAGTAAAATTGGCCAATGTGCGAGTTTAAAAGTATCTGTTGTTTACAGCTAAAGTGATCGGTGGATCGGTGAATCTGTAAACAAGAGGTACAGACAAGAGTTTAAAATTTTATTAAACTTGAAGAAAATGAGTAAAATGTAAATATTTTATTTTTTGCAGTTGATTTTTGGGGATCAAAAAAAGATTTATTAAAAATAAAAAAACCTAAAGTGCTAGCTTCTTGAATGACCCAGCATTGATCTCGTCCTCAGCTGGTCGCTTAAGCTGGCCATTATCCTCTTTGAGGAGCTCAATTGCCTTGGGATGCATAAACTCAGGAGCGGCGTCCCAGTTGGCCCGTCGGACAAATTTCTTGTCCCACCAGAGCCGGTGGTTCATAACCTTGTTTTCTGGTTCAAACAGGAACCGGCGCATTGCACAAATGAGCATTATGAGCCTAGGGTTAATATTTTTAACACCAAACTCCTCCAGCAAGACAGCATCCTCTTGGATCAAACCCCACCTTGTGATGGCAAGGGATGGAGAATCTAGGAATTTGAACCCCTGAACGTCATCCCTCTTAGTGCCGGCTGGGCGCACTGCGTCCATAACGACATAGAGAACACTCTCCAGGTCGTCAAGGATTCCCCGGATGGGGCTGCTGCTGAGCATGGGAATTCCCATGAAAAGCGGCGTCCCTGTAAATGGGTCCTTGGCCACCTCCACCTGTCCCACTGTTGTTGCATTGAACCCCCACTGTTCGGCAACATCAATGTGCTTGAGTTGGGTTGGGTCAGTGTCCCTGGCAGCATCCTCAGCAGTGCCCCAGCCAACGACCTTGGCACAGCCCCAGTCAATGACATACACCTTGTTGTTTTTGACGCACACATTCCCTGCCGAGATGTCCCTGTGCAGGACACCAGTGTCATTTGCCTGGGCAAGGCACAGGGTCAGCTGCTCGACAAAGCCAGGAACCAGCTCGGCTTTCTGATCGTCGGCCTTGCCTTTCAGACACTCGGCCATTGACTGGCCGCAGTACTCCATGAGCACGAACTCCAGCCGGTATCCATTAAGGTCGCTGATGAGCAGGCCACTCGAAAAGATCTTGGGAATACATTCGACTGGTCTCTTGTTGAGGATGGCGTATGCGGCGCCCTCAGGCAAACGATTGACTGGGGTCCAGGAAAGCTTCAGCACAGAATCATGCTTCCCATTGAATTTCCCCCTGAATAAATGGACATGGCGCCCAACCATGTATGAATAACGCGCTATTGTCTCCTTGATACAAAACAGAGCAGCGCCATCCTTGACATCCTTGACATGCTTGGAAGCTGAGTATAAGACTTCGATCTTCGAATCGCCCTTGCTCTCCATATCGACTTCCTGCGAAAAAATGAAAGAGCTAGATTTCTTCGAGACATCGCAGAAATGTCCGAAGATGTTCGACTCAAGAGTCAGCAGGAACCAGAACTGCATGAGGCATGACTGAATTCTTTTAGCTCGGCGAGACGTCCAATTATTCGTATTAAAGCATAGCTGGCCGAGCTCGATGATGTACAGTTTGTCACGATAATATGCGTGAAGCGTCAGGATGTGCCCATGGAGGTAGAAGACAGGCGCAAACGTGCGGGTTGCCTGCTGATCATTAAGTAAATGTCCGTAATCTGCGAGCTGGCCACGAGTATCCTCTGAAGTTTTACTGGAGTTTGGATCCATCTTGGCCTCGAGTATAGCATGGATGGAATGAGCGTTCTCCTCTGCGTAGTCACTGTAGTAAAATGCAATGTCTGGCTTGTGCGGTGTACTTAGTATAGCATCGCTCTGATGGTCACCCAGATTAAGCCCACACTCTGGGACTGGAGTTCTGCCTGTTGGAATACCTCCATTTGCGACATCAACCGCATTGACCATCGCGTTGAAGAGGAGGATAAAATATTTGACCAAGCAAGCTTCCTTAGTCAACCCGATCAATTTCCCCGAGTTGCTTTTGAACACGTCAGCAATGGAGAAATCGCCGAACTCCTCAATCGGGCAACCTGTATTGGCTACGATGCCTTTGCTATCGACCACTGGCGACCCCCTGGCTATGTTGAGGAAGAGATCAGGCCAATCCTCGATGAACTGATTATACCGCTGCTTCACGCCCAGCGATTCGACAAAGTCATCAAACAGATCAACCTTAATGTTATCGCCGAGGCATTTCAGCAGCCGCTGACGGCGCTTATCGCGTACTTCGGGGGGTTCTGATTCCCCGGGTGGCAGTTCCTCTTTTTTTGATTTCTCGAGGGCGCTTGGATAGTGCTGCCTGTCTTGCTGTTCTAATAAAAAAGAAAACAAAATGTTTTAAATTAGTGTCCGAATTTGTTTTATATGCACGCAGAATAAACAACAGCAATTCATCAATATCATAACAATCCGTTTATATTGAAGTACTTACGCCTATTTGATTCGGCGGGGTCTTATTCGGAGGAGCTAGCTCAGACATCATTGAGAGAAAGGGAAAGGGAAATAGAAAGAGAGGGGGAGGGGGAGAGAGAGAGAGAGAGAGAGAGAGAGAGAGAGAGAGTGTGTGTGTGTGTGTGTGTGTGTGTATTTGATAAGCACTGAGGTATGGTAAAAGTAATAAAAAGTGAAGAAAAAACAAATTGAACGAAATGGTGCGAATTGAGAAAAAGTAAATATTAAAAGTAAAGTAAAGGTGGAAAGTTGCAAAGGTGAAAATTTGTTGCGATGGATTGCGCCAAAAACAAAAAATTTTTAATATAAACAAAAAATTTTGAGCTTCTCATGCTTGCATTTGGTTGGCTGAAATATGGAAACAAGAAATAATTATATTTACGGATTAATTTCCAACCAGCATTGTTCTTTTTCCTTGTGCATTGGTTTTGAGCTTTTATTGTTTCTTTTGGGAGCATGGTGGCCCTGCCATTCACTGCTGTAAAGAATATGTGCTTCTCCAACGCATACACTGAACCAGAGATGCGTCTATGCTCCATCGCCTGGCTGTCAGACCAATTGAGACACAGAGCCACATGTTTCATGTGTCCGTGACGGGAGCATAAAACTCTGAATGCAAGAGAACTTTGACTTGGATCTTTAAGACCCAGCTGCAAGGTCACTTGGCTGAAACAATCAACAGACTCCAGGTGCATCCGGCACCAATAGATGGCACATTGGAGAAACTCAAGATACATGTGGACCCCCATTACCAGGACAAGAAGCTGGACCTGGGTATGAGCCGTAGTTGGCAGGAGCTGACAAAGTACAGGTATACAATGCTGTTCAAGAAAACTCAAGGGAATCACGCAAAAACAAGCAATTGTGTTTGTAAATGAGACTGTACATAATCAGCAGGGCTGATACAAGAGACAGTGTGAGCTTTCACGTCGAACGAGAAATGAGGGCATCCTTGACGCCTAAGAAATGCTGATTGTTGATAAGAACTCCAATCTCAACAAACATCCTGAATATGAAATCCATGACAAGAAGATGATAATGGCCTGCCAAAGTGGCCACAGACGAAAGCAATGAGGGCAGCAGATATGCACACTAGCTATATGGCCACGATTGATGCTTTAGTCGAGAGATTGAGTACTTGGGTTTAATTTTACTAACGCCTCAGCAGACACTTCCACCACCAGAAAATTAGACACAGGCCTGGGTAACCAGAGGCATGTAGCCAGGTTCTAAAATAGGGTTCAAGATGGGTACGGTGGGGCAGTAGAAAATCAATTTTATTCATTAATTTCAGTTTTTATTTTTTGCTGGAATCTGGGAGTTCTATGAATGTTCAGTGAAGGTGAAGAGATAAACACTATGTATATATAATTATGTATTGTAAAAGCGCTATGCATTGATGGAGTGCGACAGTACATTTATGTGATGTGTGTCCCTGTATGACTATCAATTGAGTGTTTGTCTGGCTAAACAACCAAGGCTGGCTAATCAGTTGATCGCGACCAGCTAATAAAATATAATTGCAGGTTTGCAGAACTGCTTAGTTTAAAATATTAGTTCAACAATGGTTGCTACAGCGCGCATTTCAATGGCGTTGCAAATAATTCATTTAAAACAGGCTTAATGTGTTCAAAATTTACATGTTAAAATAATATTTTATTAGATGCATGGTGGTTCCTATTTTTAAAAGACAAATGTCATTTTGAGTCTGTCATTTTTAAATACCTTTGCCAGTTTAGTCGCATTGTTTATAATGCTTCAGAAAAATTTACAACGGGCTTTCAAAAAACATTTACTCGGACAATCCTAGTTCACATTTTGCACATGCTTATTTTCAATATACACAATCCTTGGCAAGCGTTTCAACATTTCAAATAGCGTCTATAGCAATGGCCACAGCATTGCAGCGAGCATGTTGGCTCAATCAACAGCCATTTCTCGCTCAGAATGCCAATTGCAAAACTGTGGTCAACAGTAGTATTTTCTCTTTAACATCAAGCTTCAAAAACAACAGGACCTTGTTCCGATGCAAGCGAGACAGCAGGAAACCGCCACTTGTATTTGTCCACAGCAGCAAACTCACTCACGCCCCTTTAAAACTCCTTACCTATCGACTGGCTATTGCTTTAATACACAACACTGCCACAATATAAATTAATTTCTGTGCCAATAACATCCCCAGCCTCCCATTTTTTGCTGTACTGATTGCTGTGCTTGCCCAGGGCTAGCAATGCTGCTGTCACTGTCACTGTCACTGTACCATACCATTTGAATATCCACATGCCGTCATGGGAGATTCTCTGGAGCTTATATCTGACGCCCTCACCACTCTCAGAGAAAACCCCAGACTGATCTGAGCACTACCCGACCTGCATCAGCTGGCTGGTGAGCAGACCCACATGAAAGCCATGCTTGCCACTAGCATTTTCCTGGATATAAGTAGTGGCCACAACAGACTCGAACTTCCAGCCCAAGTTCTACACTGCTTTGCCATCGAGAAGTGCACTGAGCGATGGGCACTATGGCAAGTACAACAAGTGGGGCTCGTCTGCCACAGCAGCAGCATTATCAACAATTGCAGCAGCAGAGGATGGCTTGATCATGAAGTGCAAAATCAAAGAATCCAAAGCAGGCACTGGCTTCGGAACCTCCATGAACCTGCAGTCAGTGGCAGTACCACATCGCCCAGAGCAGTTTACGACCAGCTCAACATTGCCAATGTTAATGAGTGGATTCAATAATGCACTTAAAAGCTGTATTCAAAAACTAGGAAAAGAGAAGAGGTGTTATGCTAAAAATATATATTCAAAAAATGAACTAAAAGAAAGCTAAGGGATAAACATCCTCTACTGCTCATATTCATTAGTATTTATGCAAGTAGGAAATTAACTAGCGATTGCTTCATTAACCAATTGCCAGAGACAAGCCGCAATTTCTTGTATTACATATTGTATCACTATTAATATCTTCGCCAATGTATCTTTTCTTCTACTTCTGGCACATAAAATATATAAAAGGGTCCCATTCAAAAGCTCACGTGTTTTGCGTATCAATGCAAAGAGCCCTTTGTCCTCTATATTTTCTTTTTCTTTTATTTATTTTCTTCTTTCCTTTGCAATTTATAATTCATAATTTTCAAAAAGCTACACTTTTCAATAGGATTTCGAATTAATTTATATCCACCCCCAATGAAGCAAAGATTCTCAGCGCTCGACGTGCGAGCGACAGTGACGGCGCTACAGAAGCGCATTGTTGGCCTTCGTCTCCAAGGAATTTACGACGTTAATCCCAAGACGTTCCTGTTCAAATTCACAAAGCCCGACTGCAAAGAGCTGGTCCTAGTGGAGTCCGGCATCCGAATGCACACGACCGAATTCACTCGCGACAAATCGATCATTCCGTCCAACTTTTGTATGAAGCTGCGCAAGCATTTGAAGGCGCGGCGGCTGACAGGCGTGCGGCAGATTGGCATGGACCGCGTGGTGGACTTTGAATTTGCAGTGGCAGCCGGCGCAAAGGCTGAAGGCACATACCACATTCTGTGCGAGTTCTACGCGTCGGGAAATGTCATCCTGACCGACTACCAGTACAACATTCTGGCGCTTATGCGAGTCGTGCATTTAGAGGGCGAGCCGGCCTTTGCCGTTGGGCGGCAGTACAGCCTGGCCGAGTCGCGCGACATCGATCCTGTCGCACGGGCGCAGCTTGTCGAATGTCTGCGGCGAGCCGGGCCCAAAGACACACTGAAGCGCACACTGACCATGCTTGGCGCCTACGGCCCGGCACTGACCGAGCACATCATTCTGCGCGCCAAAATGAGCCCGTCGCAGCGTGTGTCAGCGGCAGTGAATGTCGACGCGCCGGAGTCGCTGCAGATCGACGCGCTGCTCGAGGCATACGCCGACGCGTTTTCAATTGTAACACGGCTGGGCCGCGAGGTTCACCCCGGCTTCATCACCTTTGTGCCGCAAAGGGACAGCGCTGGCACGGAACGGGCAGACAAGGGAGATGAAGTCTACGACGAGTTCAGCCCGTGGCTTTTCGACCAGTACGTGCAGCGGCCGCACACGGAGTTTGCCTCCTTCTGCGATGCGGCCGACGTGTTCTTCTCGAACATCGAGGCGCAGCGGCTCAAGGTCAAGGCGCACCAACAGGAGCAGGCGGCCGAGCGCAAGCTGGAGGCCATCAAGGCCGAGCACGAGGGCCGCGTGGCTGCGCTTGAGCGCGCGCACCGCAAGACCGAGGAGCAGGCGCGCCGTATTGAGATGAATCTGGAGTTTGTTGACCAGGCGATTTTGATTATCCGCCAGGCTGTGGCGGCCGGCATGGACTGGAAGGAGCTGGAGGAGCTGGTGCGCGACCAGCAGGACCAGGGCAACCCTGTGGCCGAGCGCATCATCAGACTCAATCTGGCCGCCAACCAGATCACCCTCGAGCTTGACGAGCCGGCGGACTGGGACGAGAGCGACGACGACAGCAGCAGTGCCAGCGACAGCGACGGGGCAGATGGTGCCGAGCGCGGGGCAATGCAGCTTGCCGGGCCGATGTCCGTTGACGTAGACATCTTCCAGTCGGCATTCGCCAACGCCCAGCGGTACTACAACTCGCGGCGACACGCGGGAGTCAAGCATGCCAAGACGCTGGCTGTGTCGACGCAGGCGCTGCAGTCGGCTGAGCAGAAGATCAAGACGGATCTGCGCGCAACCAAGGTCACGGCCACGGTCACACAGCAGCGCAAGCCGTTTTGGTTCGAGAAGTTCTCGTGGTTCCTGTCTTCCGACGGCTTCCTCGTCTTGGCCGGCCATGACATGCAGCAGAACGAGCTTCTGGTCAAGCGCCACCTGCGCTCAGGCGACGCCTACGTGCACGCTGATCTCCATGGCGCAGCCTCGGTCATTGTCAAGAACCGCGGCCTCGAGTCTCAGTCGGCTGAATCCATCCCGCCATCAACGCTGTTCCAGGCGGGCATTATGAGCGTTTGTCAGTCGCGCGCTTGGGATGCCAAGATTGTCACCTCGGCCTGGTGGGTCGAGGCGCACCAGGTCAGCAAGTCGGCACCCACCGGTGAGTACTTGAGCACGGGCAGTTTTATGATCCGCGGCAAGAAACGCTTTTTGCCACCGACGCAGCTCGTCTACGGCTTTGGCTTTGCTTTCCGCCTGGCCGACGACGAGAGCGTTGCTAGGCACGTTGCTGCGCGCCAACAGCGCTTAGCCATTATGCAGGAAAACCAGCGTGCGGCCACTGGTACAGCAAGCACTGCGAATTTGACTGCCGCGGACAACGAGACTGAGTCTCAAGCCGCTGAGGACTCTAACGAGGCGGATCAGACTGCAGAGTTTTCCATTGTCGGTGGCAGTGCACCCACTGATTCAGCCGTGGCCATTGATACTGCTGCCGCTGCCTCTGATGCGGCCAAGCATAGGAGACCGGGCAAAGCGGCTGCGGCTGCGGCTATGGACTTTGGCGCGGCGCGCAAAAAGTACAACCTCGAGGAGGTTGAGCAAGCCATAGCAGCTGCCGACGATTTCGCCAACGAGAGCAATGCAGCTGCACAAATGCCCCGCGGCGACAACACCAACAAGCGCCATGTCTCTGCCAAGGAACGCCGCGACCAGCGCAAGCAAACCACTACGCAGAGTGCCGGTGCCTCTGCCTCTCAAGCTACTGGTGGCGGTACGGCAGTGGCGGCAGGCAAGCTGACCAAGCAGGAGCAGCGGCGCCTAGAGCAAGAGAAAAAGTTTGATAATCATGCAGCTCAGAACGCCAACCAGCAGCAGCAGCAACAGCAACAGAAGCGTGGCAGGAAGGGCAAGATGCGCAAGATGAAGGAAAAGTATGCCGACCAGGATGACGATGAGCGCGAGCTGAAGATGGCGCTTTCAGCTGCCAGTGGCAAGCGCAGCGTCGGTGCCATTCTTGACACCAAGCTGGCAAAGACCGCTGAAGCAAGTGATATTGCTTCAGTTGACATGGTTGAACATGAGGACAACAACGATGGTGATGATGACGGTAACGATGACCCTGCATCTGAGCTCGATGAGGCAGATACTGCTGATTTTGCCGCGTCGGATGACACTGTAGCTGACCAGCTGGCTGCGCTCATGGTTGCAGACAATCCAGCGACAATTGCGACGAGCGGGACGCCCGAAGACATCGACGATGACGACGAAATAGTCGATACCGCGTCCGACCAGCAGCTCGACGTCCTGGACATGCTGACAGCCGCCCCGCTGCTCGGAGACAACCTGGCATCGGCCATCCCTGTCTGTGCACCATACAGCGCGCTGTCCGCATACAAGTACCGCGTGAAGCTTGTGCCCGGTACGATGAAAAAGGGCAAGGCGTGCAAGATGGCTCTGACCGTGGCTTTGGGGGCTGCCGATGGGAACAAGCCCCGATCCACACATTCGTTGGATCCTGCAGAGGCCGAGCGGCTGGAGCTGGCGTTGATATTGGCCAACCGCGAGAAGGAGCTGATGAAGGTTGTGCCTGAGCCGGAGATGATCGCGCAGATGCTCGGCAAGGTTAAGGTCACGGCGCCCAATATGGAATCTATCCGCCAAAAGTCAAAGGCCGCGGCAAAGACCAAGGCCAAATCCAAGTCAAAAGACGAGTAGAATTAAAACTGGTTTTTTAAGACAACATTTTATTTAAATATAAATTATTTAAAATGGACCTCAGGTGATACAACTCGAGTCTAAATGTATTGTTATAGTAAGAGGGGGTGTGAAGAGCACTAGTTGTCTAGTGTTAAAAGGTAGGGGTGATTTTATAAAAGGTTTTATTACTGATGTTTCTAAATACCACTAGGGCCGGCCTCATCTTATATATGTGCCTTGTCGCCCTTGTTATGCACATTGCCAATTGTGCGCTCCGTTGGTGAGAACTGGATCCTCTGCAAGCAGACTGGTATCTTGGCAAGTCAATTTTGTGGTTTTTGCGTGTGTGTGCGCTCATGCGTGTGCATTGCAAAATGGGGATGGCATATCAGGGTGCCAATATTATGTCCCCTGATTTACGCCTGCATGATCCAATTAGCGTCCTATCAATCGGCACGCAGGTGGAAACTTGTTTCGCAATCCTCGACCTCAACATCTACTTCCATATATTCAGTCTGTGCAACAGTATATTGCACTGGCTATTGGTTACTTGCTTATTTGCAATTTATTCGCAGAGTTTTTATTTATTATTATCGGTTACGAATATATCCAAGACTGGTGACATCCGTCACGCTGCATCTACTGTATCGATAAAAACAATTTAGAGTGTAATATTATATAAATTATTTTGTAAAAACAATATAAAAACCCTTAGCTCCTGCTAGCGCTCCCAATGGGATTTGGCAGTTAAAAAGGCGCATTAAATGATACCACCAGCTTATTGACAACAACAATAAAGCAATGAGCTTGCATTACCGCGTGTTAGCAAACCCAAACCACCAAGGAAAATAAAAAAGTTTACAACTTAGCTGCGCAACGCTAAAAAAAATAATAACAAATGATGCGGTGCCAATATAGGAAACATAACCAAAGTGTAACGCTGGAAATAAAAACTAATGGCGGAACCCATGAAAAAAGGCCACGCGTTATTGACACTAACAAAACCAAGCACATTATATAACCCAACCACCTGTACAGCTAACAGTTAACAGTTTGTAATTTGTTATTCTAATACCTTCGGGCCATATATAAATTCTCGTGAGTGCTATGAAGCGTTCGTTCTTGCGTAGGTGTTTTTTGCCGGGTAAATTACACGCTCACTCGTTGTACTCTGTCTACAGTTCCATACCAATGCGGGAAAAAATATAAAGGCGTGGCTCGGCTGAAAGTTGTGTTCATATCGATGGGATAGTCCAAATGGTGTGAATGCGTGACGCGACGGTGCTGCTTCTGTTGCTGCTTCATATTCTGCTGGTGAATTAAAGTCTAATAAACCTTAAAACCCCTAAAGCCACATTGCGAGCCATTGATGCATGCACTGTGGCCTGCCCTATTTTTTGAACGAATTGAATTGAATTGAGATAGTGTTGATAAAATATGTGGAAAAATATAATGTGAACAAAAAAGAAAGTAACCACTCGCTTATATTTTGCTTTCATTTAATTTTTTGGCTTTCTGCGAGCTGTTGTTTTAATCACACAGCTAATTTGAATGTGGAACGGCTCGATAATTTGCTGCATCATATTGTACGGAAATCAAGGAGAATCAAATATACTCAGCACTATTGCCAATTTACATAAATGTCTCAAAAATACTGATAAATCAGTTACTCCAATACATGTGTGGTTGCGTGATGGAGCTGCGAATACCAAAGTGATTGTTCGACCTGGATAACAGTAAACGTTTGGTTTCACACAGCCCTGATACTGCGTGATAATCGGCGACTCTACAGTATGCGACATAAAATAGCAGTTACAATGTGGGTGGGCGTCTTGGTTTAAATAAAATAAAGGAACTACAATTGCAGCAGATGCAGCTGCTGTTCCACTCAGAATTTGTCCAAGTATTGGTGCAAGTGGATACATTTTGTATCCAGGTTTTCCACTCGTGTCTTGGATTTGGCCACATAAATACAAGTAACAATATGTGTAATATTCGTACATCTACAAATATTTGTTTATCAATTGAAGATAATGACATGTGTGCTTTGGCATCCGCCGCCAAAGTAAAATTTTTTAATGCAACATCTTCTTGTCATCTCTTCATGCCAAAATTTTTACTCTGAAATATACCCGCACTGTTTCGTATAGTTACAAAATCATAAAAAAACTTGCAGTACTTATTCTTCCTTTACAACATGCTTGTGAAATACAATTCGGCCTTTTCCGCTATGCTGGCACCTTGCTTTGCCCGATTGTGCGCGGTCTTGAAGTTGATCTCGAGTGGGACATTGGAGTCGGCGCAAAGGGCATCTCAACGGCAATGAGCATGCTGCGGTTCGCCAACAGCACAGCGCCACCGGCAACCGAGTGGGTATCGCTCGGCTGGAGCTACGGTACAATGAGCCTGCAGCACCGCAAGGATAAAACAGCCGTTGTCTCCATGCAAATATTGCCCCCCTCGGCCAACCACCAAGTAACCCTCGGCAAGACATCTGATATTTCCGACGCCAAATACCTACCGACCCTAGAAGGCCCCAGCCAAGTATTCCTCGAATCCAAGGTTGAGCTCGATGCCTCTGTGCCATACTACTTCAAGGTCGAAGCGCACCACGATCTACTACAGAACCGCACCACGTATGAGGGCCTTTACAGCATGGGCAACCATTGGATGTATATGGGCTCGCTGGTCCTGCAGCACCCCAATGATTCGGTAAACGGGAAAATCATTGGTACGCAGGTTATTGACGACGACAGCAATGAGCAGAGTAAAACAACAAGCAAAACCACCAGCTCTGCTGGCGATGAGAGCACTGCCACAGAGAGCACCAATACGGAGAAAAAGCGCCTGAGTGGCAAGCGCAAGGGCAGCATGAGCAGCGGCAGCACCAATAGCGACAGTGAGAGCGATAGCGATAGCGACGGTGGTAGCGACTCAGAGAGCGACTCGGAGAGCGGCGGCTCGGCGCCCAAGACTACCCGCGCCCCGCGACGCTTCGTGAACCGCCTGGTGGCAGCGCACAACAAGCAGATGGACCCCAAGCGCCCACTGGTGCCCCTGAGCTTCCTCAAGAACGGCATCAACTTCCCTGACTTTGTCGTTTTCCCAAGTTATACTCGGCCATCCGCCGCATGGAAGGCGCTGACACCAGCTTGATGCGTGCTGGTGTATATAAAAGTTCCAGCTGCGCGACAGACTCGGCGAGGTATTCTTTATCACGAAGGGTCGCGCATTCTCGTATGATTATAGCGACGAAGATATTACGAGTGTGCGCCATTTCTTCATGTCTGCCAGCTACCTTCTTTCCATTGACGGCGCGCGGCTTCCTGAAGGCGAATTGGAGGAGAAAATGAGCCTGATCGTCGTCGTCTGTGGCTGAATCGACAGAGGCTGAGGCCGCGGTGACCACTGAGGAGTCGAGTACCTCGGCTTCTACCAATGAATCAAGCACTTCTGCGTCTACCAGCAGTAAGCACATCAAAAGCAAAGCTTTGAGCACCGAGACCGAAACTGAGATTGAGACCACCAGTGAAGAGGGCGAAGGCGAGAGCAGCACAGATGAATCCACAGAAAGTTCCTAGACCTCTACTGCCACTGCGTAAATCTAAAACATTTTCCTTTTTTCATGCATATTAATTTTTGTTTCGTTCACGATATTTAATATACCCTTATTTTTCACTTTCTTAAAAAATATATTTATTGATTTTACTTGTGGAGAGTGGTGCTCATTAATAATTATTAAGACATAATAAAAAGGTGTGGGGGAGAAGAAACAAAACTGCGTATTGGTTTCATCTTTGGAATTGAACATCTATGTTATGCCTGGTCGCTTCAGAAACTGAATTCTCGAATATGCGAACGAGGAAAGAGTGTCACGAAACTGAGTACCCATTTTTAGAATATTGAACGAGACAGCGCGTTTTTTTAAACGGTCTAATAAGTAAAACTAACAAAAAAGTGGCCCCGAGCGAGCGAGAATATGTAAACGACACACTTTATCACTTCTCGAGGATATTATTCAATCATATCGCATACATTAATATATTAATTCAATTATTTGACTAATAGCCCATCACATACCCCTCTCATTGCCTGCACTATCACTTTCTAGCCAAATTTAAATAAATGCTGCGCCTTCACGCATACATGGCAATAATGTCCATTTGTGCACCGGTGCTGATACTGCCAACCCAGGCCGCGGGAATTAACGGCAGCGGCGGCCAGGCCATGTACACCACAGTTTACCGCTATGCCGCTCCCCTCGAGCACCCCCAAAATGACGGCTGGCACAACCCGGCATCGTCAGGCACCGGAAAGTACGCAAAGTACACAAACAGGAACGTTCAGCGGCGCCAACCGAGTACGCCAACTACGCTTACAATAACGCAAAGGCAACTTCAACTGAGTACGCTGACTATGTTGAGCGGCGCCCGTACGCCGACGTCGTTGAGTACGTCGAGTACTCAAACCAGTACGCGAATCGATATGCTAAAAGCTATACGGACAGTTATGCAGACAGCTACAAAGACCAGTACCTGCGGAACGAGGTGGTAGAATACGTCACAGTGTATGAAGAGGAGGCACCGCGGCAGAAAAATGCCGTGCACCGGCAGATCCGGAACCGCAACAGGGATGACTCGCAGAACATGACGCTTAACCGCGTAGACGACCAGGACACCATTTTGGTTAGAGAAGTCGAGGAGACATCGAGCGGCAGCAGGAGAAGGCCATGGCCAAGCGCAGCACACTCGAGGGTGTCCGCGAAACACTCGTGGATTCGGGGCTGATACCTGATGTGCTCCCGGATAGCTTCAAGCCCGAGTTCAACATCACTTTGCGCTTCAACAACCAGCCGGTCAGCATGGGTGAGATATTGACGCTCAACGACACGCGTAATGAGCCCACCATTGAGTTTGACGGGCCGCTGGGCCAGGTCTTTACTGTGGCTATTGTCGACGCCGACAGCCCGTCAATGGCCAACATGGGTACCGGTCGTACCGCCATTTCCTAGCATCCAATCTGGACAACGTACCAGGCAGTACTAACAATATTATTACACCTTATCAGGCGCCGCAGCCGGCCTTTGGCACTGGCTTGCACCGCTTTGCTGTGACCGTACTGAAACAGAACGATAGGTTTAAAGTCACTGACAGCGATATACCCGAGTCCAGAGTGCGCTTTGATGTCAATGAGTGGGGCAAGTGCACAAAATGCGCCCAGTGGCAGCCACCTTTTTCCTTGTTAAACGCCAGCACCAAAATGAGCGTGTTGACACCACATAATAACTAGAAATATTTATAAAAAACAATTTCTACTCTTTTTTCTCTTTTTTAATTGTCTATATTAATATTATAATAAACTAACAGCATACATTCGGTGATAATTTATGGACATTACAAAAACCAAGGATGCCGCGCCAATACTCCCAGCAGCCAGCAAAATGAACGCCCAGAACATACGCATAGGCCTCTGATCCGTCACCAGCCGCCCCTTTGTCCCCCACATATATGCTGTGGACACCACCAGCAGTGCAATAGCAAGACATAAGAGATAAATGACAGACACGTCCGACAATTTTGCATAAGCGCCTTGCAAAGTGTCGTTGCGCAACCACTGGTTAGTTTCAAATTCATTAAAGATAATGTGCCCGAACCTACCATGGCCAAAGATAATTTAATCCAAGAGAGAAAGTTGCGCTCGACAGCGAATTGGTCCCGCGCCATACTGCATTCGTTATCAATTACCCGCCGGTGGTACGGGAGATGTAGTGTAGATTTTAGTTTGTTGCTTGTGCTGATGTGCGAGTGGACTGTTGGGATCGGGGATAGGCATTGTGTATGTGCCAAAGGCATTGTTGATTTATTGTTATTTTGCTTTTTTGCAGTGTGTGGGGGTGCTTGCTTAATCAAATAGACTGCTGTTGAAAGAATATACTATTAGCAGTAGAAATGAAGAAGTAAAAAAGAAACAAATTTCGATTGTTACTGCTATTTTATCTGAGAGTTTGGAAGATGTGGAGAAGAAAGAGATTCAAGTGATTAAATATAAAAAAGGTTTCATACTCGAAACATTTGTATTTAAGGGGGAGGCTGGTGACAAGAAGGGTGCTCATCATTCTAGCGCAAGCAGACAGCACTCTTTCTCCTTTCTTTGCTTTGCCTCCTCACCCCCTGAAACCGACGTAAATCATTTTCCTAAGATCAAATAAGGAAGAAGGAACTCCGTCCCTGGCATTAATATTATCCATAAAAAGCATGCACACTCTCACACTTTTTCTCCCCCAATAAAAAGCGTATTCTTTATCTTGGCCAATTTTCAATAATAAAACAAAGCTGTTTTTTTTGGAACATGCATCAAACGAGCAGTGCGTCTGACTCGGGTTTTTTACATTCAGTCGTCAAAAGAAAGAGTACAAAAGGTTGCCAGGCGCAAGTTTTAATATTTATGTACTCTCGCGCATATTATTGTGCACCATCGTGTACCCCTCCTTCTTGAGAAGACGGATATGTAGCAGCGTACATAATTAATTAATTGATAAATAAATGATTGCACTTTGGAATAGTCTGAGCGCTGTGAGTGTATTTATCCTATTGGGATACATAGTATGTTATGACGTATTAGAAACATTGCATGGATATAAAACTATAGCACATAAAATTACCAGGCTACACATCATTAGTTTATCTTATGGTCACGTGTATATTGTAAGGGTATTGGTAACTTTATTGAGTTGCTAGGCAAATAGCTAAGAAAAATGCTTGTCGGCTCGATTTTGAGCCGAACAACCACTCCTGTTTCTCCTCAAAACAATGCAAGCGCTTGTGACGCGACATCTTGTCAATTGCTACAATTTCTTTTAAATGCTTTTCTCACGGTCGCATCCCTCATTTCCCTGTTCTATATTCTAAAAAAAGCCTGTCCAATTGTCAACCGGGACTCCAGCGAATTAAATGTAATGAATTGAACATCGGACTTGGCCGCATGATTCCCTCCCAAATATTGTTTTTTCTCACGTTGTCAAATACACGAAGAAAGTGAAAAAAAAATTATGCGGCCAAGACAAATATCGCAGTTTTTATATCTTGGCAATTGCAAGAGGCCTTGGTTGCATGAATGCCACGCATAAAAGAAAATATTTAAAGCGGAAATGAAATGAGAGCATGCAAACTGGACTCGGTGAATGAATATAATACTATCTTGACTTTCTTCAATCATTTTTGTTTCCTCACAACTTTACGAAAAGTAAATTTTTTGTTATATTTTAGCCAAGCCGAAGGACTTGTATTGGCACTCTGATCACTGTTATTTTAAACATCATTCTACCCTATTCAAGCACTATTATGGTTGATGACACCCCAAGCTCACACACGGCCAGTAGCAGCTGTGGGCAAGGCAGCCAGTCGCCCAACATCAATATATCCGCGCGCGACTCTAACCTCGTTGACATTCTATTCAGTAGCGCGCTTGACGGCGAGTTCGTGCGAGACCAGATCTCAGGAACATACCAGCAGCCCAGCGTAAATCCAGACCCCAACACCGAGCCAAACCTCCTATCTGAGCGGGAAAAGGCGTACTCAATCGACCCCACGCTTATCACTCGTCTGCAAACCCTCGAGAGCCAAGCCATCCGCACAGCTGAATCCGGCGACATCAGCCAAGCAATTGCCCAGCTGACGCAAATAATCACCGACTGTCCGCACTACGCGTCAGCGTACAACAACCGGGCCCAGGCACATCGCATCCAAGGCCAGGATGACCAAGCGCTGGAGGACCTTGACCTGGCCATCAGTTATGCGCAGGACGAAAAGACGCTGGCCCAGGCCTTTACACAAAAGGCCATTGTTATGCGCGGCAGGGGCGACCAAGACGCAGCATTTTATAACTTTTCGATGGGTGCAAAGTATGGAAACGAGGTCGCCAAGATGGCTGCGCCAAAGGAAAACCCGTATGCTAAGCTCTGCGGCAAAATTGTCTCCGAGGCCATGCGGCAGCTCCTTGTGCCGGGACAGCAGCAAGACGATTAGGCTTTGTGTCAGAATATTTGTGAAAAATTATTAATAAACACAATCATTGTAAATATCAGCTATTTTGCTGTCTCAGTTGCACATGGCGTTCATCAGGACCTGGTTTTCAATCTCGACGATCTCGGAGCGCACATGGTTTGCTGCGCACTTCTGGACGTCGTTGCGTGCCTCGATCGGCCTGCGCTCCGACACCAACGCGACATCCCACAGACTAACCTTGCGCGACGCACCCAACCGCTGTCTGAACAAGTCGATGACATAGTTGCTGTAGTTGCGGTTACGCAGCTGCGAGTAACGGCGCACCCAAAACTTGTCCATATCCGATGTGCAACAGTAGTACTGGCCTGTGCGAATGATAATCTCTGTCGAATTCGGGTACCCGGAGGCCACGCGGTCAATCAGCCGGTTGACTTCGCCGACAAAGAACTCGTGCGTTTCGAACGCAGCGTCCCAATTGACAAAGCCAAAGATGGCCACGTTAGGCTTGCCGTAGTGCGTGGCAATGCCCTTGTCAAAGAACGACGGCCACGGCGGGTTGTTGCGCGAGGTCAGTCCGTCCCACTTGAAGGCATTGATACGCGCCTTGCCGTGCGGCGTGGCCGCCGGATCTGTCAAATTTCCCTTTGGCTGCCAACCGCCGGCCACCGGGTCCATGTCAACAGTGATATCGCGCGCAGAAATGCTGTACCGCTCAGTGGCCTGGCCATTATCATTGCACTTGCACTCGATGGACTCGATATCCTCCTTTGTCGAGCACCACTGCCCGAGCGTCGCGAACCGGCGCAGTGCTCGCCGGGTGTTCGAGTCTCCGTACAAGTGGATCCGCGGGTACCGGTCTATCAGGCATTGTGTGTACTCCTCGTATGGGATGCGCCTCAGCCGGCACGCATACGGCAGCCACACACGATTGTAGTTGTCGGGCAAGGGTACGACCGCGGCATCAAAGGGCAAGTTAGAAACATCGACCCACCGGCCATCCTCGTCGCTCTGCGTGCACAGCGGCTGATCCAGATATTTTGCCAGACTATACGGGCTGTCGCCAGTGCTGTCTACCACGTTGATAGACACCCCGGGCGGAGTGGGGATAGTCTCGGGATTATACGGCTGCGGCGTGGTCTTGCCCTCAGGGTTCCACCGAGCCTCGCGGAACTCTATAAACCCCTGCGGCGTAAACACGTCCACATCTCGCAGCTGCACATCAGCCTGATAGACGTGCACGCTGTCTTTCAGGGCGTTTCTCCAGTCACTCGTAGCCTGCAGTTTTATTGGGACGTTGATGCCCGTGTTGCTGCCAACCATGTCGAATACAAAGCTTTCCCAGGACGTTCCTGGCAACGGAGCAAACTCCGAATCAAGCGACGAGTTCAGGGCTGCTGCTTCTGGTGATTTTATAGTTGGCGGCACCACGACGCGCACGCAGACAGTGTCGCCCACATTGATGCTGCCTGCATAAGGTATGTCGACAACAGCCGGCGAGCCCTGTGCGACCTCCCAGTAATTCAAGGAAACTGGGATATCCGCACACCGGCTTTTTGTCTGCTCCGGTGTTTTGCTTGACGCTAATGTGAACAACGACGACGACGACGACGATGATGATGATGATGATGATGTTGTTGTGGTGTCGTAGCTGACCATTCGGATAACCTGGAAGCCGTTGATTAGACACATGATGACCAGGAACCCCTTGAGCGCCTTGTTGTCAATGAACTTGGAGAACAGCGATTTGCGGGCGGACTTTGTGGGTGATGTGGTGGTGGATGCCGAATGGCTCGCCAGCATGCCTTGCTCTTCATCACCCGCTACGTTCATGGTTAATTTATCTAGTGTCGACCCGTGTGCAAATATTGCGCTAGTGGCATGTAATATACGTAAGCGAATAAATTAGAAATATTGGAAAGGAAAGCTAGTCGTCAGATATGTTGGTGCTAATATTTAAAACGAGGAGCTACTGAAATCAAGTAGAATCGCAACATAATAACCATACGTTTTTTCGTGGACGCAAAAAATAATTGCAAATTTTTTTTAGCGGTTGCAATTACTCTTTACTAGCAACGAAAATCAAGCAACTTCATTCTCGAATTCTGGTCTGCTATTGGGGTTGGTGTCATCCTTTGCACGCTTTGCTGTGCTTTGCTCTTTGTTTATATTGTAAAATGATTTATCTACGAAGTGACCTTTATGGTTGCCCTTCTCAATGTAAGAAGGTAAACATCCAAAGACTTGCAATCCACAGTCATGCACACTTTGCTAATCTGTTTATAGATTTGCGGTCCGCATGTAAAATAATTGATAAATGATACTCAATGCAGTTTTCCCTTTCTTTTTGCTGGCGAAATACTCAATATTTTGTAACGGAGAAAATCATAATACTCAAGCTGCACTTCAGTATATTTTTTTTGCAATTGCAACATAACTTTTTTGCTTTACGAGAGGCGGCTAACCAATTGAACGCATAGATTAGCAAGCGCACTGTATACGTTTTTTGTTTTATACAATTACTCAAATTAGGGACAACTCTGGCCCTCGACTTAAGTTGACAACTGCTAATTGCTGCTTGACGCATGGTACGCAATAATAGTTACTTTTGGGTGCAATGGAAAAATTGCTCAATATCACAACAAATAAACCATGCCATATACATACCAAATTATTTAACAAAAAACAAAAAACAAAGGCTTAATTGCACAGCGAGTTGAACAGAATCTGGTTCTCGACTTCGACAACTTCCGAGCGCACATGGTTTGAGTAACACGCTTGCGACTCTTGGCGGCCAACCAGCGGCCGACGCTGAGCAACCGAAGCAACATCCCACACCGCACATCATATAAATCACCCAGGCCTCCTTAATCATACCGATATGCATGTCGTTAAGTAGCGGTTCCGCAGCTGCGAGTATTTCCTCCCTGTAGCTGACTGGTCCGAGTAGCAGCAGTGGTACTGCCCGGTGCGCAGTATGATCCTGGTATTTGGCAAATAAGTTTCATTTAAGCGCCCAATCAGCAGAGCAACCTGGGAGGCAAAAAACTCCAACGACGTAAAGGCAGCATCCCAGTTGACCAGCGAAATAATGACAGCCTGTGGATGCCAAACATTTTGACCGTTCCATTCGCGAACCGGTCTATCCACGGCGAAACATTACGCGCAGTCAGGCCCTCGATCTTGAACACCGCCATGCGCGCCTTATTTTCGGGAACACGCGCAAAATCAGTCTCGTTAGCCAGCGACAAGCCACCGTCCACTGCATCAATGTCAAAAAATGTGTTGCGCGCGTGTATCGAGAACCGGGTAAAGTCGCTCCTGTAGTCCTCGCACGTGCAGACAGCGCTTTCCTGGTCCTCTTTTGTTGAGCACCACTCGCCCAGCGAGCTGATTTTTTTCAAGCTGCGTCTCACGTTAGAGTCGCCATACCAGTGCACACGCGGGTACTTTGAGACAAGGCATTGCGCAAACTGCGCGTAGCTGACGCGGCGCAACCGGCAGGTGTACGGCAGCCAGACGCGGTTCAGGTTGTCAGCCAATGGCACGAGCTCGGGATCAAACGGAATATTGTGCACATAAACCCAACGCCCCTCCGCATTGCTGTCTGTACACAAGGGCAGCTCCGTGTACTTCCAAAGGCTATATGGGCTGGCCCTGTGCTCGTCTTTTACCACAACCTGTTGTGCCTCGTTATATCCAGCGGCTCGGGTGAATACTGCTGTGGCAAGAGGGGCCTTCGGGGTTCCACCGAGCATCGCGGAATTCAAGGAATCCCTCGGGATGGTAAACATCAATGTCGCGTAGCACCACATTAGCCTCGTAAATGTGCACGCTGTCCTGCCGCCTGTTGCGCATATCGCTGACCGGCTGCAGATTGACTGGAATGCTGATGCCCGAGGACAGGCCGACCATGTCGAGGAGAATGCTGTCCCAGGGTGCGCTTGGCAAAGGCACAAATGCGTCGGTACTGTTGGATGGCCTTAACGGCACTATTACGCGCACACAGACGCTCTCACCGACGCCGATATCGGACATGTCGGGGATATCGACGAAGGGCCGCATGGTCTCGTTGGAGATAGTCCAGTGGCTTTGGTTGATTGCAATATCCTTGCACGCTCGAGCGGGTGGCTGGCCAAACCATTGGTCCCAGATTTGTTTGATACTGTTGTGCAAATTTAAATGAGGGTGAGCAGCAAGTTGGGGCTGATGCGGCGGCGGAGGCGGGTGGATATAAAAATGAGATACCGATGGTGGGGGCGGTGGTGGCGGCGGTGAAAGCCGTTGTCCGTCTTTGTCGTGGTCGCCAGTTGCGTTGGGCTCAGTTATCAGTACAAAATAGCAGTGCGCACTAGAATAAAGGCTAATAAAGTTGCATAATGAGCTTTATCATTTTTCTGCTGAAAAGTGTGGAGAATGTCCTTGTTCTCGACTCGCTCGACGGAGCTAAAGGCAGGCAGGGCATTGTGAAATATTATAGAACGCGTAAAATGCAAAAAAAATTGGTTGTTGAAGTGCAGAAATAAAGAAATGAAAATGAAAATAAAAGGAAAGGAAAGGAAAGGTGAAGGTTAATTAATATTGAAGCAACAAATTATTGGAATAATTATCCGAAGGCGTTAATTGTAGACATTCTCGCTACTTAACCACCCCAAACGCAGCAAGCGTCGTGCAGACAATGCTTTGGAAAAGTGACTTACGAGAAATCAAAGGCTTTTTTAGATAATTATACAGAGTTGTAAATATTCGCTATGAGGTTTCAGATATTCCTTTTTTTCTTTCGTTAAAAGAACAAATATACCCGCAAAAATATGATTTCTTTATTATAAAGTGCGGCTTTGACAAAACTCGAACAGAAGTATGCTTTGTAACTTTTCCTTCGAACTCTCAGCCTTGTAAACAAATTTGCACCCTTTTTATATTTTTTCATAGCGTGGTATCAAGCGATGACCGCTCGTAAATATCGAGCGGTATGCACATTTTCCAATTTTTTGCTACCCGAGTGGGTGGCAGAACAATGACAAACACGGAGTAATGCAATTTTTATAGTATGATTTACATGTTTGGACAATACTTTCTTAAAACTGCATGATTGTTGGATGAATAAATGTATTTCTAATAGTTGAAAATATAATTGCTTTGCAGTTTCTTATTGGACGCATGAATAATGTATACAAATAAACCTTCCTTACTGGACAAATATTGTTGCAGTTATTTGTTGGTGTCGGGGGGATCGTCCCCTTTCTGAATACTGGTGCTTACATTCTGAGTTGGGTCCTAACACAAGATTGTCATGATGCAAATTGCATGCATGCAATTTGCAGTCAAAGTAAAAAAATCACGACAATACATAATAACGGCATAAAATCAACCACGCAAACATTCGCCTGTGGCTGCCGCCAAAAATAATTTTTTTAAAAAATTACACGTTGGAAAATTAACGGGTTTTCCTCTGATTACGCTGTTGAATTCAGCGGCGTGAACAAAGATTTTAATTATACTGATAAAATACGAAATTTTGGGTTACATCTGATACAGCCACATCCCCTGATCAGATGGATGTGGATTAACAGATCATGCGCGGCTAGCGGCGAGTTTGACGGAGACAGTATTCTCGACGCAAGGCATCGACAAGCCCTAGCAGTGGTCTTTCTTGAATTTCTTTAATATATATTTATTACCCTCAGTCTCTAGCTACGACACATTATTATAAAAAAATACAGGAATCAATGTTAGAATAGTTAGCTGTTTATGCAGTAAATGCAGTATTTGTCTTTTTTATTTTAAAAATAGCGCGAATAATATTGTTCAAATCCGACCGGTTATTAAATATTGTTTATTGTATTAGTATTCCCACGTAACCTTGTTTTGTAATGATTGTGCTGAGTGGCATTGCCAAGAAAATATTATTATTAGAGCTATGCAAAAAAAAAAATTATGGCTACAAAGTTGGATTCAACCAAGATGGACCTTGAGCGCCATATTGTCTTTCGAGGTTCAAAAGAGGCAAAAACAGCGACGACAGATCTAGACCTGTATTATCGTGTTTTTCCTCCGCCTCAAGTTGATTACATGCTTTCGACGAACAGGCGTCCCTCAGCACCGCTTTTCTTGCGACCAGCTCGCTCCAACTGACCCACGCCCACATAAGACACTTGTCCGGCTCCATCAGCCCGACCTCTGGTAGCCGTTGCTCAAAGGCAATATTATCATTCCCACTGCCATTGTCACAATAACTGCCACTGGTGAGCGGCTTGGCGCATAAACAGCGTCACGTAGTGCATGCTGGCAGGATCAAATACATCGTTGGTCGCTCCGACAAAACGACACCTTTGAATTTGAATGCCGCATTCTTCGAGAACTTCGCGCTCGGCGCAGGATGCCCAGCTCTCACCAAGTTCGAGGTGGCCGCCAGGCAGCCCCCAGGTGTTTTCACCGTGGCTGCCGTGGCGCTTGCCCAGCAGAAATAATACTTGGCCGTTGTGCTTGTGCGTGACAAAACAGCCGACGCCACACGGACATTAGCTGCGCTCATTTGTATTAGTTTAAGCGAGTAATTTGCTATAACAAGTTGGAATTCAAAATGCGAATGGTGACGAAGCAGCAAGAAAAAAAGCAAAAGCCAACAATCGATTTGCAGGATAATTTAATTTTTTTAGATATTTGTTCTTATTCTTTTCTTTGTGTAATCTTTTCGATCTTTGACCGAGTCTTTTGCCTTTCTCACTTTCACAACATTTTTTGATCGTTTTCTTTTTCTATACTTTTTTTTCACCCTTTCGCTAAACGCAAATTCACGCAATGTCTTGGTCGCAAGTCACACACACGTTCCCGCCACGCTCCAAGGGCAGCTACCTTGTAACCAACGAGATTGAGCGAGCCATGACAGCGAACTGCGCAAATACAAATCGGCATGTGTAACCTCTTCCTCCAACACACCAGTGCCTCTCTCTGTCTTAACGAAAACGTCTGTCGCGAGGTACGCGAAGACCTAACAATGGCCCTCGATCATATTGCTCCTGAAACACTAAAGTACAAGCACACAGACGAGGGACCCGATGATATGCCCGGCCATGTTAAGAGGCCTTGGTCGGCGTTTCTTTGAACATACCGATCAAGGATGGACAGCTGGCTCTCGGAACGTGGCAGGGTATATATTTGAACGAGCACAGAACATACCAGCACAGGAGAACCGTTATTGTCACTATGCAGGGCGAAAAGAGAAAGTGAGCCAGGTGCTTTTTGTGGTTGTGTAAATATTTATCCACTTTATATATTGATAAATAAAAGTTATTGTTTTTATAAACTCAGTTATCACTGTGTGGGCAAGGGGCACTTGTTGACTGTAACGGTGATGGTGTGGCGTGTGGTCGTGGACAATGTGGAGGTTGATTCGGCGGCCTCCCTGGACTCCTCGGACTCAGCGGCCTCGCTGGTCTCGCTGGTCTCGCTGGACTCACTGGACCTAGCAGTCTCGCTGGACTCACTTGACTCACTTGACTCAACGGCCTCGCTGGACTTGCTGGACTCAGCAGTCTCGCTGGACCGCGTCTCGCTGGACTCAGCAGTCTCGCTGGACTCAGCAGTCTCGCTGGACTCAGCAGCTGCTGGACTCAGCAGTCTCGCTGGACTCAGCAGTCTCGCTGGACTCAGCAGTCTCGCTGGACTCAGCAGTCTCGCTGGACTCAGCAGTCTCGCTGGACTCAGCAGTCTCGCTGGACTCAGCAGTCTCGCTGGACTCAGCAGTCTCGCTGGACTCACTTGACTCACTTGACTCACTTGACTCAACGGCCTCGCTGGACTTGCTGGACTCCCTGGACTCGCTGGACTCACTAGACTCGGCAGTATCACTGAACCCAGTGCTAGTAAAACTGGTAGTTGGACTATTAGTGCTTGTGGTTGAAGTTACCGTAGAAGGGGTCGAGGGAATGGAAGTGGCCAAGCAGTTTAAGGCAATATTGTCAGCATACGGGCTGAAAATTCCAGCAGGGAAAAGGTGCGCAGCTTGCGAAATGGCTGATCCAGGTGGCGCATTGGAAGCAAGCAGATTGTTCTTGCCAACAACAGTGCTTTGGGTCAGCGAGGTTTTGATATTTGGCGGCATAAATTGCCACAGGACCTTCAGCTGGGGGTCAACACCAGCCTTAATTTCAGACCAGTGTTGCTGCGCGCATGTTTGGGCCGAGGTAGAATCCCAATTGACGGTGTTGCCGAGGGCTGCGTTGGCAGCATCCCAATCTGGGCCATGCTGGGCAAGAGCAGCACCAAGTATGGCAAATATAGCCACGGGTATCTTTGCAAAGAACATTGACAAGGAGGCAGAGGATTAGGTAATGTAATAGGAATAAAATATAAGGTGAGGATAAATGTAACAAAAGTAATTGGGAGAAAATGATTACTTTAAAAGCAAACGGCAGCAGGCTGCCAACTAAATAAATTTAGCAGCGTTCTCTCTATATACTTTGCCGTTTTCATTCACTTTCTCTTCAATAGTTTTAAAAGCTCATTTTTTTATTTTTCTGTCAGAACTTAAGAAATGTGGACTGACAATTTCCCTTTCCCCACCAAAATTTCATATTTCTATTTCTTTAGGCAATAAATTTGGAGAAAAACTATTTTGTTCCGTTCAACTTGTTATTATCTAGTCATGACATTGATCGGCTGACATAAAAAATTGTTGAGAATCGACGGCTTTAAAAAATTTGGCGGCGGAACCAGTGGCTAATGCAATCGTTTATTTATTTACGACAAAATAGTTATTACGAGACAGCTTGGAAAGGAAACATCTTAAAATAGGGAGGGAGGATCCGACCAAATGAAAGGAAAACCTCCCCCGCGCATATTTGACTTTGTGCAAACATTCAGCTATAAGCCGATCCGGTTCAGACCAGCAGCGATCAAACATCGGTCAATCCCAACAGCTTATTTAATGTATTTAGCGGTCTGTTTAAAATTTATTGGTTGAAAATGATGGAAAAAAGAACGCACAATTGCGAAATAAAACAAAGGTTCTATGGTTTTCCGCAATCTAATTTTAGCAAAAATAAATAAATAAAAGCTAACGGTAAGACCAATGTAGGTGAAAACAGAGCAGCACAGTGAGGCGGATAGGGGCCAGAGAGAAGAAAGGGAACTAATCTATTTTGAGAGCGTATTGTGCCCAAGCAGAAGCCCTGTTTTTTCACAAAGCATCGGTCACAGGGTCCGGACGCTAGCAAAAATGCACGCAGCCAGCCTGTTTGTCGCAAGAAAAACCCCGAAAGAGAGCGAAAAAAGATCAACTTATTATATTATATAACAGAAAATTTTGCACACAAAAGGCATGGCCAATTAACGACTCATTTACAGTCAGAGCCGGTCAATTGGCCGACAATTCAGCATTCTACTGGCAGACTCTAATCCTGCTGCAGTCGGCTCATTAGGTTCTGCTCGCGGCGATCCAAGTCATCAATGATCGAGCGCAGTCTGCGGAGCTCAAAGCGGACCTCCTCCCTGCGCAAGACCAGCATCTCGCGGTATTCCTCCGAGGGATCCGTCGCAGCGGAAACCACTCAGGCAGCAGCGTAATCGGGTCGACGCTCACTGCGCGCCGCACCCGCGCAATAATTGACATTGACTCCGCTTCATCATCCGCAGTTTCTACCGCAATATTGCCTTGCTGCTTCGTTTTATTCTCGGCGGCCATTTCCCTAATAATAATCTGCTGCCGCCGGTGATTAAATTTAGTGAATGCGAACTGGCCGATAACTGCCACCAGGCCAAAGAACACAGCGCCCGAAACCACCGACTTTCTGCGACCGCGGCTGATAAAGGCCAGGGTGCCGCCGGTCAGTGCGCCGGCCAATGCGCTGCTGAACATTTCGTCATTTTCGCGGGTCTGCGATATGCGCAGATTCATCGCTTGATTTTTCTCGCGCTGCTCGGCCAAAAGAGCCTCGCGAGTCGTGAAGAAGAAGAGCCCACAGAGGGACCAGTTGCCGGCCATGGTTGCTGTGTGGCGCGCAATTGGCTGAAGGTTCTTTAGGATGGCCACGTTGAGTCCGATGGCCCCGCCGGCTGCGCCTAGGCCCAGGGTCCCTAGGATAATTCGCTTGCGTGCATTGCGATCGCCCAATATTGCCGACATTTCTCGTAGTTGATGACTTGGTTTTTTTTGCTAGCAGTGGCTGTAGATCGAATTTTAAAATATAAACTTTTCTCAGAGTATACAATATGAATATGATGAACGCAATTAATTGTTGAAAATATGAATTAATAAGTGCAAACGCGAATCCAGACCCTAGTGGGAAGATCTTCGATAAAGGCATAGATAAAAAGTATGGGGTGAGAGATCACAGCAATTTTTTATTGCTTTGCAATTCAAATGTTCTTTTAGGATATGCCTTATCTCTCTTTTTTATTTGCGGTTAACTAGCCGATGAAACAAACACATAATTACGAAGAGCAAACCCATTAAACTCAAAGCGTCAAAAGATGTCTATTTTTGCAATTGCAATAATAATCTATTCAGGTCTATTATATTCTGAGATCAGCAGGAAGCTTAAAAGCAATATATGTTTGCAATCCAACAAGAGCCATTGTTTGTTGCTCATTTTGTTTGAGGAGCACCGGCCAGTTGCTCGTTCAAATAAATTGAATTTATCCGTCCTTCTTAAAACTATTGGCAGCTGTGATCTGTTATCTGTCAAAAAGAGCATTCTTAAAAAAGTTGTTAAAAGAACAACATACTCTCTTATCGCATTCATTTTGTGTTTAAAATTTTTATTTTTTCCGCCTTGTCCTTTTTATCTTTTATTTTTGTAATTTTCATTTTTTATTTTCGTCATTTAAAAAATAAACGCAAGGCTCGGCCAACGAGACAATAATTAATTTTAAAAAAAAGCCTTTCACATTTTATTCCCGATTGTTTCATGAAGGCCTACGCGCTGAACACACACATACACACCAGCTGAAAATAAAAGTTATTCCTTTATCTCACTTCAAAAGGGTAAAATTTCTATTCTTATTTTTTTGTATTCCTTAAAGCCCCTTTTTCTCTTTTCTGATCTCATAAAATGACACCAAAGACACTTTTAGGTCGGGGGGCAGTCTCCTGGCTCAAACACTCGGCGCACATATTCCTCTTCCACAACGACAAATACCTTCGCGACGAGTTCTTCGTAACCTCCTACTTTATTCCACAGCCAACACTCGGGATTATCCGCACAGTCATATTCATCTACTGCCTCGCAGTGCTCATCGCCAACCTCGCCTCAACATTTCTCACGGCGCAGGGTGGAACTGGGCCGCATACTTTACCACCCTGACATTTATTGGAATCACACTGTACTATGGCTTTGCAGCATACAATACGGTTCGTTACACAACAGTAAATCGCATATGGAACTGGTGGCGGCTGGAGTGGCAGTGGCACAGGAAAGCAGTGAGGGAGTTGCCGATTTCTATGCCGATGCCGTTGCCGCCGGACCAGCTGATGATACTGGCTGGGGATAGTCGGATCGGAATGCCATCGGTGAGTGCCCTGGTCGCAGATAATGCTGGGTTGGGTACGATTTCAATTGTCACCAATACAGACTCGTGTTCAGGCAGCTCGTCGGGGATTGAGCGCGTGCAGCTGCTGCGCTCCGACCATGAGCGGGCACCTATGGGCTTGCGGGACATTGGGATAGCGCCTGAAATCGACGAGATCAAGGAGATATGCGACCAGCAGCAGCAGCAGCAAGACCAGGACCAGGACCAGGACCAGAGTCAAATCCAACAGCAGCAGCAGAATAAGCGGATATTCGATACAACAAGAACCAGGACCAGGACCAGGTCCAGGACCAGACTGGATCTGATCCATGGCTGACGAAGATACACAGTACCAGCGGCCAGCATCCGTCGCCCATCAGCTGTCGCTCGCCTCACAATGGGTTTTGTACGAGACATTCACGTGCTACGCGCCCCTAGTAACGTTAGTATACTGGTGCCTCCTGTATCCGACACAAGGCGGGCTTGATGGGGTCCTGGACACATGGATGGGCGTCAGCATGCATGCGATAAACTTTCTTTTAATGTCGCTCGAAGTAATGGTGTTTGCGCGGTGCCGATACCGGTGGACGCACTTTGGCATGGTGGTTCTGTGCTTGGTGCTGTACTTGGCTTTGGTGTATTTTATGGTCGGTGTCTATGGGTTTTATGTGTATCCGTTTTTTGAGACAAAGTTTTTTGGGGGTATGTTGCTGTGGTGTGCTTGTTGGTGGTTGTTGTTGTGGCGATCATTTGGGTTATTATGCTGATGGTGCACCGGTGGAGGGATATGGCGTATCCGCGGTGGCTGTCTCGTCGTCCGGTCTGCATTTGCATTCTAGAACCCGAATAATTATTATTTTGTATATATTTTGTATTTCAATTCCTCAGCTATATTTCTTTAAAAGAAATGTAAAATAACTTTTTTTGGAACCAACTGTGACCACGTTATATTTACCGATATATTTTACCTGCACAATGACGTTTAGCTTAGTTTAGTTTTGTTATTTGTAACGACAAACCTTGATTTCTCTTCCTTCTTTCAGGGGAGTTGGTCGTTCGACTTTAATGGGGGCGCGAGTGGGATGAGGGGAGAGTCAAATGTTTGTGTGTGAGTCAACCCAATTTTTAATCATTTAATGCGGAACAAAGAACAAAAACACGTCATTAAATTTCTACTTTGGCTCGGGCTAGACTCAAGCGCGCATACATTGTCATCTTTTTTATTAATTTTAATTTGCTATGTGTGTGCATACATTCTTACTGCATACATTCTTACAGCCACGGTGAACTGAAACTGAAAAATGCAGGAACTCGTTTGGCCATCCTCCCTAATTTTTTTATCGTTCGACTTTTCCCTTTCTTTTCTTCTCCTCTTTGCAATAAATAATAACCACACTTTAGATTTCATTTTATTCTTTCCTACACAAATGTCCTCTTCTTCTTCGATCGCTCCCCCATGCATCACGTTCATCGGCGGCGGCAACATGTGCGAGGCGATTCTGTCCGGGCTACTCAAGACCGGACACCCTCTGACGCACGTCCGTGTTTCCGAGCCCACTCCCCAGCGCCAAGAGTACCTTCGGTCAACCTACAAAATTGACGTATTCGGGGACAACAACCAGGCGATCACCGGTGCAAGCGGCCAAGTGTCCACCGCCCCCGTGGACGTCGTCGTCCTGGCGGTCAAGCCGCAAGTGGTCGGCGAAGTCGTCCGCGGCATCGCCCAGTCCCTGCAGCAAACCCAGCCGCTGGTTATTTCCATTGTCGCCGGAGTCGCCATTAAGGACTTTTCCCGGTGGATCCACCACCAGGAGAAGCAGCAGGGATCGGCAACAGGCGGTAAGCGTGTGCCGCTGGTGAGAATGATGCCGAATACGCCGGCGCTGGTCGGCGAGGGCGCGGCAGGCATGTTTGCCGATGCGGATGTCAGCCAGGAGCAGCGTATGCAGACCGAGTATGTTGTGCGGAACATCGCCAAGGAATATTTCTGGGTCGACACCGAGTCCGGTGTCGACGCAGTCTGTGCGGTGAGCGGATCCGGCCCGGCCTATTTCTTCCTTGTGATTGAGGCCATGGAGAAAGCCGGTGTTGCCATGGGTCTGGACGCGGAGGTTGCAAAGCGACTGGCGGCGCAGACTGCTTTGGGCGCTGCGAAGATGGTGTTGACTAGTGAGGACGATGTTGCCACTTTGAGGACGAAGGTTACGTCGCCGAATGGAACTACGCAGGCAGCAATTGAGAAGATGATCGAGGTTGGCGTGCCCCAGGGGATTGCACAGGGCGTGGCTGCATGCAGAGAACGCTGCTCGACTTTGTCTGAGGAATTTGGCAAACTGTAAGAGCGTATTTTTGTTACGTGTTGGGAATTGATATCGCTTAACTATGACGTAAATAATAAACCAACACTTGATTTCCACCCCCTTTTTGTTCTATTGGTTAGTTAGCTTGAAGAAAATAGTTCAAAGTGTATGGTTGTAAATATAGCGAAGCGCTGCTATTCGTGCTTGCACATGTCGGTCTTCCACTTTCCACTATTCATTTTCTGCTTTATGAGCTTTTTTGTTCTCAATTCTCAATTTATTTTTTATCTTTTCCAATTAGCAGTATTAAATGCTGGCAAATTCCGCAAACAGCAGCAATGGCAGCAGCAGCACCACAGAGGCCAGCCGCGCCCTCCACGCACTAAACCAAGCACTCCCCTACGCACACACCATCGCCGAACGCTCCCAGCTCGAACTCAGCATCAACCTGCACCAGCACCAGCACCAATCCCTCCTTCATCATCACAAGCATCTGCACACCCTCCAAACAACGCTTACCCGAGCGCAATCCGCCCTCCAACAAAGCCAACAAGGCCAACTGAACGACCAACAGAGGCTGCGTCGGCTACAAAGCGACAGTGTGTTTTCACTGATGGTGCCATTACGCAAGAAAGAACGCGAAAGCGCACAGAACGCATTGGGATTTTCTGATATGATGGTGGAGCGTGCGCAGAGGGATGTTATGAGGGTGGAGGCGGAGATTGACACAATGAGGAAGAAGTTTGAGGAGAGTAGCCGCAGGATGAGGGATGAGTGCTGGATGGCTGAGCAAGCGTGTCGGGATGTTTTGCGCAGAGCTGGTACGGTTGCAGAGATACAGCAGCAGCCGGCAGCAGCCACCCCTTTGACGCCACCGCCGATACCGCCGGTTCCCCCGCCGCCGCCACCGCCGCCGCCACCAATTCCGCCGGATCTGCCGCAATCAAATCAAATCACCACCCACCGCTACACCGCTGCCAAACAGCGGCCGCCGCCACCGCCTCCGCAGTCCCAGCGGCCGTTCTCAATCAGCGCCGACACCAGCTTTGAAATCCAAGCATCGCTGCACCATTTCCAATCAACGCTCCCACCAGAACTCCTCCACCCACTCGCCACACCCCCGCCACCTTCAGCATCTGCTGGCTCTGCTGGATCTGCTGCAACAATTAATTTTAGTGCATCGCTTTGGCACGCTCTTTATATGACACTTCGGTATATTTACCCACATGCCGAAGTTACTCTGGACCAGGGTAACGCGCTATTCGGCGCCGACGCGTATTTGAATTTACAAACCACCATTCGCCTGCCTGTCCTCATAACCAACTCATTTTCCTCTTCCCACCATTTTTCCTCTGGCACCGCAGCAGCAACAGCAGCAGAGAACTTGGATAATGAACATTATCGGCCACGCCGTAGTGTCAGTGGCAATCAACGTGCGTTAGCCGAAAGCTTCGGTTTAAAATCATCATTGTGTGATTTACGTAAAGTAGAATCCGCCATTAAGAAACTCGTCTTGTTAATTAGTACCGAGCGACAAGCGAGGAATTCCGGTTTATTGGTTTCAAAGGAAGGCGTGGTGGTTGTAAGGAGAACAGCGAGGCAGAGTGTATGTGTGAGTCGACTTTGTGGGATTGTTGATGGGTGGATACATCCCGTGGCATTTATTGCTTGGTATATGGCTGTGATTATTGAGAGTCCTGTGGTGGAGTATGAGCCTCCATTATTTCTTTAAAAACAAATATATGCGGAGTTTATTGTTATTGTTTAATTAATTAAAGTCTAGAGTTTGAATAAAAGGTGAAATGACAACTTGTCTTGTGATATCAATGGCTGCGCAACCGATTAAGGTGACATATGCAAGAGAGGGAGGAAATAAAATAATTTCTTTTTTTTGTACACGTTGTCACATTTCTTTCGAGTTGAAAAATAAAAATAAAAAGTGTATATTGAAAATAACGAACAAACAGGATAAAACCTAAAAAAAACGATGATTTTTACACAATATGCGACCGACACTAAGAATAAAAATACCAAAAGCAAAATCAAATTCATGTATAAAACCACACTCCATTCTCTCTCACATTCTCTCTCCCTCCCAGAATTCAATAATTTCGCAAATATGTGTAATTCTACTAAAATTTCTAAACATAATGTGCTATTTTCTTACAACTTTGATTGTTTGCGATTAGCAACAAAAGATAATAGGTTTTAATTTATTTTTTGTTTAGTATTATGCTAATTAATGAACATGGGCATATAAAATATATGTTAGAAAGTGATATAATCAAAAAGAATATTTCTTTCTTTCAAACAGAACAGTTCCTAGCTGTCCGACAGTCATTCCTTTTATGTGTTCGATTTGACATATAAGTAAACTATAGCAAAACCTTGTCATCATTGCCCTGGTTTCCACGCGCATAATCCATTAGTCTCAGTAAGGCAATCATGTGCCTCAACTATGATAAAACATCATATTTTAAAAGAATAATAAAAAACTGCTGTGATAAACTCAAATATGCATTGACCAAAACAAATGATTATATATATAACGCTATCACTAATACGGCTATCCTACCGTTAACAATACATCCAACTAATTGGAATAGCCCCCCGCCGGTACCACAGCCATATCGCCGGATATATGGTTATACGGCGGCACACCATACTCGTCATCAGCTCCGTCAACGATATCATCCTCTTCCTCTTCCTCTTCCTCCTCATCATACGCCATATCAGTCTGCGAATCAACCAGGGCTCTGATCCTGGGCATCCGGAACTCTGGCGGAATATAGGTCTCGATCGCCGGCACCTTGCGCGCAGTCAGGTAGAGCACCTGGTCATTCAGGTCGTTCGTGTCCAACAAGATCTTGTCCACCTTCTCCGACGGACCCGCGCGCTTCGTCACCTCGTTCATAACGGGGCCAATAATCGGGTTCTCGTAATCCGACACGGCATAGATGGACAGCAGCTTCTTGATCTGTGCCGGATTGAGCAGGTCACAGACCTCAAACATAATGTCGATGTCCTGCTCGGTCGACTTTTGCAGCTGCAGCAGCTTGACCAGCTGCAGCAAGCGGTCGAGATTGCGCGTGGTGTCGGACACCGTGTGGGTCTTGCACCACTCCTCGATGCGCGTGAGATTGTACTGGATCTGCATCCCGCGCTTCCATGAGCAAAAGTTGCGGCGCATGATGATGTTGTTAAAGGCGGTCACGCCAATGTTGCACAGCAGCTCGGACATGATCTGGCGCATGATTGCCTGGTCCACGTAGTAGAACTCCATTGTGCGCCAGATGTGGTTGAAGAAGCTCAGCACGTTCTCGATCTTCACCGTGCTCTCCCTGGGGCCTGTGCCCATCAGGCGGTTAAAGAAGCCAGAGTCGCTGGCGGTGAAGCCCGGCAGGGCCTCGCTCTCGACAACGCCGGGGATGATCAGCTTGACAAAGCGCTTCTGCAGGTCCTTGATCCACCCAAAGTATATGTCCGAGAGCAGCGACTCGAGGTACTGCATGCCGTCGTTCATCGCGCGCTCGCTCTCGGCGTACTCGTATGTCGACGACTGGTGCTCGGTCATCGACGTCTTGATGATCGACAGCAGCTCAAACACGTTGGACAGCCAGAAGGCCGACGTGTAGTCGGACTCGAAGGCGGCGGTCTTCTTCTGCACGCGCGCAATGGTCGACATGAGCAGGCGGTCGATGCGCCGCGCCAGGTTGTACTGGAACATCTTGATCACGCACAGCCCGATGAGATGCGCGGGGAACAGCAGGTCCGGCGGCGAGTACTCGGCGTCCAGGTTCGGCAGCGGCACCTGCAGGTCGCCGATCAGCTCGTTCAGCACCTCGGCGACCAGGCCATCCTCGTGCTCGAGCATCTCGCGCACCTCCTCCTCGTTGCGCAGCTCAAAGACCTCGTCCTCCAGCGAGTCCTCGGGGATGACCGACTGCGCCAGGGCCGCCGAGTTGGTGAAGCCGCTGCCCAGCGAGCTGAGCATCTTGGCCAGCGTGCGGCCCTCGTCGCCGCCGATGGTCGAGCGCTTGCTTGCACTCGACGACTCGATGAGCGTCGGGCTGGGGGCCTGGTCGACCGAGTGCGGGCGGCGCTGCTGCAGCTGCGGATTCTGGTGCTGGTGCTGGTGCTGGTGCTGCTGGTGCTGCTGCGACTGCTGCGGCTGCGGCTGCGGCTGCGGCGGGATGGGCGGCAGCGCCTGCTGCTGGCGGGCCATGGTCGGCGCCGTGGCCGGCGGCCTCGGGTCGAGGTCGTAGCCGGTGGCCAGCTCTGCGGCGGCGGCCCGCCAGCGGCTGGCCGCCGCCGCGTCGTTCCGCTTGATGCTCGACGCCAGCTCGGGCGCCTGCTGGCCGGGCGTGGCCGCGCCATTCTGCTGGCCCAGCATCGGGCCGCCCTGCTGCTGCAGCACGAGCATCTGCTGCTGGTGCTGCGCCTTGACGTCGGCCAGCTGCGCCCTGCTGGCCTCGAGCTCGGCCTCGAGCTCGCCCAGCTTCTTCTGCAGCTCGGTGCGCGCCTCGACGCCCCTCTCGCGCTCGACGCCAGCCTCGCTGCGCGCGTCCTCCAGCGCCCGCTGCGTGGCCTCGACCTCGACGCGCAGCTCCCGGCACAGCTCGTCGGCCTTGTGCTTGGCCTGCTCCAGGTCGCCCACGCGCTGCGTCAGCGAGCCGGTGGCCTTGGCGATGGTCGCGTCCTGCGCCTGCCGCATCTGCTTGACCTCGTCCTGCGCCAGCCGCAGCTTCTCGGTCAGCTGCACGACGCGCGCCTGCGACTCGTCCAGCTGGCGCGTCAGCGTCATCAGCTTGCCCTCCAGCTTGTACGTCACGTCCTTGAAGTGCTGCGCCGACCGCATCTCCTCGCGCCGCTGCTGCAGCTGCTGCTTGGCCATGCGCACGCGCACGCGGCCCTGCATGCGCGTAATCAGGAACGTCTCGCGCTGGCGCGCGCGACGCGCCATGAAGCCCCTGGCACGCGTCTGCAGCAGCGTGGCGGCACGCGTCCGCCGCATGGCCTGGAAGCTGCCGCGCGCCTGGTGCGCGCGCACAAGGCCTGGATCAGCAGCACGCTGCGGCGCTGGCGCGCGAACGCGTGGCGCGCCAGGTGGCCGCGGATGCGCGACTGGATCAGCAGCGCCGCACGCGTGTCGCGCAGCCGGCGCAGGTGGCGGCGCGCCAGGTGGCTGCGCGCCAGCGCCTGGAGCGACCGCGCGGCGATGCGCTGGCGCAGGAAGCGCGCGCGCTGCAGCGAGCCGCGCACGAGCCGCTGCAGCGACGTGGCGGCGGTGTTGAGCCGCTCGACGCGCTGCTTCTCGATCAGCGCAAGCATGCCGGCGCGGAAGAACACCTTGGTCAGGCCGACCTGGTAGCGGTCGCTCTCGCTGAAGGCCGCGCGCAGGATGGCCGACGCGAGCGCGCGCCACTCGTCGACGGACGCGGCCGGCGGCGGCGGCGGCGCCGGCGCCGGCTGCATGACGACGCCGTAGCGGTGGATGAACTCGGGGATCGGCAGCCGCGACGGGTAGCCGGCGCAGCTGATGCGGATGGTCTCGAGCACGCCGCAGGCGCGCAGCTGCGCCAGCACCATCGGCGCGTCCCACTGCCACGCGCACTTGGCCTCGTTGGGCTTGATGCAGCGGATGTAGTGCGACTCGGTCGCCTCGATGGTGTCCATCAGCCCGACCAGCGAGTGCTTGAACACCGCGCCCAGCGTCGGCTTGCGCGCCGCGCGCACGCTGAGCTTGGGCGCCGCCGGCGCGGCCGGCTGGTGCTGGTGCTGGTGCTGGTGCTGGTGCTGCTGGTGCTGCTGCTGCTGCTGCTCGCTCGCCTCGGGCGCGGCCAGCACGGCGGCCAGCAGCGCGCCGCTGGTGGCCTTGAGCACGTTCTGGATCTCGTCGGGCACCGTGTCCTTGTTCTTCTCGATGAAGCCGTCGGCCTCGTACGTCACGTCGTGCGCGTAGTGCCGGATCGTGAACTTGTCGGCGCCGAACCGCGGCCGGCGGAAGAACGCCGCCGGCGTCTCGGGGTCGGGCCTGCCGGGCGGCGCAAACTGCTTGTACAGCTTCTCGGCGAACGTCGCGTCCGAGCCCTGCTGCAGCCGGCTCTCCTCGTCCAGCAGCGCCAGCACGCCCAGCCGGCCCTCGATCAGGTCGATGCACGGCTGGTTGTCCTGGAAGTCGACGAACGTCCAGTTGGCCAGCTGCTCGCGCTGGTACTCCTCCTGCTCGAGCTTGAACACGTGGCGGTTGAAGTTCTGCTGCAGCTTCTCGTTGGCGTAGTTGATGCAGAACTGCTCGAACGAGTTGTGCTCGAAGTGCTCGAAGCCGTAGATGTCCAGCACGCCGATGAACGACGCTGGCGCGCCCTGCACGCCGCCGCCCGTCAGCGACACGTTGATCGTGCGCACGATGAAGTCGAACAGGTGCGCGTAGACGAACTTGGCCACCGAGTCGCGCACGACCAGCGCCTGCGCGCGCGTCATGTTGCTGACGATCTTCTCGCTGCGCGTGACGATCTGCCGCTTGGTCAGCCACTTGCGGAACAGCGCGCCGTCGATGCCCAGCAGCCGCACGACGGTCGCCGCCGCGCCGTCGTCCTCGGCGATCGACGCGCCGACGCGCTCCGACGCGCCGGCCACCGCGATGTTGCCGACGTGCAGCAGCGCGGCCAGCAGCTCGTGGATCTGCGTCTTCTGCGCCGCGCTGAAGCCGATGACGTCCAGCGCGGCGCTGGTGTCCCTGAACTCGGCCGCGTCGTCGACGCCCTCGATGGTGCCGCTGCCGCCCAGCGCCAGGTACGCAAAGCTCTCCCACGTGCGGCCCTCGAGCCCCAGGTGCGCGCGCTCGCCCGCCGGCACGGCTGCCAGCAGCTGGTAGAAAACGTGGTAGTTGCGCTCGGTCGCCGGCTGGTACACCAGCCGCGAGCGCTCCAGCAGGTACGTGCGGATGTACGCGGCCTCGATGGCGTGGCGCTCGTTGAAGCGGATCTCGAGGAACTTTCCGAACCGCGACGAGTTGTCGTTGCGCGTCGTCTTGGCGTTGCCGAACGACTCGAGCACCGGGTTGGTCGCCAGGATCTGCTCCTCGACGCGGCTGATGGCGCCGGCCAGCTTGTCGCCGTCCTGCGCGCTGCCGTCCTCGTGCGCCGACGCAAAGTACCGCATAATGTACTTTGCGCTCATCGTCTTTCCGGCCCCGGACTCGCCGGACACAATGATCGTCTGGTTCTTCTTGTCGCGCACCATGCCCTGGAACGCGTCCTCCGAGATCGCAAACAGGTGCGGCTCCAGCTCGCCGCGCATGCGCCCGGCGTACGCCTCCAGGGTGTCCTGGGAGTACAGCGGCACGCGCGCAAACGGGTTGAGCGCGACCAGGACGATGCCCGAGTATGTGTAGATGTTGTGCATCTCGTAGCGGATCTGCAGGTTGTGCAGCACCGCCGGCTCGTTCAGGTGGCTCAGGTTCGTCAGGTCGTCGATGCCCTCGAGCAAGGGCGGGTTGCACAGTGGCGGCAGCACCTTGGCTTTCTTGGCCAGCTGGTCGAACGTCGCCTCGAACCGGTACTCCTTGACCTCATCTGCGCTGGTCGTCCGCTCGAACTGCATCGAGACGGTGCCGGCCGCCTCATCGACGGCCTTTTCCTTGAGCACGGCCTGCACCCAGGCGAGCTCATCGTCGACGAAAAACGCCTTTGTCCCCTATTGAATATCAATGATGGTATGAGGAAAGAGGTAAGGTATAATTGAATTTGGATTTGAATTTGCTGTTGGCGCTGCCGGAGCCGCTGCCTCTGCATCGTGCTGCATGTGTTGTGCCAATAGCTGTTGCTCGTGCGCCTGAATTTACCTTTGCATAGACCTTGAGCTCTGGTATAATTGAATTACCGCTCATCTGAAATGTAAACAGAAAAGTTGGCGTATGTGCTCTTTTTAAACGCTATATATCTACAAGAGTAATATTGCACATGTTCTATTTTTTGAGTTTGTGTGTCGAATTAGACTGAATCTGCCTCATCTGTCGTCCATGTCGCTCTGGTAGCCCTGGTAATTCGAGTCGCGCGCGCCACTTTACCTCTTTATTTTCCTCAATAACAAACAAACAAGCAAAACTGGTCGATAATATATAAAAGTAGGTGGGGGGTTTAATGCAAAAAAGGGAATAAAGAGAAAATGTATTATAAAGTTAAACACAAGGCTAACTAAAAAAAAGCAACAAGGTCATGTATGCGCCTTGCTTTGTTTTGTATCCAGGTGGTTTTTTTGTTGCTTTATTTATCCCTTGCTGCTGCTGCTGCTGCTGCTGTTGAAAACCAAAAGGAAAATAACCCGAGTACAATACCACGGCTAACAAACTATTCCCTAAATCTTTTTTTTGTTGTTTCCTGATACAATCGATCGCCAGGAACTTATTTTTTTATTTTTTGTTGCTCACTTGCTTTAAAGCTGGCCAATCAGATCACTCACATTCACATTCGAGCACGCGCACGGCCGCGATCGTCGTCTTAACAATATACGTCCTTGCCATAGCTGGTGAGTGCGACTGTCAATCAGGCGATAGCCAGATTCCGACTATTTAATCAAACATAACATAACATATATATATATATATAAAACAATGCACAGTTGCAAAAAATACTTTTGTGACTGCATTTTATTAGCACCTTAAAATTTAAAAATCCAAACATAATACTTTATTTCGCAGCTGGGCGCCCAAACACATCGGTGATAAAAATATAGCAGTTTTTGCCATGAGCGATCTTAGAAAACTCAGTCTTGTCGGTAACTTTAACAACGTATTTTCCAATTTTTTCCGGAGGAACAGCAATTACTCCATTGAATTTTGCCAATAGCTCGATGTCGAGCGCTATTGACCTCTGGAGTGTATCGATAACCTTGACACCGCTGGCCATAATAATATGATCCGCATTTTCTAATTTCAAATCCAAGCGGTTCTTGCCACATACACAACTTTGTTTTTGAGCTTGTCTTGGGTTGCAAGATAAATATAGACCGTGTATACTCCTATATTATGCATGGTTTTAGAGTTGAATTTATTTTTATGGTTTGCAAACGTATTTTTTAATTACACTGAAATGACATAGAATAAAAGTAAATAAGATGAATGGAAATAGCAAAAATAAAAAGCTTTATTTCTCCTGGCCACGCTAATATTCTTTTATACTTGCCATTTCAAAGTATATTAAATAATATTCCCCGCATTTTCACTCAGCTGCAATCACCACATAACTGGCACGGTATATAAGCCAGCCTCATTCAAATAACGCCATCCAGCCAGCCCACTTTATAAATACCACATCGATTAAAGGAAGCGTAAATATCTGCAAAAAAATAATGTTAAAAAGGTGTATATAATTTTACTCCAAAAATTTAAAGAAATATCTACTACTTTCAATCTTGACGACTAAAAGAAAAAAGTAAATAAATTGAATACACTCACTCCCACCGCATACACCTTTTACTCCTCGGGCTACACAGCAATTCAAAAAACGCAAAAATAAAGTATGGCTAGAACATGGATGTGAGCTATACCATTCTAATTATTTTTATAACAGCCCACTTGTGTAAGTTGTTTGATGTAGAAATAATGTAAATGCAAATACTCCTTTTACACTTTTTACAAAGGAAAAGCACTTTAATGTATTGTTTTTCTTTTTTTTGGTAGTTATGTCTGTACTTTTTGGGTATTCTATATTAAAAAGCTTTAATGTATTGGAACTGCATAAAAACATATCAGAGAAGCTTACAATAGATAAATAGATAAATATAATGAAAATTAAATAGTATTGCTGAACGAATTGAGTAAAAAACACCGAACGAGTACCCAAATGACACCCCCCTTGTGGGGACCAATTATGGACCCATGGTCCTGGACAAGTTGTTTTAAATTTTATCTCGGTCCAGCGATGCGAATGGTGGGTCCAGTGCTGCCTTGCAGCTGTTCCTTTTCCACCCATTCATCAAAGTTAAACCTCCAGAGGTGGGCAAGGTCAAAGGCAGCCCCACTGGTAATAACCCTTAACTCTATAGCCATGGTGAACAAGTACCACTGGTCTGAAGCCCAAGATGTTATCTTCCCACCGCTGCGCTATAGGGGTATGGCTGCTGTCCTTGCATCTCTGCTGCAATATGTTGCCTGTGACTGTGGCTGTCACAGCCACCAACGCTTCCTCTTAGGCATAATCCCTGACCATTCCCCCCTAGAGGACCTGTTGGCCATTTTGCTTCTTCCAGCGGTTGTATATAAACCCAGTCTTCTCTGTGATCTGTCTCTGGGTGCTGGTCTCAATCTTTGTTGGTCCTAGGAACTCCTTGTATTTAAACTGGTTGCAGTGGCAAAGCTTATTTATCCTCGACGACCAAACGCCTATTTGCGTGTCGGGGCGCACTTTACACAGCTTTGACCGCTAAAAAATGGGACTCATATTTTGGTTTTCCTGTAGAAATGGTTGTCTATTCGAGATATTAAGTTCTCTCAGCAGCCCCTGATAACTGCGTTGGCTAACGTACCCAGGCCGTTTTTCACATAGGTCATGGAACATATAATTACTTCAACAATGCGTGAATTATAATGCACATTATCATATTACGCATTATAGGTTTAACTAATAGCAAAGTATTTACTAAGCGTGGGATGTGCGCAATATAGAGTGATTGAATATGACAATGGTACTGCAAATGATATAGGCATTAAAGGGTGGAAAAGCATTCCTACGAAATATCGTGACTATTGTCAGTGTAAAAAATGATAATCTGTGTAAATTTATCCGTCCAACACAATTACATATGCAGATCTATCTGAACAAACCGTGCTGTCCTTTTTTAGCCTCTGGAATAATCGTGTTCATGCGCACGACAAAAAATTTTGCAATGGCAAACGTAAAAGGCGGGGGGTAGAAAAAGAAACACCAAAATCAACTCTACAGTAATGCTGAAAGATAAACGCAGTAGTTGCGTAAACATTCTTTGCTGCATTCCCTGAAATATGCCGATCTCTCCCCCCTCAGATCTTTACCAACTAGTGTTTTCATTTCTTAAACAAACATTCCTGTAACATAAAACAAATTGGAATCTAAAAAAAGAAATGTCGTTTGTAACAAACAAGATAAGAATTGCAACCGAAGGAATTGGATATTTCATTTTGTTTATATCCATTTATTCACTGTGCGATCAAATAAACTCTATTTATTAACTATTTATTTATATTGCAAATAATCGTATATTCGTTCATGATCACCTTTCTCACCCTTATCCCGTTTCTTCTCGGCATAACAAACGCCTTCAACATAAACTCCTGTGGGACGTTCCGGATAACACCAGAGACATTACCCAGATGTCAGCGCATATCCAATTGAACAGCACCTCGTCGCCGATAAACACAGAGTGGACGGGCATAGGCTGGGACACAGGCTCGATTTCAATCCAAAAGCTCAGCGACAACCAGCTGGTCGCCCTCTTCCAGCTGCACGCGCCGACAAACGACTCTACCGTGCGCGCCGGCCGAGCCACTGAATTCTCCACTGCCTATTTTATCGACGAGCCGCAGAAGCAAGGCATGTATCTTCAGTCCAAGATTGACAAGGATAATTCGGCCTCCAGCGGGTACTCCTTAAGGTCATGGCGCACTACAACATGATCGCTAACAACACCATATACCAGGGCCTGTGGTCCGATGGAGAAGTGTGGACGTACATGGGGTCGCTGGTTCTGCAGCACCCGAAAAACGGAAGCATCAAAGAAGAGGTCGCCAAGGCACTCGAGGAGGCTGCCAAGATGGATGACCGAGATCCTACAACGCAGGCCGAATCCACATCATCTGCAATTGCCGCTGAGCCTGAGCCGCTGGGTGAGTTTGCTGTCCCTGCCTCTCGCAACCCTCTTGGTAGAACCAAGCCACCAGAGACGCTGGCCACTTGCGAGATTAACAGGGACTCCCAAGGCAAGATAAAGCCCATATGCAAGTTCCTCAGACAGCTCCCCATTGTCCCCTCATTCCCGCACCCCTTCTCTTCACTCAGACGCACTGCCGGTGGAAATGTTAAGTTTGAGCGCGCGGGTATTTTCAAGGACCTCGCCATGAAGGGCAGACTGGCCAATGTTATAGACATCACTGCTGCCAGGTGTGTGAGTCACGGGAGAATGGAGGGTGACTTGGCCTCTTGCCAGAGAGATCCCAACAACCCAGAGTTCTACGTTGCCATTGATGGCATTGCACTCAATGGGGAGGAAAAGGAAAGGGGAGAAGATTGTTGGCGGCGATCTTATGAATGGGGCTGCAAATTTCTTGGAGGAAAAGAGCTGGATCCACCACGAGGCCAGCAAATCGGCCGAAATCAACTTGATATGATATTCCTTTTTTAATATATATATATATTTGCGTGTTTATTAGCGTGCGGGAAATAAAATAATACTTTAATGCCTACAAGATGTGTACCAAGTTATCATGGCAATTGTAAACCCATTGATAAATAAAAACAATTGACATTCATCGGTATTTGTATTTTTGGCATTAGCAACCCCATTTCTCACATCACAATTTAATTTTAATAATGAATAGTACTTATTATCCCGTCTACTCTTAAAATAATTGAATGATAGAGCAGCGAGCAAATTTGTACTTAGAATATGTTAAGATAAAATAAATGTTGTAGCAATGATGGCAAAACCAAGTAAAAAATTAAACATTGATCAACGTGCTATCAAACAAAGACGCTTCGTTCTTTAAGTTTACTCCAATAAGTTTTTTTTTAAAAAGAAGTGAGCAAAACATATGATTTAAAGAAACAGCCTTATTGCTTGAACAAAAGAGATCTATTAATTGCTCTTGTTCGTTTTAAAAAAGGCAGTTGTTCAGCAAATCGAGACGAAAAAAATCTTTTTTTGAACACAAAGGTAGTTGCCCACTTGAAAAATAATATGTTGCGTTTAAGGAATACAATTTTCCCTACTTGTTTTTTATTCAACAAAGCATCCGCTCTAAAAAGTTTCAGCTTTAGTTTTTTATATCTATAAAAATATTTTTCTCATTATTTTTTAACTTTATTCACTACCTTTTACAATATATTTTTGAAACCCAATATGCTTGTATTCAAGGTGCTGGCATTCCTAGTAGCTGGTCTATCTCTGGTCTTGGCTAACATTGTTAAGAAGCAAACGTTTCCTACAGTTTTAAATTTTATTGCAAATGGCAACATAGGTGATATGGAGCGCCTCACCTATCTTGTACTAATCAAGGGCGACACAAGCACACAATGCGAAGTTGCTATTCTCAGCGAATTGCCGGTATAGTAGCCGCAAACTGTGTTGAATGGAACTCCGACAGAACTTTTTCAAGAACCGATTATAAGGTTGCATACTTTGCTGCGGGAAATGGTGATAACGTTGTAAAGGCAGTGAATCAAATAAAAATGCACCCATCATATGATGCAACCACATTTGCAACAATCTTGCGATTGTTTCATTCGAGAGCTTCTTTGGCAGCCCCGTAACTAAAATGGCGCTATTTCCGATGATATCAACAGTATTGTCAACCGATACCACACTTTTCGCACTTTAGCAAGCATTTCTCCTCTACAAGCAACAGTCTGAACGCAGTTGCTTCTATGGATTCCGGAGCTGACCTTTGTTCGCAGTATTCTCCCTTATATGCCGCCAACGCCGTTGACTATGCCTGCAATTCATTAAACGTTAATTCTTATAACAGTCCTGGATGTGTGACAGGTTATAGCTCAATCTATGGTGCCACCGATGGCAGTGTGGCCATCCATGCACTTTATAGTTACAGTGTCACTGATGTTACCACTGGCCTGTGCGGTGTCAAGAATGTAGTTATGAATTACTACACTGTTCTGCGTAATTACTTGCCATGGGCTGTACAAGAAAGTGGAATGAGCTATATATCTATTCATAGTGCTAACATTCCGTATGAGTCCCCCAATACTTCTGGTGGCCGTTCTGTTGTTAACAATAGTCCAGCTATTGATGGCAAGATAGCATTAAATGGACTTGATGTTCAAGTCCGATTGAGCCTGCAACCACATCCACATTAACTGTTCTGACCACAGAAACCGACACCACAACTATTGAAGTTACCGAAACTGTTACAGCTTCAAGCACAGAATTTATTTCGACAACTACTGTTAACACTATTAGCACCATAGAATCAGCCACAGCAACTACTACAAGCACTGTAACAACTACTGAAACTACCATGTTAACCTCTGTTATTGGCGCCACATCCATGGACATAGCAACCTCGACTACATTTACAACAACAACATTTAGCGACACCATATTATTCACAGCAACAGTAACAGATATGGTGACTGCTCCAATCGTCAACACTGTAAATACCCAGGGCAACAACATTAACATTGGGCTTGATGTGGGTCAGAAAAATGTTGCTACGGTTACAGCCACAACCACCCAAACTGTATCCTCGGTTTCGACTATCACAAATACATCGGTGCTGTCTCTAACAACCACATTAATTTTACCCGACTCTAATATTCCTCAGCAAGCCACCACAGTTGTTCTTCCTGCAAGCACCGTTACTTTAACAGATATCAACACGGTTACAGTCACCACAGAATCCACATCTTTGATCACATCCTTCTACACTGTCACTTATGTCCCTTCCACAACCAAACTTGATAATGTTCAAACAACTGTATCTGGAGTCACAACTGTCACACGGACTGTTCCAAGCATATCTTTAGTCACAATGTTTGAATATAAGACGTTCCATAAACGTGTAGATAAACTATAAAGATATAAAGTATATTTAATAAATATGTGCTATGCATTGTGAAAAGGTATATAGAAGAAAGCATATTGCTTTGGTCACTGTTGTCGTGCTCTATAAAAATGTGGGTCTAAATTAATATATTCAAGTCTTAAAAATTACTTTTGGAACTGAAAAAGGGGACAGCGCTGTGTGGGCAGCGCTGTAAACATCATGATGTTCCTTAATGTCAGCCAGCAATAACAGAAAGGTGCATAGCGGCCATGAGAGCGATCTTGATTCTTGAAAAGGGAAGATAGTGGCTTGAAATCTGTGTTGGGCACCACAAACTTAATTTAATAAATAAGACTGAATGCCTACCATGCTTCCTTGTCCACCATGGGCTCTATTTCAGAGCCTGTCTATATGCTCCTATAACAAAAATTATCCTATGGGCAATGGTGTTGGAATTTCTCCAGACCTGGGTCTAATTGCCTGGCAGTGGAAGTGTCTGCCAGGGTGTTAGTAAAACTAAACCTGAGCACTCGATCTGTCACTAGAGGGTCAATTGTGCCAGATAGCATCATGCCACAGATGTTTTTTCTTTAATGACCTTTTCCTTAATTGTCCGCATATAATTATTTTTATTATAAAATCAGGCAGCAGACAGGGGGAGTAGAAGGTGGACCCCGTGGATAAATATAAAGCGCTTTTGCTCTTTATAATTTTTTTTACAATTACTGTCAAACAATCCAAATTACAATGATAAATATTTCTTTTATTTCTTTTTATAATTAGTTTTTTAAAATAAAAAGCTCACAAACAAAAAATACATTGTGCGCAGATGGCCAAATGGACAGCATATTTTCTCACTACCTTATTTTACTGATGGCCCTCTTGCCAAAATTTACAATTTATATTTATTGTCACACAACTTGACGTTATATTTTTGTTTTTCTCAGATCTGCTCTTTTCTTTTCAATACTCGTTATATTTTACTCAAACCTCCAAAAAATATTTATTGTTCAAATTTAGTATCCCAAAGTATTTTTTATTAGATATATATTTCACTTTTAACTTTTATTTTTCTATCCTGCATTTTATTAAGTAACCATGCAGGTATTTAAAAAGATATCCCTGCTGGTAGCTGGTCTATCGCTGGTCTCAGCAAGCATTGTCAAAAGGCAAGAGTTCCTTCTGCGCTACACCTTTTGCAAAAAACGACATTAGCGACATGCAATATCTCGGCTATCTCGTGCTCGTCAAGGGTTCTACAAGCACGGAATGCGAAGTTGCAATTCTTAGTGAGACCACTGGTATTGTTGCTGCAAACTGCATTGATTGGAATGCAAATAAAGAACCTGCACGCAACGATTATAAAGTTGCGTATTTTGGTTCAGGTAATGGCGGCCTCAATGTTCAGACAGTTTCTCGAGTAATACAGCACCCTTCATACAATCCGTCTAACTTTGCCAATAATGTTGCTGTTATCTGGTTTGAGTCTCTCACCCAAGACAGTTCCATGTTAGTTGCCAACATTGCTGATGACCCTAAGACTCTGTTCAACAGCTACAACGTTTACCGCTCCTTGGCTAGCATTTCTCCTCTAAAGGCCAATGAACTCAACACATGGGCGTATTTGATTACAGAAACCAAGGAGTGCAAAGAATATTCCCCTTTGTTTGCTGCAAGCCCCAATGACTATGTCTGCAATCACCCAACTGTCAACTCCGCTAACAGCCCTGGATGCGTGACAGGATTTAGCTCAATTTATGGTGCTTTGGACAACAATGTGGCTATCCATGCTCTTTACAGCTTCAGTGTCAGCAGCGAGAGCACAGGCCTGTGCGGTACCACAGAAATCGTTATGAACTACTACACCATCCTGCGTAACTACTTGGCCTGGGCTTTAAGCTTGACAAATACTAAACTCAACTCTATCCATGGTGTTACCAGACAATATTCACCTGCCATCCCCGATATAGGCTACACTGCTATTAATAAAGATGGCAGTGGTAATGATATTAGTGCCGCTAGTGGCGGATATGTTGCACGCAATGGCCTCGACGTTCAAACGCCCGTGGTTGCTCCAGTTGCTCGCATTGACCCTGTTGTAGTGAACGCTGTTGAAAATACAGCTGTTCAGGTTACATCAACCGTTTTGACCACCCAGACTGACACGTCACTGTTCTGGTGACTGAGAATGTTACATCATCAAGCACAGTTGTAGTTTCTTCCACAACTACTGAGACTGTTAGCACAACTGCCACAACTACGGCAACCACAACCGACACTGCCACAACTACTCAAACCACAATGGTGACGTCTGTTATTGGTGCCACGTCTACAGATGTTGCAACTTCAACCATTTCCACGACCACAACATTCACTAGTACAGTTACAGCAACTGTGACAGCAACTGTGGATGGTGCCGTCAATAATAATGCAGGCATTCCTCAGGGCAACAACATCAACATTAGCCTTAATGCAGGCCAGGCAAATGCCGCTACCATCACAGTCACATCTACTGAGACTGTGTCCTCAGTATCGACGGCCACTGATACCTCTGTTCTAACTGTCACTGCCACAGTTTACCTGTCTGCCTCCATTATTCCAGGACAAACAAGTATCATTGGCATACCTGCAACCACTGTCGCTGCTGCAGATATCAACACAGTTACTGTCACCTCAGTGACCACCTCTCTGGTGAGGTCCATCTATACTGTTACTGCTGTACCCACCGCATCTGGAAATAACCAGGCACAGGAAACTGTTTCTGGAGTCATCACTGTCACCGAGACTGTCCCAAGCATATACCTGGTTACCGTCACCCAAACTATCACAGATGCACACGAGCTTGGTCCTCTGGCTGCTTCTTCTGAGTCCAACCCTGCCTCAACAGCCACGGTCAGCAACTCTACTAATGAAGTGGTTGTTGAGAAAGAGAAAAAGAAGCTCTCTGCCGGCCTCATTGCTGGTTTGTCTATCTTGGTTCTGGTGCTTTTAGTAGTATTGTGGTACTTCTTCTGCTACAAGGGCAAACGCGATAGCCAGACTGACGGATACACAAACCAGCAGCCTGGAGGACTGTCGCGTGTGCGCAATTGGCTATTTAATCAAAACAATGACCGGTTCAATCACGACAGTCCGCCCGACTACATGACCCAGATCCGTTAAATCAACTAGTAATTTATTACCTATGCCAAAAAAGTATTATTTTATGTGCAAGTACATTTATCGAGATATGGTTGCAACAGGCAATATTTTCACTCCTAGAACTTTTTTTCCTTTTTTTTCCCTTATTTTTACTTTTCAAATTGGTCAATTAGTTTATATTTTGTGTGCATTAATAGTCTACCAGGCAGAGCGTAGACTGGTAATACGCTTAATAATACGTTTTTAAATTGTAAGACCCAATGAATACGGGGGACAATGCGTATATTATTAAAATTTACATGTTTTTTAAGCAATCAATAATCGCAAATCTCAAAAGTATACATACGTGCATGTATTTTTCTTTTGGGATACCATTTATTGTTTCTATTGAGGGCCTCTCGTATGGTGACATTTTATGTTTAAGAGTACATGCACGGCGTTTTTATTGTCCTTTGTATTATTTAATTTGCAGCTATGTCGCGTGTTTTTCAGTCTGTGAATAAGTATGGCAAAGGATGCATTAAACAATAAAAATGAATAGCTATGTTTTGCTTTCAGTGCAACTCTTTTGCACACATGCCGATAAACAATAGATATGAAAGAGTTTTTAAGAACATTTGCTCACAAAAAATTTTTGACTGAAGAATCATGGCGCTCGACCCAATAAAAGGAGAATTGCGGACCGGTGCAAAACTGAAATGGACGTTCAACTAACCTAAATTAACTGCATTTCATTTCTAAAACCATTCTTTTTAATATTCTTTTTATTTTGCATAGCTAGCCTCATTCTTGTAAAAATATTTTTCAACCATTACTTTGCATTCTCTACGTTTTTTTTAAAAAATGTACTCTTTGATCAACTTTTTTCTAGCACTGGCAGCCGGACTGTCAATGGTGCGTGCCAGCAGCGGCAACCTCCATTTTTACAACTCATTTGTCAAAAGAAACAGCACCAATGACTTGCAGGGATTCAAGGGGGCAATTCTGCTGAAAAACGGAGAGCAGACAACTTGCGAGATAGCGCTAATGCGCAGCACGTACGGTGCGGTATCAGCTAGCTGCCTCGACTACACAGATGACAATGATCAAAGCGTAGATACGAGCACAAACTACGAAGTGGCAATTTCTGCCGGCCTAGTTGGCACATATGGCACCTTCAAGGTCGCAAAGCTAACACCCCATCCGCACTATGACCCAAGCTCTTACGCCAACAACATTGCGGTTATTCAGTTTGACAACGGCGGCCGTGGTGATTTTATAAATTTTATTGCGTCGTGGCGGCCCGATTGGAAGACGCTATACTATGTGCGTCGCACCATGTTTGACGTCGCCAAGGCTGGATGGAACACGCCCGTGACTACCGTATACAACTCGACAGTTGATTCAGGTGACTGCGCAAGAGCATCCGATGTGTTTGCGAGCAACCAGAACAGCTTTTTTTGTAACCAGCTTTCAACGCCCTCCATCTACAACTCAACATGCGCCGTGCCCTATGGATCTATTTATGGCGAAGTCAGTCCAAACCTTGCAATCGCGGCGCTCCACTCCCACAGTGCGTCTACGGTAGCGACGGGTTTTGTGGGACGGCCAAGATATTCAACTATTACACCGTGCTTGCTGACTACATTCACTGGATAATGGGCGTCACGGGCAAGCCAGCCCCCATCTTTCACACAAAAAGCCCCGAGTACAAGGAAATCACCGACAGCAACTATTCAATGGTTATTCCAAGCCGGATTGATACCGAGAAAGTCGGCGTTTACGGCGGCGACATTTACACGGTCAAGCGCAAAGCTGAAACCCCCACAATAAGTCAGTTAATCGAAACCCAAGTAGATAATACAGAATCCTTGCCGCCTACCAGTGTGCCGTCCATGGTCCCCGCTTCGACCAAAACACAATCCAAGCCCGTATTGGCTGTAGTAATTCTGGCTGTAGTCGCCAGTGTCATTGCTGGGTTGGGCTTGGTTGTGTGGCTGATTTTGAGGAAGATGCGTCGAAAAAATATAGCAAAAACTTCTCGGGCGCGCTGGTGGTGGCTTTCCGACCGCAGTAAAATCAACAGTGACAATATAAACATGTACAGCAGACGACCGCTGTCAATTGTGTCTTTTCCTCCTCCCACCCACAGCCGCAGCGAGAGTATCATGGACCTGTCATATTTGCACAAAACCAATTATTATCACTAAGTGTAGCTTTTACAATAGTTTGGACGTGTTTATACTGTAAAAATATAAATGGTAATAGCAGAATAAACATGAACATAAATAAAAATGAGAATGAGAATGTAAATATTATTGAAATTATAAAGATATTGTTGGAATCAGTATTTCGGGTCCTCATATCTACCTTGATAAACTTGATTGTGGTTAGAATAATTATCTGGGCTTAAACCTGACATTCCTGAGAGCGGCAGAAACACTTGAGTTGACATGAGAGAACCATGGCCCGTCGGGGGCTGTTGTATCTGTTGCATTTGCTGCATTTGCTGTAAATACGGGTGCATGTTGGAGCTGTTTATGTAACCAACCTCCGGATTTATAAAGCGAGGATGGGACATTGGCAAGGGTTGGTCCTCGTTGTAGTACTGCTCGTGCAAAGTGTCAGACTTGGACATGGCGATTTTGTGGTTTTCCAGTTTCTTAAAGTTTTTAACAGGAAGGGTGTATTGCGCACGCATAAACGGAGACTCTTCCCTTTTCAACTTGAAGGCAGAAGCAGTAGCAAAAGCAGGAACTAAAGCAGAGGCAGAGGCAGAGGCAGAGGCAGAGGTAAAGGTAGAGGTGGAAGCAGTAGAAATGGCAGTAGTTGGGGTGGGTGCCAAAGCGCGGTATCCAATTTGCTCGCTCAGCATAACTGGTGAGCTGTTGGCGGTCTCAATGGCGGCGTGCTGGATAGTTTGATTGGAAAAATTAGTCATGCACTTGGATATCTCCGGGTTGAGCTCAGGCGTGAGCCCAGAAAAGTTGTCCACAAGCGTGTAAACCGAAGACCTTTTCGGAGAAAAAAGAATGTTTCGTTTTTTCAAAGCCATTGCATTTCTCGGGTTCTGCCCAGCTTTCTTGTCGCTGTTATTGCGAATTCTCTTGTTTGACCTTCCCGGCACGTTTTTAAATCTGCTAGACGTAAGGCTGACCGGGCTGACGTTAGCAGAGTTCAAATTGGATTTGTCGGTCAGAGACTTTACTTGTTTAGTTTTGCTTATTTCGACCAATTCCTTTACGTGCTGGTCAAGGAGCTCGGCTATTTTGGGTGGCGGGGTTTCATGCGTGACAAAACTGGGTATGTTGGTTGTATCCATTGATTCGTGTTTGTCGCAGAGATATGAGTTGACCAGGTTGACCACGCACTTGTCCATGTAGCTGACCATAGCCTTACCGTGCTTTGAAATCATCGCACATATCCAGCGATCAGCCTCAGAGTAGTCGTTTGCAGTGTTGGCCAGCAAAGTAGAGCCCTCCAAGAGTGGTACGCTGTTAGTCTGCTCACACCAGTAGAGCTGCTTGCTGACAGCGTATTTCTGAAGGGCCTTGACTATTGTGTTGTTTTTCGACTCCATGTTGGTTTTCTTTGACCGCTTGATGGTCATCTCGACGAGCTCCTCCGGTGTTGGACGCATGCCCTTGGGTGCCTGGTTCTTGACAAAATATCCAATCTCGTTAAGGTTTTTCAGGGGGACCGTCCACCTGGACCTCGTGTTGATGTGTTTGTTATTCAGTTGGCGCATGGTGAACTTGTTTTTTGTAGCAATCTGAAGGTTACAGAGAAGCTTGAACAAAGACAGGCAGTCCTTTTCGGGACTTGACTCGTTGTCGTGCTCGAGGTAATGAACAATATCGTTTTTTCGAAACTCGTTGAAGCTATAGATGTTGTTGTTTTCAATCTCGTGTTTGAATTTATTCTCGAGGAGCTCGATAAGGTGGATATCGCGGTTATCGAGGTATTGGTGGTTAATGAAGAGCACGCCCCTTTTGATTTTTGTGTAGTTTGCTAGCTCGCAGTAAAACCTGTAGCTGTCCTGTGAGTTCCAGACACCCGGTTTGTCTACGACTATGTGCTGGTTGGCGGTTTTATCATCGATAGTGTCATTGAATGAATTGAAGCTGTTCATTATATGTGTAGTTGAATATAGATATCCTAAAAACTATAATACAAATAATGAATACTAGATTATTATTATAATGTATATGAATTGAAGGTGAAAGTAGGAGAACCGGGTTAATAGGGTAACATTTTTTTTACAATATCATTTACTGGGCACAAGTCACTTTATATATCCAATCTTCCTCTACATGTAGCTTTTGCTCCATTTTTACTTCTCTACTTCTTTTTTGCCTATTTTAAGTACTCTATTCCCAATTTCTTTTTTTCTTTCTTCCTGTCCAATTTTTTATTTTTTATTTCGATATAAAGGGAGGAAAAAAATTCTTGGCAGTATAAAAAGCTATGATTTGATAATAAAGCAAGGGCTGGATTAGCCATTTAAATTGGCTAGCGGTGGAGAAAAATGCATAAAAGCTTGAAATGAAAAATAGATAATAATAAGAGAGCGAAAGAGCGAGAGAATTTGACTAGTATAAAAATATGAAACCCCCAAGATTGTTAGTATTCTTTTTAAACATTTAAAATGTGATTGAGTAAAACTAAAAAATAATATTGTCATAAAAAATTGGCAATGCATAGCCAAGCATGTACAGTATAGCTTAAAAACCCCCAGAGATATTATTGGCGCTGGGCCCGCGTTAATGCACATTGTCAGGCATGTTGGCCATGGCTGTCAAGAATGAAAACTAAATTTCACTAATTAGCACGCCAAAAAAATTATACTATTATTTTTTGGGCAGACAGTTGCAAAAAAATGTGGTCAACCATCTGCCAAGTAAAAGCCAAAGGATTGTTGGTCAGCTAATAGGCAGAGAAAAATGCCTTGGTTTTTGCGTATCGTGTAGCATCCTATCGTTTGGGCGTTGTACCCACATCATTTTATTTTTATTTTGTCACTTTAGCGTTATGCTGTTGTAATCATTTTTTATAAGTGATTTCTGTGTCTCACGTGCTTGTGTCATGCCAAGCAACAGAGATAAGTGACAGTAACATTAGTGAAATAGCAGCGCTAGAGCAGGCCAGCTAACCTACAAGTCATGTATCTGAAATAATAAAATAAAAATAAAAATGGCTAAGCCTCCAGAACAGGTACGACGATCTTCAGCTTTCCGTTGGGCTTGATAAAGGCCTGAGCGCGATTCCTATCATAAGTATCGCGAGGCAAAAAAAAGTTCTTCACAAATACCCTAGACACGCCCACGGGCAAATGGTCAGCAACAGGTACAAAGTGGTTCATATGAGCCTTTTCCTTTGAATTAAATGACGTCGACCTCGTCGAACTGCCAGACGACTGCAAATGCCCAAGCGCCCCACTGTGGGCAAGCGGTTTCCCGCGCTCCCCAATAATAATCATCTGGTCACCAATAAAATCAACGAAAACGCGTTGCCCCGCTTGGGCCACCTTGGGAATAGTGATTTTATACTCGGAGCGCGATGCAAAGTGCGTGTGCTCAGGGAAGTACTCCGTGGGCCGCGGCATCTCGAGATCATCCGGAAGGAACTCGTATTCGGGGTACAGCCGGAAATTCTTCTTCTTGAACCGCTCGTTCGGGTTTGTCGGTTTGGGACAGCTGAGGCAAGGAAGGAATTTGCACCAGGTGCAGCATGGCTCGGCGCGCTTCACCATGCCATCAGGTTTAGTGCCCACTGGGATGGTCGGCCCCACGTGATGGTGGTGATGAGTCGGTGGCGGCAGCGGCTGATGAGGCACAGGTACAACGACAACAGGCGGCGGGCATGGCTGCGGCGGGCATGGTGGCGGTGGACATGGCGTGCAGTGGTTGTCGCATAGCTTTGTCGTAGTCGTCGTAGTCGTAGTTGTTGTTGTTTTCTTGACTTTGCTCTCCTCCTCCCTGCTGCACCCATACGCGGCACCAAACATCGGCTGTGGCCGCGCATGTCCGTCAAAGTGCGACCTCGCATCGGCACGCATTGCCGCCTGCATCCCATTGTGCATTTGTCCGTGGGCATCGAACATCTGCGCAACATTCCCCTCTCTCAGCTGCACATGACCCTGGGGCACTGGCGCCACCTGCGCCGAGCAATCCAACGGTCTGGCGTAAAACGGCTGTTCTGCCTGGTTCCGCGATGGCTGGCGCCATTGATTGTCCGTGGATTTCATCCGCATCATCTCCGAGTCCATATTGGCAAACCCAAAATCAGCATCCCCCACCGTGGTCGTAGCGGATCTCGCCCGCACCCTTCCATTCCCAAACGCAGAGTCCGAAACAGACTCCTCAGTTCTCGCCCGGTACCCGTTATTCCCCTGCTGCACTGCAGCAGACTCTCTCTGATGGCAACATCCATGGCACCCGCATCCCTGGCCCATACCCCGACATACTATGCGGTGCTCGTGGTGGCACATCTCTGCTCCTTTGCGTACATAGTCGTCGCAGATTTCGCAGCCGGCGACGTAGGCGAAATGACGTTGATTCTGCATACTACTGTGGGAGTCTGTTCCGCTGAAGGATGACCGCCGCATGGCTTGTCCGTCATTTTGGCAGAATAAGGGCTTGGGGATGGCTGCGGGGGCAAAGATGCCTGGGTGCTTGTCTTGCTTGAACTCGTTGAGAAACACGTTGCTCGAGCGGCGGTTGAATATATCGTTATGGAAGGTGCTCATCGTGAAAAGAACAAAAATGAGAATAATAAAGGAAAATATAAATAAATACGTAAAAATAAAAATAAAATAAAAAATGAAGAAAAGAATTAAAAAAAGCAACCAATTTTTTTGTCGTTGCTGTCTTTCATCTTTTTAGGGAATGGAGAAACAATTTTTTTATAGCTGCACTATTGCAAAGAAATAAAAATCATCAACAACAATTACTTGTTTTTTATATTTTTGATGGGGGAAGGTAGTGGTTTATGATGCAATGAGTACAGAAAGAACAATCATTGTCACCATTGGCCCTACCCTCCCTCATCTTTCCTAATTAAGTATAGAAAATGAAATGAGCAACCTGACAAGACCTTTTTGAAATGCAAAAGTGAAGCACTCTGGATTTTAAAAAATCTATGCAAGGACAGAAATGATTCAGGTGTAAACAATAAATAAAAAACACTATATTTCGTGATTCAATCACTAATATAACACCAATTAGCTACCAGCCACTATCTCAATAGCGGGACATTCTCCATAAGGCTAAGGAGTGTCAGCTGGATCTTGTATCGCCCAGGGTGTGCACAGTATTGCTTCTTGTAGGTGACTGCAAACAGTATCTGACCATTCAGACCAGCCTCTGTGGATCCGGATCTCACGCACCGACATACTGCTCATGTAGTGGGTGTGAATACTAACCATGTAAGGCTTGTGAGGAGTGTCCGAAATACCACACCCCCTCAAAAAGCCTTTTATCCAGCACACCACTGTGTTTGGCATCGCTGGACCCTTCCCATTCAACTTGAGAAAAACTGGCTCATCTCCCTGCCAGGGAGCATTTTGCCCATGCCAAGCAATGTATATGTGAGATCAATTGCGGCAATGTCACGTGATGGCCTTGATTGTTGATAATTGCGACTCTATGTTGTTATTTGCGGATTCTGATTGTTTAAAGGGGGCTTCTTCATCTCCCTTATAGTGGACTTTTAGGCTTATATTTCAATACATAGTGTGTTGTTATTACAGGTGCCATGTTGTGTGGATCACCAGCAGGACTGCCATACGGAATTCACTGCAGCACACGTCATATTTAGTCCTGCTGGACTCAAACAATACTTGGCCATGAAACTTGCTAGCTCTACTGGAGTATAGTGAAGGGGATTAGAACCCCTGCTTTGGTACCACAAAGCCCATCTGCACCAGGTGCAGGCATAGGCTCAATGGATAGTGTCTGCAATTTTGTGGATGTTGTCCTCAATAATGTTTCTCAGAATATGGTTCTGTAATAATAATACACTATGTATTGAAATATAAGCCTAAAAGTCCACTATAAGGGAGATGAAGAAGCCCCCTTTAAACAATCAGAATCCGCAAATAACAACATAGAGTCGCAATTATCAACAATCAAGGCCATCACGTGACATTGCCGCAATTGATCTCACATATACATTGCTTGGCATGGGCAAAATGCTCCCTGGCAGGGAGATGAGCCAGTTTTTCTCAAGTTGAATGGGAAGGGTCCAGCGATGCCAAACACAGTGGTGTGCTGGATAAAAGGCTTTTTGAGGGGGTGTGGTATTTCGGACACTCCTCACAAGCCTTACATGGTTAGTATTCACACCCACTACATGAGCAGTATGTCGGTGCGTGAGATCCGGATCCACAGAGGCTGGTCTGAATGGTCAGATACTGTTTGCAGTCACCTACAAGAAGCAATACTGTGCACACCCTGGGCGATACAAGATCCAGCTGACACTCCTTAGCCTTATGGAGAATGTCCCGCTATTGAGATAGTGGCTGGTAGCTAATTGGTGTTATATTAGTGATTGAATCACAAAATATATTGTATAGGTTAGCTGAGGCTAGCTATCGAGATAATGGGTACCCATCCACCCACACTTTTAAGCGGCTGTGAGATGAGTTGTTTTGTCAGGGGTAAAGAAGAGACCTCTGATTGATAATATTGTTTGCTTTTCGGATAAGAAAGATAAGATTTGGGCCCTAAATCAGGCGATATGTTACAAAGGGTAAAAATCAAAAGGGATATTTATTTCTTCCAAGAAGAATAATTCCTGGCTGCCCGACAACCATTCCTTATATGCTCTCCCTGGCATATAAACAAGTTAATAATAACTTATCATCATTACTTAATTGCTACGTGCGTAATCAATTAATCTCAGTAAAGCAACATGCAAAGCCATGTGCCTTAACTGGGACATATACCTACTATCTCGATAGTTAACCTCAACTAACCTATACATAAATAGAGGGTCTGTAAATCAGATCAGTATGATTGTAATTAAGTGGACCCATTTCATTTTTCCTGACGTGACGTCAATTCCAAATATATGATTTTGGAATTTTGGTGGCTTTTTTGTTTTGTTTTTTTGCATTTTCGGGAATAGAGCTTCTATTTTATGCAACCTTCAATTTTTTGGCTTATTGTTTATTGTTTATTGTTTATTTGTGGCGGATCTGATCATTCATTCAATCAATCAATCAATTATTTATTCGTTTATTTAAGCAGCATTTGGTTGTTTGTTTCAATAATCAGAGGGTTTGACGAAAAATGAACAATATCATGGGGGTTAGTGTAACAAGTAAGCAAAAAAGATTACTAATGTTTTTTGTCTGTGTATGCTTGAATGGATGAATGAAAATTTTATATTATTTTGGAACAAATTAAATGGAAAATTGGAAAACACCGAACGCCTACCAAACAACACCCTGTCTGTGCGTACTTGGCGCAACATTGCGGAAAAAGTAAAAGTAAAAGAAGAGAAAAAAGGAATATTGCGGATTGAAGACACCAAGTCCGCTCTATATTTTTTCCGCCTTTTTCTTCTCAAGCACAGCCGTTCGATTCAATTCAATTCAATTCAATTCAATTCAATTCAATTCAATTCAATTCAATTCAATTCAATTCAATTCAATTCATTTTATTTTAATTCAATTTATTTATTTATTAACTTTATTAGTATGACACATGTCCTTGCTACAGCGACACAGGCAATGGCAGCGGTCACAAGCACGGTAGGGGCGTCACTCGTAGCCGCCGCAGCCACCACAGCCGCACACATGCTCCAGCGGCGCGACGACGACGACGACGATACGTCAACACTCAGCGAAATCAACATTGACGCAACGTTCCTGTTCGACTGGGGCAATGCACCAGGCACCGGGCCATACTTCTCAGCCAACAACATCGACGCAGCAACGCAAATAACATCAGCAGCAATGATGGGCAGCATCTGCCTCCTGGTATTCTCCTGGCTACGCTACCGCACCCCCGAGCTATACTCACACCGCCTGCGGCTGCGGCTCATGCGGCCACCAAATATTCCACACACGCTGTTCGGGTGGGTATACCCATTGGTGACAATGAGCGACCGCCACGTTCTGGAGACCATCGGATTGGACGCATTACTGTACTTCCGCGCCTACCGTATGTTCATCTACATGTTCGCGTGGATGTCCGCCTTTGGCATGGCTGTACTCTACCCGGTCAACTACTTATGGGGCCGCGAGCAGCCGGACAACCTGCCCCACACGGTCTTTGACTCGCCACTGGCGCACGTCGCCGACCTCGGTGGCCGGTACTCCGCCGCCCACGTCGTGGGCGCATACGTGTTCGCCCTCATGCTGTTCTTCCACATCGACCGCTTCGCCCTGCACACGATCTCCATGCGCTGGCACTTTCTGCTTCTAACGCGCCGGTCGGCCACCGCGCGCACCCTACTGGTAACCCATTTGCCGCGCGAACTCCGCTCCGAGCCAGCACTGCACCGCTTTATCGCTGGCATGCAAATCGGCCCAGTCGGCTGCGTACAATTGGCGCCGGCAGACGGCAAACTGGACGATGCGCTGCAGCAACGGATGCGTGCGCTGGTCAGGCTAGAGCAGGCATACGCCAAAGTGCTCGGCAACCCTTGCCGCGCTCGCTCGTACGACCCTGAGCTGCTCAAGCGCCTGGCTTTGACCGACTCGCCTGAGGCCCGTGCGCTGGAGGAGCAGCTGCTGCGTCGCTGGGCGCGCCGATCATGCCGCCGCACGTGCAGCCGCCGCCGCCACTGGCCCAGAGGCAGCGCCAATGGGGGGGAGGATGAGGGAGATGGAGATCGTGGAAGCCCGGTGGGCCGGCCGCGCACCATGGTGTTTTCGGGATGGACCGTCCGGCGCGTCGACGCCATTGACCACTGGCGCCAGCAGCTGGCGGCCGCCGACCGGCAGCTCAGCCAAGCCCAGAAGCAGCAACAGCCTGATCTCACCACCGGCAGCAGTGGCAGGGGTACCGTCGCCTTTGTCACGATGCAGCGATCCATTGACGCACACATCCTCAGCCAACTCAGCGTCCACGCACGACCCAACACTTGCAAGCTGCGAATGGCGCCAGAGCCGCGGTCAATCGTCTGGCACAACGCTGGCAAACCCTACTCCAAGAAAATGCTGCGATACTGGGCGGGCCTCCTCATGACCCTCGCACTGCTCCTGCTCTGGTGCGTCCCCGTAGTGCTGATATCCACTCTGATCTCGCTGCGCTTTCTGGTGACGCGGTTCCCTGGCCTTGCCGCTGCTGTGCGCGCGAGCAAGTTTGTGCGCTCGCTGCTCAGCTACACGCTTCCGTCGCTGATCCTGACAATCTTCATGACAGTCCTTCCGCGCCTGCTCTGGGGCTTTGTCCTTGCTGGCGGTGATCGGGCATTTGCTGTTGCCGATAAAAACATGTTCATCCGGCATCTTTACTTCCTCGTAATCTATATTGTCATCATCTTCGGCATGTCCGGATCCGTCTGGTCATCGGTCTACCGCATGTTCACTGATTTCGGCGGCTTTTGGAAGCAGCTCGTGCGCGCACTGCCGCAGATGGCCACTTGGTACTGCGTCTATGTTATGCTCTATGGTGCCGGGTACCAGGTGATGAAGCTCTTGCATCTCAAATCCGTCTGCCGCTACTTATTCCTCCAGGCACGTGCCCGTACGCCCAGAGACTATATGCGCGCCATCTCCCCTGTGTTCATCGACTGGGGCACATTCCAACCCTACACCGTGCTATTCTTCTTCATCGGCATTCTCTACGCGCAGCTCCAGCCTTTGCTCTTGCCAATGACCACCCTGTACTACGTCGTTGGCCTGTTTGTCATGAAGTACATGTGCGTGTACGCCTGGTACTTCCGCCAACAAATGGCTGGCTCCTTGTGGCCGATGATCGTGCGTCGTATGGTTGTGTGCATTATGGCGTATCAGGCTCTGACCACGGCTATTTTTGCCTCTAACAGTAACCATTGGTTTGTCGCTCCGATGATGGTGCCGATGCTGTTTACGTGGTATTACTTTTGGGTTAGGTGCCGGTACTTGAAGGAGCTGGCGCTGTCGCCGCCGCTGCAGCTGATGCAGGAGGCGGAGAGGAGACGGGGGGTGGGTTTGGCCGCAGAGAAGAAGAAAAGCGAGGAGCAGGGAGGGCGCAGCAGCGCTAGCCATGTCAGCCTGAGTGACCTCACAAATCCCAGCATTGATACCAGGTCCAAGCCCACGCCACCATTGCCACCACAGCCGGTGTCGCCCACTAACAGCGATCAAGTGTTGATAGCTAAGCCACAGATCACCCATCATTTCTCTCCCCCCCGGCTGCTCGCAGCCCTGCGCACTGCGCTGCTCCATCCGATCCAAGCGCTCATCAGCACCGTCTCCTTCTCCCTTGTCTGGCTCGAAGGCGACCCGGCCGAGCCTCTCTGGGCATTCATCGACGACTATGCGTTCCCCGAACGCGTCGACCCACAGGCCACCCAGCATCCGGCTGGCGGCTCTTCTGAGGGTCCTAATATGCCGAAGGAGCAGCCGGGATCGCTTGTGGAGATCTTTACGGATGCTGCTAAGGGACTGCCCCGGGGGTTGAGGAATATTGCTCACGAGATGTTTGTTAGATTCGAGATTCCACGTGCGCAGCTGGATTGCTCAGAGGTCACGCATCCGGCGGCTGCAAATGTGGAGAGCGCGGATGACTATACGGCGAGGGAGGCTGAGCGCAGGAGGAGGAGGAAGCAGAGGGAGGACAGCGATGAGGTTGGTAAGGAGTCGGGAGATACTCGGGTCGTGCCGACTTCCATGACCCACTCAACATCCGACGCTGCATCACTGCTGCTGGACCAGCAGAAGAGTAACCCCCCACCACCAGATAGCGCCCAACAGCACAGCATCAACACGGACTTTAGTCTTGCGCCAGCCACCAGTCCCACCGATCCACTACCAACCTACCCACCGACCAGCAACCTCCACACTCTCCAACAAACACAGTCGCAGCAGCTGCAGCAGTACCAGCAGTACCAAATGCACAGCAGCGAGCTCCCCTACGGCACCCAAATGAACCGCAAATACACGGATTTCGCCCAACCAAACAGCTCCTTCGCCGCAGGTATTCTGGACTCTACCAACTTTACTTACCAACACCCGGGATTCCACGGAAACCTCCCCTCGTTGTGGCTGCCGGTACAGCAGTTGCGGAAACGCGTGGAACTGCGGAAAACAACTAGACAGAGGATCCGCCAGGCACGCTGGGCTGTGGAGGACCTGGTCGAGGATAATATATTGGGCGAACGTGCAGCAGAGAAAATACACCAGACTGGGATGAACCTCAGACAACGGATGCGCAAGGATCCAGCGGATACGCAGAATTCATCCCAAAAGGCTGAGGAAACCAAAAGCTCGTCGGAATCAGTGCCTTTTGCGCCTGCGCCGGAGAATATTTCCTTACAGGACGTGCACCGTAGGATGGATAATCTGCGTGTTGAACGGAATTGCTCTTTGCTGGGGATTGATCCCAAAGTAATGCGCTTGTGGGATCCAACGGGTTTGCATCGCGGATGTGCGGTGCCTGAGAGTTTAGACAGCTCAATGAGGGATACTACTGATGGTAGTGCGATGGCTGAAGAGCAAGCGGAGGAGATGCTGCACGAAGAGGAGAGTGGAAGTGAGTCGGATAATACTGATGGTGGTGAAATCTCATTACACAGAGTATAGTCTTTTCTTTCTTTTATCATTATTATGTAATTAATGTATTGCTTAGTAATTATATTTAATTGCAATAATTATAGATATTGCGCCACTTTAAAATATAACAAAAGTCGGGGGCTGTTGCTGCTTTGTAGAGAAGAGGCGGTGGTGTAGTGAACATGTATTGTTTGTTTGCAACTTTTTGTTATAATTTGTTTTTGTTAAAATCAAAAATTGTTCATCTCATTTAGAAAAATACAAATCCGCTCCATCCACCAAAAAATTTGCTTTCTATAAATTCAACTATTTTTTCTCTCATATTTTTCAATAAAATTTATTTTGTTTCCTTTTTTTGCTTTTTTTGCTGTTGTCACAGGCAAACTGTCTTTTGTCGTGCTCTATAAAAATGTGGGTCTAAATCGATATATTCAAGTCTTTTAAAAATCACTTACTTAACTGAAAAAGGGGGCAGCGCTGTGTGGGCAGCGCTGTAAACATCATGGTGTTCCTTGATGTCAGCCAGCAATAACAGAAATGTGTATAGTGGCCATGAGGGCAATCTTGATTCTTGAAAAGGGAAGATAGTGGCTTGAAATGTGTGTTGGGCACCACATCACTCCCTACGAGACTGGTCGCTAATCTTGTCCCAGTACTCCTGAATCAGATCCAGTGAGTCAAAGTTGCTTGTCGGCTCCCAGGTGCTGTCGCCATCAAGCCAGTCAACTAAGTAGCGGATACCACCACGTGTGTTCTTGTGCCTGGTGATAGCTAACACCTCGGCATGAGTCTCATCAAAGTCGGGTGCTGATGCAAGAGGAATAAGCTGTGACGTCGTATAATTGCGCGGCAGTGGTTCACGTGTCATATCCTCCAATTTGTAGGTGCCAGGTGCTATTATAGCGACAATGCAGTAAGGACCAGTATGCTTGGCCTCAAGTTTGTGCATGCGCTCGCCACGGATAAGGACTGCTGCTCCAACCTCAAACTCCATTATCTTGTGCCTGTTCTTGAATCGTGCAGTTTGCTTGTCATTGGTGACAGCTGTGCGCTGTGCCACTGTTGTAAAGAGAGTGCCTCGCATGCTGAGTGCACGTTCACGTAGCTGCTCGATCTGTTCAGTGGTTGCCTCCACATCCAGCAGCTCTTCGTCAGTGTGGTCGGCAAGCATGTTTGGCTCACGCCCAAACATGGCAAAGAAAGGTGTAAAGCCATGACGTGCAGAAATCTTGGTGTTCATTGCATATTGTGCGAAAGGAACACAGCGGTCCCATGTCGCCTTGCGTCCTGCCACTAGCTTGCTGATAACCTGGCTGGCCGTCTGCACTGTACGCTCAGCAGCACCATTGGCACGTGGATGGTATGCTGTAATCAGACGATGGTCGATGCCAGATGCTTGTGTAAGGTGCTTGGCAATTCGGTTAACAAACTCGCCACCATTGTCTGACTGAATGATCTTGGGGAAGCCAAAATTGCCGAAAATGCGCGTCCAGAGTGCTGCAATGGTCTTAGCTTGCTTGTCTGGGATAGCCTCTAAATACACAAATCGTGTGTGAATGTCAATCAACACATGTAGGTAATTGTTGCCATTGCTGGATGTCGGGAATGGTCCTGCCAGGTCGACGGCAACATGTTGGAATGGTGTATCCGACGAAATGGTCTGCAGTTGATGGTGCACAACTGGTGTGTTGTTGTGCCTCTGACAGACAACACAAGTGGCAATGTAGTTGGCAATATCCTTGCGCATACCTGGCCAAGTGTGACCAGCAGCATGTAATGCACCTGCGACAGCTTTAATGACAAAGTGCCCCTGCAGGTGTTGCTTCTTGACCAGGTTGATGCGCTGGGTGGGGTCATCGATTAATACTTGCAAGGCATGCGCGGCTGCAACCGGCATGTCTTCACCCCCCACAAGTGCATTGTACACACGAGAGAGATGGTCAGGGAGGATGTTGTCAACTCCTGGGCGATGCACAACTGCAAAATCGTAGGATGAAAGCTCCTCAAACCAGCCGATCAACATGGCATTCAGATGATCCTGGGAGTGCATGTAGGTCAGCGCCTTGTGATCTGTAAAAAGTGTGAAGTGCCGACCGTAAAGGTATTGATGGAAGCTGCGTAGTGCATAGACAATTCCCAGCAGCTCGCGCTTGGTAGCTGAATAATTACGCTCAGCGCGGTTGAGCGAACGTGAGACACATGAGAGATAATGATGAACACCATTTGCATCCACCTGGTAGAGCACTGCACCGATGCCAGTGTTGGACGCATCTGTTGCCACTTGGAAAGGCAGATCATCATTAGGGAATGACAGTGAAAGCGCATGTGCAATGGCCTGTTGCAGATCACCCAGTGCTTCTGTGTGCCTATCCGTCCAGGCTGCAGTGAGGTTGTCTGCATTGCGAAGTGCATCGAGTGGTGCTGTGACCATGGACATAATTGGTATATGCTCGCGCAGGTAGTTTGCAACACCCAGGATATGCTGAAGCTCCTTAATCGTGTGTGGGATGGTCCATGATTCCACCTGCACTAGGCGCTCTGGATCCATTTGTTTGCCGCTTGGTGTGATCATGAAACCCAACAGCCGAATACGTGCTGACATAAAATGACACTTGCCAGGATTCACAACAAGGCAGTTTGCCGTGAGAATTTGCAGCACCTGCACAACATGTTTTCTGTGCTCCTCAACTGACCGTGAGTAGATGACAATGTCGTCGATGTAGCAGAGCGCGAATGGCATGCGCCCAAAGAGTTGCTGCATCACACGTTGGAAAACTGATGGCAGTGTCTTCAGACCAAATGGTGCCCGGCGGAACACATACTGTGTGTTATTCCATGTAAACGCCGTTTTGTACTGGTCCTCTGGCGCTATGGGAAACCGGTGGAATGCTGACTTGAGGTCGATTGTCGAAAAGACGGTTGCACCTGCAAGCGCGGCAAAGATGTCGCTGATCAGCGGGATGGGATAAAGATCTGGCTCCAATATAGCATTCAGCTGCCTAAAATCATGGCAAATTCGATGGAGTGTTTTATTACCGCTGGCATCCTTCTTCGGAATTGGGAACATCGGTGTGTTGAACACCGACAGCATTGGCGCCGTCTCAATAGTGCCTGTCTCGAGCCACTCGGTGATCTGTGCGTCAACAACAGGGCGTGCTGCATTGGCCAAAGGGTACTGTCGTTTGAATACAGTCTTCCCCGGCTGTGTGGGCAGGCGCACAAGTGCCTCTGGAACTGGACAGGCTGCGTCCGCCGGAGTAGCTTGATTCGCAGCAAGCAGCGGCTCAATCACAGTCATTAATTTTGCACGTGGACCGTCAAAAGTGGTGTCGCACTCATCGTGTATGAGTGATGGTATTGGCGTCTCCATAATCACTGTTGGTGCAAAGGCGTCAACGAGCTTGAAAGGCACATTGGCCAACTGTATACCAATCCGTGCAAACAGCGGGCGTCCAATGGTGATCTGGTATTTCGCGCTTGAAGGGGCAACAAAGCATGAAACCATCTCATCCATTTGGCCACACTGCAGGCGCAGTGGCACCGTCATCCTGTCGACCAGGGATGGCTTCTCGCCAAAACCGGTGACCTGTAGCATGGCTGGTAGGGTTGCGATCCCATGGTGTGCTACAAACTCTTGGCAGAGGAGCACTGTGTCAGCCCCACTGTCAATCAACGCCATCGCGACCTGCCCGTCGATGTACAACGGTGCTAGAGGTGGATCGGCGTCCACCGGTGGCTGATTAGCCCCGGTTACATGCGTCAACCTGACATTGGCTGACTGCACTTTCGTCGGGCATCTGGATGCAAAATGTCCGACCTGGTGACACTTGAAGCAGGTCACACTTGTTGAGCCGTTAGTCATGGCTCCACCCGTCGTGGGCTTGGTTGTCGACACTGTCGCTACTTGCTGCTTCTGAGCATTGCAATCAGTGGAATTGTGTGTATGTGAGCGATGGAATTCACACCATTTGTTGGTTGCCTCCTTGCTCTTGCTGGCATTATTGCCATTACTGGCCCGGCCTACTGCACCACTAGCTCGGTTAGCAGTCTTGGTGTAGGGCATGTGTGCCACTCGTGCAGACTCAAGGAAAGACAGGAGGTCTCTTGGTGTGTACTCCACCTCTGGCAGGTGAAGTTCGACATAGTCCTGAACCTCGGCGGGCAGTTTCCCCAGCATCGTCCAAAACATAAATTCAACCTCGGAACCCTTTGCCATGAAGCGGCGGTGTAGTACCAGCTGGCGCTTCATGCACTGGAGGGGCGTTTCACCCTCATCAATCGTCAGTTCGCTGAGCTGGCGTGCCTGCCTGGCACGATACTGAATACCCAGGTAGTGTACTTCTATCTTACCACGGGCTATGTCCCAGTCATCGATCTTGCTACAGTGGTCGGTGAAGAATTCAAGCAGTTCACCGCCGACATTAACCATAAAGTGCCCACCCCATTCTCCAGGGCCCATCTTAATGGCATTGAGCGCATTTTCGAAATGCACAAGGAAATCGGCAAGCTCCATCATCGACTTGTCATTCACACCAAATGTGGGGAACACAATCTTAGGTTGGCTTCGAGGGAGTGCTGACTCAGTGGGGGGCTGCTACGGCTTGGTTCACTAGGGAGGAACAATGGGTGTACTTTCTTGTAGTTAAGGTAAATTTCCACTTGCTCCTCAACCTTCTCGCGCGACCTAATCGTCGTCGTAAAACAGTCCATTAGGTCTGCAATCTCGTCTGGGTTGGTTTGCATCAGGCTCTCGACCAGCCTGGTTCGCTGAACACGTCTCCACCATACCTGCAGGAAGTTGTCCATTACGCGGTAAATATCTTCGTCGTTGTACGCGTCATAATTCCCTTGAAGTATCGGATCCTCAAAGACGGTAAATGCAGTAAAGTTGTCTTCCAGGCCCAGGTTGTAGGGGAGTCCTGGAGAGCGGCGTCTAAGTGCCATAGTTTCTGGTGTTGTTTTCTTTATAGATGATGAGTGGCACGTCTGCCGAAATATAAACTTGCAAGTTTTGAAATAAAATAAAATAAAATTGGTTTTTACACCTCACAAAAAAAAATATGTCGTGCTCTATAAAAATGTGGGTCTAAATCGATATATTCAAGTCTTTTAAAAATCACTTACTTAACTGAAAAAGGGGGCAGCGCTGTGTGGGCAGCGCTGTAAACATCATGGTGTTCCTTGATGTCAGCCAGCAATAACAGAAATGTGTATAGTGGCCATGAGGGCAATCTTGATTCTTGAAAAGGGAAGATAGTGGCTTGAAATGTGTGTTGGGCACCACATCTTTTGCATCTTTCATTTTGGCCGAAGTTCCTGAACCTACCAGAGTCACTACCAACAGCTCTGCAAACAGCCCCGATAGAAACTCTGGCAAATAGTCCTGTCATAATTTGCTTAGAAGATGCCATTCATATAGATCACCGTTAATACTAGATATAATGTGTATTGAAATATTGTGAATTGTAAACAATATACATTTTTTTAGACAGCAACACCGAGTCAATAAAACAAAAGTTTTAAATACTGCTAATTAAATAAATAAGAAAAACACGAGATGTAGACGCCACAAAGCCCAAGTTTTGTCACGTAAGCATCACCCTGGAATAAGAGCAAAACAACTTTTTTGGGGCCAGGATGGATATATTTATTAAAACATTTATGTGGGCTCGGATTGAATGAAAATTGAATATTATTGCTGAACGAATTAAGTAAAAAAACATGAATACACTGAACGAATACCCAAACGACACCCTCTTGTGGAGACCAAATATAAACCTATGAGCCTAGACGAGTTATTTTAAAAATTATCTAGCCCCAGCAATGCGAATGGCGGGTCCAGTGCTGCCTTGCGACTGCTCCTTTTCCACCCATTCAACAAAGTTAAACCTCCAGAATTGGGCGAGATTAAAGGCAGCCACTGGTAATAATTCTTATCTCCAGAGCCATGATGACAAGCGCCACTGCTCTAAAGTTTAAGAGGTTATCTCCCCACTGCCGCGCTATATGGGGGTACGGCTGCTGCCCTCGCATCTCTGCTGCGATCTGTTGTCTGTGGCTGTCACATACACCAACACCTCCTCTTGGGCGTAATCTCTGCATTAATGTGGGCTTGGGTTGTTATTTTGTACTTTGTACTTTGTAAATAAAAGAATATAGAGTTTATAGTAAAGGTAAAAAAGCTGACTGCATTCTATGCTAAGCAAGCAAAAATAAAAATAGAAAATAGAAAAGCCGATTTCATTTATAATATAACTAATGTGATAGTAAGAGGAGGGAAATGTAACCAAATTAAAATATACATGCCTCAAAATAGTTTTGTTCCTTTTACTCTTATCCACTTTTTAATTATTATTATTATTATTATTTAGTTGACCATATATTTAAGATATTTTATACACAAGCTTTATAACATATTATTAATCGCATGGCAATACCTGCCTTTCTCTATGCCCACGCGGACGTAATGCTAGACGCACCGGTGACTGAAGCCTCCGCTTACCAACTAACGCGTTCTGTTTTTTTTCCTGGTGCAAGCTGCCATCAAACAGGCTGTTCGGTGCAGTTTGTTTGGCAAACTTTGCGTTCTTATTAAACAATTTCAACAGTCAGTCAACGGAATCGATTACAGCGTTGGCAGCCGTTTTCTTTCTGACTGGGTTCTTGCTTGCGACCCAGTCCAACATGTATAAAAACTAGCAATTTTGTATGTTCCATTATGCATGCCACACGCGCCTATCGAACAAGCCAGTACTTAAGCAACCACCCTCTGTCTGCCACCATCTTGAGCATAGCCCTATAGATGTACTCTGCGTGGTGTGTGCTTGGTCAACCTGTTCGAAAATCAATACAAGGTTTTGTAAGCAATTTATTCATGCTCAAAGGGTTCAGGTTGCTTAGACCATTGCACCAGCGCCAGCTAACCAATGAAGAGTTTGTTGATTCGGAGCAACAAGCCGTTCTCCTTTCTCAATTTGACGACAATCGATTGGACCCAACTAAAAAGTAAGTAAAATTCACTCTTCAAATTCACACCATCCCAATCCAACTTATTTACAACAAATACCAGGCACTAAAAACCAATTTTACAATAATTCTTATTCAATTTCAATCAACATAGGTTTTTCATTCTGTGCTATTTGCTTGCGACCGAGTGGAAGGGGCCGGCACTGAATGTCTTTGGCAGAGCCCTCCCTGGGGTTTTAGATACGAGGCGCCGCATGATATATATAACCATTCTCCCTATAATCGGAATCAAAGGCTTTCTTAACTATCAAAAGCTGGCCATTTTGGTTATTATTTGGATAAGCCTTACCATCCTGCCTATATTCAACCAATATATTGATTCGCTAAACTCATGTATTGTGCAAAAAGTTGGGAGAATGGTGTTAATGAAAATACTGAATGGATCTATTAATATTCATTTCAGACGAATCAATGCTAATATGGTAGATTTGTATTTGCAAGGTGTCATAAGGATATACGTCGACACAATACAAGCAATTGGACAAACATTATGTAAACCAGCCAGTATTTGGATAATGACTGAGCAAATAGGTTGACCTTTTGTTATTCCAATAATTACCACTGCTGCAAAGTCATGACAACATGTGGATCTAGGTTAAAAACCGCAATTCAAGTATAAAAACAGACTAGAGAATGCACCCAAATTTTACGAACAACCAACCAGTGCCATTAAAAACCTGCGAGCAATCAAATTTTACGCCTGGGACAAACTATTCAAAGACAATGTCAAAGACAAGTCACATACAGGATTCATTATGCCTATGGAATGGCAAATTGCAGGGATTCTTGTCGACATCTTAAGCTGTGCCACATCACATATAACCTCTGAAATAACGCTGCTGGCATACCTTGAGAGATCCAAAGACGTTGTAACTTATTCAGATATTGCTCTGCTCTTAATCTGTATTAAATTGCTTCCTTTATTTATAGAAAGATGAAAGAACAAATATTTTCTTTGAAAAAGCTGAAAGATAATATTCATTATATTGAAAACCTGATCAAGCCGGAGAATAATCGCTATACGGAAATTTACAGCAAACCTGCAACCAACCCATCTGTTGTAAAGCTCACAAACTGCCTGTTCAGCTGGGGCAGCGACAAGTTTACATTTAATCCAATATTAATGCGCATAGAGGCCGGCGAGTTTGTCACTGTTGTTGGAGGGATTGGCAGCGACAAGTCGTCACTTCTTTCTGGCTTGTGTGGTGAAATACCCATTGCCAGCGGCCAAAGCTCTGTGCGCGGCAGCATTGTATATCTCTGCCAAGAGGCTTTTGTAATCAATGTCATGTTCCGCAAAAATGTACTTATGGGGGCTAAATACAAATAAAAAACATTTTAATCGGGTGATCGAGGACAGTGCTTTAACAGGGGATGTCACGCATCTTCCGGCTGGCGATATGACCAAAATTGGCCGCAACAGCATCAATCTGTCGGGCGGACAAAAGGCTTGGGTGGCTTTAACGAGTAACCAAAATAAAAAAGTGTAATACTAAAGAGAAAAGATACCTGAGCCATTATGCTCTTAAACTAAACTCTATGCTTTTTGGGAGGTTGTTATAGGGCGCTGCATTTCCAAGCAGATGTGTACATCTTTGACGACTTGCTCTCGGCCGTCGACGTGCAGGTTGAGCGGTATATTGTTGAGAATGTGCTGATTAGTGGTGCTATAATAAGCAGCAAGACGCGCGCTCTGGTTACTAACGCCGAAGACCTGGTTCCGTTTAGTGTTAAAATTGTTACGCTTGTGGATGGCCACGCTAAAGTTGTCGAGCAGACACCCGCATAGTCTGTAGCAACCAGTGTGGCAGATTCCAAAGAATTAAAAATTTTAGGGGCATCTAACACATTAGAAACTGAAACTAACAATTTGGATAAGGTTAAAGTTAATAAGGGCACGTTCACATTCCGCCCAGAGGTCAAAAACTCTGGTTTAAAAATATTACATGTAATATTTTTAAACCAGTGGTTATTTAATTGTAGCTTTAATCATTGCATTAAAAGTGTATTGGTTGATGGGGCTATCTATTGGTTGATGGCGATCAATTGATTAACCAGTCTTGGCTGTTTAGCCATACAAACAATAAGTCACACAGTGACCAGAGCAATATGCTCTCTTCTCTTTGCCTTTCACAGTGCATAGCACTTAGTTATTAAATATACTTTATAGCATTATACTTTACCTATACGTTCATAGAAATTCCTATATTCCAACAAAGCGTTCAACTCTTACGCACTGTACTATATCGAGAGCTGGAAGCTTAACTTAATGACAGATAAAAACTCAGTGACTGTGCTTTCATTGCTGAAAAAGTATCTGATCATCAATGTATTTGTTGAAATAACCCGATCACAGATTGACGATATTGAAAGTTGGGCAACCAAAAAATATTGGACGGGTAGTTTGTCGCAAAAATTGAAAAAGCTCCTAATTAATAGCATCCTGTTTATGCCCTTGGAAACTTCCGAGCGGCTTTCTGCATTAGCAATATTAGAGGTGTACAATGACTATGTTGGCTTAATAAGTTATTAGACATATATTTTGTCACTTTGCTATGTAATTTTAGCAATAGTTACAATTGTGCAAATGGCTCAATTGGCACCACAATTGATTATAGTGTTTGAGTTTTTTTTGCATTTTTCTCAACTATAACAAGTGAGCTAAAGTTCGCGCTTGACAAAAATATTAAACAATTACTAAAAGATAATGAGGTTTTCGGAAATTGGGTCAGATTTGCATTCATAATTGATAGCCGACAATATCAGCGCATACATAATGTATCAGCCAGATTCATTTCCAGTTACAAAACTCATAGCGCTAATAATTTGCTAATTTTGCAAAGCCAGTTTGTAGTACATTCTATGGATGTTTTATTAATATTGATGTGTCGCGATATATCTGCCACTATAATTCTGCTATTCAATATCTGGCTTAGAATATACGCGAAAACTACTGTGAAACAGGGCCATATGGACACAACCACTTTTCTAATTTACAGGCTTGATGCGTGTCTGAACAGGTTCTTCAAATTTAAAGTTTATGAAAATTTCTTTGCCAGCACTTTATTGCCATTTTATATTTATATTGATAATCTAAATCGCGAGGCACCATCTATAATTGAGGATTCAAGGCCAGAACCCAGTTGGCCGCAGAATGCAACGATTGAGTTCCGTAATTACAATATGTACTACCGCTCATATTTGGAAATGGTCATCAGGGACCTTACATTCACTGTTGGTAAAAACGAGAGGATTGGCATTGTAGGCCACACAGGTGCAGGCAAGAGCTCGGTCCCATACGCACTGGTGGGCTTGGCTGAACCGGCTAGCGGCCAAAGCATCATCGACGGTGTTGTCATTTCGACCATCGGACTGCAGGACCTCCGGTCGCACATTGCCATCATCCCAGAAGATCCAGTGTTGTTTGAAGGAGTCATCCCCAATAACCTTAATACAGCCAACAAGCATACTGACAACGAGGTTTGGGCAGCTATTAACGCGGACCAAATCAGCAATATTCTCTATACTCCGACAGAAAAGTACGTCAGGCCTTTGGATAAAGATGATTTTTCGAAGAGACCATGGATCGAGGGCATTGGGTTAAACAAATGGGTCAAAAATGGTGGTAACAATTTTAGCGTCGGCTAGCGGCAGCTCATCTGTCTTTGCAGGACTCTGCTTTGGCGGCGCAAGATTATCCTTCTGGATGAAACAACGGTCAATATGGGTACCAAAACCGACCAAATCATGCAAGATGTCGTCCGCCACGAGTTCAAGGAATGCACCATGCTAACCATTGCACATTGTCTGGGCACTATAATGAACAGCGACCGAATTCTGGTGATGGACTACGGCCAGATAGCAGAGTTCGACACGCCCGGCAATATATTTACTGACAAGAACAGCTATTTCTTGCAGTTGGTCAAGAGCGTGGAACTCAACCATGGTGTGTAGAAATGTTTGAATTAATTGTATTTACTAGTATACCCCATTGAACATATTGTATCCAAAAACTAAAAGTATAGAGTGAATTAAATTTATACTAAGTACTCGCAAAGAAAAGGGCAACTGATGGGCATTGTGCTACAAAGGAAATGTGTGCCCAACATACAAAGACTCACAGCCATAAAAGGGGCAAAACAAAAGCATTTATTAGTTATTTTCTTCTCTTTTCTTAGTTTTTACGGAATAGAAGTTTAGTATATTTATTGAATTCATTCTTTAACAATGTACGAGTAGAATCAAAATGATATTTCTTATTTGCAATGCAATTTCTGGGTCCCACTTGTAGCCATGTCGCTATTGGCGAGCAATTGGAAAAAGTTGAGCGTGTGGCGCCAAGGACCCCACATATTTTTCTCTACTAGAAAATATCTTCAGCTCCCCTTCAGTATTTTTCACTACTTTTTGTGTATTCCATTGTTCACTCATTCTCTTCCAATAACAAGTGTAAAATAAATAACGATTACGCAACCTTTTTCTTTAAAAAGGGATTCCTTTATAAAGAAAAAATAGACTTTGTACAAAATAAGAGAATAAAAAAGAAAATCCTTACTAAAATTATTTTTCTATTCCGTGTTTCTTCCGTGCTTTTTCTTTACATTTATAAAAAACAGCACCATTGCGTTTAACGCAATGGTGCCAAGCACCGCCCTTGATAGCTTTTATAAAAAGCTTTCTGGTCAACCACAATTAATTAAAAGGCGTAAGAATAAAACAAAAACGATGTTTTCACATTTGTTAGACATTATGAATGACAAGTTTGATTCATGTATTCTTTTTTCTCTATTGCAAATACCATATATTTATTTATTCTGCACTTTTATTACATATATAGAATTCATTTTTTAAATTACAGCATTAGTTATGACAGCGCTCACTCGTTTTTTTTCCCCAGCTGACTGGCCGTTAGAAATTCTGTCTAAAATTGCAGCCCATTTAATTGAGACCGATGCCTGCCCCAACTCGGCAACAACTTACAAGCCAAAATTCTCAGCCGGCACTCGGTGCACACAGGCTGAAGCTGCAGCGGGCATGCTCGGTACCTGTACAACATGGTCGCAGAGCGTCCACCGCGAGCTCTCCAAACATATTTGCCTCAGCCTGAGCACCCAGCGCAACAGGCACACATTAGAAAATATTAGGAACGTGCACCTCGCACGCAAGGTCAACATTGAAATTCTGGTTAACGACATTATTAACGGCGCCTTTATTGGCAAACACACTGTTGATATGGAGTTTGACCGCGTAGAACACTTGGAGCTTTGCATTACACAGGAGGAGCCCAGGCCCACTGTGCGCAATGAGAGTGACTGGCTTTTGAGACGCCAGCAGACAAAACCATTTATAGCGCTCATTATAAAAATGTTTCCAAATATTCACACTCTATCCATGCGTAGCAACCCAAATCGGTCCATTTTATGGGCCGAGGCTACAACCAGCATATTCAGCAGTCTTTCAAGCTATATATTGGCCCGTCAGGAAGTCCCGGAACTCATTTTTGCTGCGTACGGCTGCTCCCTTTCCTCGCACCACATCCCCGTTGTGACTGCCGGACTGACCCAGATTAAGCTGGGCATGGTGACATGGAGCGAAGAAGGCCATGTCGAAGTGGTACACCGCAGCAGAGCAACTCTCCGCAAGCTAGAAATATCTTACGCGCGCACAACCCAGTGCCTGGGCCTCGTGTGTGCACCCTCAGGAGAGCCCATTTTTTATCCGCAGGTTACGCACCTCAGATTTGGCGTGTACAGCGGTGTGGCCATCAACTTACGCAATCGCTGTCCTCACCAGCCATTCCCCAAGCTGGAGCACCTCCAATTCCCCGGTGTGTTCCCGTTTGCCAACGATACGCTATTCCGGGGAATAGAAAAGAGGCTCAAAAGTCTAACGCTAGCTGTGAGCAGCCACGGGCTGGAGCTGTTTAAAAAGTCGCAGTTGTCTGCGCCTAATTGCTACACGCAGCTAAAGTCCGTTGACATCCACATTTTGCCCATTGAGGATCCGTTCTTGATTCCCGGGCAGCTCAACGATGACGGATTGAGCAATGCGGATATAGAGAATAGCCAGCGCCTGGCGCTGACTGTGGGCTCTGGATTGACCTCAGTTAGAATTGACTTGGGCGCGGAAGCATCTAAGCAGTCTCTGTTTAATCAAATCAGAATATCACCGCACGCGGGTACGATTAAGATGCTAGATTTGGGCGCCACACAACTGACCATAGACGAAATAGACGAGCTCACTCGTCTCCTCCCCAATCTGGTGCACCTGAAGTATACCATCAAAAGTATCCTTGACAGCGGTGTCGCTGTATCGGTGCATTCAAACCAGCGCACAGGCGGAAAATTGTGCCAGCTAACTTTAATGACAAACGCGGCCCCCAAAATTGCAGACCACCTTGGCGCTTATGTTGCTTCGGTCTGTGCGCATTTTAAATCTGTAATTCGCTTCAATGTGCTCTCAGACGTTGAGTGCAAAATGGAGCTGGTTACAGCGTACAAGACCATTATTAACACCGAACTGAGGTACCAGAGCAAGGAAAACATGCACTTACACCACTCAACTTTGGTCCGATTCAAAAAAAATGTCGTCGACCCAAACTATCTGTATTATAATTAATACATAATAAACAAGCCCACACATAGTTGTGGCTAGAACCGTTGCATATTATTTTATTTTATCTTTCTGTTTATGCATAAACCAATTTGAAACCAATCGCTTGCCTAAAATTATCATTGGAAACAAAAACATTCACTTTCTTATAATATTTATATAAGATGGTTACTAGATGCTTGCAAAGAAAGAGTAAAATGTCTAAATGGAAATGTATCAAATATTAAAACATTTATTTATAAACTTGTTAAAATTTTAATAAATGTTTTGAATCTAATAGAAATTTTGTATGTTTTAAACAGGAAGCCTTCATGAGTGTATAGCTGCTCTTATGCGCTTGGGCATTGAATGTGCTAAATTTTTATAGTAGTAGCTGGAATATTTGTCCAATAAATTTGTGCTCGCTCGAATAGTTTGCCAATGTTTTTCGGATGACTGTCATAGCTGAAAAAATGGGTTTTCAGCAGAGCCTAAAGGTTTTTGATAGGGTGGAGATTGAGAAATTGTGATAACCATGGTAAGACGTTGATATCGTGATTATATAGCCAGTTTTAAGTCCCACGGGCTGTGTGTTTAGGGTCATTGTCCTGTTGAAAGATAACTGATACCATTTGTGGAATTAATACTCTCCAAAGCGGGCAACAAATATTTGTCCAGTATTTGAGCGTACATGGCACCATTCATATTGCCATCAATACAAGCCAAAAAAACTGTCATTAGCGTGGAAAGCACCCCACACCATCAGATCTACTACCATATTTCATAGTGAGCTGGATATATTTGGCCTCCATATCGTTGTTGCATTCCTTGATAACAAAACTCCTGTGGCTAGTGTCAGAGCATTTAAGCCTGTATTTGTCTGTCCAAAGAACCCGTTCCCAATTGGATTCGGTCCACTCCTTGTGTGCTTTTGCCCATCTGTACTGCAACTTTTGGTTGTTTTTGGTGACAAATGGGTTTTGCCTCACAACACGAGGGTGATACCGAATGCGAGCAAGATATCTCTGGACAGCTTGCTTATTTAGCTGAAATTCTCTTTTTGACGGCTTTTTGGTAAGCGTAGCTAGATGGCCAAATTACAGTTGCAATCATTGGTACCCCCATTACTGATAGCACAGTACAGGCTACAGCTGGCGTGGCTCCTCACATGTATAATGCGGCCCACCCAGCGGGAGAAACAGTGCCTGAAATCAGACGGGGCTTTTGGAACAGAGATATTGCGACAAGCCTAAACATGCGCATCATCAACTGTTTCAGCAACGGATTTGGTACTCCTGCTCGGTTCATTCGATCAGTAACAAAAGACAATTGGGACAAATATGCGCAAAATTTAGCCTATGCCTATTGTCTGTCATCAAAAGAGAAATATCCCAAGCAACGAAAACTTGAACTCATTCTCGATTGGCAGTCTGAGTAATCAGCGAGCGGGTGATGATGATGCTTTGTATTTCTTATATTTTTGTTTTATCGTTTATATTTATTTAGGCATGGTTGCATGGTCGCATGTCTCTTTGACAATAAATATTTTGCTCATTGTATTGGAAAGAAAAAAGATGCAAAGCCCCTTATTATAATGAATTAGCGTGGTTTTTTGTTGAGCTCTATTTATATAAAGCAAAGAGTAAAAATAAAAAACCACGCGTGCGCTATTTTTTTGATTATCTGTATGGCAAGCGATAATATCAGTAAAAATAATTTTGTATCAAGTGCGCGTTTTTTAAGCTTGCTTTTATTCTCTATATTTATTTTTATTTATTATCTACTTGTATTATACTTTTTATACTTTATTATTCCTGCCATATATGATGTTAGCAAAGTACTCTTTCACGCCCGCCCTATCTAGCATGGTCGACAAAATGGGTATTCCGCACAAGGTAAGTAGGGTTTGCAAGCATGCAGAGGTCAAGAATCCATAAATGACCATTACAATGATATTGCCACATCGTCACTATATGCACTTGTCACCAATACTGCACCGCGCATTATATTTTCCTATATGTTGTCTGCTTCCACATCTGCTTTATTGTTGCTTGGCCATTTAAAAAAGATAGAATCTTATTACTCTTCTACTCTTTCCTCTTGTAGTACAAGGAATATCAGTTTGACGGCATGGCACGGCTCGTAAACATGGGAATGTTTGACATGCAGACAAAAACGCAGCAGTCTTTGAAATAAATGCCGAGCTCAAATCAATCGACCTTTCGCATATTCTAAACACTGGACAGGTACACAGACTGCGCGATGATTTGCCCGAGTCTCAATGTCGCTTTGGTGTATTTATTTTTACATACGCCCCGTGTATATTGCAGAAATCCGCCATTATTGCCTGGGCCTGGCTTCCAAAAGTTGCCAAGCCACATGATCGCGCAATCTATACAACTCTACTGCCGGAATTTACTCGACAATTGCGCTCTTATGATTGCGTTTTTGAAATTAGCGATTGGAGCGAGCTGAGCAGGAAGACGATATTTTCCAAGATTCAATCAGAAAAACCAAGCAATACTACCTTAATGAAAAAACTTGTCACAAGGAAAAGGAGAAACCCTTGGTTTTCTAAATAACCTTAATACTTTGTCTGGGTCGGGATTTTCTGAAAAATCAGCTGAAACAGAAAATTAGTCAGAAGCAGGTGTCACTTGTCATTTAAAGTTCAAATTCCGCAATCTATGGAACTGTAAGCTTTACAACAGGACACACCAACAAAGAGCTGTTCAGCTGGCTAAAAAAGATAAACAAGCCAGAAATTTGGCCGACGATCTAGACACCAATCCATTTAACATATATATTAGTGACTACTCTGCTCGCCATGATACACTCACTAATACCAGCAAAGGCAGATACCACCAGTAATGAAACGCGTGGCCAATGATACTTTGTTGGAAGGTGAGGAATAGTAGCCAAAACCACATGCCCATTTTAGCACGTTCGTGTCATACATTTTTGGGCAATTTTCAAGTTGGCAGAATGATATATACTCCCTTTGGGTCTTATTGGTATTTAATTTTTCCCTCAATAAAACAAATATGAATACAACAAATAAAATTTTCATAGTAGCGAGTAAAAATAAAACGAACCTCATTCTCGATGATCAGCACTCCATCTTCAGCAAAGGGGCCAGTAAAAAAGTATCTGGCTGGAATGGGTGCAGTGGACACAGGTAGATCCCTAATTTTACTGTATTAGAGCGCCGATATATGAAGTGCAGAATTGGGAAAGATTGGAAATCGACCGACTTTGGCCGAAATATCCATTACTCTTCCGAATCATATTGTGCTGGTCAAATAAAATATTTGTTACCAACACCAAGGCGCAGCGCCGTGTGGGCAGCACTGTAAAGGCCTTGTTGGCATTTGATATGAGCCAGCAATGTCAGGCATGGGTATTATGGCAATAGTGATGATCTTGTCTGTGCTGATCCTTAAAGATGGGAAGAGGAGAATCCGGTATGTGGGTTGGGCACCACAATATGCAGGCGCAAGGTGAGTATTGATGAATGGCTTATCTATATGGATTGGAATGGCGTTCTTTTGTCTTTCACCAAAAATATCTGAAATGTCAGGATCCCGCTTTTGACGCTTTGTTGGGAATCCAGGTGACCTTGGGAAGAAACTCCCTCACTCAGCAGCCGCAGGGACTTGCTTTTTTCAAATCCGAATTTATGTTCTAGGATGTATCTGCGTAATTAAAGACCCTGGAAACCCCTACCCAGTGGGACTCATCAATGCACACATACACAGATCATGGTTGTCTACATTTTTATAACAGCTAATTATGCTTTCCCCGAGCAGCAACCAATTGTGTTTATGCCAATAAAATACACTATCAAGTAACTCCGTTTTGTACATATTTGCATGATGCATCAATAAACGCAAAATACTGCGGGCCGCTTGTTCCGTGCGTGTCTTGTGTAGCCCAAAACACAAAGAAATGCAATTTTGCGTTGTAAAGTTGTTTTCACGGAACCTTCTTTTTGGCCTAATTATTATTTATTATTTTTACCCCGTTTTTTCTAAAATAATACATTTTGGATTTACTCTTTGCATGCGGACAATATTATATTTTTATTTTATTTGTATACAAGTATTCTTGTTTGCACTCGGGTGCAGCAGACATATGCAAAACTGGCCATCTCTGACCTCCCCTTACAATTACCCCCACCTCTCCCCTTTTAACACCCCCTCCTCATCATATGAGGCACCGCTGACGGACAATGGTACAAGCATATTGATCGTTTTCAAGCATGTGGCGCTGCGTATATTATTATTTTACAAGCACAGACAGATGAATCCCTTGTTTTTTGTTTTTATTCTCTGAGCAACAGCTGCCAAAGTTTTTATTGGGTTGATATTTACGGTTTTTTTTGTAAAACGTTTATAAACTGTGCATCCGGGAATACTTCGTTTTTTAGAAAAAGCACCAACTTACAAAGTTCCTTTTCTCTTTTCTGCGCTTCATTTTTTACAAATACTTTTAAAACATCTCTCTAGCCAAAACTGTTAAAGCTTAATATATTGAGTTTCTTAATTTGTTATTATCCACACCTACGTACACCCCACTTGCACACATATATCACAATTCATTCAACAATGTTCCAGTTCCAGCCGATGAGCCTCGAGCCGCACATGGTAGGCACCCGTCATAGCTACTTTATAAAATGCAATAGCGCCTATTTTTGGGATGCAGACATTTACAAATCCACGCATCCATAACACTAATCCACAACCAATCGACAAATCACCTTGCTTTACTGTTACTCTTCTATAGCCTCCCATGCCTACATTTGGCAGACGTCCTAGTGTGACAAACACCCAGCTCTACAACACTTCATCATACAAGTACGCAATCTTTGATCTGGACAAAACCAGCAAGGAGGTCTACTCGCCAGCCAACACAAACAACGACGACTTTGCCTCATTGAGATCATTCCTCCCTGTATACAACTGTTGCTACGCCGTCTACAAACTGACCTTTGTCAAAAATATGCGGTCAACGAGCGTTGTTATTTTTTACACCTGGCTGCCTGCTGAGGCTGCGGAGGCCGAGAAGCAGCGGTATTTGGCAAACTCTAACGAGGTTGCTCAGCAGCTGAGCCACTATGACTTTAAGTTCGAGTGCACAGAGTGGCGGGAATTCCAGCATTTCATTGCTGTTTCAAAGGTCAACCGGTATATGAAAGCCATTTACAAGTGAGCAGTTCGAGGGGGAGCCAGTCTATTTTTACTATTATGTCAACAACTGTTTTATTTACTGTTTTCTTTAGGGCTACTCCTTTGTGGTGATCTGCTTGTTTGGTGTGTATTCCTGGCCGTTTGTGTGTATGCATCTTTCTATTAGTATTTTGAAACTTTGCACACTCACGTCCATTCACATGGGTTGCACACTTCAGGTTTTTTATTTCGTAAGGTTTTTCATGTACACGAAACGCACACATTTTTATATAGCTTATTTTATTAGTCCTTTATGTTTTAAGAAGCCAATTTACGATCAACATCGATGATTTTCCAAAGGTGAAAATATGCCTGGCTTGCTCAACACTTTTTTGTATTGCGTGTTGGATGATAATAGCAGAAATTCAGGTATTTATACCAAAATCGTACAACGTGAGAGCAAGCATATCTGATGACATTTTCAATTTCTTTCTACTTCAAAAATAGATGGTTTAAGTATTTTTAACATTGTTGAATGCTTCGACGAATTTTTTCGGTTAGAATACGCGTGCGTGTTGCGATTTGCTCAGTGTTGATTGCTGCAAAAACCTGATCGACGCTTGGATATTTGTGTAGGGAGGCGGAGGGGCAGAGATGGGCGAGAGAACGCACATCGCAAAATGCCACACTGTAAAAAATTGTAAAAAGTGAAAGGGTTTTTTAGTAGATCAGCCTAATAAAAAGGATAAATTGTTGAAGTGCTCCCAAAAAAATCAACCATGCAATTGTCCGATTTGCAGCAGATAGGGCGGTCTGGTATTATTTTCATCAACAGTGAAATGCAACTTTTGCGGACTGCATCCATTTTTCTCTTTTCTCTTTCTTGTTTTTTGAGAGGCAGATACGGTGCGATTTGTCTACGATCATGTGTGATGTATCGGACAGGATACATATGGCATTGTTGTTATTATTGTTCATTGTCTATTTTTGGTGCCAGGCTGCAAACGGTGTTCACTGCATGGTAATTTATTTCAAGCACTGGTTTCCGTGAAAAAGGACAATGACAGAAATTGCTGTGCATGCTAAATTAAATCAAGTGCGGGTCAATTTCTTAACATGGTTTCTGTCTATTTTGCTCACGCTTGCAAGGTCGTAGTGCTGGTGTGTGTGTTCAGCCTATTGCATTTTATAAATTTGATGGTCATGTATTTTTCCACGAATACAGATTGAGTAAATCGATTTCAATCGCAAGCCAAGCCAAGCCAGGTCAGGTCAGGTCAGGCAGGTCGATTCCACACACAGTTGCTGAGCGACGCGCTGAGTTTTCTCCGAAGAAAGGAGAACACATAAACAGAGCCCAAGCAATGAGGATTGTCACTAAATTAGCACCAAATTACTAAACAATAGAAAAAAGATGGAAAAAAGGGGAAAGTGATGGAGCTCCATTTTCGCATCCCTTTTTGAATTCAACTGGAGCAAACAAAAAAGCAAACCTGAAACTTGCTTTTCTTGTTATTGTTGTCGGATTTCATTGTGTAATTGGGAGAAGGGGGGAAGAGACAAACAGAAGGAAAGGCGGAGGCAGGTTCCTTTTTTTGCTGGCCAATACTCCAGCTGACGTTCGTTTCTATCTTTTTTTCTACTTTCTTAGCGCCTCTATTCTTTTTGTGCTTTCTTTTACTGTGTATTGTTTGGTTACCATTTTTATTTGTTATCTTCTTTAATTTTTCTCCGTTTACTTTTCCTTTCTTGCACTTCCCTACTTGTGTATATACAAAGATTTTTGAGCTTTATATTAACCCTTCATTAGAGCTTGGTATCTGAGTTTTTTTTAACACATAAACCATTTTATTCTTACATGTATATTACCTCACACGTTGGTATTCAATCTACACCTCACAACCACAGAGCCACGGCAATAATAGAACAACATAAGACACAAAGGAGTGCGAAATATTCTCTATTTTCCCCTACTTTCTTTTTATTACTCGCACACTGCCACTCAAAACAAAAAAAGATAAATAGGGTATATCACTGACAATGCATATCAACAACCTTGACGAACGGATTTTAGCGCGGATACTTCAAATTGCCCACTTTTCGGTTGTCAGTCAGTCTCCCAGGCTGCACTTATACGCCCAAGTACTCCGAATAGGATCGGTTTGTCGGAAATGGCGGCAGCTGATGCACACACCATTGCACTCGTGATCATAATGGAGTACCGTCCCAAGAAAGTTTTGGAGACCACGCAGAATAATCAGATAAAAAAGTCACGGACACCCATGGCTGGTGGCTGGTCGTCCAGACTAACAGGAAGAAAACCACACTATCAGCAACAGCAGCAGCAGCAACAACAAAACCAGAAGCAGCATTTTCAGTTTGGCTTGGCACAGAATGGGCAACCAATATAAACGTGCTGATGCTTCAAGGCGTGGACATGTCGATAGCGGCAACCAGGCTACGGATACAGACGTTTGTAAACCAACCGGACTACACGGATTTTGTTGCTGCCATTGAGGGCGCAGGCTTTGCAACACAGGTGCTGAAGAAGTCACCTCCATCGAGTTTGTCGATTTCTCCAGTCTCCCCATCTTTCATCTGGCCGTGACTCATCCGACGCAGCCTCGCCGACGCAGCCAGCCTGTCACCCACACAGGAGCGCTTATTTACCAATGTAGCAGCGTACATTTTACGGCACTTGCCGGGAATTCAAGAGATTAGCAGCTCAGCGTGGGATATCAGCATGGACAACCGCTGTTTGGCCACTTACCTAGTAAAGGATACAGCAGGCAGTTGCGGTGTGGAATGTGGGGCTTATGGACAGCGGGATTGTAGCCAGCGGGATTGTAGCCAGCTGGCCTGTATTCAGCAACCAGCTGACCGTGCTACAGATCGAAACGCGCCACCTGCAGCTGCTTGCGCCGCATCAGTGCCTGTTGCACAACTGCAGACCCTCAAATTGTGCCAGGCCGAGCCATTCTTCTCATGGAAATCTTTTTCAAGTAGCAACAACGGCAGCAAGAAAAACAGCAGCAGCACATCAGTAACAGTAGCAGTGGCAATATCGGGCAAGGCGATAAAGGAGGCATACTCGAGTTTACATCACTTACCACGCTGAGCATCGACTTTGCCAAGACAACGTGGCCAACGATATGCACCGACACGACGCAATGAGAAGCGGAAAAAACCTGCGGGTCACCATGGGCACGGACACACGGCGAATTTTATTTCCCAAGCTCTGCACGCTGTCCGTCCGCCGCGTGCCCTACACATACACCGACGCCTGGTCAATGTTCCTCGACTCACCGCTGAAAAGCATGTATGTGGCTGGAAAGCATGCCCACGTACGGTATATAGATCTGCGTCTCTTGGCCAATCTCAACACGCTGGATATTCACCTGTACTTGACCGAACGCGCCCAAGGCAGATTCACTGCCTTTGTCAAAACAATGCTCACTGCGGAATCAATGGTTCAAAGCGCATGGCTGCGGCACTCGGGGACATTCCCGGTTTCAGTGCCGGATGTATTGGGCTGGCAGAACGTCCGCGAGCTCAATGTCACCGCGTACGTGCCGCCAATAACATTGCTGACGCTTGTTTCGCAGATGCCGCGGCTCAGCCGGCTCATCGTCCAGCGCATCGCCTGTGATGCCAGCGAGACTGTGCTCGAGGAAACTACGTTTGTGGAACTTGGGTACTTGAAACCCAAATACATTGGCAGCAGTAGGTGTGTGAGTTGCAGCTGCATATGGTTGGGGATGGGCTGCACAGCTCGACGCTGCAGAGTATTTGTTATATGCTTTTGAGCATGCCGCGCGTGCATAGGCTGGCGGTTAAGCATGGATATTGGCCCTGGATTCGCAAGTTTGGCCAGATGCATTTGGAGTCGAACCCTGGGATTGCTGAGATAGAGCTGGTTCACCATATATCAATGCAGGCCAAATCCGCCATGAATTTCTGAGTATCTTTTTTATCAGTTATCCACCTCAGCATAATTTATTGTCGTTAATTTGGGTCGAAAATCACGATAAAACAAATGAGGGGAGAGGTCATTGATGACAACAAGAGCATGTTTTTGGATGTGTAATTATATGTTGTTATTTGTTGTATAGATTAATTTATTAAAAGTACATGACACTTAAAGGGTCCTGGTAGCAGCGAGCAGCGCGTCAATGCCGCTTTGATAGTAAACACATCCCCACCAAATGTCTGTTATTAAAACTCTGATGGGCCACATCCTCATTTGTTTCATCGTGTTCATAACCTCGTCCACAAGTTTGTTAAACACGTCTGGCTGAATAGTAATATTTTTAGACGAGCCATTGTCAGTGTCGTTAGAACTGACCAGCAGCGATCGGATATCGGTTGCGCTGTACATCGGGGCAATATAAGGGGATCAGAACAGCGTTATTCTCAACGCTCTTATTCTTTTCAAACATCGAATACGCATTATACTCAGACACGAGTGGCTCGGATATCCGTTCTGGAGATGCGTAACCATTTGCGCCAGTGTATACCATGCCTTGGTTACTTTGTAGACTACAAGGCACATTAGTAAACGCAGCGTGGTTGCTGAATTCCTCGGGTTCTGGCATGGGAAACTGGAGATGAAGGGGGGGTTGCGACATGTAACCCGTCGAACTTTTGCTGTTACTTGCTGATCTGAGAGCGTTGTATTTATAGCCAGAACCCTCTTTTAATTTTGATTGCTCTAAATCCCTCAGGTCGGCAAGCTTAAACAGCAGGTTTTTGTTGGACGTAACTGTAGTGAGACTGCTAAAACTTCTTGGCTGCCTGGCATACGGATGTGCTCTCATCTGCTGTCTCAACTCTGTATTCGACAAATACGACTGATCATATGCGCTGCTGCTATTGCCACTGCCTTTGCTATTAAATTTCAAAGCGGGGCTGCTCAATTTAAACTGCTCGCGCATGGCCTCTTGCTCTCGAGCATCCTGTCTTTGTTTGAGATCATCTTGCTCTCTAGCGTACTGCTGCTCTCTGCGTTTTTTCTGCTCGATAAACTGCCCTTGTATTTGCCTTAGCTCGTCATTGGTCATATATCCCAGTCTTGGTGCGGGTTTCTTTTTTGCTGCTCCAACTCTGGCTCCGCAAGCAAGCCCGACTCCCTACTCGCACATGTGTGTTTGAAATCTTGGGTGATGCGCCATTTTGCTTGGCGATGATATTGAATTGATTTCTAGTGCATGTTTGACAGGCAGGGTTTTGTGTGCTGGAAGGATGGGTAGCATTATATCCGCCAACTCGCTATAATTGACAGATGGGTTTTCCGCAACGCCAAAAAACACATTGTTGGGGTCCGCCCCGGCTTGTGGTTTAACGCACCAACGAGTTCTTTTTTGGAAATCGTCCCCACGGCACAACCCTCAAACTCATTAATATGCATCAAATAATCATTAATTACAGAGACAATAGTTCCAACTTGGGTTTTCATCATTGAGGAGCTCGATTTCCTTTTCAGTAATAAACCGGGGCAGTTTGCTGTTAATGAAGGATTGGGCCATCTTACATGCGCATCCGTATAGGAACCAGGCAAATTTATATCGTGTATCTCAAACATCACGCACAGCCATTGCTCGAGCAGCTTATTTCCCTGGCCGGGCAACCGAGCAAATACCTTGGTCAGCGGTTCCATCAACCCACGCGTCCTGGTGTAATTCAGAAACGTAAAGATGCATTTGACAAACCGCTTACAGTCCTTATGAAATATGGACTTGCCCTTGAACAAAATCCCGGAATCATAAAGCAGCCTAAATGGCACAATACTGCGAGTCCACATATTGATATGTTTATGGTTAAGCTGGTGGAAAGTAAACTCGGGAAGGTTTGCTTTGAGTTCCAAAAGCAGTGACAGGCAGTCCTTAGACCTGTGTTCTTTGCGCTTGTTGGGAAACCTTTTGGCCAAATCCGCCTCCACTATGTCTAAATTCATGTTTTGTGTCAGCACAGCTTGTGCGTGAGAGATGATAGTGCTGTCGACATATTTGTGGTTGAGAACTAGTCCGCTTTCGGGATTGCACGCGGTGTATTGCGCAAGATACTGATGAATGTGTAGTCGTCTTCGGGTGTCCATGACGAACGGCTGCCTTTAGATAAATGGTTGGTGTATCCGGGTGCGTAGATACTTTGCTTTTGCATGGTAGTTAGGATAATACGTGCGAGTTGGTGTGTGTGTGTGTATGTGTGGGTGCATATACTAATAGGGGGTGAATGATTAGATAAATGTTGTTATTTTGATATTCACTTTTACAACAAATATATATACTATGAAAAACAATTGGATAAATATTGAATTTAAAGAAAGAAAAAAGCAGAAATTGAGTACAAAAATGAATTGAGCTAAAATACCGCATGCCCAGTCATTGTCCTTTATAGGTTGGTGTTCAACGGGGGATAAAAAAAATGAGGCATTGCTCGTTCCCCCCCCCCCCACTATTTATTTTTTCTCTATAATCGTTCAGTACAAAAATAAAAAAGTACCTTTATATAATGTCGCTCGTTCTCATTAGATTTTTTCCAAGAAGCCTTGACGACTAGGCTGCCACCAACAGTACCAGTAGCTAATGAGCAGACTAAAAGCACATCCTCGACGCTAAAAATAAAAATGAGTAGAGCGTCATGTATTTATTCTCTATTTTCTTTTTTGCTCTTTTTTATGAAAGACAAAAGGTCGAATGAGAAAAATAGAAATAACGAAAGAGAAAGAGAGAGAAAGAGTACAAGAAAAGATGTAGATATGTGCCGTTGAAATAAATGTTGAGCAGGTTAAAGTCTTTGATATTTTTCTCTACTTAATGAACGAAAAATGCTGCAGTTTTAATTTAATAAAGACTGACTGTGTGCCGCAACTAAGACTCAAAAATAATACCAGTGTAAATGTTGTAGAAAAAAGTGAGTTTAACTGTTTGTGTTTGCGTCATTTGATACATTATTTTCTACTCAAAACATACAAAAGTGTATAGCATAGTTTTTTATTATCAACTTTTTTATTTGTGTTTGTTCTTTTTTGTTATCCTCGTTTTCACTCACGATAAAACAGATACCAGAGCCATTACGTAGGTGGTCCACAATGTCTTTCGAAAATCCCTCGTCGGCACGAGTAGCAAGATTATCAGTGGCAAGCTGAGGCTGCGGCTGTAAGTTGGCAGCATTTGTATTTGGGTTGGAGTGCTTCTGTTGGAATATAGGAACGTTCTATGAACGTGTAGTGTTGGAATATAGGACGTTCTATGAACGTGTAGATAAAGTATAATGCTATGAAGTTATTTAATAACAAGTGCTATGCACTGTGTGAGGTGAAGAGAAGAGAGCATATTGCTCTGGTCACTGTGTGACTTATTGTTTGTGTGGCTAACAGCCAAGACTGGTAATCAGTTGATCGCCATCAACCATAGCTTTATAACAATTAAAAAGATAAAAGGAATAATTAGAAATGATTTTATTAAAAAAAGGTGTGGGCGTAGTTTCTTTTTGTTGTTGTTATTTTTGGATTTATATTTTTTGTGTGGAAATGTATATTATACATAATATTTTCGAATATGCATTATTATGCATATCTTTCTTTGGTTTTGTTTGTAATAGCGTCATGAATTATCTCATTGACATAGTTATTAGAGCTGTCTGTAATGAAATGATGATAAAAAATAAACAGCTGAGGTTTTGCAGTCTTCATTAAAAATAAATAAAAAGAAAATAAATGAAAAAGAAAAGACAGTGAGACTTTAACGGGTCAAAAACAAAAAAGCAAAGCGACTTTCGAATGAATACGCACAATTGAGTTTTACATTTAAATATTTTTTTACAAGTTGTCATTCTCAATTTTAACAATTATATTAAAAGTACATGTATCATAAATGCGCGAATGTCTTATTGTTCTACCGATCAACTACACGTATACAAAAATGAAAAGCGGCAAAGATTATTATTTAAGAAAAACAACAGAAACAAAACCAAAAAAGTGTAATATGTAACAACAGATCAGTTTCAAATCATTTCAATTCAGCTCAGTTCAAAGTTGAAAAATGTTTTTACTTACCGCATTCTAGCTTGATCAAATGGCGAATAAACGGAAACAGGCTTGGAATATTCAGCATCGGCAGCAATTCATCAAAGAAATGTGTCGAGTAAAAGCTAAACATCTTCAAAACACACAGCGAGGGCATCCTCGAAATCAGCATGAAAATATTATAAAACACCAGCTCATCTGTTGCATTTCGGCACATCACATCCGGCGCAAACTTTATCACGCTCGTACTCACTGGGCTCTTATCATCAGACATCAAAAAATGCCGCGCCAGGCCTTCCGGTGTCAGCGCCTCAGCCGGTGGAGTAACCAGCAGGGCGCGCTGCAGTTCAAAGTGCTCCAGCAAGGGCAGCCTGCGCAAAAGATCAGGGACATCCGCGTAGCTGATCTGCGCAGTCAGGGTTAGTCTGCGCAGGTGCGTGCAGAGGATACGGCCGGGGGGCGGCAGGGCCAGGCGGTAATCCGAGGACATCGTGCTGGACATTGTGCGCAGACTGGGCGATGCCAGTGCCAGCACATGCGCGAGCAGGCGGTTGGCGTGCGGAGAGTGCCTATGGCGCGACACCGAGAAGTGCGAGATATCCACAGAAACTAGGGACGCGAATCCGCGCAGCCTCAGGGCCTTGTACGCGACAAGGTCGCCGGAAATGCTCAGCGACAAGAGCTGCTCGGTCGGGATGTCCCGCAGAAACTCATGTACGCGGCCCGGGTACATGTTCAGGTTGAGGTGGCGCAGCTTGGGGAACCGCGGTCGTCGCGTGTCCGTGCGCAGCACAGTGTACTTGGGTGTGCGCTCCTTAATCGAGATGGTCTTTAGACGCGGGTTGCCCTTGTAGCTAACGGGGGGCTTGGGCTCTGGCCCCTCCTTGTTGTACCGCTCCCACACTAGGTCCTCCTCGCTCTTGCCCGACGGCACCGTGCGGTATGGCACGTGGAACGTCAGGTTGAGCTCGCGCAGCTCGGGAAAATCAATGATCCCCGGCGTCTCCAGCTGCTGCGTTTTGCTGCCGGCGCTTCCCACAGGTGACTGGCAGAACCGGTCCCACAAGTAGTGGATCGGAATCGCGCTCAGCGTCAGTGACTGCAGCGCTGGCGTAACGATGCGCGGAATATCAACATAATCGTACGCGCTGTGCACGGAAATAGTCAGATGCGTGATCTGCGGCGGCAGCACCTTGACTCCAAATGCCGGCATATGGGAGAACCGCAAATGCATGCGCTTGAGCTTCTCCAAGTGCGCTGCAATATACGGAGTCATGGCGCTGCGCGGCCCAACACGCGAGCACCGATTGTCGTCCATCCACAGAGTATCCACACTGGGCAGCGCCGCCAAAAGATACTGTGCCAGGTCACTGAATGCCTGGTCGGGGATCCACTCGCCACAGCTCTCTACGTCCGCCGCCACTGCCGCTGCTGTGCTGGCTCCGGCTCCGGCTCCAGCTGCTTTCACTGAAGCTGCTGCCACCGCCTTGTCGTCCAGGTCATAGTCCGACTTGAAATTCACAATGAGCACTGTGGCATTCGGATACATGTGTCGATTAAATCCACGCTGCCTTAGCATCTCCAGAACGTCTTTCGGATCCGGATACCGATCATACGTGCTCAGCACCACCTCCTCAACCTGCTCAAACAATCCCAGCTTCTCAATCAACCGGTGGTTTGATTTCCACCGTGTAACCGGCGACAGTTTCTTCGCAGCCATCAATGCCTCGTGTGTCAGTCCATTGGGCTCAACGCCCTCAACTGCAAGGTTGTATCGCTCAAATATTACCCTTCTGTAAGTGTATGGCCGCGCTACTTGTCGCAGGCTGTGGCAGAGCTGTGATAGTTGCCGGAAATCCTCATAGACTTTGTAAAATTTCGGGTGGAATTTGGGTAGTTGCCGGTCGTAGTAGTGGTAGACTATTTTTTCGAGTATCTGCTTGGGCAGTGTCTGCAGTGTGGTGGCCATTTGAGAAAAATTAAAATTAAAAATTAAAAAGAAGAGAAAAGATTATGTGTGAATGAGATAAAATAAATAAAAATAAAAAAGTACAATGCAATTTTGAGCGGGCGTTTAATAAAAAAACAAAGAAAAAAACAAGATGACGAAGAATGCAGGCTTTTATATCTGGAGAACTCTTTGTGATGGGATTGAGAGAATGCTGCTGTAACCAATTTTGAAGTTGGCCTGAAAAATCCAATAAAAAAATACACATAATCTAATCGCTTGCTAATTTTTCCCATTAGTTTCATAAAAATCAAGCCAGTATTGAACTTGTATCCATCGATTTGGATGTGACGTTTCACATTGTGGCTGTGAGATAATGGCATGCATGATGATACGTCCACGCTGTATCATGACCATGTGGTACGTATATATAATATGCCCAATGGAGAGGTCTCTCCATCCCTTGGCACAATGCGCAATCCCTACTCCGAAAGTACGAAACAAAGTATAAAAAGAACTTTCCTTTTGTTGAGGAAAAGCAGCAATATTTTCAATATTTTTTCTCTCATTAAATTATAACTAGTAAAAAAAGATAACAAATCTAAATCATGCTTTTCTTTTCATCCCGAAACGTGGTAAACGCCCACCGCATACTCACGCTTAACGCATCATCCATCACCAAAAGAGCGCTCACCAAGAACAACAACAACAGCCACAACCACCGCATAGTGTCATCTCCCAACGGCAGCAAAATCAGCACACATGAGCACAAAGATGCCAACAACAATAATGATGCTCACGATCAAATAAACAATGGTAGCGTATTTGCCAATAGCAGCGAGGACAACCCGGCCATAGAGAATGAACATCAGGAAAGAAATATCGCCAAGGATGCAGTCAGGGCTGCGGCGGACGAGGATGTAAGGGTTTTGCCGGCTGATTCGTGGAAGCGCAATAAAGTGAGAGAACTTGACCGCTGATTCTCGGCTTTGAAGATCATAAAATAAAATAAAAGTATTTTAATAAATCTAATCTGCTGATTTACACCATGTGCAAAATCAAATCTGGAATTTCCCATTTTTTTAGATTTTTCTGCCTCCTCTCCATTTATTTTGTCGCGTCCGTTATCTGCGCTGAGCGGCTTTTTTATTTTATTTTATTTTTATTCATTTCTTTAATTTCAATTTGGGGTGGTTTTTTTCCCAGCTATTATTACATTTCCTTTATAAAAATTCATTCACAATGACAGAGTTCAAAGAACCAGAGATGAAGGTTTCCTCACAAGAAATGGCCGAGGCCCGCTTACCGCTTCGTTACCGGGACTATTGCGCGCATCTGTTGATTCCGCTGAACAAATGCCGTCACCGCACAATGTATATGCCCTGGAAATGCGAGGAAGAGAGACACTCGTATGAGAAATGCGAGTATGAGGATTTCATGCGTCGCTCAAAGATACTGGCCAAAATCAAGCAGGATAACAAGGAGAAGGAATGAGGGAATTAAGAAAAATATGTTTTCAATATTAAATAAAATAATATATGTTTTTTTTTACATTTTTATACATCTCACGTGCCAAAGGTATTTTGTTGTTTGTCTTCACAACTTGTGGTGGGTGCGGGACTACTTTATCAACGATTTATTTTGTCTTTCAGCTTCGATAACTCGCAAAAAATCAAATCAAATCCGATTACGAAGGAAAGATTGAGAAAATAACGATATAAGCGTGTATGGGTTTTTTTGTTCTTTGCCCAAAGGCTCTTTGAGGATTTGCATTGACTCACGTGGTATAAAGAAAATATGCTCTCTCTCCACGCAGTTTTTTACTTTATTTTTCTTATCTCGCAATGGAAAATAAGGATTTTACCGGGGGTTTGCGCCTTTTCCGTCTTTTCCGTCTCCGTCACATTATCGTCTGTGCGTTTTTTCTTGTTCTTCGCCCTCTTCCCCCCTCTTCCATATTGGCTAATAAAAGTCGGAAAAAGATAATAAAGGTTTGGTCAGGCGCCTTTTCTTGTATTTTCTTTAAGCCTACAGCGAAAGCTTTTGGGAGGGAGGGAGGACGCTTTGAAATGGCATTTTTCAATCTCGTGGGAATAAAAGGAGGATTTAAAGGAAGCGATAGCGATTCGGATAATAAAAGCGCAATATAGCTCCATTATTCTCCATTTTCTTTTTCTCTTCTCTCTTGCTCAAGACTACAAGCAAATCAATCAAACACATATTTAACAAAATGTTCTCTCTTCGCACCACTCTCACTTCTGCCACCCGCCGCAGCGCCGCCCTGGCCGCCAAGAAGCCCCCTCAGCAGCCTCTCGCCCTCGCCCTCCGCTCTCTCAGCACAACCGCCCCCACTCAGACCACAAGCTCTCTGCACTCGCTCAGCGAAGACGAGCAAATGATGAAAGACGCCGTCAGCCGCTTCGCACGCGAAACCGTCCAGCCCCTCGTCTCCCAAATGGACGAGGCCGAGCAAATGGAGCCCTCAATTATCAAAGGCCTCTTCGAAGCCGGCCTTATGAGCGTCGAGACTCCGGCTAAATACGGCGGCTCCGAAGCGTCCTTCACCTCGGCCATTCTCGTCATCGAAGAGCTCGCCAAAGTCGACCCCTCCGTCAGTGTCCTCTGCGACGTCCACAACACGCTCGTCAACACTGTTTTCCGCACGTATGCCGGCCAGCACCTGAAGGACAAGTACCTTCCGATGCTTTCCGAGGACAAGCTCGGCTGCTTCTGCCTTTCCGAGGCTGCCTCCGGCTCCGACGCCTTTGCCCTGCAGACCCGCGCTGTGAAGGACGGCGACCACTACGTGCTGAACGGCGCCAAGATGTGGATCACCAACTCGGCCGAGGCCGACATCTTCCTGGTCTTTGCCACCGTCGACCCCAGCCTCGGCTATAAGGGCATCACGTGCTTTGTTGTCGAGCGCGACATGGGCGTGCAGATCGCCAAGAAGGAGCGCAAGCTGGGCATTCGTGCCTCGTCCACATGCCAGCTGTCCTTCGACGACGTGCGCGTGCCGGCGGCCAACGTCCTGGGCGAGGTCGGGAAGGGATACAAGATTGCCATTGAGATCTTGAATGAGGGCCGCATTGGCATTGCCGCGCAGATGCTGGGCTTGGCCCAGGGCGCCTTCGACTGCGCCTTGCCGTACCTCTTCCAGCGCAAGCAGTTCGGCTCGTACATTGGCGACTTCCAGGGCATGCAGCACCAGTACGCGCAGATCGCCGTCGACATCGAGGCCGCGCGCCTGCTGACCTACAACGCTGCGCGCTTGAAGGAGGAGGGCAAGCCGTTCGCCAAGGAGGCCGCCATGGCCAAGCTGTACGCGTCGCAGGTCGCCGAGCGCGCGTCGTCGCGCGCCGTCGAGTGGCTGGGAGGCGTCGGCTTCACCCGCGATTTCCCCGCAGAGAAGTTCTACCGCGACTGCAAGATCGGCGCCATCTACGAGGGCACCAGCAACATCCAGCTGCAGACCATCGCCAAGTTCCTGTCCAAGGAGTACAAGGCCTAAATCTTATCAGACAAAATTTAGCAAAAAAACTAATACACTAACACTAGAGCTTTACACGGTTATAAAAACTCGAAGGCATACTGGGTGGACAAGATCGCACCAGTCTAGCGCCCCTAGGTGGAGACCGTCGAGCTTGTAGCAACCATCCTCGCCTGCGAGCCAAAGGAGTTGACCACGCTGAGCAGCTCGTCGTTATAGTCCATGTTCATCGACCAGACCATGGTTCCGCCGAGGCCCTTGGCGGCAGCATAGTCGACCTTTATCTTGATGCTCTGCGGATCGTCATACGAGATGAACTGCTTGGTGGTTGGGTTGAACAGCCACGGCGTCTGCGAGACCGGGTCCCACTGGCGCACCCACGGCGCTGCCGCCGTGCTGGGGCTGCTTAGCACGCCCTGGTCGCGCAAATGCTTCCACATCCACGTGCCGCTGTTGGAGGTCGTTCCAGCGCAGGCATCATACCACGCGGCATCTTCAGAGTCGCCAAGTGGGACCACACTCTCTTGCGGCTGGTACTGGTTGTTAGGGTCCTTGGTCATATCAACCTTTGCAGTCGTCGACCGCCCATAGTATCCAATGCCTGCTGTCAGCTGGACGGCCGGCCAGCCAGCCCCGGTCCACGAATCGATTGCAGTGACGAACGACAAGGGCGCACCTTTGCCCTGTTCAAAGTTGAACGGCGCATTGGGCCCGGTCTCTGCATTCCAACCGCCGTTGATATCGTACTGCATAAGATTGGCATAATCGACGACCTTGGCAAAGGCAGCAATGTCCTTCGAAGGCCCGCCAGTAACATCAAACGGCTCGACGCGAACCGCAAGAGTGATTAGCTTCTGCCGCGGCCCAAAGGTGCTGTCAAAGGCCGCGCGAAGCTCCTGGAGAAACACCAAAAAGTTTGGCGTATCGTTGGCAGTGTCAAAAATGTTACACGTGTTGCCCAGGCGGCCCGGGTACTCCCAGTCAATGTCGATTCCGTCGAGATTGTTCGTCTTGACATAGTTAACCATGCTAGTAACCATTGTGCTGCGCGTGGAAGCGCTCTTGACAATGTTGGAAAAGTAGTTGGATCCCGTCCATCCGCCGACCGAAAGAAGAACCTTGGCACCCTTGCTGTGGATGTCTGCCACTGTCTGAGCCAGGAACCAGTCACCCTCGTAGCTAAAGGTACCCTCCGCTGTTGGGATGCCGAAAGACAGATTGATGTGCGTGTACTTTGAAAAGTCCACGTTCGCCATCTGCGCTCTCTTCCAGGACGGGTAGTAGCCAATGTTTACTGGCTTGCCGATCACAGGCGCAACCAGGGCCAATACCAGAGAGGAAACAGTGAAGACTGCGTTAAACTTCATGATGATGCTTATGAAGAAGAAAAAAGTTGCAAAATGGGGTGAGAATTGAGGAATATCAAATGCAAACACGATTACAAATGTTGATAGGAGGTATTATAGCGATAAGCGGCGGGGTTTTAGCGATATACAATCAGATGGGTATGTTGTAAACTGGCTCTCTTTCCGGGACATGGCATTTATATACTAAAACGTTAGGCCACATTCCTCCACTTTTCCATTTACCAACACTTGCACCTATCAATATATGCATATACGCGCTGTCTATTCAGGTTTTTTAGCTCACAAATATTCAACAGAATCGAGCAAGCTCACTGGCATGTGATGTGCCAGAGTAGCCTAAATGTATTGCCAAAAAAAGTCACATATCCGACTCACCAATTGCATAATTGGTTCTCGAAAATCCGCCACACAATCCAATCCAATCCAATCCAATCCAATCCAATCCAATTCAATTGACTAACCAACTAACTCTTGGAACTTTCTGGTAAATAAACGGAATGATTCTCTGAAGCAACTTTGAATGGCAAAAAATCAGCCATTGCAGAATTACACGTGACAGATACAGCCATATCTAAAAACCATATCCATACTCATTGCGTCTGGGACAATCGGGGGAATGAACTGGGTGAAGGGAGTAAAAACGGGTGGCATTTAGTCAATTGGAGAGCATGAAAGTCATTTGCCACACATTGGCCCTCCCTTCTTTTCTTCGATATTTTGTAATTGTTGTTTTCATGTGACAGCTAAATAAACTTAATTTTCATGAGAATCATTTTCATTTAAATAGGGACGCTTGTAGGTCAGCCATTAGCTTTTTAATACTACTGCTATTCATTGGCTTGTAGTTTTTTTGGCTGCGCATTAAGGGGGAATTGTCGGAGTGCTCAATTCATTAATTAACTATTAGTTGTTTCTATTGTACCGGGGAATAAAATAAACTTGAATAATAAAATGCAAAAAACATTCGGAAATAAACGGGATATCACCACACACATAGTTTTCATACTATATCTGTGAAAATCAAGCACAACGTCGATGGTTAGAAAATGTTTAAAGCACTGTCAATGCCAAATATCAAGTGTTTGAACGTAGGCCAGCCGCAAATAATAGACTTGTTGAGGCTCAGACACACCGTACCCTGGGCGCAGGAAACTTGCTGCCAAGTACCAATGCACACCAAGTACGCCATATTTCTGCCATTGGGATCAACGCACCTGTACTCGCCGTAATCAGAACAGGGCTTTCCAGGCAACAAACCATTGTCGCTGGGAGTTTCCTCGGCTTGTCCGCTTGTTGTTGATGTAGTGCTGCTGGTAATGCCAGAGGAAGTGGAAGTGGTGGTTTGAGTGTTTGCGGATGTCTTGGTCTTGGTATTTTTTGGTTTGCTGGAAGTAGATTCCGGGCTGGAACTAGTAGATGCTGGTAATGAGCTCCCACTTGTGCTGCTGTTGCCATCAGAACTTTCACGTCCAAATGACCTGGCAGCATCAACTAGCTCACTGTTAAAGTCCATATTGGCCGACCAGATCATCACACCCGCAAGTCCCCTAGACGCTGCATAATCCGACTTGATCTTAATGCTATCAGGATCATCATACGACAGGAATCTCTTTGTCTCGGGATTAAATAACCACGGCGTCTGCGTGACAGGATCCCACTGGCGAACCCACGGTGCCGCCGCCGTATTTTTATTAACCAGGACGCCTTGGCTGCGCAGATTCCTCCACTGCCATGTGCCCGAGTTTGACGTTGTCTTGGCGCAAGTGTCGTACCACGGTGCGTCTTCTGAATCTCCAAGAGGCACATCGTGGGACTGCGACTGGTACTGGTTGCTCGCATCCTTGATCATATTCTGCAGGGCCACTGAGGAGCGACCATAGAACCCCAGCCCAGCAACAAGCTGATTTGCCGGCCAACCGGCATTAGTCCACGCATCAATAGACGATACAAATGAAAGCGGTGTTCCCTTGCCTTGCTCGTAATTGAACGGCGCATTGGCGCCAGTTTCAGAATTCCATGGACCGCCGATATCGTATGCCATAACGTTAGTAAAATCGACGTACTTTGCAAACTCGCTGACATCGGAGCTCGGTCCACTGGGCGTATCAAACGGTTGAACGCGGACGGCCAAAGTGATAAGCTTCTTTCGCTCACCAAACTGCGAATCGAATTTATCGCGCAAATCATGCAAGAAAGTTAAAAAATTCGGGGTGTCATTTTGTGCATCAAACACATTACACGCATTGCCCAGGCGACCAGGATACTCCCAGTCAATATCTATTCCATCCAAGCCATGATCCTTGACGTAATCCGCCATACTGTTAAGCAACCTCGTGCGCGAGTCATTGTTTTTTAAAATATCGGAAAACAGGTTGGACCCGGTCCACCCGCCTACGGACAAAAGCGCCTTGGCATTGTCATTGCCGTTGGAGCGAATTTGTTGAAGTATTTGCGGCAGCGCCCATTCGTCTTCGAATGTAAACGAACCGTCGTTGCGCGGGATTCCAAAGGCAATATTGACGTGTGTGTATTTTTTAAAGTCAATGCCTTCCATTTTGGCCCGTTTCCAGCTCGGATAGTAGCCAACTACAATGGGCTCGGCCACCACTGCCACGCATATTGTAAGCAAGACTAGTGTCAAAAGTGGAACAGTATATAATATAATTTGCATAGTAAAAAAATCAATGTAAACTTGTCCTAATATTTTTAATAAAGTTATTGTTGCGCAGACTGAAGATATGGAAGCAGATGTTGAGGTCGAGAACCGCGAAACAAGTTCCCACCTGCGCGCTGATCGATAGGACGCTAATTGGATAATGCAGGTGCAAATCAGGGAGGCATCACACTGATGCCCAAACATGCCCCCCATCCTGTAATGCACACGCATAAGCGTACACGCACGAAAACCACAACATCGACTTGCCAAGATACCGGTCTACTCGCAGAAGATCCAGTTCTCACCAACGGAGCGCACAATGGACAATGTGCACGACAAAGGCGACTGGGAACATATATAAGATGAGGCTGGCCCCTAGTAGTACTTTAGAAACATCAGTAATAAAACCTTTTATAAAATCACCCCTAACTTTTACCACTAGACAACTAGTGCTCCTCACACCCCCTCTTACTATAACAAAATTTATTACTCGCTTACATACATAAAACAAAACAAAAACACAACAATGTCCGTCAGGTCAGACGTGACAATGCAGACTGCAATTCACCCCATACCTCCTGCCACTGCCCCTACTGCCCCTACTGCCCAGCTGACTACCACCTCCTCTGCCCAGACCCCAGCCAAGGCTGCCAAAGAGGAGCTGGACCTGCTCCGAGACTATGCCAAGCGGTTCAATGGCGAAGATATCGGAAATCCAACCAAGCAGTGGATTGCAGGGATCCAAGAGACAATCAACTTCATCTTTACCCGCACTCCTGCAGTAATGATTGTCACAGCACTCCAAAAGCTGCTTGACGGACAAGCTGCCAGACGCATGGGCACCCTAGACGTGAACACACCAGAAGAGTTCTTTGAGAAGCTCCTTGAATGCATCCCGCAAGCAGACTTTGTGGCCAAGGCACACAGCATCGCTGCTGGAGGCCCAGCCAAGGCCTTCAAGAACATCCCTGCAGTGGACAGGGTCAACTATGCGCGCAGGCTCTACAAGGCCATGGGTGGTGGCGACTATGCTGCAGTCACTATCTCACGCCTAGTACATGGCCTTGACACCCGCTCCTGGGCATGTACAGGAAGTGCGCCCAATGATGTCACTGCTGAGACCCTCCTGGACCGACTCAAGGCATTCGAGACAGTCCACAAGATAACCCTACTTTCATATGGCAACAATGACCCAAAAGCCTGAGCGGCTTGGGTATCAGTTACACTATTGGGACAATAAATATGTTTAACTCTACTCAGGCCGCCCTGTGCCATTTTACGAAAATACCCGGTTTCCGCGCACATAATAAGCCAGCAATGGCTGTAGCCGACAATGGCGCTGCTGTCAGCCTGGTCACCATGGCTGCTGCCAAGCGGTTGAAGCTGCGTATCCGCACCAACTCGAGGCCAGACCTGTTCCCCATCTGGTCAGACAAGGCATACCAGAGCATTGGGCGGGCCACCGTCTGCCTGCAGGTCGAGGGTGGCCCAAAGTTCTGGGACGATGCAGTCGTTGTCGACATGAAGGTGCCATGGGAGCTGCTGGTGTCAAACCATGCCCAAGAGGGCCTGGGCATCCGCCTCATGACCCCAGCAATGCGCCGACGCCTTAAGGGCACAGAACGCACCCCTGACCACCCAGACAAACTTCCCGATGGTCCCCGTGCTGTACGCGACTCGGATTATGACACTATGCCAGACCCCACGGTGGCACAAGACCCGCAGATGTTCCCACTAATGGACGGCCCGCCTGATGCGCCCCCGATCAAGGAACCAGTTGTCTCACGCCCAATGCGGGCACGACTAGGCCTACCAACTGGCTATTTTGTTGAAGCGCGCGATGCCGACTTCCACAAGTGGGATGCACTGTATCCAGCAGTGACGACGGAAAATGTTGCTAGCCGCACAACGGATCAGTGCACTACGGACGAGCTCCACAAATCCCTGCTAAAGACCCTTATGACTGCTGCTGGCGCCCTACGTGAGTACCCGAGTGGCTGCCCGCCGCCAGCAGCCTATGCGCCCATCCGACCCCCAATGCGCACAAACGCGTGCCCCCTGTACACCGTCCAACACACACTCAGCGAGCCTGCTCACAAGGCCCGAAACTCTTTCGTTGCCAACCGGCTCAAGTATGGAATAGACGGTCCATCGGTTGCATTCGCCCAGGTCCCTGTGTTCTCCAAAGTTAAGCCGAACTCGACGGACAGGCGTGTGCTGTTCGACGACTCAGCAAACAACTCGTTACATATGCTGAGCGTTGGAATGCAGCTGCCGACGCCAGTCGAGCGCATTATGTTCCTGCGTGATGCCAAGCTGATCTCGTCAGTTGACATGGCATCGTTCTTTACGCAGCTGCGCCTGGCAGAGGACGTCGCAGACTTCTGGACCTATGACGGGGGCAGCGCAGGCAAGGTACGCAACCTACGCATGGTGCAGGGAAACTCCGAATCCCCTGCCATTGCCCAGGCCTTCCTGACCCATGTTCTGTCCGGCGTGCCAGAGCTGCGGCCACGTCTGATGGTCTACATTGATAATGTTTACCTAAAGTCGACCACCGGCAATGAGACTGATCACATCCACGATATAGGGCTGTTTGCTCGGTGTCTGGCCCGTGCGAATGTCACGATTAACATGTCCAAATCACTGTGGTGCGCGACTACAGGCGTAGAGATCTTGGGGCGTCGGTGGTCCGCCGACCGGACATGGCAGGCCTTTGACCACCGAGTGGAAACAATGCGAGCACTGGAGATGCCGACGACGGTCGCAGGCATCCGGCGTCTGTGCGGCGGCATTAACGCAATTGCAGAGCATATGGAATGGATCCAGATCATCCTAGCTCCCTTCTACCAGATGGTGGGCAAGACGCGGCTGACGAAAGACGACATCAGATCACTACAGGAGCCCTGGCATGCGCTTAAGCAGGCACTGCTCGACGTTCGACACCTCTACATACCCCCGCCTGGAGCACCGCTGGTACTGCGCACTGATGCTGCGGGCGCCGGTGTGGGTGCCGTGCTACTGGCCCAGCGCTCTGACGACCCTGAGGACCTGGCGCCGGTATGCTACTTCTCACGGGCATTTGGAGGCATGCAAGGGAGGAAACACTCAACCTGGCGCGAGGCGTGCGCTGTGTACGAGGCTGTGAAGCACTTCTATGCGTACCTTGATGGGTGTGCAAACTTGAGGATCGAAACGGACTGCGGCACGGTGGTCTCGCTGTTCGCGCACAAGACCACCAATGACGCCGACCCCCTGGCGCAATTCAAGCTTGGCCTCAGCGAGCTTGGCATAAAGAAGCACATGATCGTCCACCGCCCTGGGGAACTGCAGCAGACCGCCGACTGGCTATCACGCGCAAAAGAGTTCCTGCGCCCGCAAAAGAAAAAGACACTGGGCAATGTAGATGATGATGAGGTAAACACCCTTGTCAACCCAGCGACCGAGACAGTTGGGGGCGAGTATGTCTACACAATTGGCGCCATGGATTTCGAGGGCGACCAATTCACACGCGAATCAAATGGCGAGAGGGTGGCCTATTGCATCGGGGCCTTTGCAGCAGTAACCCCAATCGTCTATGCCAATGGCGACGAGCCCGACGCACTTCCCAACGGCGGCACCATGAGGAACAACCCCATGACCGCCGCTGCCCCCATGCAAACTATAGCGGCCCGTACACGCTCAGCCAACCGAGCGCAGACCATCCAGCAGACCAAGCCCCAGCGCAAGGCAAGCAACCCCGTCCTCGGCCAGGCCACAATGCCGCAGACGGCCCATACAACGCCCCCTGTGAGCGGGGCTCGTAAGCGCGGCAGGCCACGGCGTGAGGGACAGACCATCACTGCGTCAACTTCACCCACACCCCCAGCAGACCTGCCTCGCAAGCGTGGCCGTCCCAGGCGTAAGCCAGTGGAGGCGCCAGCAGCAGCTACGGTGACTCCAGACGTACCACAGGCCAAATCCCCGGCAGCAGAGCCCCCAGTGGCGACGCGGCGTGGGCGCGGTAGACCCAGACGCAGTGCACAGACAACAGACATGGCACCCGAGCAGGAGCCGGCATTGCCGGTGGCGCTCAACACACCCGTCCGGCACAAGCGCGGCAGACTGAGGCATGCCGTACAGGGGGCAACAGTTACCCCTACCCCTGCGCCCGAGCCGACCCCTATGCCTGCACCCGACCCAGCTACTACCCTGTCCGTGGCGCCGACACCGGCATCCATGAGCCAGCAGTTCGCAAGAATCGCGTCTGCGCTAGAGGACTTACCGAATGTCGCGGACTTTCTGCACTGCCAGGATGACGATGCTGAGATCCAGTCCTGGATCAAGCTGTGCAAACAACGCGAGGCACTCAACGGTCCGACAACTCCCGAATACAATGTCGTCAGCAAGAAGGCCTTGCGTGACGGGCGATTGTACGCTCTGGCCCCCAGTGACACGCCCGGGCCAGTAGGCATGTGGGTGCCCATACTGACGCGTGAGGCGGCGCGAGACTTTGTACGCAAGGCACACCAGGCCCTGGCACACGCTGGGTACAAGCGGACCCTCGACTTCGTGCGCGAGCTGATTACATGTCCGGGCCTGGGCACAGTGGTAGAAAGTCTGACAAAGTGCTGTCACACCTGCCAGATGACAGCGATCCAGAAAAAGTCACACACACCCAAGATCATGTCGTACATTGCAAAGCCGCTCGAACATGTCTACATCGACTTGCTACACATTGGGGACAGAGGAGAAGCACCTCAGGATGCGTTAGTAGCAGTTGACAGTGCGAGCGGGTTCATGCAGATCTATGCAGTGGACGACACAACAACAGCAACACTCACCGATGTCCTTGAGAGCGAGTGGTTTGGCACCTACGGAAAGCCAAAATATCTCACGTCGGACAACGGCCCGCAGCTCGTGTCCCATGACTTTGAGGACTTCCTGAGCAGGGAGGGCGTGACGCACATCACAACCGCCCAGTACCATGCTCAGTCTGACTTGGCTGAGGCCGCAGTCAAGAAATTCAAGCAGTCATTGCGATGCTGTTTCACCGATCAGCCGGACGAGGAGGGCTGGACGCAGCACATCCCGCGCATTGTAGCTGCACACGCCTGTACGCGCTCGGAGGCCATCGCCAACACCCCGGCGGCAGTTTTCTTCGGCGAGCCTGCGGTGCGTGTAGCGACAGCATACGCCCAGTTCCCTGAGGGTGAGAGCCCCCCCAGTGAGGAGGAGATCACCGAGATGATACGTGAGCAAGCAGCTGAGCACCGCAAAATGGTCCGCCAGCGTGCCAACGCCAGGGACAACAGAGGCATCGACCCCATCTGGTTTGAGCCGGGTGAGTGGGTGACCTGCCGTGCACTCCCCAAGGCCAGCTCAGTGGCAGATCAGTTTGCACGCCGCCTGGGTCCGTTCCGAGTCGTGTCGCGGCACAAGACCTCCTACCACCTGGCCTATGCTGACGGCAAGCCCTTCCATCGCATTGTACCAGGCGACGCGATCACGCGGTACCACCATGGAGCCTCAGAACGGATCGCGGAGATCGCCCGCAGATCAGAGCCATCAGGCTCAGAGTGGACGGACTCAGAGTGGGCGACCAGCGAGTACGGGGACGGCGGCACGGGCCTCGGCGGGGGCAGCCCAGGGCCGTCGGCACCGCGCCCAAGAGCATACGCTCAAATGCCCGAAGCTAGGGCCCAAATGCTGATATCCCTCCCGTCGGACCCGGGCTACTCATGGCCGGAGACGCCGGCGGTTGGTTCCCCGCCCGAGTCACATGTACAGTTCATGGGCCAGGCCCACCCCAGGATATTCGCGCCCTGGCACCCAACCACACTCGAAGAGGAAGAGGAGGATGCCCCTCAAGTCGCTTTGGAGCCCGCACACATTAGGGTGGGACCATTCACACCACCCCCACAGTCGCCGGGCTCGCCGGACAGCATGGACAACAGCGAAGCAAGATCCTTCCTGACAGAGATCCGCCACCAGCCAGCAGGCAGACTAGAGGTCCCAACAGCCCAAGTGGTCGCTGAGGACGTATCCGAAATGGAGGATGATGGCGACGGCGACAGTACCGGGCCCTACGAGGGACTGCTTGCAAGAGCCGCTGAAGAGCCATATGTGGATGAGCATGACACTGAGAGTGAAGAAGAGGAAGAAGAAGAATACGTGAACGACAGCCGAGACGATAGCGAAGATGTGGCTGGCGGGGCTCTCGTTTCCGACGAGGACGGCAGCACAGCCCCAGAAGGCGAGGACGCTCAAGTCATGGGACACACGCGGGCCTACGATCAGGTGATCGTGACACGGCCCGCGGGTGCACTGCTGACCAGGAAACCGGCTCTGCCGACAGCTGAGATCGTGCCCGGCCGGCCGGTCAAGAGAAGTCGAGCGCTCACGGAGGCAGGCTCGGAGGACGTGCAGCACCACCCGGATGGCCGGGAGGCACTGCCCATATATGACCAGTCACCCTCCCCCCCGAGCCGAGCCAGGCGGCTAAGGTCCGACGTATTCCACGAGCAGAATGAGACCGCCGCTGGCGACACTGGTCTTGACGTTTTTGTTGCGCAGACTGAAGATATGGAAGCAGATGTTGAGGTCGAGAACCGCGAAACAAGTTCCCACCTGCGCGCTGATCGATAGGACGCTAATTGGATAATGCAGGTGCAAATCAGGGAGGCATCACACTGATGCCCAAACATGCCCCCCATCCTGTAATGCACACGCATAAGCGTACACGCACGAAAACCACAACATCGACTTGCCAAGATACCGGTCTACTCGCAGAAGATCCAGTTCTCACCAACGGAGCGCACAATGGACAATGTGCACGACAAAGGCGACTGGGAACATATATAAGATGAGGCTGGCCCCTAGTAGTACTTTAGAAACATCAGTAATAAAACCTTTTATAAAATCACCCCTAACTTTTACCACTAGACAACTAGTGCTCCTCACACCCCCCTCTTACTATAACATTATCAAGTTTAAAAATAGCTTGGACAAAAATATTAGAAAAAAGGTTAGAAATTATTTTTACTTGTCTGCCATCAGTTTATATATGGAATAAAACAATAAAACAATAGTAATTACAAGCTTGAATAAAATAATAACCTGCATTTAATATTCCTACTATCCCGTTATTCTAACGCCACCCGGATATTCAAGCCTGATGGCAAATAAATTACTATTCTTCCATGCACCCTGTTTGCAGAATTATACATGTTTAATTAAATGTATATAATAAATTATATAAACATAAACTGAAATTATTAATAAAAATAGCGCATCAAGATTTTAAATGAAAATAACGTACACTTTAATATCCATGCATAGATATGACTTTTAAAAAAGAGTACGCTTGATAAACTAGTAAACAAAATTATTAATATATTAATGGTTTACACGCTTGGCCAGCCACAGCTCATTGTGCCAGAGTTTATCCGACAAACAGTTCCAGATTCACATGAAAATTGCGCCCAATTTCCATGATTGCAAAAATAGTATGTGGCACTTTCTTCACACGAATCATTGCATTTGTACTCGCCTTCAATTGAGCAAGTGCCTTTAACCATTACACTGGTCGCAATGCTGTTAGCATTAGCTGCAAAATTATTAATTGTAATAGAAATACTGCAAAGTTGATTGCTGTCTTCGGTTAAAGAGGCAGAATCGTTGATTATATTATTTGAAAAGATTTTATCGTTTGTATCATTAGCTAATGAGCTAGACGCGGTGGTAGGTTTGGTTAATTAATCACCATTTTAGCTATTTAACAAATCAAGTAGTTCATCGTTGTAGTCCTTTTCCATTGACCATGACATGATGCTAGCAAGTCCCTTGGACTGGGCATAGTCCATCTTAATCTTGATGCTCTTGGGGTCATCATATGAAATAAAAACCTTTGTCTCTGGGTTGAACAGCCATGGTGTCTGGGAGATTGGATCCCAGTGGCGTACCCATGGCAAAGCAGCAGTTTCAGGGTCGGTAAGAACACCCTGGCTCCGCAGGTTCTTCCACTTCCAATTGCCACTGATTGAAGTAACCCCGGCACAAACATCCAACCACTCGGCGTTGAGAAACTTTATTATAAAAAGTATTAACGGAAGGAAACCTGCAATTACCCTTCGTTTTTACCAATTGCTTCCTTTTGGTTTCTCATTCATTATTTTTTATTTTTCATCCAACTGTTTCCAAATAACTTTGTCTTGAAAAATATAACATAATAATTCTTATAAAGTCACCCTTATTACAATGTGTTCAGAAATAATCCTTCACAATTTTTGCATTGGCATAATTAGATGTGCTTTCAAAAAAATGGTGCTAATATTTTCTCTTTTTCTACAATGCACACATTTGTATAAAGACAAAAAATTAATTGAAAGTAAATAAACGCTTGGTTTTTTATTATGTAGAAAACATCATGGCATGACAGAACAGCTTTTCCTAATAACTGCTTAAATTAAATTATCAGATTTGTCATAGTTGGGCACAAGGTTTCCTTGCTAAGACTATGACTACGCGCGTGGCAATCAGAACATTGCTAATCAAGTATTGTTGTGGTATATCTTGTGTTTCAACAAGAACATAGATGCGGCTGTCAGGAAGTCGAGAAATGGTCTCTTCGGATAAAATAAAGATTCTAAATTACGTTATACCGCTTTGTAACAGATTGTGCAAATAAGGTGATGTGCATACAAATTTATTCGAAATGACACATATCCGTGGTGTGATTAATTCCATCTTCACTAAGCTCATACTCATATATTCGCTATTAAAAGTAAATTAACAAGTTGGCTGCCGTTAGCCAATAATTTTTGTCACATTCCATTCAAAATGATGATACTTCAGTATTCCACTTAAACATTTGGCAAACGGGATGATCAAAATAAAACGAATAATGAATATATTAAATTAAAAGCTCAATACAAAAACCAAGCACACTACATATATTGGTAATGTCAAATAATTAATATAAATAATTAAAGCTCATGGTCCAGGGACGGCACAAGATAAAGTACAATTGTTCATTAGGCAAACTGTATCTATGTCACATGTGCATGCTATCCACTTGCCAAGATTGCACACATAATAAGTAGAACTTTGGATTTCATCATCCTCACACTTGAACTCACTATCCACTGAACATATACGTCGTCGTTGTCGTCATTGGCGTCGTCGTTCATCATCATCATCGTCATCGTCACATCGTCGTCGTTATCGTCGCCGTCGTCGTCGTCGTCGTCATCGTCGTCGTTCTCATCGTTATCGTCGCCGTCGTCGTCGTTCTCATCGTTATCGTCGCCGTCGTCATCGTCATTGTCATCGCCATTGTCGTCGTCATTGTCGTCATCGTCATTGTCATCGTCATTGTCGTCGTCGTCGTCGTCATCGTCGTCATCGCCGTCGTCGTCGTCATTGTCGTCATCGTTCTCATCGTTATCGTCGCCGTCGTCGTCATCGTCGTCATCGTCGTCGTTCTCATCGTTATCGTCGCCGTCGTCGTCGTTCTCATCGTTATCGTCGCCGTCGTCATCGTCATTGTCATCGTCATTGTCGTCATCGCCGTCGTCGTCGTCATTGTCGTCATCGTTCTCATCGTTATCGTCGCCGTCGTCGTCGTCGTCGTCGTCGTCATCGTCGTCGTCATCGTCATTGTCATCGTCATTGTCGTCGTCGTCGTCGTTCTCATCGTTATCGTCGCCGTCGTCGTCGTCGTCGTCATCGTCGTCGTCATCGTCATTGTCATCGTCATTGTCGTCATCGTCGTCATCGTCGTCATCGTCGTCGTTCTCATCGTTATCGTCGCCGTCGTCGTCGTCGTCGTCATCGCCGTCGTCGTCGTCATTGTCGTCGTCGTCGTCATCGCCGTCGTCGTCGTCATTGTCGTCGTCGTCGTCATCATCATTGTCATCGTCATTGTCGTCGTCATCGTCGTCATCGTTGTCATCGTTCTCATCGTTATCGTCGCCGTCGTCGTCGTCGTCGTCGTTTTCATCGTCGTTTTCATCGTCATTGTCATCGTTATCGTCATTGTCGTCTTCGTTGTCGTTGTTGTCTGCTGAAGATATTCGACTAGCGGTGCTTTGTGCCCCAACTGCTGAACTAGTGTTTGCTGAAGATATTTGACTAGAAATACTGTTAGCTGAGGAATTGGATTTTATATTGGACTTAGCTCCACTGCCTTCTACCCAAGTATTCAGCAAGTCGACAAGCTCGCCTTTGTAGTCCATTTCCATCGACCATAGCATAAGGCCAGCAAGTCCCTTGGACTGGGCATAGTCCATCTTAATCTTGATGCTCTTGGGGTCATCATATGAAATAAAAACCTTTGTCTCTGGGTTGAACAGCCATGGTGTCTGGGAGATTGGATCCCAGTGGCGTACCCATGGCAAAGCAGCAGTTTCGGGGTCGGTAAGAACACCCTGGCTCCGCAGGTTCTTCCACTTCCAATTGCCACTGACTGAAGTAGCCCCGGCACAAACATCCAACCATTCAGCGTCATCAGAATCACCCAATGGCACCACTTTGGACTGCGCCTGGTATTGGTTCTCTGGGTCCAGGGTCATGTCGACTGTAGCTGTTGTCGATCTTCCGTAGAATGCAACACCACCAGTCAGCTGATTTGCAGGCCAACCATTACCTGTCCATGCATCAATGGCGGAGACAAACGAAAAGGGTGTGCCTTTGCCTTGCTCAAAGTCAAAAGGTCCATTGGGACCAGTCTCTGGGTTCCAAGCACCGTTGATGTCGTACTGCATGAGATTGGCAAAGTCTACAACCTTGGCAAACTCGGTAACATCGGACGGTACGCCATTGATGTGGAATGGTTCCACATAGACAGCCATGGTGATTAGCTTGGTGCGGTCGCCAAACTGAGAATCAAGCTCGGCACGCAGATCTTGCAGGAAGGTAAGAAAGTTCGGAGTGTCGTTCACCTCGTCAAAAGCATTACACGCATTGCCCAGGCGGCCTGGATACTCCCAGTCAATATCGATGCCGTCAAGATTATATGTCTTAATAAAGTCTACCATGGCGTTTAGAAAAGTAGAGCGTATAGTATTGTCCTTGAGAATAGTAGATATCTTGGAGGAGCCTGACCAGCCGCCGACAGATAAAAGAGCCTTGGTGTTCTTGGCTTGGATGGCAGCAACATCACCTTCGAGTGTTGCTATGCCATTGTAGGCAATGGAACCATCATCGTTGGGAATGCCGAATGCCATATTAATGTGTGTATACTTGGAAAAGTCCAATCCGACAATGTTTGTGGCTTGCCATGATGGATAGTAGCCAAGTTTAATGCCTGCGCCCACAACTGACGTGACCGTACTCATAACTGTCATTGCAGCACTGAGGACCATGTTAAACTTCATGCCTTGATGTATAAACTAAGCTGAAAGCGTAGAGGTTTTATTAAAAATTAAGATGTGCATGCGATTTTTAAATCGATTGGAATGAGATATAAAAATAAGATAGCCAATACATATGCTAAATATAAACCTATTATGTAGACAAAAATACGTGTGGAAAATAATGATAAGAATTGTTTGATAACGAGCATTGGAATATTCCTCAGTTATTTATACTCCATTTTAACGCGGGTATTTTTTCGATGTAAATTTTTTTGCCATCTTGCGACGATATAACTATATAACAAATTGGTTTTGCGTTTAAAAAACAACTTTGTTTTATAGGTAATAAGTTTTCAACAATTATCATGTGTATTGGTATAAATGATGAATGATCATAAACATTTTAATTGTAAAAAGAAGGCATGTGTTTATTGTAAAATGAATCACAAACTACATGTGACTATTTGAAAAATTAGTATGTGACATTTTATCTTTAGCTACAAAAAAAGCTAAACTAATCAACTGTCTTTTAAATAATTATGCAGTGCTAATGAGCATGTAATTCTGAGTGGGTGTAGCCATTATTAATAGATAATGTTTATAAACTTATAATAATTCAACTTTATATTGGTTGATGGCGATCAACTGATTGACCAGTCTTGGCTGTTTGGCCACATAAACAATAAGTCACACAGTGACCAGAGCAATATGCTCTCTTTTCTTCACCTTTCACCGTGCATAGCACTTTAGTTATTAAATATACTTTATAGAATTATACTTTATCTACACGTTCATAGAACGTCCTATATTCCAACACTTTAGGGCTTTTATAATGAACGCAGCCTTAGCCGGAATTGTGTGTGGACAGACAAGCAAGTTGCTGCCAACATGCAGTTTAAAGAGCCCAGTTACACCAAAGTTGGCAAGGCCTGGCCTTCGTACATCGCTGGCATTATCCATCACCATGCAATAAATATCAGGATTTCACAACCCCCATGACCTAACGGACGTGTGTATTACCTTGGCCTTCAATAAACTGCCAAAGAAATACTTTTGTAAGTAGATATTTAATAAGCAGCTGTAGTGCCGGATTATATACGACATTTACCTGTTTAAGCTCAAGCCATATGACAGTGCCAAAGGGAGATTGGTAGGCATAGCAAGATGGTAGCGTCGCATTGAGAACAGTCTCAGGCAGAAAAACTCAGACTGACGCACAGCAGCAGAAGTACCAATAGTCAACCTGTCCCATGTCAAATATGGTTTGCAAGATATTGAGAAGTGCGATGGGTGTGTGGAACACCATAATATCAACAAGAAGTACAGCGCCTATAACCGGCAATTCACAGCCAGTCCATAGGCACTGTAAACATGCGAGGACAACAGCAGAGGCAACATCAGCATACTGGAATTTCAACACAAAGATACAAGAAAAGTTCCAGTCAAGAGCACACCTCAAGGACATGCGCTGGGCACAGGGAATTGCAATGTACTCTGACAGCTCATACACCACCATCCCCGACCAGCTGATTTCCTTTATGGCAATTATATCCTAGACCACAACTGGAGGTGGACACTCAAAATCTGTTATATCAGACAGGGCCACTGAGGGACCATTCTCGTCAACTACCATGGAGCTCCTGACACTTGCTGCAGCAGTGGCCATAGTGCCTCGGGAGAAGAGGGTCGCAATCTTCACTGGCTTGCAGGTAGTGATGAAATTGCCAGAGGAACTACTGGACAAGAAGGATGTACAGCACAAACATCAAAGGTAAAACATTGCATTCTTAGCTATGCATGTGTGCCTGTGGTTCCAGAACCAAATGGCAAACACGCATATCGTCTGGGTAATGGGCCAAAGTGGCATCCCTGACAATGAGAAGGCGGACCAAGTGGTAGAGAGAGTGCACAACAGTCTGGCCCCCTGGGTGGCCAGACTGGTGGAGGAAAAATAATCCAAAGCAATTCAGACTCTGTGTAGGCAACCAGCTAGCCCCAATAACAGCAGGGAGACTCATCTGCCGCCAGGGTGAGAACTGCGTCAGGAACCTATTTATGGGCCACCTGGTGCACGCACAAATGACAGTCTGCTCAAGCACAGAGGCCACACCCGCTTGACCCACAAGCAGCACAGCAACTTGCAGAAGCCCAGAATGCAGCACCCGGTGAGCTGCCAACAGCGCCCAGGGCCAGGCTCACATTATCTCCTTCAACTCTCTCTCTCAACACCCCCAATAGAAACAGCTACAACTTCAACCACAGGCACAGCAGCCACATAATTACCACCACTGCCACTGCCACTACAGCAACTGCAACTGCAGCCGCAGCCACCAGTAACCAGGCCGACAACATCACTAGAACAGCCACTACCTGATATCAATCCCATTACCAGCACAACAACTCCATTACCCCTGGAGGAAAAATACAGCTTGGAATGACGACAGATGTGCTATCTGGCTCGGGCGACCAGCATGGCTAGAGACAGATCAGGAAAATGGGTCTTGTAGAACAGCCACAGGATCACCAACCAGCAGGAACACAACCACTGCTTGTTCATGACCAACCTGGCTCACAGCTTAGCCCCAGTGATGCAGCGGCAGACAAACTGGTACAGGGGTGCATACCCAGAGACAGAAATGCAATGATGTCCTTGAGGCTGCAGACAGCTAGAGACCTGGGGATACATGATGGTCTGTGAGCACAGGTCCTGTTATGTTAAAAATATATATTTGAACTGAATGAACTAAAAGAAAGCTGAGAGATGAACAGCCTCCACTGTTCATATTCATTAGTATTTATATGTGCATATGAATTCCCGCATGTCCAAGTAGGGAATTAACTGGCGATTGATTCATTAATCAATCGCCAGAGACAAGCCGCAATTTCTTGTATCACAGGTCCACAGTCCTCCCACCATCAACACTGGAGCTAGAAAAAAGATGGGGCTCCAACTCGCAGATGGCCATGTGTGCCTATGTACTCAAATTGTCCCTGTTAATTCTGCTTTTGGAGGAGTGGGCGCTGAACATCAAGAAATCCATGGCTGAAGAGACCAATTATGGCCACAGTGAGCAGTTCAGATACAAGGAGTTCACATGACCAACAGCAAGTGAGATCAGCGCCCAGAGACAGATCACAGAGAAGACTGAGTTTATATACAACCACTGGAAGAAGAAAAATGGCCAACAGGACTTCTAGGGGAGAATAGTCAAGGATTCTGCCTAAGAGGAGGTGTTGGTGGCTGTGACAGTCACAGACAACAGATCGTAGCAGAGGTGCGAGGACAGCAGCCATACCTCCCTATAGCATGGCAATGAGGAGATAACCTCTTGGACTTCAGACTGGTGGTACTTGTCACCATGGGTCTGGAGATAAGGGTTATTACCAGTGGGGCTGCCTTTGACCTCGCCCACCTCTAGAGATTTAACTTTGGTGAGTGAATGGGGGAGGAACAGCTGCAAGGCAGTCCTGGACCTGCCATTCGCATCGCTGAGGCAAGATATATTTTTTGAAATAACTTGCCCAGGCCCATAGGTCCATAATTGGTCCCTGTAAGGGGTGTTGTTTGGGTACTCGTTCAATGTTTTTTGTTTGTTTTTTTTACTTAATTCGCTCCATAATAATATTCAATCTCCATTCAAACAGTAAACATTATGTATTGAACGTGCTATAAAAAGATTACTCCAATTTATTGTTTTCAATAAAAAAGGAAAATAAACAAGCTAAAAGCATATCAATATTGATGCTTGGTTAGCCACAGGTTAAATTTCCCGAGTCCATTTGACACACTTTTCCACAGCCACATGAGAGCTGCAACCACTTGGAGTAAATGCAAATATAGTACGTGGAGCTCTCACCATTAGAATCATCGCACTTGTACTCGCCCTCTGTTGAGCAAACGTTATCAACAATTGAATTGGCTTTTACGTTTGCATTGGTATCTTTTGGAGCCGCTATATCATCACCACTTGTTGTCGGAACCATTGAACTAGTTTTGTTATTTGCTGAAGATTTTTGACTAGCAGTGCTTTGTGCCCCAACTGCTGAACTAGTGTTTGCTGAAGATATTTGACTAGCAATACTGTTAGCTGAGGAATTGGATTTTATATCGGACTTAGCTCCACTGCCTTCTACCCAAGTATTCAGCAAGTCGACAAGCTCGCCTTTGTAGTCCATTTCCATCGACCATAGCATAAGGCCAGCAAGTCCCTTGGACTGGGCATAGTCCATCTTAATCTTGATGCTCTTGGGGTCATCATATGAAATAAAAACCTTTGTCTCTGGGTTGAACAGCCATGGTGTCTGGGAGATTGGATCCCAGTGGCGTACCCATGGCAAAGCAGCAGTTTCGGGGTCGGTAAGAACACCCTGGCTCCGCAGGTTCTTCCACTTCCAATTGCCACTGACTGAAGTAGCCCCGGCACAAACATCCAACCATTCAGCGTCATCAGAATCACCCAATGGCACCACTTTGGACTGCGCCTGGTATTGGTTCTCTGGGTCCAGGGTCATGTCGACTGTAGCTGTTGTCGATCTTCCGTAGAATGCAACACCACCAGTCAGCTGATTTGCAGGCCAACCATTACCTGTCCATGCGTCAATGGCGGAGACAAACGAAAAGGGTGTGCCTTTGCCTTGCTCAAAGTCAAAAGGTCCATTGGGACCAGTCTCTGGGTTCCAAGCGCCGTTGATGTCGTACTGCATGAGATTGGCAAAGTCTACAACCTTGGCAAACTCGGTAACATCGGACGGTACGCCATTGATGTGGAATGGTTCCACATAGACAGCCATGGTGATTAGCTTGGTGCGGTCGCCAAACTGAGAATCAAGCTCGGCACGCAGATCTTGCAGGAAGGTAAGAAAGTTCGGAGTGTCGTTCACCTCGTCAAAAGCATTACACGCATTGCCCAGGCGGCCTGGATACTCCCAGTCAATATCGATGCCGTCAAGATTATATGTCTTAATAAAGTCTACCATGGCGTTTAGAAAAGTAGAGCGTATAGTATTGTCCTTGAGAATAGTAGATATCTTGGAGGAGCCTGACCAGCCGCCGACAGATAAAAGAGCCTTGGTGTTCTTGGCTTGGATGGCAGCAACATCACTTTCGAGTGTTGCTATGCCATCGTAGGCAATGGAACCATCATCGTTGGGAATGCCGAATGCCATATTAATGTGTGTATACTTGGAAAAGTCCAATCCGACAATGTTTGTGGCTTGCCATGATGGATAGTAGCCAATGATATAACCTTGTGCTACAACGGTTGTGGCCGTACTCATAACTGCTATTGCAGCACTGAGGACCATGTTAAACCTCATGACTTGGTGTTGAAGCTTACCGAGAGAGTAAATAAGTGACCAAGGTCAAAATTAAGGTTGCAATAGGGGTTTAACAAGCACTTGAATGTATAGATAACCTGTATCTGTAAAAATGTAAACTGTGGATACTGTGTAATAAATAATAATGCAAACTGTAGGTTTAGGACGATTAAAAATTGCAAAAAATAATTAGATGGGGATAAAAAAATTTAAATGTGAAAACAGGGAATTAGCTTATTTCACAATTTATATGTCGCATTTTGTTGATTTGTGTTTTACAACTGCTGAAGCAGTGCACATACTTTTTTCTTTTTTTCTTTACCTAAATACTCTTTTTTTACAATTTTTCTTTGGGTATGGCTGCTGCATTTAAAAACTTTACGAGCGGCTTTGTATTAGTGTCACATTCCACTTTTCTTTTTATAAAAACGCGCAAATATATACAATGTCCACGTTTTTCCTTTTATATAAAGTAACTGCACAAGATGGCGTGACAAGTGAACTAATTGTTGATTTTTACTGCATGAGTGATTAATAATGATGGTGGGCGCCCTTTTTTTATGTACTCATTAATAAAAGCAAACCAAGACCATGAATCACGCGAAAGGTTTTAAAAAAAGCAGCTCATTCAAAATTATCGTATACACACATGCTGAGTGAATACATTATTAAATGATTAAATTTGAAAACGTGGGCCAAGACGCACTATAGCGCTTGTTTGTTTGGGAAAAGCGTTTTTCAATTAGTGCTCCCTCCCTTGACAAAGCGTGCACGACAAAATATACAGCTATTACTGCTGACCCCTTTTTTATGACATCCAGGCTTCAAGTAAAAAAACGAAGCAACACGCATGCAAGGCTTTATTGGGTAAATTAACCTCGGCAGTTGTTTTGGTTTGTACCTTAAAATATAAAGTAGTAAGCTGCATGCTGGCATTCGGAAAAAATAAAGTACAGCACTGGCACAATATAATGCATGCAACAAGGACAATGATGATCGGTTAGGTGTTCATTTTATTCCTTGTTTAGTATCATACTTTTTGACACATATTATAACCTGCTCTATAATCTTGCCTTTGAAATATTATTTTGATAATTCCTCGCCTTTCCACCTATAATTTAAACAATTTCAATATCCTTATAAACAATGCGAGTTTTATGCGCATCACGGTATAGCACAGTGCTGGCCAGTGCAGCGTTGGTTTCAGGGAGCATAATTGCTGGTTATGCACCCGGCTGGAAGGATCTAAACAGTGTGGACGTTTCAAAGTTTACGCACATCAATCTTGCATACGCGGAGCCTCAGGCCAACGGGTCATTCACTTTTGAAGCCAGCTACGACATTGGCGAGTTTTCTGACAAGGTGCACAAAGCCGGCTCGCGCGCAATCTTGGCAGTGGGCGGCTACTTGGGCTCGATACACGTATCAGACGTGCTTAAAAACTCTGACAACCGCAACCGGATGATTAGCACCATTGTAAGCTATATCCGGGATAGCCGCCTTGACGGCGTGGACATTGACTGGGTTGGCAGCGAGTGCAACAAGGCTGACTTACAAAACGACGCCTCTAATCTGCTAATTTTAGTGCGCGAGCTGCGCCAAGCACTAAATTATTCATTTGGACCAGACAGCAAAAAGGTCATTGCCCTTGGCGTGGGTATGAGCCCGTTTGCCGGTCCCAACGGCCCACTCAGTGATGTGTCGGAGTACGCAAAGTGGGTCGACTACATCAATATCCTGTCCTATGACGTCAACAGTCCACATAGCAGCACAACTGGGCCCAACTCTCCGCTCAATTACGAGTATGGCCGTGGGGCGCAGTACTCTCTCATTTCTGCTATTGACAGCTGGACCGCTGCAAAGTTCCCAGTCAACCAGATCATTGCAGGAATATCCTTCTATGGCCGATCATCAAAGTCCACTGTTGACATGTCGACGCAGCCGTGGAACGTGTACCAGCCACAGGAAAGTGAGATCCCCAGGGGCGATGAGGATGATGGCTTGTGGGTCGATCGGTGCACTAACAAGCCGGCGAGCTATTCAGGAATATGGTCATACAAGAACTTGCGCAAGCAGGGCGTGCTGCAGTCTTTAGAGCTTGCGACAACCCCCTGGCAGCGCAACTGGGATAGCCTATCGCTGACACCGTGGGTATTCAACCCAAGCAGCAAGGTATTTATATCCTATGATGATCCGACAAGCATTGCGGCAAAGGCCAGCTATGCTCTGGGCAAAGGACTCGGTGGAGTGTCAATTTACGACATCACAATGGACTACAATAATGAGCTGATATCGGCAATTACCAATATAATCCAGCCCGAACCGCCACGCAACAACGCAGATGTAAATCAATCATGGGCGCAGCCGCAACCGCCGTCCATTATGCCTACACCACCATTGGCAGTGCCCAACGAGTCTATTGGCTGGCCATCAGGCAGCATCAGTATTGGTGAGTTGCCTGCCAGTACCATACTTAGCAGTAGCGTTCAAAGCACAGATGTGCGAAATGGTGCAAGCTGTGGTTCAGCAACAGTTTACAGGTGTATTGAGAGCGATGGCATGAGCTCAACCTATATTACGTGTGCATCGGGAGTTTGGGTTCAACAACAATGCGGTTCGGGGACAGCCTGCAAACAGAATGGTGATTTCATACATTGTGACTGGCCGCGCTAGAGGTAATGGGCAATACAAATTACTATTGAGTGCGGTGTTTCACATTTCTCCAAGTTTTGTCAATATAAACAAATATATTAAACACTATAATATCATACGGTTACATACAATGCAACTGTTTGCAGCGAGTTTGGCAATGGTGTTATTTTGTCAGCAGAGATGAATGAATGGAAAATGCCGTGTATTTTACCACTTTAAATACACGATAGGTCGACTAAATAAAACCGATTTGACAGACGTTTAGTATATTTATTTGATGTGACATACCTGTCAGTTGTCAGTCACCATTGCATATGGACATTGCAGGAATATTTAATTTTGTTTTTTGAACACGTGGCTCAAAAAATGTAAGTTGCCATTTGTGTGTGGGGAAAGTGAAAGTGAAAGAAGGGGCAGCCTTAGCAGGTTCATTGTGAAAATAAGAGACAGCTTTAAAGACGTTCCAAATCAAGTGATGGTTGTTATTAGGCTGATTTCAAAAGTCAAAGTCGCTGCGCGTACTTTAAACACGTCATGTGGAAATTTGCTGCCAGCTGTTTTATTTCACAATGCCTGTCATCAATCTCGTTTACGCATATATGCAAGATATATTATATTGAGGGGTAATTATTATCTTTTTACTAACGTACTGGTATAAAATAAGACTGCCACGCAGCTTGGAAGGGTTGAAATGCTACGACAAATTTCAAAACTCAGCGCCCTGTTGTTCTAGTCACCTCATTATTTTATATTAATAAATTTGATCAAAAGATAGAACAGAGGAACTATAACTTCCAATTGGTATTTCGTTGCCGTCCCTTTTTGTTTTTACATTTACAAATATTTTATCAAGTCTTATCACTAGCATTGCATTTGCATTTTGCATTAAACGCTTTTCATTCCTTATTTTTATATTAAATAGTCAATAATGCACATGTTGCTTAACATTGCCGGACTGGCTTTAGGCATGTTTACTCAAGTACTAGGCAGGCCCATGATTATTGGCTATTACCCGTCCTGGAAGAGAGCACGAATGGCGAACGTGGACTTTTCAAAGTACGCGCACATCAATCTGTCTTTCGGCATCCCAACAGCGGAGGGTACCTTTAGCTACGAGGGTGACTGGTTCCTGGCTCAGACAGTGGCAGACATCCACAGCAAGGGTGCCAAGGTTCTTCTTTAGGTCGGCGGATGGACGGGATCCAACTACTTTTCCAACATTGTCAAGAGCGCTTCCACGCGCAGCATAATGGTTACTAGCATAGTTAACTATGTCAAGACGAACAATCTCGACGGAATCGACATTGACTGGGAGTACCCGGGCCGCCTGGGCAACACGTGTAACATTTTTGACCCTGTCAACAATACGCCAGACTTTTTGGTGTTTCTCTAGGAGCTTTGCATGGCCTTTGACAGCAGCTTTGGGCCGCGGCAGAAGCTAATTACTCTTGCGATTTGCGTTGAGCCGTTTGATGTTACTGGCGGGCCTTTGAAGGACATTGCTGCCTTTGCCAAGGTCGTCGATTATGCCAATCTTATGCAGTACGATATCAACAGCAGTTGGAATGCAGAGACCGGGCCCAATGCGCCGTTCAACTTTGAACAGGGCAAAGGTGCGCCCTTGTTGTTTGTCACTGCAATCGATTCGTGGACCGGGGCTGGCTGACCGGCCGTCCAGCTGACAGCAGGCATTGGATACTATGGGTGGTCGACGACTGCAAAGGTTGATATGACCAAGGACCCTAACAACCAGTACCAGCCGCAAGAGAGTGTGGTCCCACTTGGCGACTCTGAAGATGCCGCGTGGTATGATGCCTGCGCTGGAACAACCTCCAACAGCGGCACGTGGATGTGGAAGCATTTGTGCAACCAGGGCGTGCTAAGCAGCCCCAGCACGGCGGCAGCGCCGTGGGTGCGCCAGTGGGACCCGGTCTCACAGACGCCGTGGCTGTTCAACCCAACCACCAAGCAGTTAATCTTGTATGACGATCCGCAGAGCATCAAGATAAAGGTCGACTATGCTGCCGCCAAGGGCCTTGGCGGAACTATGATCTGGTCAATCAACATGGACTACAATAACAAGCTCATCGATGTGATTCATAGCTGGAATATTGGCGGACCACCAATTAACACGACTATTTCGGCTGATTCAAGCACCGCGGCGGTCCCAACGGCATCAAATACAGCTACAATTACCACAACCATTACAGTGACTCCGTCAAAACATTATCCTACTGTCACCATTATCAATGGTAGTGGTAATAGCGGCGAAACACCAGTTCCTGGCAGCAGTTGTTTATTCAATAAAGTTCACAAGTGCGCAAAAATATCCGGCAAGGATGACGGCTACAATGTGTCTCTTTGGCACATGGGTGGCTCGATCATGCGGTAGCGGCACTGCATGCTTCCAAAGTGGATCCACTATAAACTGCGACTGGCCTTCATTGTGATGCGCAAGACAGATATTCTTTTGTTTGCTATGTCGAAGAAATTTGCTTCTACTGCACTTTTATTTATTATTTACAAAACATTTATAAACACTAGTAAAAACTTTAAATTGCATTCATATGTCGCATTGATAATTTTTTGTTCAATGCTTTAATAATACAAAATTATAAGCGCTGAAATAGATATCGCTTACAGTAACTCCAATTAAACGCCTTTCAAATTCATTACCATATGTTGGAGCCAACAGTATAGTGCTCTTTGGATATTAGGAAATGTTGGAATATAGAACGTTCTATGAACGTGTAGATAAAGTATAATGCTATAAAGTATATTTAATAACTAAGTGCTATGCACTGTGAAAGGTAAAGAGAAGAAAACATATTGCTTTGGTCACTGTGTGACATTGTTTGTGTGGCTAAACAGTCAAGACTGGCTAATCAGTTGATCGCCATCAGCCAATAGGAAAGCGTTGCAATTAACTTTTATTTAGCTATTTACTCTTCTTTTTGATATTAGTTTTGCCTATATTCAGCATATATAACATGGTATCATTCGTAATACCTGGATATTTCTCATTAGGAGCCTTACGTTCTGCTTCAGTAGTAACCTTACTAAAACATGACATTTGCTGAGTGGTGAAAGTGTAATTTTTGGTTAAAAATATAAAATGCAACTGTTTGTAAAAAAATTAAAGGCAGTTAGATATGGGAACGGAGAAAATTGTATAAAAAAGATGTGCTATACAAGAGCGCAACATGCAGTGTGTATATAGACAGAAAATACAAGTGTCTTTTATTTGCTTAGCAGGACAAGGCTTCTGAGTTGAATTATTCCTTCACAAAAGTATGTCTACTTATGTTCCGCTCTACATCTAAAAGAATATTCCTATGGAACAATAAATGGAGCGGGAATTTTTTATTTTTACCACTATTTTATATATAGAAGCCAAATAGAATGCGAGACTGTGACGGCTGGTGGGACGAGGAGTAGTTTGAAAATATGTATTTCTGTACTTGTTTATTGCTTCTACAACTTAATTTTACTAACATCATGAACTTGAAAAGAGTTGAAATACAGCCTTGCATATACCTTGGGCAATTGAAAAATAATATGACAGCAAATGTCGATTTCAATAGAACAATTAAGAAAAAGATAAAAGCAATTGTAAATATAGCATGCTGCAAACCAGTCGTGGGGGGGTGTTCCCACTGTCCCCTTGCCGGGGCCATGCACACGTGATGTGAACGTTGCATTGCAAATGCATAAATCAATCACAAACCTGTTACTACATGGGTTTATTATTGGCATGCATTTAGTTTGATTTATGAAACTATTCATCTCATCATATTTTTGACGGTGTTTGCATTTCTTTGTATCCACGGCGATGCTTACCAAAACATTGCTAGCCGACGTGGAAGTTGCAGAAGAGAGTGCTCCCTCAGCCAAGTATTGTTTGCATAGCTTTCTTATATATTCAGGGCCAGCCGCCGACTCTGTAGCGGTTGGTTCCTTGTTCAATTTAACAGATGCTTAATCCTATATACCTCTACTCTCGTTGGGAGATTCCCAATACGCATATTATAAAAAGACGTTAAATGAGGCCAAAATACAAATAAAGGCACATAATTGATTTGGAATGTAAGCAAAAATAGAGTACATAGAGTGGTATTGACAATGGGATAGCCTATTGAATAACCTGCTCACAACTTGCCACTTCTAGATTTTTTTATTATAAATTTATTTTAGACAAGTAGCATGTAAATGTATATTGAAAGCTCAACTGTTGCGCAGCCCGAGGACATGGAAGCAGATGTTGGGGTCAAGAATTGAAACAGATACCCGTTTGCTTCCTGATGAATCAAATATGTACTAGACCATAGTGTATTAAGTCAGGTGCTAATATTGACATCCAGACAGTTTGTTTTGTAATGCATGCGCATGAGCCTACACACGTGAAGGCCACAACAATGATATATCAGAAATCCGGGCTACTTTCATAAAAACCAGTTCTCGCCAACGAAATGCAGAACTGGTGGAATGCACAACAAGGGAAATGAGACACATATATAAGACGAGGCTGGCGCTGGTAGCACTTTAGAAACATTAGTATTAAAAAACATTTATAAAACAACCCATCCTTTTAACACTACCACAGTAGTGCTCCCTCACCACCCCCTCTTATACAATAACCAAATAATAATAGTGAAGCTGTTGAATTTATTCAAGGTAAAAGTTTAACAAAAAGAAAAAACGAGACAATATAAAAATCAAAGTTTAAAGTTTTAAACATTACTCGTAAGCTTGTAGTCTGTGTTTTTTGGAAATTAAATAAATTTACTTGTTAATGTGATTGTCCACGCACATGGTTCCATCAGAATGTAATCTTTTAATTTGTATTATTTCTTTTTATTTGAGACACGAGTTTTACCCATCATATATAAAAAACTCATGTTACCTCCAACACCTTGGAATTTTTTAGTAAGTTGTTCTAATTCATCATTAGTGGTTGTGGGATTAGAGGGTTTCTTGTTCTTGTTCTTGTTCTTGTCATTTGAATCATATTTGGCGGTATGGTTTTCGAGGCTGTTTACAAACTTATCGGGTTTATTATTGAATCTGAACATGGGTATACTTTGGGTAGTGTATTCTTGTCAACTGCGAATAATACGGCGGCTTTCAAACTTAAGTAAGGTGTTATATATCAATACAAAATAACTTATAAAGTGGGAAAAAGAGATGAGAAAAAACAAGAGTAAAGGGGGCAAGCACTGAAAAGTGAGGTTTTATAGAAAAAAGAATGAAATTATTTCACTTACTGAAAAATGAGCAAGGCTCATTTTGATGCATTAGGTATTAAAAGAATGTCTACAGAATATAAAAGAAAAGAAAAATAAAGTATTTTTCTTTGCCATTTCATTATATAATTGGTATGGAAAATGTAAAAAGAAAATCGAGATGAATTGAGCTGCGGCATTGCAAAAAGCCGTTGCAGTACATATTTGTGGACTTTGTTTGTTTTGAACCAATTGTTTACCTCGAACGGCAAACGTGAATCTCATGTCCATAGTATGCCACGTAGACAAAGGCTCTACACATATTTCTGACAGCAAAAAAAAGATGGAAACACGCATGCAAAATACAAGCAACGAGGCAGATACCCGGATGAGAAAAGCAGGCAAAGGTGAGGGAAAAATAATTGTATAAATAAATGCAAAAGAAAATTTTATAAAGAAACAAAGACTGTCTATTTTTACTTGTTGAAATTCCGAACTAATGCAAAGGGTAAAAGAACACTGGTGCTTTGAACATTTATTTTTATTTGTATACTTGGCTGATAAATGCCAAAGGACCAGCTGAATAATCGAATAAAAAAGAATAGAATAGAACGCGTTATGTAAGAGGGGGTGTAAGGAGCACTACTGTAATAGTGTTAAAAAGATGGGTGTGAAACTATAAAGGTTTTTATTACTAGTGTTTTTAAAGTGCTATTATCGCCGGCCTCGCCTTATATATATCTCCTTGTCTTTGTGACACTCGTTGGCAGTCGTGTGCTCCATTCGCAAGAACTGGTCCTTATGAAAGTAGCCCGGGTCTCTGATATGGTATAATTGGCATGTCTGTATTCTTGCGCCCAGCACATCCATTTCTGGACAGGCAGTATGTCCGGATGTCAATTGTGGCACCTAATTTGATCCCCTGTAATTTGGCCCATATCAGATCCATCTGTGAGCTGACGAGAATCCGTCTCATGGTTTTCGCCCTCAGTGTCTACCTCCATATCCTCGGGCTGCGTAACAAACGAATGTTTTGCACAATTATTTAGTTTTAACAAAAACTCAACGCATGCAGCAACTTGTATATGTGCATTTGAAGTCGGTTTTTTTCATATTTTCATAATTTTTTCCAACTTTGTAAGCAGGGAGAAAAGTCGGGTATGTAGCTTACATTCCCGATGGAGAGGTTGTGAGATACCTAACTATTATACCAACAAATCCGAACAGACTAAGGCTCTGTGGGAGGTCTCACTTTTCAATTTGGGTGGGTCCCCTTTCCCTGTTGGATTCGTTTTATTATAGTTTTTATTGAAAATTCAATTTATTTGCAAAAAATAAAAAATATTTGCATAAAAATTCTAGAAAAAATACTTGGCAGCCGCCAATGTCCGCTGCCAAGTCCGCCGCTCAACATGGTGTCAAAGCAAGCGTCCACAAAAATGCAAGAATATGTAAAAAGGCTGCTGACGCTGGGATAGCAGCTAATGTTTAAAAGTGTGGCAAAAATGCAAGCGGAAGAGGCGAGTCAGTCGGTTCCCTTACATCGACAACCTGATTTGTGACGACATCCTCAGCTGGTTTAACCATGCTGTGTTCACCGACCCTGGCAGGCGCGACATCCTCAGCTGTATGAGATATTTGAGTGGGTCCAATGAGGACGTCAACAACGCCAAGATTTATACCAGCAGCACTCTCGCCCATGCGCGCAAAACCTGCCATTTAAACAAAACCCGAAACTTAGTGAATAACAAGTTTAAGTTGACTGAGGACAGCCCGAAGCTTGCCCTACTGCTGAAGGCTCGCACACAACCGTCAGTATGGCCAAGACTGCACTGGCCCATCCGGAGTCGAGCTCGCTCAACCTCGATGAGTATGTCGAGTATTTTTTAGAGATGCACAAGGTCGAGTTTGTCCTCATTGAGTTCTACCAAAATACCATGGCCCGACGCCATACCATTACCCCCAAAGGTGCTGGGTTCTTTGCCCCACTACACCGCATCATCCATTACCTTGCATACGAAACCCAGAAAAAGGCTGACGTCCAGCTCACGTGCACTCTATGTAAAAAATGGCAAAAATTAAGCTCTTGCTCTCGGCAATTAGTCGGCTGGGATATTCCACCATCAAGAGCCACTCTGCAGCAAGGGGATGTGCGAGATGCTGCTGCGACACGAATTCAAAGTGGTCCTAATCGACGAGTTCTGGACATCCAAGTTCCTATTCAACAAAAAAGAACAAGTGCATAGTCAAAATAACCAAGTGTGTATTCAAAACCCCAGCGACAGCTATTTCTGCGACACAGCCTGAAAAAACCCAAGAGTCAAGCTCAAGCTCTCCGCTGATACTAATATCAAGTAAACCTTTTTAATCGGCTGCATGGTGATGGAAGCCTTTCAGAAACTATATGCATAACATTAGACAATTGATTACCTGAGATGCAATTACATGGTTCTTTCAAAAATTAGCGTATTAAGATTATCTTAAAGATCTAATTAGCGAGTTCCGCATTTTGGCCGGTCATGATTGGATATGCGTATTTTATGACAATCGCAGATTGTTGTGTATTGCCAAAAACATGGCTGTGAGATGAAGGGGGCGAATAAGGTCAAAGCAAGTCTTTTTTTTTACGGACTTTCCTTGAAATCCCGGCGTTTGGTGCTTTTTGTATTTTAGTTAGCTCCGAGTGTGGTGGAAAAAAGAAAAAGGCATAGACTGCTCAGTGAATTCAAAGAAGAAAAAAGAAATAAACAAACAAGCAGAAGCAAGCTTGGGTACAAAACCGCCAGATAGGGACTGTCTTTGCTTTTCCTTGCTCTTGAACATACTCTAACTTTATATTTATTCTGTTATTCATTTGTTTCTCGTATAAAACCTAAGAAGGCGCGAGGTGAATTCCACGGCCGACACATTTGTTATTTCAACGCAAACACCATTAATACAGGAGACAGACCGACCGACAGACACACACACAAAGACGATGGATATTCTCAATATGATCGTTGACCATGTGCAGGAGATGCTGAGCACGACCGTCGATATCTCAAAGATTGTGCCGGCCGGATACGAGCTCAATTGGTTTGAAAAGACCTGGTTGTCAGCCTTCGATGGGCGCAACGAGCTCTTGACATTCACAGCCATTGCATTTCTGATGCACGAACTGGTGTACTTTGGGCGTTACCTTCCGTTTCTCGCATGCGACTACATTCCTGCGCTGCGCAAGTACAAGATCCAGGACAATAAGGAGGTGACATCGGCGATGCAATGGAAGTGCCTGAAGAGCCTGCTTTTCTCGCATTTCATTATTGAGGGCCCCCTGATGCTTATGTTTTTGCCGGTGGCGCAGCTGGCAGGTATCCGGACGACTGAGCTGCCGCTTCCTGGGTGGCAGGAGATGGCCATTCAGATTGCGGTGTTTTTCGTTATTGAGGACTTCTGGCACTACTGGGTGCACCGCTTGTTCCACTGGGGTCCCCTGTACCGCAGCATCCACAAGATCCACCACGAGTTCTCATCCCCCTTTGGCATGACCGCCGAGTACGCTCATCCGCTGGAGACTATTATTTTCGGCCAGGGTACTATCTTTGGTCCCATCCTGTTCTGCAAGTTTGTCGATAGCGTGCATTCAGTGACGATGTTTGCGTGGATCTGGCTGCGTTTGTTTCAGGCTATTGATGCGCACTCTGGGTATGACTTCCCGTGGTCGCTGCATAACTTTTTGCCGTTCTGGGCTGGTGCCGACCACCACGATTACCACCATATGGCGTTTGTGAACAACTTTTCGTCGTCGTTCCGCTATTGGGACACAATATTTGGCACTGATTCAAAGTACCATGCGCACAAGGCTCGGATTGCCGAGGCCAAGGCTGAGAAGAAGGGCAATTAAGGGGCAGAACCCAAAAGTGTTTTTTTATTTAAATACACACATAGAATAAATACAAAAAGCCTGACGTTTCTTTCGTTTTTGTACGGAAACTTGGATGTATAAAAGTAAACAAGCCATAAGTATTTTAAAGTAACCATCGAAAAAATGGAGGCCTTGTAGTGACAATGAGGTGGTGCTGTATAAATTATCGAAAGATGCTGCAGTTCCTGTTTCTTTGTTTATTTTGAACATATGCAGAAGCGAATGCATGGAAACGATCAATTGGAAAAAATAAGACCGAGCCTTCCCCCCCACTCTTTTTTGCCTTATTTTTTGCCTTTTTTGTTCTCACCCAATCGATCGCAAAACACAATTGTTTGTTTACATTTTTATATTTGGCTTTGGAATTCTCAGTATACCCTTCAAGGCAACAAATAAAAAAAGCATGGAGACTCAGAAAAAAAACTAATTGAGCTTTAAGACGAGGGCTTTGCATCATGGAAAAGTGAAAGGACATGTCTCTCCTCCATGTGTGTGAGAGTACAAAGAAAGCGATAGTGCAGGTTTACAAAGGGGACAAAGGGACAAAGGGACAAAGGGGCAAAAGAAGGGTCAACGTCAGTTGCGCTTACTGAAAATCGTTTTCTTTCTCCTTAATTTTATTACTCCACAACTGGAGTAAGAAAAAAAAGAAATGGGGAAAAAAATCCTAGTCTATATGAGCAAATTACAACGACGTATGCACATACGGTTGGCAACGGCCAATTTGAGTGCAATTTTGAAGGTATAGTGCATTCTCCGCCCCCTTGTTTTTTTATATATAGGATGGGTGATGTGAGGGATGGAAGCGGGCACAGGCTTCGAAATAAATTTGGTGATCTTTTTTTTCTTACGCGTCATGTTTTTTCTGTAGGCAACACCTGCTTGAAAATTTTTTCTTTCACTGTTCTACTATTCTTTTATTGCAATTAAAACTGCGCTGCGTGAAGGGGTTTGGGACCACTATTTCTCCCTCGTTTTTTTTAAACAATCCAGTAAATATTTTTTATATTTTGCTCACACAGGGTCCCTCCCTTCTTTTTCCCTCTCCTTTTCCCTCTTCGTTTTCGTCTACTATATTCATTCATTCATTCATTTATTTTTAGGCAAGAACAGAGTTGGAGTCGAAATCGATATTCGCACACTAGGATTTTATTTTATTTTCACTTTTTTTGCCTCTTCCGTTTACTTTTTATTTATTTATTTATTGCATGTCATTTGAATACTTTAATTATCATTATTTCGTACTTTATTTACTTTAAAAAAACTCTCTTTTATATATTTGCCAATATCCTATCACCATCTTGTCGCGTTCTCTTTTGACCCTCTTATTTTATTATTTTTGATTAAAACAATGTCGTCTTCATCGACAACCGCCATTTCAATTGTCGGCACGGTGACGCTGCCAGGCATGACGCAGACCATCGAGACAGCGCTGACATCCGTGTTCACCACGGCCGTCACATACATGACAACAATAACTGCAACCGTCTCCGTCCCCATTGGCCAGCCCACACCGACCATGGACCTGCTGACGACGTACACGACAGTAAACACGCACTACGAAACAACAACCGTGATAGGCTCCTACCCGACGATCCCCACACTGCCGGCACCCACGATCATCACCGGGGGCGTCGGCCAAGTGGGCGGCGTAACGATTATCGGGGCCATCTACGAGCTCTGGATGTACTTCCTGTGCCCCTCGCAGACATGCTCGCCTTGGCGCGAATGGCTGACGTTCATTCCGAACGTCGCCGCCGGCTGGGTACTCGGGGCACTGGCGCTGATTCTCGGACTGGGTCTTTTGATCATGGCGCTGAAGTGCGGCGGACTCGAGTTTATCTTTGGCTTCCTCTCGATGATTTTCCTGTGCATCTGCCTGTGGCTGCGCGCCGCGCTAAAGCACTCGTCCGGGAGTCTCTTTACGATGTATAAGGTGTCCTTGTGGTTTAATTATTTTGCCGCGGTGCTTATGGCTATGCTCATTGTGCAGTTGATTTTCCGCCTGGTCGTTCACCTTGATAATACGCTTTGCGGCGCGGTGCGTGGGCTGGTCGGGTTTGTGTACTTTATCGCTCTCGTTCTGTTTGCCCTGCTGACTGCTGCAATTGTGCTGATGTTCAACCTGGCGTCGTTTGCCAAGATGCATAGTGGGATGCAGTGCCTTCAAGCGTTTGTTGTTATTATGCTGATTCTCGCTGTTATTCTCCTGCTGGCTACCGCTTGGGCGTCCTCCAATGACGTGAAGAGCCACCATATGGGCCATGTCATTATCATCGGTCTCTGCGTCTTGTTCTTGTTGGTTTGGGCGTGCTTTATGACTGGGCGGGCGTTTTTGGGGCTGAGCAGTGCCGGAAGACACAGCGAGGCACTGTGGTACGTGTTTAATATCGTGCCGCTGCTGCTGATTGCCCTGGTGCTTTTGGCGTTGAATGCACCGGCGATGTTTACTTTCTGCCATTGCCAGGTCAACGCCTGCCCGGTGTGCAACCCGCATGTGGCCTATGGTAACACGGGTGTGGTTCATGCGGCACCTATTAGCGCAAACGCTAGGGAGTCGAATGTCAACAGATTCTACATGTAAAGCAAGGAAGTGGTTGTTTTTGTATGTGGAATTCAGCTTTTCTCCTTTAAATATCGGCAATTTTTCTCTATCTCTTGTTTTTCCTTTTTAATTAAATTTTCTTTCTCACACTACTTTGAAACCCTATTTGGCACTATTGCTCGGGTGTATGTACGTGTTATGCGTATTTATACAAGCGACGATGGAGAACAATGCCTGTGCGACGTAATCTTGCGTATTATGATTTGTAAATTGCAAAAGTGATATTTCAATTTATTTAGACTCAACTCAACTCAGCTCAATCCATGTTTTGAATATGCCAATTTCATTTGCACCTTTCACTGCTTATTAATGTATAGTGTATAATATTTTTCTTTTTCCCAGTTACATTGGTAGTGAAGGAAAAACATCAAGCAGCGAGCAAATAAATCAACAACGCGATGCTACTTTTTGACAATAATAATAATAATTGCAAAGGGATTTCCCACTTTTTGTTTTTTATTTACTTGAATAGAGTGCAGGAAAGAGAAAATAAATAAATAAATAAATAAATAGGCAAAACAGGTCAGACAAATAAAGTAAAAGTAAAAATGAAAATAAACGGTCTCGTTTCATGTGGTTTTTTCTTTCTCAGGTTGTTTTGGTTTTTTTCCTTCTATTTGGTTTTCACAACACTAAAAGAAAGGGGGGGGGGGGAATGGGCTGGAATGAATGGATGGATTTTTGGGTGGTTGTGGCATGCAAAACAAACAGAAAGTGCATAAGCAGGTTCCTTATGTTCTCTTTTTTTGTTTACACTGCAGACCCTCTCTTTCTCACTCTTTTTTCTTTCTCTCTTTCACTTTTCAACCTTTTATACTCCTACCTTTTTTTAACGTTTTCTAGCTCTACCTTTTTTTAAATTCATTAGAGGTTAAATTTCCTCACCATCCCTTTTATTCTTTTTTTCCTATCTTAATATTCTTCTATTTTATCGAACACCTCTAGGTAAGGCCCCGCTTTTTTGAAAGCCCTATTTATTTTTATTTTACTGTTGCCACCCTGATTGCAATCCACTGCAATCTGGTAAACAATTTCCTCGTCCTCATCTATTTCTCCCCTCTTAATTTTTATCTATAGAATGCGCAGCGGTAATCAGTCTCAGGCGGCTGGCTCGGGCGGAGTCAAGAAGAAGATGAACGGGTACGTTGGGTTCTCCAACTACCCCAACCAGGAGCACCGGCGGTCGATCAAGCGCGGCTTCAACTTTACCTTGATGGTCGTTGGCGAGAGCGGGCTGGGCAAAAGCACGCTGATCAACACGCTGTTCGAGAGCAAAGTGTACCCGACCAAGGAGGAGATAGCCACCAGCAGCGCTGCAGCAGCCGCGGCCGCCGCAGCCTCGGGCGGGCCGCAGGCGGCCAAAACCGTCGAGATAACATCGGTGAGCGCCGAAATCAACGAGAACAACGTCAAGCTGCGGCTCTCGGTAGTCGACACGCCGGGGTTCGGCGACTCGATCAACAACGACAGCGCGTGGAAGCCCATCTTGGAGAACATCGAGTCGCGGTTCGACGCGTACCTGGCGCAGGAGAACCGGGTGAACCGCAGCAAGATCGTGGACAACCGGGTCAACGCCCTGCTGTACTTCATCAAGCCCACGGGCCATGGCCTGCGCGCAGTCGACATCGAGTTCATGCGCAACCTGCACAACAAGGTTAATTTGATCCCGGTGATCGCGCGCGCCGATACGTTGACGCCGCAGGAGGTCGAGCAGTTCAAGGCGCGCGTGCTGGCGGACATCAACTTCCACGGGATCCAGATCTTCCGTCCGGTGTCGGACCAGTTCGACGACCCGGACACAATTGCCGACAACAAGGCGATTGCCAGCAAGATCCCGTTCGCGGTCATCGGCAGCGAGAAGTTCGTCGAGCGGGCCGACGGCACGCGCGTGCGCGGCCGCCAGTACCCCTGGGGCATCATCGAGGTCGAGAACGAGCAGCACAACGACTTTGTGTCGCTGCGCCAGATGCTGCTGCGCACGCACATGGAGGAGCTGCGCGACGCCACGGACATCGCCCTGTACGAGACCTACCGCACGCAGAAGCTGCTGGCGCTCGGCCACGTGCAGGACAACGGCGTCTTCCGCGAGTTCAACCCGCGCCAGCAGCTCGAGGAGGAGGAGAAGGTGCATGCTGCCAAGATGCAGAAGCTCGAGGCCGAGATGGCGGCGGTGTTCCGCCAGAAGGTGCAGGAGAAGGAGGGCAAGCTGAAGCAGTCCGAGGAGGAGCTGCACTCGCGGCACCAGCAGATGAAGACGGTACTGGAGAAGCAGCGCGCCGAGCTGGAGGAGAAGAAGGCCAGGGTTGGCAGCGTCGAGCATGCGCCGGTGAGCCACCAGATGGGCGTGCAGGCGGAGGCTGTTGTGCCTGGGTCCAAGGACAACAAGAAGAAGAGGGGCTTCTTCTGAGCGCTGCCCAGTGCGCCAGCCTCGCCTGCCCTCCTTCCTTTCGCTTCTTTTTTTCCAATTTTGCCTTCGCACGTGGCCTTGTCCCGTACCTTCCGCAGCCCAAGCCCTGGCGTGATAGCCCTGCGGAAAAGCGCGCTTTTATTGCGGCTGCTACTACTGTTGTTTCCATCGATTCTATTCAATTCAACTCAACTCAACCCAACTCTACTCAACTCTACTCAACTCAAATTCACACCCTGCTGTCATTCCGTTTTTTCAGCCCATGTTTCCCGTCTCCAGAGCCGCTGCCCTCTTTTGCAAGCCCCTCTTGCGCGCCTACGCCAGCAGCGCAGCCAACACCGGGCACCGCCACCTCCTCGACACCAACCGAATGGTCGTCCGTCTAGAGTCCGAGGGCTTCAGCACTCAACAAGCCACCAGCATAGTCACCTCGCTCACCACGGTTCTGCAAGAAAGCACGCAGACCATTCTCTCCTCCATTGTGACCAAAGCAGACCAAGACAAGACCCTTTACATGTACAAGGTGGATTTCGCGCAGCTCAAGTCGGAGATACAAATGATGGAGAAGACGGATTTTTCAATGATGAAGGCCGAGAACGAGAGGCTGCAGGGGGAGGTTAATAAGCTGAAGCAGAAGCTGAGGGAGGAGATTACAAGGACACAGGCGGGGGTGAGGCTGGATATGAGTTTGGAGAAGGGGAGGGCGAGAGATGAGAGGGCGCAGCATGAGATTAAAATTAGGGAGACAGACACAAAGATTGAGCAGGATATTTCCGGACTGAGGACCCAGATGGAGAGTATCAAGTTTAATATCATGCAGTACATGATTGGTACGATCACTGGTACAGGCGCTTTGATTCTGGCATATCTGCGCATGTTCAAATAAAGAAAACGTTTATTGTTTTCAAATGCCTGCTGGCTACATTTTGTGGGTGGTTTGAATGCTTGTGTAGTTTGGTCAAAATGATTTTTTTTTTAAAAAAAAAAGCACAATTTGGCGTATAATGAAGACGGACATTCCATGGAAACATGTGTAATTTTTTTTGAAAATATCTCACACGTAATTTTTCACTTTTGTCTTCAGCTTTTGGCAATAGAAGCAAAAAAATAATAGTAATAATGAAATAAGCTAGTGACACGAGCAAATAAAAAATTAATGGCAATGATAAGCGAAACAGCAAAATAGACGTGGGCTTCAACCAAGAGCAAGTTAATTATTTGGGTGGCACGTATCATTTTATACACTATAATTTGCACTCAAGTTCTTGGTAATGATAAGCCAAGCAGCCCAAAAAAAGCTTTTCGTCTACTAGATTTTTTATTTTTTATTTTTTATTTTTGCATTGCCAAGAATTAACGCTGGAAAAGCAAGATAAAGAAAGCTGCCGACCACACTTTTTTTAATCAATTATATAAAATTTTTGATAAGAAAATACGAGCTAGGAAGCTGCTATTCATTACGCTTTTTTAAATATAATTATCGGATTCCAACAATTTTAAAATGGCATAAATGGAACAAGGGTTTCCTGAACCCAAATAAATTTAAAACTCACATCAAACAACTCAAACATATTATAGGTATACGATATAAATATATACAACTTAAATTATTAAGCAGCTTTAAATAATATTAATAAAGGCATCCTATTCACTGATCTACTTTGAAGATGAAAAGCCTCATTATTTTCACGATGTACTTCCAAAAGTAAATTATTTTTTGGGTTCGACCAATAAAAATACATAAAGCTGCTTTAAAAATGGTTTAAAAACTGCAAATTTGTTGGCAAAACCTCTACAATTTAGTTTTAATGAAAATTGTGCATCGTAAGTTTTTTTTAACAAAGACTTCCCTATATATTTATTTTATTTTAAATTGCAGGAAAAATAATTCTATGAATTTATTTAAGTAACTTACCTGAACTCCCCTTCTTACAAAAAGGCTTTTTCACGCCGTCTTGTGTGAAAGGTTGCAAATGCAAAAAATAAATATATAATAAAAATATTGAAAAAGAAAAACATAAAGCACAAGATAAAATACATATGTAAACTTATTTATAGCTGATTGATCAGCTTGGGGGTTTTTTGTCATTTTAGGTTTGCTATTTAGCAGTGCGGATAATTTTCCATTTTTCTGATTAGCACTATTTTTTTACACTAATTTTTTTCACTTTGGAGGGCTTGTGCTTAGTTTAATGAATACAGGTTTATATTATTGTTTCATATTGTAAAAGAAATAGAACTTTTCTAATTTTTCTTCTTAGAGTTGTTGTCATTGAGCATGTGAAGTGAGTGGATTTGGGCCTGTACCTGATTTTTTTATAGATAACTGCATGATAAAGAAAGAGGGAGAAAAGCACAAAAATAAGAGTATGGAAAATTATAAAAAGGTCATGTGGTAAAGGGGAGGTCCTCAGAATTTATAATTGTTCTTTCTTTCCCCTCTCTCGGCCCAGCTCAGCCCAGCTCAGCCCAGCCCAGTCCAGCGATTTGCATTTCTCCCACGCCTAAAATAACAATAATAAGGAGCCTTCTGTCTTCCCACGCTCTCTTTTAATTTTCTTATTATTTTTCTTGACTGTGATTGAGTGCTGGTTTTCGCATTGTAGTTTTTATTAATTTATTTATTATCCATTGATGGATGGATGACTGCTGAAAGTAGTACGCGTCTGCACCAGCTTTTGTATAAATGACATTAAAAGTGCGCATGCCATCCGAATGCCTCCCTTCTTTTTACCTCCACTTTGCACTTTCTATTCTATTTTGTATTTTTCACACAACTTCCAGCCATGATCAGAATCCCACTGGCCAAGCACTACGGCTATCGACTCAGCCAACAACTGAGCCAAATCCACCACCGCCATAGGCGGATGTTCGGATCGATGACAGTGATCCCAAACACGACAGAGCCAAAATCTGCAATCTTCCAAGAAAATGCCCAAAGCATGGCACAGGCCGTCCACGACCTCGAGCATCAAATCCAACAAGCGCAGCGCGGAGGCACCGAGCAGGCCCGGGCCAAACACGTATCGCGCGGCAAGCTACTTCCGCGCGACCGCATCGCCAAGCTGCTCGACAGCGGCTCGCCCTTCCTCGAGCTGTCGCAGCTGGCCGGCCACCAGCTATACGAGGGAGAGAATATTGCTGGCGGCGGCATCATCACGGGCATCGGAAGGGTGCGCGGAACCACGTGTATGGTGGTGGCCAACGACGCGACGGTCAAGGGCGGCACGTACTACCCGATCACAGTGAAGAAGCATTTGCGCGCGCAAGAAATCGCGCGCGAAAACAAGCTGCCGTGCGTCTACCTAGTGGACTCTGGCGGCGCCAACCTGCCACACCAAGCGGAGGTATTCCCGGACAAGGACCACTTTGGCCGCATCTTCTACAACCAAGCCGTGATGTCCGCCCAGGGCGTGCCGCAGGTGGCCGTGGTTATGGGCTCGTGCACGGCTGGAGGAGCCTACGTGCCGGCGATGGCCGACGAGAGCATCATTGTGCGACGCCAGGGAACCATCTTCCTCGCTGGCCCGCCGTTGGTCAAGGCTGCCACCGGCGAGGTTGTCAGCGCAGAGGACCTTGGCGGTGCGACCTGCACTGCCGCACGTCGGGCGTCACCGACCACTACGCTGTCAGCGACGCGCACGCGCTGGACCTGGCACGCGAAACTATCGCGCACCTCAACATCACGCAGCCAGCGGCCACCGCCAGCAGCCAGGCCTTCGACGACCCCTGTACGACATTAGCGAGCTAGGCGGTATCGTCGGCACCAACCTGCGGCGGCCCTACGACGTGCGCCAAGTGATCGCGCGCTTGGTCGACGGCAGTCGACTACACGAGTTCAAGAAGCTTTACGGCACGACGCTGGTCACGGGCTTTGCACACATTCACGGGCAGCAGGTGGCATTCTGGCGAACAACGGCGTTTTGTTCTCCGAGGCTGCGCAGAAGGGCGCTCACTTTATCGAGCTCTGCACACAGCGCCAAATCCCTCTGCTGTTCCTGCAGAATATCACGGGCTTTATGGTCGGCAAGGCTGCCGAGGCCGGCGGCATTGCCAAGCACGGAGCCAAGCTGGTCACTGCTGTGGCCTGCGCCCAGGTGCCCAAGCTCACTGTGCTGATTGGCGGCAGTTTCGGCGCCGGCAACTACGGCATGTGCGGCCGCGCCTATGCACCGCGCTTCCTGTGGATGTGGCCGAATGCGCGCGTGTCGGTTATGGGCGGCGAGCAGGCCGCTGGCGTCCTGGCCCAGGTCAAGCGCGACACTGGCGCGCTGTCCGCCGAGCAGGAGGACGCGTTCAAGCAGCCCATTGTTGCCAAATACGAGCACGAGGGCCACCCATACTATGCGTCCGCGAGGCTGTGGGATGACGGCGTGCTGCGGCCTCAGGATACCCGGCGCACGCTGGCGCTGGCGCTGAAGGCCACTAGCCGGACTGCCGGGGACGAGACCAAGTTTGGAGTGTTCCGCATGTAGGCTCGTGATTTTTGATTTTTGATTATAAAATTAATATATTATTCTTGTTGCTTCTGCGTTAGCGTGAGGAAAAACTCCTGGTACTGCTTCCGCCACTCCGCATTGCTCGGCATGAAGTGGCCGCCGGGGTGGTACGCGGTGACTGCTCGGCAGAACGCCTTGTGCGCCAGCTCTGCCCCGCGCTCCGGGCTGACAATTGCGTCGGCCTCCCCCATCACGTGCATTGACCTCAGCTCCAGCTTTCCTGCCCTCTGCATGATCTCAGTAAACTGCGGCATGCCAGGGTAGAACCCGGCAAAAAAGAGCCCAAATCCAAACCCTTGGCTCAGCCCCAAATCCACGACTGCCGCGCGCACGTCCTCGGACACTCCTCAAGCACCAGGCTGGGGTTGCTGCTGTTTTTGGCGACAGATGCCAGCTGCGCCAGCGCACAGAGTATGGCTGCCATCCCGGCGCCCTGCGAGAACCCAACGATGCCGTCGAACGGGCCTTCGTCGCGGATCACCTGCGCCACCGCCCGGATACTCGCCCGGATCTCCTGCCATACCCGGTCGCTATCCTCGCCTTGGTTCCACCATGCAAGGCTGCTTTCTTCTTCTTCATTATTTTTTGCATCATCCTTGCTGGCGTTGTTTGTGGTGTTGACGGTTCCGTTGATGGGTGTGAATATGTGCGTTGCTTGGTGTGGTGCGTCAAGGAAGGTTGTGGTGATGGTGGCTTTGAGCGCACGCCGGAAGGGCCCGGTACGGTCGCGGAATTTCTGCGCACTTTGGGTGTAGCCGTGCAGACAGAGTACTTTGAATTTCATTGTGTGGAATTGGATTGGAAGAAAGAAATTATCAAAAAAGAGAGAGCAAAGAAAGGGGGAAATAGTAGTCACAAAAGATCCGAAATCCTCGATTGTTTTTTCTCTCTCCTTTACTGCCAAATCTAATAATCCGGCTGCTAAATCTTCCAATCCCACTCTCAAAATATAATACATTAAAATCACTGCCATTCAATAACACGATTCACACAAAGTATTTCCTATATATTGTATTAACAAACAAAATAAAACAAACCAAAACAAACCAAAAAATTAACCCTTTCAAGCGTCAAGCATTTTTCCCATTCGTAGGCTTCAATTCAAATAATACAAGAAGCACTTTCCATCCTCTCTGGCTATCTCCGACATCTTCGTTGTTTCTTTAAGGTCCACATACTTCAGTCTATGTTTCTCAACCTTGCCCTCCTTTTTCACAGCTCGTGCCCATCCACAATGAACATTATCGATTTTTTTATCAAATAAAACTTGCACAACAGTCTTGTCCCTATTTACTGTGTCAATGAGCTTGAATATATTTCCATTTATCAAGCTGAGATAACAAGGGGGTATTCCAGCGTCAAATTGCTTTGCGGTCTTGCACTCTCTTAAATATAACGTGTAAATTGTGTGCGACATAAGAAAAAGTAATTAGTAATTAGTAAAAAATATTAATTTAAACAAGCTGCTCTAATACTAAAGTAAAAAGGTATTATCCCCTCCCTTGTTCTCTTTGCTCTCTTCCCTACCTTTGCTACCAAGCCTCTGTTTTTTTCTTTCTTTTTTCTTAACCTTAAATGTGACTTTCAAAGTAAAACCTTTTCAACAAAATCAAGTCACTTTTTAATTGAAAATTAGAAAGGAGTAGCAGCTTTTTAATTAACCAAATAATATAAATGACAGAATACAATAAAAGGAAAAGAATAAAAGCTGTCGTGCTCTATAAAAATGTGGGCCTAAATTAATATATTCAAGTTTCAAAAATTACTTAAAGAACTGAAAAAAGGGGTCAGCGCTGTGTGGGCAGCACTGTAAACATCATGATGTTCCTTGATGTCAGCCAGCAATAACAGAAATGTGTATAGTGGCCATGAGGGCGATCTTGATTCTTGAAAAGGGAAGATAGTGGCTTGGAATGTGTGTATTTAAAAAGGGTAAAAAAAAAGTCTAGCTGTATATACCACATCTAAAGCTTTGTATGTTTAAGTCAGATTGTCAAAGTCCTTGATAGCGCCCACAAGCACATTGTAACCCTTCTCAATATCACTGTCTCCTTTAACCTCCGAGTCTTCCTTGAGGTATTTGGCATGTTCTATCATCTTGCTGGCAGCGCTAGAATCTGAACCTATTCTAATCAGATAATTCACATATTCCACGTTGGCTTCTGATGCATACACCTTGATTGCTTCGGACACACTATAAAAGTTTTTGACGTCAACATTACTGTAAGTCTGAGGGAATAAAAGTAGGGCTTTCCTTTCACCACTTGATAGTGCCATGACAGCAGTAGCAGTGGTGGCAGCAAAAGTGAGGATCGAGAATAACTTCATGGAAGTAGAGACTAGATGGAATGATGGGTTTGAGATCGAAATGTAATAGGTAATGATAAAATGTTGAGTTGTTTGGAAAAGGTTTGGCTATTTATACCTGTGATTTGGACTGATGCTATTTTTTTAGTTTGCCATTCCAAACGAGTATTTAAAAATCTGCAAACAATATTAATAAACAAAGACATTATATAATAACAACACAATAACACTTGACGCCAGTATATATTTGGAAGACAATAATAAAGTGTGGCTTTTTAGATATGAATTTAATTGCTTGTGTTGCTATTATATTAAATTTTAAAACAATGCTTTGTAAAGTATTTAACGATTTGGTTAACAAGCCAGCATATTTTAATTTATATTGTGCTGACAATACATATAAGAAAATTCTAAAGAATATTATATACTAATATTAATTGTTTTACTTACTATTGCTCACATGAGTTGTGCGGCTTGCTGTGTGTTGATCTTACTCACAACTAAACAACAGGCACTGGCAAGGGAGATTGAAAGGCATTTATATCATTGAAAGCCACAACTTGTTTACAAAAGTGGGGATAGCTGCCTCTACAACCAATTAAGTACTATTTGTTACGTTATAAATATATATATTGAATAAAAATGAACTAAAAGAAAGCTAAGGGATGAACAGCCTCCACTGTTCATATTCATTGGTATTTATGCGTGCGTATGAATTCCCGCATATCCAAGTAGGGAATTAACTAGCGATTGATTCATTAATCAATCGCCGGAGACAAGCTGCAATTTCTTGTATCACAACTATTGGTGGCACCTTCATTTAATAGTCTATTCTGTTGTGGTTTGAGGGGAGCACTAGTCACCTAGTGTCAAAAATATGTTATAGTTTTTATTATCAAGGGAATCAAAAGTAGAACTAGGGTTGGTGTTAACGAGCATATTTATTGGTTGATGGCGATCAGCTGATTAACCAGTCTTGGCTGTTTAGCAACACAAACAATAAGTCACACAGTGACCAAAGCAATATGCTCCCTACTCTTCGCCTTTCACAATGCATAATAGCACTTAGTTATTAAATATACTTTATATCATTATACTTTATCTATACGTTCATAGAATGTCTTATATTCCAACAACAACTGCGTTGGGTCACTGTGCGACCATTAATTGAGTGTCTGGCTAAACATACAAGCCTTGTTAATCAGTTAATCGTAATCAACTGATAGTCTCGAAATATTATCAGCGAAATAACAAAAATAATGAAAGTTAATGTTAAAAATAATTTACATAATGATACAAAACAAACAATACCCAATGATCTAGATAGCATCAGAGGATAATATCAAACGTGTACCAAAAATAGTTATGTGTGAATTCAACTTAGCCACTGAGCTGACGATAAAAGCCTGTGTACAGATTGAGTATTTGAAAAAGAAAAGAAAAACAAAGTAATATTCTTACAAAGCCACCTTGTAAACAATTGATTATGCCTGTTGTGATATTTGAAATGTATTTGATTACAAATAATTTTTTATTAGGCCACTTATTATTTGTTGGTTGCACAATGCATTTTAATTAACAAAAATAAAACAATCAAATGGAAACTGTTGGGCACACATTTCCTTTGTAGCCCAACGCCCATCAGTTGCCCTTTTCTTAGTGAGCACTAAGACCCACGATCATAAAAAGGGCAAAACAACAATACCATTTTGCTAGTTCTCTCTCTCTCTCTGCTCTTTTCCCAGTTTTTAGATAATATAAATTTATTATATCATCCAATTCACTCGTTAACAGAAACAATGGTTAGGTGATCAATTTGATATTTGTTTAGTAATCTTTTTTATATAGCAACACACCCCTCCCTCCCCTCCCCTCCTATTTACAATCGAAATTGTTATTTAATAATATCAATATGTATAGAAAAATGACATTCTTCTCAATAAAACAAGAATTACTTTTTGTGTTGATTTTGTATTGATCGGTGGCTTATTAAGTGTGAAAGTTGATATTGCAAAGGAAAAAAATAAAAAATAAACCAATTATTGTAACTAATAAAAGTATGATATAAAAAGGAACACATGGCGCACTTGAAAAAAAAAACAGTTTTACTTATCCTACTTTTTCAGATTACTTCAAGTTCCAACACATTTGGCCTACTATAATCTCATTAAACCAAATATCTTTTATATTTATTATTCAATCATCCGTGATCCGAGAATGAAGTTCATCTCACCATTCCTCCTGCTCCTCGCTACCGTCTTTGCAACCCTCGTTATGGGACTGCTGGAAGCCGAGAAATATGGTCTGAAAAGATTCACTGCGAGATACAACGCCAGCAACAAGTCCTACAAAGAAGTGCATCCGATTCTCCTACAGCTCTGCGGCGATCTCAGATCATCGGGTCCATGTGCTGATAACGATGATGCTATTTTTGGATTAATGGGATACCTTGAGTTGTTCAATCGTGACTGGGAGGTTCCTAGATATGCGGATTATACTCAAATGGTCAATGAGTTTAACAGCGCTCTTGCTGCGTCCGAGTATGATAAAATAAGGGAAGATTATGAGAAGTCTAAAGCCGACAATCCATTCAACTAGACAGTCTGGTGAATAGATTTTATTTAATCACTTTTTTTGGCCAATACAATTAATTAATTTATTTTTACCAATATATTGAATTGAAGGCACTACTATTTACCTAATGTCATACGAAACACCTAAAAAAAGCCTAATCCTTGGTAACAGCGTGGATAGATTCAGCCAAGTACTTGACGTTCCCACTGGTGATACCAGCAATCGACACGCGGCCATCTCTGGTCAGATAAATATGATAATCCCTAGCCAAGCTATCCACCTGTTCAGGCAACAAACCAGTATAACAGAACATACCAATTTGATCTGTCACATGCTTCCATTCTCTCTTCGACCCAAGGTTCTCCAGCTCACTACGCAAAGCCGAGCGCATCCCAATAATGCGATCCGCCATCATCTTAACCTCCGCCAACCACTCCTTGCGAAGCTCCTCATTGGTCAGAACCTCGGCGGCAATCCGGGCACCGTAAACTGGAGGGTTGGAGTACAGTGGGCGGATGAGGATCTTCATCTGGGACAAGACGCGGTCACGCTCCTCCTTATCGTTGGAAACCACGCTGAAGGTGCCGACGCGCTCGCCGTAGAGCCCCATGTTTTTGGCAAAGCTCTGGGCCAAAACCACGGGTACACGATCTCCCTCGACGAACATCCGCAGGGCACCGGCATCCCGGTCAGCATCGCCGGAGGCGAAGCCCTGGTATGCCATGTCGAAGAAGGCAAGGTGTCCCTTTTCCTCCATTGCCTGCTGGATCTTCGCCCACTGCTCCAACGAGGGGTCGACGCCGGTTGGGTTGTGGGCACAGGCATGCAGAAGCACAACGCTTCCCTGGGGCATCTCCCGGATATCCTCCAGCATTGCCTCGAGGTTCAGTCCATTGGTCGACTTGTCAAAGTACCGGTACTGCTTAACCTCCAACCCGCTAGCGCGGAAAATAGCCCCATGGTTGCCCCAGGTGGGATTGGGCAAATAAACCTGGTGGTTGGGATAGTGCTTGCTCAAAAACTCGGCGCCAATACGCAAGGCACCGGTGCCAGAGATGCTCTGTGTCACAGCCAACCTCCCTCCTTGCAAGGCAGGGCTTTGGGCGCCATATGCCAGCTTGGTCGCGGCGTCGGTGAATTGCGCGAGGCCGGTTATGGGCAAGTACTCCTTGTCTTGCAGCTGTGCGAGCAGGGAGTGTTCGGCTTTGCGCACGGAGCTCAGGACGTAGGGGTGGCCGTTGTCTGTGCGGTAGGCGCCAGCACCGAGATTCATTTTCTGCGCATGCGGGTCCCGCTTGAAGGCCTCGGTGATGCCCAGGATGGTGTCTGGAGGACCCATGGGGATGTGGGCCCAGGTGGCGAGCTGGCGCAGAGAGCTGGGCTTGAGCACGGCGGCGGACTTGAGTGCAGCGAGCATTTTATTATTATCTCGAATTGAATTGAATTGAATCGAATTGAATGTTGCGAGAAATAATAAAAACAGTTGAGGAAAGAGAAAACAAAGCAAAACAAGACAAAGCAAAGCAAAGCAAATCAAAGCAAAGTGGGGATTGAAGCGGATGAAAAAAAAAAAAAAAACATTCTTTTCCTGTTGATGCTGCATGCATATAATGCAAACCCCCCCAAGCACATGCCGCCCAAACTTGTTTGCTTTTTTCGGATGGCGCAATGGATGACAGAATAAAAATAAAGGCAAATTGGTCACTTACAAAAAAAACCCCCCGAGGTCCTGTTCTTTCCGATTAGTTTGGTTTACCAGCCAATCAAACAAAACCAACAGGCGAAAATCAAAAAAGGAGTTTGGTAGAGAAAGATATTGTTATTTGAAAATCAAACCCCCTCCCCCCTGAGTTTAAGCTATTTAGTCTTGTCCCACACTCTTTGTGCATTCGGATACCATTGACTCGGCAACATCCGGCGCAAGGGCTAAGTGGTCTGTCAGCACATGGGCCAGATCACCTCGCAGCTGGATTAGATCCCACTCGCAGTCGACCGCCTCCTTAGCAGCCAGCAGCGACCCAAGCTCACGGCACAAACGTGTCCCGACGTCTTCCCACAGCGCATCGCCATTGGAGAGCTCGCTCAGGCCGCCGACGGCCTGCACGCGCATGCGCAGCGCCACGGCCAATGCCCGCACAGCCGTGCTTGGCACCGGCGTACCCCGCGCCCCCGCCTGGCTCTTCGTGTCCACCAGCGCCAGCCGCCGCAGCGCCGCATACCGCGGCTCCGTCTTGGCGCTTGGCGTCTTTAGTGCCTTTGGACCCCTTGGCGCGCTTGGCGCCTTTGGATCGCCTGGCGCCTTTGGATCGCTAGGCGCCTTTGGATCGCTAGGCGCCTGCGCCTGCGCCGCAGCCCACGCGCTCAACACGTCGCGGCGGGTGGCCCTTCCGGGAGCGCCTGATTTGATCATCAAGAAGTACAGGTGCTCGAAGTGGCGCATCCACACGGCCGCGGCGTCGCGCACCACCGCGTCGACCCAGGGCGCCCGCAGAGCCTCGCAGCGGCGCGCAAGCGGCGCGCACAGCTGCTCGGCGCCCACCGACCGCTGGGCAAACGCCCGGCGCATCAGCCCATTGCAGCCACGGCGCGCACCCATAAGCTGCGGCGGCGGCGGCGGCGGCGGCGGCAGCAGCCTCTGCGCTATTGCGTGCAGCGCCAGCGCCGCCCAGCATGCGCGCAGCCCGCGGTCCACGGCGGCGCCGCCGCGCGAGCCGTCGGCGGCGATCCGCCCGCAGAGCAGCAGCCACTGGCGCACAAAGTAGGCCGCCGCGGCGTCGGCCTCCTCGGCCGCCGGCGCGCCGCGCAGCTGCGCCCACCACCGCTGCGCATCGGCCCACGCGGCCTCCACGCGCGCGCACACGCTGCCGGCCAGGCCCTGCGCGGCGTCCGGCAGGAAGCACAGGCTGCGCGCCAGGTCGGCCTGCAGCTGCAGCGCGCCGGCCAGCACCGGCACGGCGCGCCACGGCAGGTGGCCGGCATGCACGGCGGCGGCGGCGGCGCCGGGGCCGTGGCCGAGAAACGCGTCGACCTGCGCCACGGCGTCGTCCGCCGCGGCCGCCACCAGGCCCTGCACGCGGCGGCGCAGCGCGGGCTCGGCCAGCTGCGCGTACAGCGCGTCGGCGGGCACGTCGCGCAGCAGCGGCGACGCGGCGCAGAGGGCCGGGCGCTCGCCATCCGCCAGCGCCTTGGCCACGTCGGCGGCGGCCGCCACGCACGCCACGCGGCTGGCCGCGATGTCCAGCGCCGCATGCACGCGCCGCACGGTGGCCTGCCACCAGACGCCCAGCGCGCGGTGCGCCGCGCGGTCAAGCGCCGGCTGCACCTGCGCGGCCAGCGCCGGCGCCAGCTGGGCCGCGTTCTGGCGCAGCCGGCGGACCAGCTCCGGCGTGCCCGCCGGCCGCGCGTCCTCGGCCGCCTCGCTCAGCAGCCCGGCGGCGCCGCCGCCGCCGCCGCCGCCGCCGCCGTCCAGCAGCCGCGGCACCGGCGGGCAGAAGCGCGCGATGGACGGCGGCAGGTGCCGCGCGACCATCACGTTGCTGCTGCGCCCGGCCGCGCGCGCCGCGTGGGCTGGGCGCGGCGGCGGCGGCGGCAGCGGCAGCGGGCTGACCAGGGCGGCGCCGGCCACCGAGGACGTGCGGCGGCGCGCCTCCGGCCGCCGGGCGCTCGCCAGCGCGGTGCTTGCGGCAGCGGCGGCGCCCCACTGCGGCAGCGGCAGCTCGGCGTCGGCGCACAGCCCGCCGAGCGTCGCCACAACAAACGACAGCCGCGGCCCGCCGCCGCCGCCCGGCGCGGGCACGCCGAACGCGCGCGCGTAGTCGGCCAGCACGCCGCGCACCAGCGCCAGCACCTCGGCCGCGGCCACGGCGCAGCCGCGCGTGTCCTCGCCCGCCGCCGCCAGCCGGCGCTCGAGCGGCGCCGCGCGCAGCGCAAGGAACTCGGCGCACACGCGCTCGGCACACGCCGCGCCGTCCAGCAGCGCCAGCGCGCAGGCCGCGCCGAGGCACGCGTCGGAGCCGTGGTCGGCGGCGTCGGCGGCGGCGATGGCGCCGCGCGCGCGCTCGGCCACCTGCGCCGCCAGGGGCGCGGCGGCCGCCCACATGCGCTCGACCACGGGGAATGCGCGCACGACGGCGGCCTGCGCCGACAGGTCGGCGTAGATCTGCCGCGCGGCGAGGCACACCAGCGCCGCCGGGACGAAGCGCTGCGCCTCCAGCGCCTGGCGCACGAGGTCCCCTGTGTCGCCCAGCACCTTGACCTGCGCAGCCACGGCAAACGCCGCCGGCTCGGGCGCCGGGCTGCCCTCGGCGCGCGCCTGCGCCTGCGCCTGCGCCATTCCGAGCTGCCCGCGCAGCTGCGCCAGCCGCATGCTCAGCGCCGCCGACTGCGCGTCCATCCTTACCACCACATCCGCCGCCTGGATGAGCTCCGGGTAGTGCGTGGCCGCCACCGTGCGCATCTGCTCCTGCAGCTGCGAGCTCTGCCGCTGGATCCGCGCCAGGTGCTGCCGCACTTCTGGAACGCTGAACTTTGCGAATACTGCGTCGGCGTCGGTTGTGTCTGAGAAGTCAGCTGGGGCCTCGCCTTCTGTTGTGAGGCGGGGCCTGTCAAAGGAGTCGGTGGACGGGGCCAATGGTGAGGGTGACGCGGATACCAATGCTGCTTGTTGCTGCTGCTGCTGCTGCGGTGTTTCGGGGCCGATGCTGGTGTCGCGCTGCTGCGGTGTTTCGGGGCTGATGCTGGTGTCGCTGCTGCTGCTGCTGCTGCTGCGGTCGCGCGTCCGCGAAAACAGCCTTCCCTGGAGCCACGAGGACATTGGCAGATTGTGTTTGAATTAAAAGGCTATCAAAACTTGAAGAAAATAAATAATGTAAAGAAATGCATTTCCACACAATTCAATTACGTCTGCGAGCAGCCGTTAAGAATGAAATAAACGAGTTGGGCGGACAATGGTTTCTTGATCGAATCCGACACTGTCCGAAATCATAATCATAATCACAATCGCAATCGCAATCACAATCACAATCCCCCCTCCCCCCACTCCCCCTTTCCCTGGCTTTTCTTTCTTAGCCTCACTAACACCAATAACCTGCAAAAATATATATACAATTTATCAACTGAAGCCAAACATAACATCAACATCAACATAAGCATAAGCATAAGCATATGGAATACACCTCCTGCATGGAATTTATGGTTATGTTTGTCTTCCTAGTTTTTTTCCGTAACTTGATGAGAACGCACGCACGTGCAAATGCCAAAATCGGCTTGTTTATTCGCAAAACCCGGACAACATTAAGCTATTTTTCAATTTCAATCACCGCTCTTACTTTTAACAATGCACGTTTAAAATCGCTTAATTTTTTTCCTTTGTTCTTTATTGTCTTTTGAAATTGCTCAATTTCCCTTTTATTTCAAATTTAAACAAAATTCAGGCTTTTCTATATAAAAATATGGACCAGACAGCCTACCACCCGCCACCAACACCACAAGCAGTATACGGCGAACACAATCCTGCGTATGACTGGCAGCGCCCTAGTCGCTCATCGAGCAATAGTTCGGACATAATAGAGAAAGACAAGGGCTGTTTACGCCAGTTTTCCATCTGGTGCTGCGGAAATTTCTGCTGCTGCTTTTGTTGCCAGGGCGAAATAAAATCTGCTGATAATTCGCGAGGTGGAGCTGCCTATGCAGGATGCGCGTGCTGACACAATAATTAGCCTATTTTGTAGTTGTACAAGAATAAGAAGAAGCAAATTACACTGTTAATTTGGCTTGTTTATTTTATTTTACATGATACATACACTAGATGAGAAAATAAACAAGGTTGGTCATAGTTTTTGACAAGCTTTTTTTTAAAATAAATCATACATATTTATTCCTTGGGCGCTGGCTGCACTGTGGTACGCTCGGAAAACAATACGTAGAACGGCATCCCAGCTTGACCACTTATTTGAATCGTTGTGGGCGGGGGATATATTGTTGCAGTTTCCTCAGAAGGATCAGACGCGTACTGCACAAGAAAGTTTGGTGGATGTGGAATTTCCATACGCTCGGCTTGCTTCTGTTTATTATCGGACATCCAAAAGTTACTTGGCCGCTTGGTTTGGTTTATGTATTGAATATAATTTAAAGTTCTTCTTGCTGAAAATGAAAGCGCAAATGCCAGAGTGAGATAGTAATAAGATGCGTAATGAAAAGTTTGTGTTTGTGCGGTTACTTTTTTATTTTTTTATTTTTATTTTACTTTCTACACACTTGGACGAGAAAACATTTGGGTCTTATAAACTGATGCGGGAAGAAAAAGAAGAAGAAAAAAAAACCACATGTTTTTTTTTGGGGGTAAAACTTCAAACTCTGAACGATAAAATAAAGCATTGTAAAACATCATTTTTTGTTTTGCGCTTTCAGTAAGCCTTAAACATTGGACAATATCCTGATGACCACATGTGTCATTTTGCACAATAACAGCTTGAATCGATTGTCCTATTGCTGGTATTCAAATATACGTTCTCCAAATGCCCGTGTCACACAGGTCCCACCAATTTCCAATGTTCATATGATGGCGACAACACAGACATGACCAATTTGCCATTACCGTTATGAATTCTGCAAAAAAAATCCCCACTACTGCCCAATTTCCTTGTCAATAACACGTGGGCAGGCACCACAACCAAAGCAAACGTGACTTTGCGCATAAATTGATAACGCGCTATTCTTATCACCCACCGTGATAGCTAGATGACACCGCCGCACATATATTAGCAACATCCATCCATCATCTCTTTAACACAAGCAATGTGGCGGTTACCAATGACCAACGGCCTGCGGCCACCCGTCGTCTTCGCACTGGCACTCTGGATGATTCTATTGGCTATTCTAGGATTCACTCGTCTAATCGAGCTACCAGTATCAGACAAGGCACTGCACTTTGTAGGCTTTGGCACAATGTCCGTACTCCTGTTCTTTGCATTCCAAGCAACCATCCCTCGACGCAAGGTATGGGCGCTGACAGTAGGCACCATGCTCTTAGTAAGCTTTTTCAGCGAGGTATTGCAGCGTCTGTTTACCGGCCGGCAGTTTGATTGGGCCGATATTGTGGCCAATTTGATGGGTGCGTTGACGTTTTTGTTTGCTGCGTGGATGGTGGACAGGTGGATTGTGCAGCCCAGGGCGAGGAACCAGGGGTATCGGGATAGCTCGAGGTATTGGGTTATGGAGTCTGGAGCTAGGGCGTCTGCGGGCTCGGCGGATTACGAGATTGAGGATGAGATGGATGTCGAGCTGGATGAGATCTTTGTCGATACGCCGCCGCAACAACAGCCACAACAGCCTACCCGCAGCCCTCGGCAACAACACATCAGCCAGAATTAGCTGTGGTTTATCATTAGCATTGCATATTTTTTTTGGAATTATCTAAAAAAAGAAAACAAAACAAAAAAAGCGAAATTAAACGAGCCTAGAAATAGAAAAGCTCGTATTTTGACAGTCTATAAATACAGCGCAGTTAAAAATAAATGGGCGGAAGCAGATCCAATCATAAATCTTTTTGGCTGCCTGCAAATCCTAACTGAAAGCCAAAAGGTGCTCCCTCCCTCCTCTCGGATGCTCATCATCCTCCATTTCCCATTCCAACTTTTGCCATTTCGTGCATTCGGATAGAACGATGACATCACTAGCGCTTGGGCTTTTTTATTGTTTTTTTGGGTCTGCGTTTCTGAGCTGCCTCATCATCGTAGAATGAAAGGCAACAGGCCCCCTCCCCCCCCTTTTTTGCAGTGGTGGTATAGAAGTGCTCCTTTAAAAAAGAGCTCCTTTTTATGCGACAAACAAGCTAAAGTATTTCTCCGTTAAAATAGCCCCCACGTTCATAATAGGAAGGAAAAATAAAAGCACAATTCTATTCGCCCGTCGGGTGTTGTTTATCGATGATCGGTCGACTATTTTAGGCGCAACTCGCTGCAAGTGGGAAGAGATGAAAAAAACAAAAAAACATGAGAAAATCTTGCTGTTCAGCCTTTTTTTTTTACTATTTCTTGCTCACACTGACAGTTTGGTATGCGTGTGCCTAAGCCGTGTGCGTGTTGTGTGAGCGAAAATACGAATGAAATGGCAAAATTTCCGCCGGCCCACGCGGCATACATACATGCATGCGGCATGTCCATGCTTGGGGCGTATAAATACGGTGTGGCCGCTGCGCCTTTCCTTCACCCTTGCTCTGCCCATTATACCACAAACGCCCTGGCTCTCCCTCTTCCACTCACTCCAATCAAAACTCATACTGGCCTTTTCTTTCTTTCTTTCTTTCTTTCCTCTGTTTCTATTCAATTTCAAAACATTCGCTTTCTTTATTCCATCCGTTTTATAATTAGGCATTTTCGCCCTATTATCTGAATTGGCTTTTGCCATCATCTTCTCTGCCCTTTTCTCTCTTCTTTCAGCAAGAGCAGCGTACAAACTCACACACATATCAGCTACACCAAAAGAGGCAAGTACTCTATGCTATTTTTCTCCAAAAAGATAACCAATGCGCTTTATGCACACACCCCCCTTGACAACAGCAGAACCGCATAAATCAAAATCGGACCGAAACAATGCAAGAAGCGAGAAAGAGGATCGGGGGTGAAAAAAAGTGAAGAAAAGCAAGCGTCCTTTAATTTTCGCTTGTTCTAAACACCTACTGCACACACACTCTCTCTATATCCACCTTGCCTGTTTTTCTTAATGCTGGGCCGCACCAAAGAAAACAATAACAATAACAAAACGCCAGCACGGCTGCTAGTATTATATAGTCTTGTCATGTCATGGTTTTCTTTTCCTTTTCCTTTTCTTTTGTCTACAAACTCAAACTCAATCCTTCTGCTATTTTTCTTCGCTAATAACACCACGGATAGACCCTTATCTTGGTTTTCTCCTTGCCATTGCACCCATTTAGCATTCCGACCCTTGCTCTATCTCCTTCCCAACACTACACTACACCACACAACCACACAGCGCACCACACCCATACCCGCTTTAGCTCAACCATGGCCAAGGGCACACCATCATTCACTTCTGAAAGCCTTGCCGCGCTGAAGCAGCGCTACAGCAACGCCGGTCAAGCCCACGTGCTCAAATTCTTCGAGGACCTCGAGGACGAGACTGCAGCCGCCTTCTTCAACCAGCTCAGCGGCATCGACATTGAGCGGTGCAACGAGTTCTTTGACCGCACGGTGCGCAGCCCGGCGGGCGCAGAGGAGGAGGAGTCCGTGGAGCTCGAGCCCCTGGCATCAGGCTCGTTTGCGTCGGCCCTGGAGGGAGGCTCACAGGCCGACGACCTGGCGCAGTGGCGCGCCGAGGGCATGCGTCTGATCCGCGAGAACAAGGTGGCTGTCATTCTGCTGGCTGGCGGACAAGGCACGCGCCTCGGGTCGTCGGCGCCCAAGGGCTGCTACGACATTGGCCTGCCGTCGGGCAAGGGCCTGTTTGAGATCCAGGCCGAGCGCATCAAGCGGCTGCAGCAGATTGCCGCGGGCGCGGGCGAGCAGCCGGCGACGATCCCCTGGCTGGTGATGACCTCGGGGCCAACGAGCGCCGCTACGCAGAAGAAGTTTGCCGACAGCGCGTTCTTCGGACTCAAGCAAGAGGACGTGTTCTTCTTCAACCAGGGTGTGCTGCCGTGCTTTGACTTGGACGGCAAGATCATGCTCGAGTCCCGCGGCCGTGTGGCCGTGGCGCCCGATGGCAACGGCGGCATCTACGAGGCCCTCAGGCTGAGCGGCGCCCTGGACTGGCTGCGCGCGCGCGGCGTCGAGCACGTGCACTCGTACTGCGTCGACAACTGCCTCGTGCGTGTCGCTGACCCCGTGTTTGTCGGCTACGCAGCGCTGCGTGGTGCCGAGTGCGGCGCCCTGGTCGTGCCCAAGAAGTCGTGGGACGAGCCCGTAGGCGTCATCTGCATGCGCAACGGCCGCTATGGCGTCGTCGAGTACTCGGAGATCAGCACCGAGACCGCCCAGCTGACCCGCCCCGGCACTGCCAGCGAGCTGGCCTACAACGCTGGCAACATCTGCAACCACTACTACTCGCTGGACTTTTTGCAGAACCGCGTGCCCGATATCGAGGCGAGCCTCGAGCACCACGTTGCCAAGAAGAAGATCACCAGCGTCGACATTGACTCTGGCGACGTGGTCAAGCCGACAAAACCCAATGGCATCAAGCTTGAGCGCTTTGTCTTTGACGTCTTCCCCTTTGTGCACAAGATGGCTATTCTCGAGGTCGACCGCAAGGACCAGTTCTCGCCGCTCAAGAACGCGCCTGGCGCCGGCGTCGACTGCCCCGAGACGTCGCGCAGCGATTTGATCGCCCAGTGCATCCGCTTTGCCGAGGCCGCAGGCGCCACCGTGCAGCGCGCGGCCGATGGCCAGGAGCCCAGCTTTGAGATCTCTGCCCTGGTCTCGTACGCCGGCGAGGGGCTCGAGAGCCTCAGCGGCAAGACCCTGGCTGGCGACCAGCTCATCACTGATCTGGACAACATCGTCGTCGTTTAAACGTGAGCAAAACGCACTTATTTCGTATTCTATGTTTCTTTCTTCTCTATTTTTCATTTTGCAACATGTACTGGCCTTTAATGATTGTTGAGGGAGTTTTCGGACAAATTAAACTTTTATTTATGCATGGATATAAAGATAATTAAAGGCAACTGCTTCAATCACTTTTGAGCATCCCACGGCAAAAACTTCATTTCACGCAGATGCCCTAACTCCTCAGCCCTCTTCCCGACGATACCGGCAAGAACAAGCATCTTTGTGGCCTTCTGCAAGCCAGCATCCCCCGAGGCACCATGCACCCTCACCATGCCTGCCGCCGGCAGTCTGCACAACAACTCGAGCAGAACACCACGGAACAACCCATCACTAACAGTGACATCCAGCGCACCGCCGAATACAGCCTGGCAATGCCTCATGCCCTCCGCGCCCTCTTTAACGCCCAGAGCCAGTCTGCGCACGGATTCATTGACAGGTAAAATTCTGGGAGCGTCACGCAGTTCCTGGATCAACAGGGCGATCGACCGTATAGGCGCAACAACAATGGATTCCAGCGACAGGCTTTCGAGATTGGGTAGCCCAGCCAGCAACGGCAGCATGGTGGCCTGCAGATCGACGGACGACGATATTCGAAGCGAGCGCAGCTGGTGGGCAAAATTCATGACATTGCTCTGTGGTAAAGGAAACGGGATGGTCGAGCCTGCTATGGCCATGCCCAGCGAGAGCCGCTTCAGGGTTGTCGGCGCAGTGGTGCTGATTTGCATCACCGACCGGATCACATACTGGCTGCCGACAGCCGAGCCCTCCATGCCAATATACCGGATATCCAGGTTTTCCAAGCTCGCGAAATCCGCAAAGTTGATATCCTCCGGGATCTCTGACTGCAGCCCGGCGACAACCAGTGACTTGAGCGGGCTCGCAGCAAACAGAGACAGAAACCGCTGCGTGTCACCCGAAAACCGATGCACGTCCAGTTTCTCTAACGCCGGAAACCGCGGTCGTCCGTACACAGAGGACACCATGTATCCGTCACCCATCGCCATCTCCTGCTCGTCGTCTCTCAGAAAGACAGAGTCGCCGGTTGTCGAGCCATTGTCCCTGTTATCGTCAGACGAGGCATCATCAAACATCATGTTTCTGGGCGGCGCTCCGAAAGAGTACCGCCAGAAGAACATGAGCGTGAGCGACCGCAAACAAGAAAACTCAAGGCCCCCGCCGGATGCACCAGCCGGCATGACAAATGACTGCCAAATGAGAGCCTGGGGAACCGACGTCAATGTCAGTTCTACAAGTGCACTGGCCATCATGACTGGCACGCGCACGGGCCGCATCAAATTAATTCCACTGATATGCACCACAGGAACTTCAATCGGCTGCCCCTGGCAATTCCCCAGCGCAGGCGGTATATCAACATAGAACCTCAGCGCACACAGTTTGGTCGGCCCGCCGATCCGCTCGTTAACCAAAGTATTCAGCGGGAACCGATTGTAAACAGTCCTGCAAAACAAATCAAAATATGTGATTTCGCGCAGCGCTGGCAGTGCCAATGACAGCTTCTTATTCAGCCGAAGAGTTGCTTTCATGCCATAGTCTTCGCTGCGCATTATGTCTTCATGTGAAAACCCTGCCGGGTTAAGCGTTCCGAAACTCAGCCTGCTGATCCCCATCCACACCGTCCGACTCAGCCCCGCTGTGTTCAGTGCTCGCAATAGAGCACCTGGCGACAACGACGCGCCCGCTATACATACCAGCAGCTCTCGCGCACAGTCTTCAAAGCCAAGTTTCAGGACCAGATCGGCGTTGGTCCTCACGATGACTGCTGTCTCCGAAGCCATGCCCGCCGAGTTTACCGGTGTGCGGGTGATTGGGGCTACTGCATATGTGACGTCAATCATTATTATGGCTGTGCTGTGGAGTATCGGGAAAGAGACGCGGCGCCAGTGCCTGCAGACAGAGGCCAGGCTGCTGAACTTTGCAATCTGATCAAGTATCCTGGCGCTCATCTTCAATGGATCAGTTGTCGGGTATAGCCACCTAAAGATCAACCGAAGGATATCGTCTGGTAAATTTTGCCACGGCGAGATGGTCTCAAAGCCTTCGGATTCAATATAGCGATTCATTTGATTGAAATTTGAAAATAAAAATAAAAATAATAAAAATACAGTGAGACTTGAAATGTAAACAAAAAAGAGGAGAGGCAGTGCTCGATTTATAGCATCAAAAAACTGTCTGCACTCAGTAACCAGAAATAAAATTGAAAATAAAATAAAATAGATTTGTTTGTCCGAATTTTATTTCAATCAAGAAAAAAAACCAAAGATGATCCGTGATCAAGTTCAGACATAAAAATTGTCTGGCCACATGACTGCGCTCCACAGCAGAACCAACAGTTAAAGCAAGTTAGCACAAAGCCGCAGGTCAAAAGCCCTCATTCTGGTGCAGTCCATCAATGATCCCCACACATTGCCCCGTTTGTGTCGTCCTTTATGGCGAGGACCCCGGGCGCTAGCAGCATGCTGATCACGTCCTACAGCAAGCAGCGGAAATACGGGCGCCTTGATATTCTCGCGCCCATTATGCATATCAACCATGGCACTACCTCTTTTTTGTAATTTTATTTTTGTTACTGAGTAATGCATGGTATTTCTTTGTCTCACAAGAGTCAGTTTTATTTTTTATTTTTATGCACTCGCATCGAGTTGTTGAACCCAGGGATTTTGCAAATGGCCGAACCTAGCGCTGACGGCGTGGTCAGAGGCAACTTGGCTGATCACAGCACCCGGACCACCCTCGCTCGCCATGTATAATTGCTTTGTGCGGAGTATACGTAGTGCCGGCAAACGGCAGAGTAATTCTGGGATGAGGCCGCGGAAGCTGCTATCCTTATTTGAAATGTCGCAAACAAAGATTCCCGGAAAACCAAAGTACAAATCCAACACACATATTGAGTCGCTCACAGGGGTAAGCCTGTCACCTTCGTTGCAGATTGTTTCGACAACCTGTTCGATCGAGCGCAATGGCTTGCACGTGGCTGAAGTGATAATTAGGTGCTGCAACCGCGGCAGCTTAGCCAAGAGCAGCAGCAATGTCCCCGACACATCGATGAAAGAATCTAGACGCAGCACTCGCAAATTGTCCGCAAACGATATTTCCAAGAGCTGCGAAAAGTCCGTGGCTATTTCTTGGCACCCAATTGCCAAAGACATGTACTCGAGTTGTGCCGGCGGCGTTTTAAAAGCATGATGCAAGAGTTGTTTCAAGTATTCGCGATCGGGGTCCAGATCCTCCACGCCCATGCAGCTGACGGCCAATGACTTTAGTTTGGCAAAAGCTGAAACGTCTAGTTTCGAAGGAAGGTCAAACCTCGAGCCTTCGACTTTCAACTTTTGAAGCGGACTGCTAGCAAATAAAGAGAGAAGCTCTTGGATCTGGCCCGGAAACTGAGAGACCGCAAGCTTCAAAAGCGCCGGAAACCGTGGTGTTCCATATTTTTGCGACTGCATGTACTGCGATGCCGGAATTGTCTGATCAGCGGGGAAGTCGACGGGGTCGTTGTGGTTGCGCTGCGTGGCAAATATGAAGCCACTAATGTTGGCAAACTGTAGATTCAGCAACTGCAAGCATGTAAACTCAAGATCTGCTGTGCACGCTGTGTTCGAGGCTACAAATATCTCCCACAACGTGGATGCTGACATTGAATCTAACGACAAACTGACAAGTGACTTGGCAATAAGCCGAGGAAATCTCGATCCCGCGCTGAAGTCTACAAACCGGATGCGCAGATCTGTTACCTCGAGTGGCGTGCTCTGGTACTGGCTCAAAGCTGAGGGCACATCAGTGCTAATGTCCAGAGTCTCCAGGGCCACAGGCCCGTTAATACATCTGTCAACCAGTTGATTCAGCGGGAAGTGTCTGTACAAATGCCTGCAGTGGCTATTATCGTAAAATATCGCGCTGAGGGTGGGTAAATGGTCTGCCAGCAGCCCATTGAGGCATTCAATTATTTGCGGGCTGTGGTCTTCGCTGTTATAGCGGCTGTCGCCATCAGAGTTCCCGCTGGGAGAAAAATACCGCATTTTAAGTTTGGACACTGCAGGCCAAATTCCACAATCAAACCCAGACAATTGAATCAGTCTCACTAACGCGCCCGGTGACGGACTTTCTCCGTTTATGGATATAAAAAGTGTGTGGGCAAGCTCTGCGTGCTGCGGGCGGTGGTAGTAGCCAAAATTGGTCCAAATACCGCTTGAGCAGCGCGGTACTTGACTGTCGGCTGACAGAGCGCTATCGCCTTTTCCGAATTGAATACACTCAAGCGCCATGTCAATTAATATAATCGCTGTGCCGAGAACCATTGGCAGTGATACTATCCGCCATTCCGAGCACACGTGTGTGAGGTCTGCAAAATTCTCCAGCTTGTATTTTAAAGGAGTTTCTGGGTAAACAATACTAAAAATCTGCTGTAGAATTATGTGAGGCAGGTGTTTCCACATTCGGCACCCGGTCAGACTGCTAGGGTGAGCAACAGTATCCATTTTAAATTACAGCGATATTATTAGTAGTTATAATGAATGGCAAATGTGTAAATAAGAAGAGAGTCAATAAAGTTTAACCAAAAGACGACGAGATATTTTTTGTTTTCTCGCAATGGTTTGCTCGATTCCTCCAAAGATCTGCAACATGCAGATCGGCGGTCAATCAAAAATTAAGGTAATCAAATTGAATTGCGGCGGCAGTTGTGTGAATAATTAAGTCAGGACTATTTATACATGGCAATAGAAGGAAAAGTGAAACATGTAAATATTATATAAATATTAAAGAAAAATCTAGTGTGCAATAATTTTCGCTGAATGGATGCTTATTCATGCCAGGCTGAAACCGTCCCTGGAATAAGTTTGTCGAGTGTTGCTGACAATTGACTCAAACTCGGAAAATCGGGTATTGGCGCATCGTTGCACGTTTCAAATCTGTTCAAAAAATTAGATGAAAGCACGCTTGTGTTGCCATCGATTATATCACACTCTCTAAGCAGTTGTTCAACAATATCAATGGTGTTGACGCCTGCAGGACTCAGTATGTAGGGCAATGCATCTAGTGATGGAGTTGGAGGCCGATGGAAAGTTGTGCGACTCTGGGTTTTTCTTGCTCCTATTTTTTAGCCACCTAGATTTGCGCGCCAGCCAAACCAATTCCGCAAGGCTTTCCTCAATTGTACACCCATCGTTTATCTGGGTCTCATCCTCAGTCGCGAATTTGCAACTACCCGCAACACTTTTGACAAATTCAGCATCTGCGCCGTACTCAATATCGCTCTCGGGCTCGCACTCAAATGGTTCCATAGACCTGCCGGCAGGATTAATCTTTGACTCAAAGCCACTATCCGATCCACACAACTCGGTTTTGGCGTAGTGACTATGAGGACCATCTACTTCAGCATGCTGAATGCAAATAACGCCGGGGTTGCTTGCAGTATCAACTTGGCCAGTAACAACAGGATTAAAGACCAGCACTAGAACAGTATGGCGCTCTGAAATAGCAGACTGAGGAGATGGTATGGATGTTGTAGTTGTGTAAATATTGGCAGTATTAGCGACCGGGGCTGGAGTAGCTGGCAATTTGCAACGGTGGGCAGAGGCTGTGAAATAGTTGTTGAAGCGTCAGCCGCATCAAAAGCATTAGCAGCAATAGCAGGCTGAGGAGGTGGGGTAATAATGGTAGCTGCAGAATTGCTGTCACTAGTGGCAGTGTGTGCTGATATAGCTCGACGCTTTGCAACAACAACCTGACCAAAAAAAATCAATACAACGACAATAGCAAATACTACTATAACAATAAAAAATAATACTATGGCAAATGTAAAGCGGATAGCATCATTAAGGAGGATGGTGGTGAGAGAGCCAAGAGCAAAAAAATTAACACGAGTGACTATGTAATCAAACACAGTGCATGCGCTGGGCAGACTGACAGTGTGCTGTGCAATGGCGCGATGTGAAGATGGTGGTTTGGCGGCAGTAGAAATGCTGGCAGCGGGTGCAGCATGAGGGCTGACAAGTGAGGGTGCGGGTGTGGGTGTGAATGCGGGCACAGTCTGATAAGTGAATAGGGTGAGGTAAGAGGGCATGCTAATGGGCGCGCCTTGTGAATAGAAAGGTGCAGATATAATAATATTAGATGTGGTGTAATAAAGACGCGTATTAAGCACGTCAGGATGGAGTACTCCGCGGAAGGATTACACATTGGCATATCTCTGTTGACAATTATCGTTGGTAAAGAGAAAAATAAAAATTAGCTAAACGTTGGACTGATTGGAAGGAGTGGAAATGTGTCAAAGTTGGAAGGTTATGTTTTAATTTTGGAAAGGTACTAAAGCTCGTAGGTGCAAAAAAAGAAAAATACTTTGAGCAAGTGCACTGAAGAAAAATGCTGGTTTATATATGTGCAAAAAACTATGACTGCATACGACTAAACTGACTGCCAAATATCCAAGCATTGGGTTTATTAGTTTTATTATTTTTGTGTATCAATTGACGCGTGTCAAGAATAACCGCCGATCTGAAACCATGCGTATCTTTCATTTGGTTTGTTTTTATTTAGCAGCAAGCGTCCTTTTTCTTAACACGTGGCAGTCGGTATTTCCGAGCCATTCAATGGAAACAAATTGGAATTGACCACACATAAAAAAAGCATTGTTTTCGCACCCTCTTTTTCTAAAACAAAAGCCAAAAATGCATATTGCACAGTCCACGGCACATAGCACACCATTTGGCTGAATTTGTTTAGCAATCCGGCTGCAAACCCATTTGCTCGCTCTATTAGCCAGGCTTATCTAGAGTTTCACACTGCCAATGATTTGATCCATGCCTCGTATGACACGTTTCTGATTATCGATATTGTTTTTACATGTGCTTTGAGTGACCGTTACTAGCAGTTTATTTTTTTGGAGGTGCGTTTTGTTTTCAAAGCGTGTTGGTTTAGCTGCTGCAGTTGCTTTTTTTGCAGCCGCCAATTTCTATACCAGCAGTGGCGTTAAAACGCCCACTTCCTTATCATGATTTTTGTTGCAAAGTTGTGGTGACTTACAATTACAATTATTTGTACCATGCGATAATGGTTGGCGCATTCGTGATTTCATTGTTGCTGAAGCACTTATACGGCAGAAGCAATGGCTGTGATGTCACTCCATATAATATTTTTGGGTGCTGAGTAATGCCTCTAAATCACAGACGAATAACGCATATTATTTTTACATTGATGAAATGAGATTATATGTTGTAACTGTGGCCTTTTGCACATTGTCACGCAGGCATGGCACCCAAAGAAAATGGATATCGGACGTAGCACCTACCGACTGCTTTTCTGTTTGCCCAGGAAGAATGATAAAGCAAGCTTATTAATTTAATGCTTCGGTCGGTTTAAAAATAGCACTGTAAGCCATTGGATTAATTGAAAAAAAGTATACGACTTGGTTTAATTGGCTCAATGTTTAACAGACACGGCGTTCTGTCTTTAATTGCTGGGACACAGTAGTATCGTTGCACGTGTTTTGATCAACCATTTGTTTTTATTATTAAACCCCACCAAACTCCAACGCTGACATGTATTAATTTCTGTAATCATTTGCCTGTTCCACATGCACTATGCAACAACTCCAGTTATAAAAAAGCGGATATGTCGAGTTGGAGTTGGGTTGAGGTTAAATTGATTAAATCAATATAGACAAGCATTAATCTTCTGCGTAGCAATGGAAGTAATATAAGTGATACAAAGATTATTTTTTATTAATTTGGGAAAACAATAAATAGGCAAAGATGTAAGTCTCACGCATAATAAAGTATAAAATGTAATAAACGTTTTTCACCTTTATTTCTTTGCTGGACTAAAAGTGCACATGTACATGGATTCAATAAGGCATTTTATCTTATAATATCTGTATATAACACAAAGAAATCATTGATGTGCTTGTCAGAGATAATATTGGACCCATAGGAGTCAAAATAGGGATTGTAAGCCTTTAGGGCAAAACCTGGGGAGCAGTGAAAGGCCGACAAACTTTGCCTTATATACGGGGGAAGTATTCGATGAGGCTTGTGCCCTTTGACGGGTCCACACGTGACATTTGGTAAACCCGTTTGTAAGTGAGGGGTCAAGATAGATGGCACCTACTGAATGTATTTCAAAGTATGTTTCCCCAAGTGACCTACTGTATTTAGAGGGCCGCATAATTCATGGCAAAGTCCTCGAGTTGCTCAACTTGCATAATTAAAAACCGTAAAGATAAATATTAACAGTTAGTGTAAACTGAATAGTCAATCTTAAAATAAAAATGAAAGTAAGGGGCACCTTGCTAAATTTGGGTACTAGCGTTTTTAGATTCACGACTCGGCAAACAGGCATGATGGTTAATCCAGCGAGATTCATGGATGACGATGATTATTATGCTCCAAATACAATATAACAGTAGACACGCTACTATTTAATATTTCTGTTTGGTTCTACACTAACCCAGGTTCTGGATTCACTCGCCGCTTCTGTAACTTTAGTGACAGCCAATTATCGAGGCAACCTGTGTTTACAAAAGTGCTAAACCACCAATCAGGCAACAATAAATGACTGGTTAACAAGTTGATATTCGCAGATCCATAAATCCAGCCTATTAAACAATTTATTTTCTAACCCTCAAATATTGTGAATAAAATAAAAAGGCACCTACAGCTCGTATTTTGTTTTGCTTACTTTTCTTCATCATCATCTTCTCTCAATTACTTTTTTCATTTGAATTTTTTACACGCTTATCCATCCACCGACCTTTCAAAGTTTTTCAAGCGGTTGTAATCATCTCACAATTCACTAATTACCACAACAAAGCCACAAATTCACTTACAACGACCAATTCACAACCATTCATCCGAATTCAATTAGAAATATCCTTTTTTTCACTCGACTACCTATACTTTTTCTATATTTTGTCTTTAGTTTTCTTTTTATTACAAAATAAACTCTATTAATTCTCATATTAACAGGCACCAACCCGCTGCACGCCTGCTCCTATATATCCAATGATCCAGTTTTCCATGAATTTCTATAAACCCGTTTATCCTACTTACTCTCCCTACTTGACCACAAGTTATAGATCCAGTCGCTGAAGAGTATGCTGGCGCAGGTGGATGCCAAAAACAAAGAAATGCATGCCAGGATTGACAAAGCCAAAGCCCACATTGAGAATATGCTTTCCGAGAACAATGGAAAAGATGCTGAGATCAGTGTTCTTGAAAATGAAAACAGGCCGCTCCACAACAAACTAGAAGACAGTTTTTTTATCACAACAACTACAGCTTTTTGGCATTTGACAAGATGACCAAATACGCAGAGACTATGCGCAGCAAGAAAGAGTGGCTGTAGAGCGAGAATAACAGATTGCGGAGCAAGGGGAACAGGCTGCAGAGTAAGAACAAAGAGCTCCAGATAAACGACACAATCACCTAGAAGACACACAGGGCTCTCTACAGTTTGGTTCTGTCCAAGTACACAGAGATCGAGCAGTTGCACGCTGATGCCAAGAGAAAACATCCTTACACCGACGCTCTACATGATGTGACCGAGAATGTACAGTCATCCAAGAAGAGAGTATCCGACAAAATAGCTGACATTACAGCCCAACTTGCAGACGCTCCGGAAAATCTGGCAGCGCTAGCAGATGACAAACGGTGCCTTAAGGAGGACACCTTCGCTTAACCAAGCAGTTGGCCCAAGCCAACAACTTGCTTGCATGCAAAGATGCGCACATTGCTAGCCTCAGGCTCAGGTTTGCACCAAGACTGGGTCTAATGGCGGCACACACAGTCGAAATGCTACTTCCAGCACCCAGGTCAACAGATATTCGGCAGCGCCAGATGGAAAAGGCAAATGCGACTACCAAAAAAAGATTGCACGTTTAAACAGCAAAATGGCCAAGGCAGACTGCGCGCAGGAACATAGCGCTTGCCAGTTGGAGAAAATGGAAAAGTGTCTTGAGCTTAAGGAGCGGGAGATTATGATGCTGATTGGAAAGTTGGCTGACCAACCATTTAGAAGTGGACCAATGGACAGGTGTCTTGGTTCAAAGCGTCTGTGAAAAAGCATATTTGTAATTTTTTATAGATATGCTGGACACACCCATGAAGTCACCAGCTGACAGCCCTGTGTGTGCCCTTTCACTAAAGCAGCACTTGCAATATATGACCATGGCCGATGCACTGGTGTGCAATAAGCCTAGCTGTGGCCACACTACCCCCGCATGTGTGCTGAGGGTTATCCTACTGATGAGAGCTCCGACGTCAGCGCCAGCTGCTCGAACCACAAATCCAACGTCAAAAGCGTGTGCTTTGCCCTGGATTAACCTCAATATATGCGCGCAGCTTGGCACACTAAATAAGCCAGTCGCTTGGTACTTTGACAATGCGGCACTGCGTGAGGAGAGCTGATTGTCAGCTACAATGTGGCAATAGTAGCGGTTGAGCTTGAAAAGATACGGATGCATGTCATTCAGCAGCCATGCAGGGCTCCATTTGGCTTAAACCTTAACCCAAACAAAAAACCCATGCTGATAGGTGCAGCAGGCCTAAGCGCAAAAGACTGCGCATCTGCGCTTTAAAATACAGATACAGTTTTGCAAATCAATAGAAAACTATGTTTACAATCAGCCAGGCATCCAATCACGACTTTGTGCCCAAATGATTGCCAGGATAGCACCGAATTTCCCACCAATCGAACAGAAACACAAAAAACCCTGTTCATCGTGCTCTTTTTTGGGATCATGAAAAATTGTGGCGTCGACAAGAAATAAAAATCAAAACAAACAAAACACCATATGACATGATATGACATAAAAGGCGGCTGGCAGTCAGCGCAGCATTTTTCTTTCTCTTTCTTCTCTTTTCATCGAACCTTCACATTCACTACGAAGCTATATAAAGAAAGAGAAGTTTGCATGTATTTGCGCCGTTTAAAATTCATTTGTTTGCTCTAACTGTAAACCAATTCACACTCGAAATTATTGTTTTTATTCGAAAATAATAGTTATTCAGTTATTTTGTCATCTCTTTCTTTCTTTGACTTTCTTTTTTCTTGTCAGCATTTACTTGTCGTTAAAATGACTATCAAGTTCACAAACACAATGCGCAACCTGCGCACCACTCTGCGCTCTGTCGCCAGACATGCGCCTACCCGCAGCACTAGCCCATGCGGCTGATGCGCCGCCTGTGCACTTTTAGAGCCAAGGCTGAGGAGTTTGACTCGTCCAGCTCTGAGTCTGCACACACCAGGTCCTCACACTCCAAAGTTGAAATTGATTCCCACCATGGTGAGATCACAGCTGCGCAGGATGCAGCCGAGCACACCCGTGCTGAGATTTATCTTGTACAGACCAAGCCTGCAACCGAGCAGACTGAGGATATTCTTTTGCGTGCCGAGTTGGCCGATAATAGGGAGAAGCTGAGGGTCAGAGAATTGAATGTTCAGCGCCTGGAGCTCCGGCTTGAGCAAAAAACCAGTGAGGCAGCAGACATTAGCCGCAAACTAAGTATAACCAACCACATGCTCGCAGAATTAGCTTTAAAGAATGAGCGTCTTGAGACCAAGGTGGAATCGGCAGCAACGTGGCACATGGAAGTTCACGATATTCTTGGCAAGTCTCGCCGTCAAGCAAGCAAGCTTGCTTACAGCAACAAAATGCTCACCGACAGCAATAACGCACTTATCAATATCAACAAGGAGCTTTCCAAACAACTAATCATCGAGAAAAGAAAGGTCAGGTTCTGCGTTTTGATTTGGTCAATCTCGACCGTGAGTTGGAGAATACCGACTGTAAGCTGGAAGCCACTCAGCAAAAACTCGAAGAAGCCAAGCAGAATCAGGACATTGCTGAGGAGTTCTGGGGAGAAACCGAAATGCTGCGCCAGGAGGTCGAGCAAAAGCTCAACGAGTCCGAGCAAAAGTGTGAGGCTGCTGAGCAGCATGCGCAGGCTATTGAGTTGCAGACGGTGAAGCTGATGGACCTTGCACAGCAGGATTTTGACGAGCTCTATGACGAACTGGAGCATATCAAATACATTGTGAGTTTGACGTGTCCAGCAGAAGTTGCTCGTCAGCTCCTTGGCCAGCCTGCTGGAAATCTCGATACTATTTACAAGAGCGATGCTGATGGGCAGTACTTTGACGACAGGCTCTGCGTTCATTCGGACAGCGCGATTGATGCTATCTATGCAGTTGATTATGATTCTGATGACCAGCAGCAGCTGTCTGCACCAGGCGTGATTTGCTTGCGCAAGCACAGGCGCACTATTTAACTGGTGTGGGACGCTGTTTGGTTTGCTGTGGACATACCACTGTAACTACTGTATATTATTCGGCAACCACACCCTACTCCCGTTTATCTTTTTTAAACAGCTCTAGCTTTCAGCCTCCCTGATTGAATCGCACCCTGCATTTTTCTTTTCCTTTCTTTTCCTTTTTTTCCTTTCTTTTATTTTTCTCCCTTTTCCATTTTCTGTATTAACGACAACATAACACATTTTATCAATCACACATGATCGTGCATAACTTGTAAATTGTCATAGTGTTTGTCATGCTCTATAAAAATGTGGGTCTAAATTAATATATTTAAGTACCAAAAATTACTTTTGAAACTTTAAAAGGGGGCAACCCTGTGTGGGCAGTGCTGTAAACATCATGATGTTCCTTGGTGTCAGCCAGCAATAACAGAAATGTCTATATTGGCCATGAGGGCGATCTTGATTATTGAAAAAGAAAGATAATGGCTTGAAATGTGTGTTGGGCACCACACTGTGTGTGGATGTGTGCTTTGGTAACCGCTCTATGCGCTGTTGTGCGTCCGTCTGGTGATATGCGCTGCTGTATAATATAAGAATAAGAATAAGAATATTTATTTGAACAAGAAAGAATAGCGGTGAAACAAATAAGTAGATTAGCTTGCAAGTGCAAGCGCAAGCGCAAATGCTTTTCATTCACACTTTTATTGTCTGGGTGTGGGCAATCAAAACAATCCGAGTTTATTTTCCCGCCTTCACAACGGCCATTATAACGATTGAATTGTATTATATGATTTTCACAACTACACTACTTGAATGACGATATTTAAGTGTGAATCCTTTGTTTACGATAGGTTGTATAGATAGAGTTGATTTAAAAGAGCTACGAGACCTTATTGGAATGATAATAATTTTAATAATAATTTAATTATCCGCGATTAATTAAATTAATCAGCTGATCCACCGAATAATAATGTATGCTTGTATAAGCCTGCCTTTCGTAAAGCTCCATAAAAGCATTCTCTTTTTTATCTATGCTATTGCGTTTTTATATTAACTATTTATTATTTACTATTTACTATAATGTATTATGACTTTTTTTCAACTAACGCTGTGTGTATATGTGTGGTACCCATACATCCATTTTTAATTTCCATTTTTGGTATTTGTCATGAAGACCATGCTTCAGTTGCATGTATCGACTGAAGCGGTGTTTTCTACATTTCTTTTTATAAGAAAAATGAATTTTACACCACTACAAGCGAAGAACTATTTAGCATGCACAGTCTTGATAGCTTCAGCGCGTGTACCACTAACAGAACACGCATAAAGTCAATTGGCCAGTATACAACCAACACAAAGTCATGGTTTACGCCTAAAAAATATAATATCCAAGGATGCAATATGCGCGTATCTGCTGCTTAATAATTCCTTATTCTCAATTGAATATTCTCAGCTTTATAATAAGCAATGTACTAAAAATTAAAACAAGTTCTGGTGCATATACATTGCCAACAGGCACTTCCACTTTCCAATATCAGTCATGTTATTTTAATTTGTTATCATTATGCTAGTGGCGCCAAGTTTGTAGCTGATATTGCAGCCAGCAAGTTTTGATATGGGGCTTATTTTGTTGCCTTGCTGTATTATACTTTATAGAAGGCAAAATATTTATTGCATTTGTTAGCACGCCTATTCGACACGACCGTGCGCTTCCTCTTTTAATTATATACATACTCGAAAACCAGACCACCAAAAGTGGTGCTGCAGATTTGTATCTAGATTTCAACTCATACCTAAACTTGAATCTGACTCTAATCGATCGACCACAAGCACAACCGACCGATCGACTACAACCACAATAAACAGCCAGCACCGGGCACCACTCAACGCCGTAATAACACCCATACTGGCACTTGCGACTAATAAGCACAGTGACGAGGAGATGGCCATTGATGTGAAACCCTGGCTAAATAATGCCGGGGACATAGTTCCACGCATGGGCCTGGATAAGAAGGACCAGGCTTTAGCAGCCTCTTTCAATATCCCAATAAACAAGCAAAACAAATTACACTGATCTGCACTGCATGGAGGACAATTTAAACTGCGACAACTAGATGATTTGTAAGGAGTTCCTGCCCACGACATATTTGCGCTTTCTGGCGTACTACGACCTACTACACAAGTTCTACAACCTATCATTGCCTGAGACCCTCGGTACGCTGGAGGAGTTTATTGTGCAGTTCAAATATCTTGCTACAGCACTTGGCCGCAAGCTGTCTGACAAGCTGGTCATGAAGACCTTAATAAAGCTGCCGAATTCCTTGAGCCGACAGATTCTCAGCGAGACAACTGTGGGGGGGGGATAACTCTTCCATAAAATCTGATTGATTGATGCTCAACCCCATTAATATTAAAATTTCTCAATAGTTGTGCCACGCAAAAAAGGCGATTATGTTCTTTCCCTTTTCGTTGGGTGGTTGAATTTTGGATTGGCTTGCTCCCCTTTTTCAGCCAAGTCCATTAATATTAAGCGTGTGCTGCTTTTATTTGCACGCTTGAGCGCTACGACCAATGCTTTTCTCAAGCTTAAAAATCCAATATTATTTTTTGAACTGCTAAAAAAACATTTAAAAGATAAATTACTGGTAGCCATCACAAAGCGCTAATGCACTTGCAACTTACAGGAACCGGAACCACAATTGCCAATTTTATATTTTATATTTTGAAGCACTTTATGCTCTGTGGTTGTTGCTGTATGTGTTCTGTGTTCTGTTTCCTATTGTCAAAAAACATCTATGGACAGTTATTCCTTTGCCGCTCACTCTGAACATAACTGTTGTGCCCTCGTCTGTCCCCATATCTGCAAACGGTATTGCTGGTGGCTTGTATTCTACACGCCCCGTCAGTCGCATCTGGAATCCTCACCAATGCGCTCGCCGTCGGAGCAGTTCTGCCGACCACTGCGCTAATCACCATCACGCTATCTCTGACTTCTGCTTTCCAGGTGCTGGTCACACTCTGCACAATAGAGCTCACTGCCAAGCTGATAGCGTGTATCGGGCTACTCGTCCATATTTTTTTGTCATGCGTTCCCATCCTAGTCACTCCCAGATTTTACAACTGGTAGTAGTGGTCTTGTCCTGTTATTAGCCTACCAAAAAATTATCCTGCGGCTTTACCACTCCACAGACCCACAGGCATAGTCATAGCTTATGATCCTGGTATGCTTGCGGGTACTAGTCCCACTCTCAGGGCGACCGGTAAAAGGTCAAGCAATGCTCACAGTACAAATCTGCGTATTTTAAAGTATGTAATAATTGTAGAGCGCTACAAATTATTCTTGACCCATGCCCCGTTAATGTCTGCGTATGACCAGGTGATTGCATCTAGAATATCCTGTAGCCACAGTCAATCAACTTCACTGCTGTAGCTGCTGCCACTTGCTTAAGCAGCTGGCCTGCCATCCATACTTCATCTGTCATCATCTGTGCATACACGCAATTGTCATTGCCATGCGTTCAACTTAGCTCCAGCACCTCCAATACAAATTTGTACATTGACTGCATGTATGTCAGCCCAGCTATGCTGATGCCACCAGCTGGAATGGCGACCTCCTCGCTGCAACTTGCACACTTTCTTAGTCAACTCGGTGTATGCAATTATGTCTTCTGGAAACTTTCAAATCACTGTCGTCTCCGCGCCCTGTTGCCAGACCAGATTGGGCCCACTCAGCGCCAGTTGTGACCACTCAATGAGCTCAGATTTCAATCGTGCGTCCAGGCAGCCAACGCCCATAAATATCCACCTTCGCCGGCTCCAAAGTGCTTCCCGAATTTATGCTGCATCTGTTTGCTGTTATTTAATTGTAAGATCGACTGCCATTGATATGTTTTAATATTAGGAATAATTGAAATTTTGAAGAACAAAGGAAAAGCAAGACACATTAAATTAGTAAACTGGAGAAGACAGATCGCCTTACAATGCAATGGGTGTGACAGCAGGGCTTTGCTGATGGCTCAATATGGGCGAGATCATTTAACTTTAAAATATTTATTTTATGTTATAAAGGCGATTGTCGTGCTCTATAAAAATGTTGGTCTAAATTATTATATTCAAGTATCAAAAATTACTTAAGGAACTGGAAAAATGGGGCAGCACTGTAAATATAATGGTGTTCCTTGATGTCAGCCAGTAATAACAGAAATGTGTATAGCGGCCATGAGGGCGATCTTGATTCTTGAAAAGGGAAGATAGTGGCTTGGAATCTGTGTTGGGCACCACAACGATGTTCGCGCAAAATATTTTCAACAAAAAGCTACCAACACAGCGGCTAATAAGTAGAGTATAAGCAGATACGTTATATCTATGAGTGGACACAGATCAAGGCGTTCATAAAACAAGAAAAGTGGTGATTTAGAGGTGGGAGTATCCGTTGATTGTTGTCAAAAACATTTAGACATAAAAAGTATAACCATTATTTTAAAACGGAGTTTTGACTGAGTAACTCATGTAAAGCGGCTTAGTTGGGGCGCATAGAATGTCAAGATAGTCTTACTAAAATATTTAACATAAAATATGGCAGAAAACCATGCGCCAGGGGGGGCAAAAAGTTCAAATAAAGAGAAAATAAAAAATATACATGCAGCTCTTGGCAGCAAACAATCTTTGGGTATTATTTTATGTGTGAGGCGTAAGGCGGCTTTCACTTCTAAATTTTAATAATATTGCATTTGCGCATCATCCTGGAATCAGTTTTCATAATAAATTGTTGGAATATTGAAACTTTCTATGAACGTGTAGATAAACTATAAAGGTGTAAAGTATATTTAATAAATAAGTGCTATGCACTGTGAAAGGTAAAGAGTAGAAAGCATATTGCTTTGGTCACTGTGTGACTTATTGTTTGTGTTGCTAAACAGCCAAGACTGGTTAATCATTTGATCGCCATCAACCAATATAAATAGTATTAATTAAATGAACAAAAAGAAAGCTAAAGGATGAACAACCTCTACTGTTCATATTCACTAGCATTTATATTGCTTGTATGAATATTTCCGCATATCCGAGTAGGGAATTGACTGTTGATTGTTCAATGGATCAATCACCAGGGACAAGCAGGATTTAATTGTTACATCAGTTATCTACAGCACATTTATTTGTCGTGTTAATTTGAGGCTTAGCGTGTGTTTTATGCAAAAATAAAATGCAGCTCTTTAGTTGTCGGATTTATTGCTGCGCATCTGTCTGGTAGCGCATTACGCTACGAATTTTTCAAAGTGTAACTTCCATGTTTGAGATTCTGAGACTAACCAGTTATTTTTCTTATCATTTACTGTAATGATAATATCTCTGGTCAGATCTCAAAACAAAAAAATGCACTTTATGCATGCTCGCACGTCACTCTTATTTGCTTTATTTTCGATAACAGACACAGACACGCAAGCATGCAGTCAACTGTTTCTTGTTTATTTTTATTTTTATATTTCTGCGTTATAATCTTGTATATTAGTTTGTTCATTATTAAAACAAAATGTTTCCCATTTTAATGGCCGATTCGAATTTACTCCAAAATAAAGTTGTTCTTGTAACAGGCGCTTTACCACCGTTGGCCACTAACTTGCACACTGTATATCTGCCCTGGGCACCTCCCTGGTGCTGGTCGACTCACTGTCCAACAGCACAGGCGAGCAACTCAACGCTATCCTACCAACACACACAATCTACATCAAATCCAACCTATTCCAGCAATGGGAGGTCCGGCTAATTATATAGGCCGCGGTATTGACCTTTGGCCACTCTGACATTCTAGTCAATAATGCACACAGCCTGGCCGACAAAACATTGGATGCCAAGAACATGCAGCCTATCTGCAACATCATTGACGTTGATTTTTGCGCATCCATTTTTGGCATTCTGGGTGTTCTCGCGGTATGTTTGCCAGGCGGGCAAGCAGGGCATGGTGGTCAATGTTACGGTGATGGCTGGGTTGGCTTTCAGCAGGGAAAGGGAGGTGTTTAGCATGATTAATTCCGGTCTAACGCATTTTACTGAGGCTAGTCGCATACAGAAGGAGAATGTCAGATGGTGTGCCTTGGCACACTATTATGTTGACGGCTTGGTGGACGGCGGTGGTGGCGGCAGAATGTTTCCCAGGAATAAATTGGGTGCAGTGTTGGTTATAATCTGCGAGCAGGTTGTTGAGGCTGTGGTCAGGTGTATTTTTGACGATCGGTTAAATGGAAAAGGGGTTCCTATGGCTAGCGAGTCGACTTATACACATACTTGGGCGTATTTGTTGGCCAGAGTGCACATGTTTTTTATCATTATGTGGAGCATGCTCATGCTGCTTTTCAATCGGTTAGTATTTTTTTGCTAGCACAATGTGAAGAACAAACAGAAAGAAGTAACTGAAGCTGATAATAAAAAAGCATTGCATTTTCATTCGTGTTTTTTTCAATAAAAATACTTTGGTCGAAATTCTACTTGGTTACTGACAACATATTTTTGCTAGATATTTGGCCACCTCCATTTTAGTTCAGAGGTCTGTGATTCATTCATATGACCCGGCTTCTAATTTCTGGCTGCTGCAAACTCTTTGAATAGGCAATTCGCTCTGAACTGTCTTTTATCTTTGACTCAATGACGGGCCAGCATGCCCCTAAAAAAGCAACAAAAGCAAAAGCAATGTACAAGGGAGAGAACAATGACAATTGGAAATTAGTCCGTAAATATAATTATTTCTTGTTTCCATATTTCAGCCAACCAAATGCGAACACAATGACAGGTTCAAAATTTTTTGTTTATATTAATTTTATTTTTGGGGGCACTTATTGGTTGATGGCGATCAACTGATTAACCAGTCTTGGTTGTTTAGCAACACAAACAATAAGTCACACAGTGACCAAAGCAATATGCTTTCTACTCTTTACCTTTCACAGTGCATAGCACTTATTTATTAAATATACTTTATATCATTATAGTTTATCTACACGTTCATAGAATGCTCCTATATTCCAACAGCACTCTATCGCTAAAAAATTTCCATATTTCCGATTTTCTATCTTTGCTTCTACTTTTGACAGTTGCTTTTTCATTTTCCACAGTTTGTTCTCTTTTTCTTTTTCTTTCTCTCCTTTTATTTTATTTACTTTTCAATTTCTCTCTCTACTCTCCCAACAATGTCTGAGTTAACTCCACCGGCCGAAACAGGGGTAAGTAGAAGCAGCCAATGTTTTATTTTAACCTTAATTCACTTTGCAGTTGTTCATTTGAAATTTATTAAGAATATTATAACGCTGATTACAAATGACAAATTGGCTATTTTATTATATTATATTAGAAGAGCAAAACGGACGGCACTTTCCAAACGTCCACTGAAAGTCAAACCAAGGCGGACCTGCCGCCAGGGGAATGGGAGACCGACGACGTACGTGATAAGCGCCGTCAACGGCTGCTGAAATGCCTCGGCGATAACATATTGCACAACTATCCGTTTGCTAAGTTTGTCAAATCACTAGGTGTGAAAGAGCAGTATAATCGGTTTATCAAGGATTGGCCTGATCTCTTCCTCAGAATAGCCAGGGGGTCGCCAGTGGCTAATAGCAGAGGCATCATAGCCAATACACGCCGCTTGAATGCCAGACTCAGTAATTTGCCCATTACTGACGTCTTCATATCTCATCCAAAGTTGATGGGGCTGACTAGGGAAGCTCGTTTGGTCAAATATTTTACCCTTCTCTTCAACAAGATGGTCAATGTGGTTCGTGTTGCAAATGAAGATATTCCAGCAGGCAGAACTCCAATCCCAAGCTGCAGGGTTAGCCTGAAGGACCATCAGAGTGATGTTATACAAGCCACTCCACATAAGCCAGCTATTGCATTTTACCACAACTACACAACACGGGACATTCATTCCGTCCATGCTATACTCGAGGCCAAGGCGGATCCAAACCCCAGCAGAACCCCAGAGGATATTCATGGCCAGCTTGCAGATTATGGCCATTTGCTTAATTATAGGCAGCCAACGCGCACATTTGCACCTGTCTTCTACCTCCATGGACACCTCCTGACGCTCCATGCATATTATCGTGACAAACTGTACGTCGTTGAGTTTGGTGATATATGCTTTGATACTGATTATTGGACACCTGACGGAGCTGAACGAATTCAGGTGTTACGTTAGAAATATATATTCGAACAAAATGAACTAAAAGAAAGCTAAGGGATGAACAGCCTCCACTGTTCATATTCATTAGTATTTATGTGTCCATATGAATTCCCGCATGTCCAAGTAGGGAATTAACTAGCGATTGATTAATGAATCAATCGCCAGAGACAAGCCGCAATTTCTTGTATCACATCAGGAGTGCCTCATGCAGTTATAGTTTCTGCTAACTCTTGAGTCGAAATTTTTCAGGCATTTCTGTAACGTCTCAGAGGAATCTGACTTTTTCATTTTTTCAAAGAAAGTCGATGTGGAGAGCAAGGGCGATTCGAAGATTGAGGTCTTATTCTCGGTTTCCAAGGATGTCAAGGATGGTGAGGATGTTGCTTCTTCATTTCGATTTGAGGAGACAATAGCACGTTATTCATACATGGTTGGGCGCCATGTTCATTTACTCAAGAGGACTTACAAAGACCATGCTGCTGTGCTGAAGCTTTCCTGGACCCCAGTCAATCGTTTGCCTGAGGGCGCTGCATACGCCATCCTCAACAAGAGACCAGTTGAATGTATTCCAGAGGTCTTTTTGAAGGGTCTGCTCATCAGCAACCTTAATGGATACCAACTGGAGTTTGTGCTCATGGAGTACTGTGGCCAGTCAATGGCCAAGTATCTTAAAGACAAGGCCAACGATCAAAAAGATGAGCTGGTTCCTGGCTTTGTCAAGCAGCTGACCCTGTGCCTTGCCCAGCCAAATGAAATTGGTCTCCTGCACAGGGACATCTCGGCAAGAAATGTGTGCATCAAAAACGACAAGGTGTATGTCATTGACTGGGGCTGTGCCAAGATTATTGGCTGGGGATGCTGCCAGGGACACTGACCCAACTCAGCTCAAACACATTGAGATTGCCGAGCAGTGGGAGTTCAATGCAACAACAGTGGGACGGGTGGAGGTGGCCAAAGACCCATTTATAGGGACGCTACTTTTCATGGGAATTGCCATTCTCAGCAGAAACCCCATCCAGGGAATCCTTGATGACTTGGAGAGTATTTTCTATGTCATTATGGATGCAGCGCGCCCAGCTTATACTGAGAGGGATGACGTTCAGGGGTTCAAGTTCCTGGACTCTTCATCCCTTGCCATTATAAGGTGGGGTTTGATCCAAGAGGATGCTGTCTTGCTGGAGGAGTTTGGTGTTAAAAATATTAGCCCTAGGCTCATAAAGCTCATTCGTGTGATGCGCCAGTTCCTGTTTGAATCAGAAAACAAGATTATGACCCACCAGCTCTGGTCGAGCAATAAATTTGTTCGATGGGCCAACTGGGATGCTGCTCCTGAGTTTATGCACCCCAAGGCGATTGAGCTCCTTAAAGATGATATTGGACAACTTAAGCGGCCAGCTGGGGACGAGGACAAGGACAATGCTGAGCCATCACTCAGCAAAAAGCCTATAATTTAGTTTTTTGTTTGATATTAATAATACTTTTGTGATCCTGAAAAGCTAACTGCAAATGATAAAATATTTACATCTTATTCATATTTTGTTATGTTTAATAAAGCATTTAACTCTTGTCTTCCCCTTTTCTTTATCAACCCACCAATCACCTGTTATAATAAGAGGGGGTGTGAGGAGCACTAGTTGTCTAGTGTTAAAAGTTAGGGGTGATTTTATAAAATGTTTTATTACTGATATTTCTAAAGTACTACTAGGGCCGGCCTCATCATATATATGTGCCTTGTCGCCTTTGTTGTGCACATTGTCAATTGTGCGCTCCGTTGGTGAGAACTGGATTTTTTGCGAGCAGACCGGTATCTTGGCAAGTCAATGTTGTGGTTTTCATGCGTGTACGCTCATGCGTGTGCATTGCAAAATGGGGAGCATGTTTGGGCATCAATGCAATGCCTCCCTAATTTACGTCTGCATTATCCAATTAGCGTCCTATCAATCGGCACGCAGGTGGAAACCTGTTTCGCAATTCTCGACCTCAACATCCACTTCCATACCTTCAGTCTGCACAACATTCTAATTTGTCAAATAATTGCAAATTATATATTTTATATTCTAATTTTGCAATCTATTTTTACCAATTCACCATTCATCTTTCTCTTTTAACACATGCCCAATAATGTCTTCCGCTGGCATTTAAGATAGCTAGTACTCCCTTGCAATTGCTGTTGGCACAGTACCCGGCACATATGGGGTACTTTCACATTTTTTGGACGAATTGCAGTATAAGTTAGATTTAGGTTACACACAGACAAAGGCAGCAATGGCGACATCCCTGGTACATTCGGACCAATAATTTCAAAAGGGAGTGCAGACAGTGAGGAAGCAGAGTTGGACATCCAGACACTCAAAATAGCCAATTTATTGGAGGACATTTGGTGCTGCTAACGAGTGTATTTCATAGGTATACTAAATTTATATTTTTAAAAGCCCGGAAAAGAGAAGAGCGAGAACTAATAAATGTTGTTGTTTTGCTCTTTTTATGGCTGTGTGTTACGTTATAAATATATATATATATTGAATAAAAATGAACTAAAGGAAAGCTAAGGGATGAACAGCCTCCACTGTTCATATTCATTGGTATTTTGTGTGCGTATGAATTTCTGTATATCCAAGTAGGGAATTAACTAGCGATTGATTCATTAATCAATCGCTGGAGACAAGCCGCAATTTATTGTATCACAACTAGTTTCCATCTGGATGGCAGATGTGCACTGGAATGTTTACCTAATCTGGTAATGACATGGGCATCGATATAATTGGTGATTTTGAGCTGGTTGCAAACTGCTCTGAGCCACGCAGTACTGCCATTGACTGCAAGTTCGCTGAGATGTCAAAACCTATGCCTGTTTTAGATTTGTTGATATTACATTTCAGGATCAAGTCATCATCTGCTGCTTCAATTGTTGATAATGCTGCTGCCACAGATGGGTCATTGTACATGCTGTACTACCTATTGTTCAGCATGTTTCTCAACAGTGAACCAGTATAGAACTCAAGATGGAAGTTTGAGTCTGTTGTGATCATGACTTATATTTGGGAGAATGCTGGTGGCAAGCACACCTTTCATGTACATTGTGATACAAGAAATTGTGGCTTGTCTCCGGTGATTGATTAATGAATCAATCGCTAGTTAATTCCCTACTTGGATATACAGAAATTCATACGCACACAAAATACCAATGAATATGAACAGTGGAGGCTGTTCATCCCTTAGCTTTCTTTTAGTTCATTTTGTTCAAATATATATTTTTAACATAACATGTATCTGCTCACCAGCTGGCTAATGCAGGTTAGGTGATCCTCAGATCAGTGTAGGTTTCCCCCAAAGAGTGGTGAGGGCATTGGAGATGACCTCCAAAGTGTCTCCTATGGCAGCATGTGGATATGCAGGTGACATGGTATGATGACAATGACTGCGACATCACTGGCCCTGGGCAAGTACAGCAACCAGTATGGCGAGAGGTGGGAGGCTGGGGATGTTATTGGCACAGGTATTGACTCAGACTATGGCAGTGTTGAGTTTTATCACAATAGCCAGTCAATGGATAAAAAGTATAAAAGGTGCATGAGTGAGGTTGATACTGTGGACAAATGCAGAAGGTGGCACCCTGCAGTCTCATTCACATTGGAACAAGAACTGGCGTTTTTGGGGACTGACATCAAAGATAAAATGCTGCTGTTGGCCACAGTTTTGCATTTGCTGTTCTGAGCGGGAAATGTTTGTTTATTGAGTCAACATGCCCACTGCAATCTTGTGTGTGACATCAATTATTATAATGTCACGTGACAATTGCACTTGTGAAATTGTAATTGTTTACGATCGCGATTTCTATTTTCACTGTCGATAATTTTGAATAGATAAGCGGAGCTCTTTAAGCTCCCTTATGGTGGATTTTATGAAATATATATTTAGCACGAATAAATTTTATTACACTGTCTATCACTAGAGACATTATAAGCAATGTTCAAACGCTTGCCAAAGATCATGTTGTATAGGAAGTGAACATGTGCAAAATGTGAGCTAAGTTTGTCCGACTAAATTTTTTGTTGAAAGCCTGCTGGGAAAAACAAATTTTATAAAGAAAACCAGGCATAAAAGATGCGAGTAAATTGACATGTTTGTTGGGATTGGAGTCATCAATTTAAAATATTCAAATAATAAAAAATCATTTTATAAACCCATATGTGGGTAATATTTTCCATATTGTACAAGTATTTTATTTTATACAAAGTCTTTGAGCGGCGTTACGCATATTAATGCCAATTTACAAAAGCTCGCTTTCACATATACTTACTTTCTAATTTTATCCTAATTAAAATGGACAATCTCGTCGACTCGGCAGTCAAAAGCACAAATTGTCTGTTTCCTGGAGAGTCGGCAGGAATTGTGGCTCTCGATGCAAACGCAGATAACTTAAAGGGCCAGCGGACTGGTATTGCGACAAAATACCGAGATGAGTACCTGGTTTCTCGAGAATTACCACGAGGCGTAGAGAAATTTGGGGCAAAATTAAATGACATAAATAACAACTCGGATTTATCAGCGTCGTTTGGACCTGCGCTAACAACGCAACTGTTGATTGCGAGCGGCAGCACCAACAGCAGCGTTGCTGGAGTATCTGCGAATGCATTTACGGATGTCGAGGACGAAGTACAGCGAGTGCTTGATGGGCTTGCAGGAAAGCAGTCAAAGTCCAAGGCCAAAAAGGTTAAGAAGCCGACCCGTGAGCTTGTGCTGGCAGCTGCCGAGAAGGGTGCAAGCATGGCAGCGAGCCTACCTCCGCCGCCCGGACAGCAGATTGTGCGTAAGCGGAATTACGACCCAATTAAGCCGGAATGGCATGCGCCGTGGAAGCTGATGCGGGTGATCAGCGGACATGTCGGGTGGGTGCGGTCACTGGCGGTAGAGCCAGGCAACAAGTGGTTTGCCTCTGGATCTGTCGACAGAACCATCAAGATCTGGGACTTGGCCTCAGGCACATTGAAGCTTACACTGACCGGGCACATCTCGCCTGTGCGCGGACTGGCGGTTTCGCCACGGCATCCGTACTTGTTTTCGTGCGGCGAGGATAAGCAGGTCAAGTGTTGGGATCTCGAGACGAACAAGGTCGTGCGGCAGTACCACGGGCACTTATCTGGAGTGTACGCGTTGGCGCTGCACCCAGTGCTCGACGTTCTGATTACCGGCGGGCGCGACGCCGTGGCGCGTGTCTGGGACATGCGCACTAAGCAGCAGGTGCACGTACTGTCGGGACACACATCGACGATCTCGTCGATCGAATGCCAGGAGGCCGACCCGCAGGTGATTTCGGGCTCGATGGACTCGACAGTACGCCTGTGGGACCTGGCGGCTGGAAAATCGATGGCCACGCTGACGCACCACAAAAAGTCTGTGCGCGCGCTTGCGCTGCACCCGACTGAGTTTGGGTTTGCCAGCGCCAGCTCGGACAATATCAAGCAGTGGCGGTTTCCGAAGGGAGATTTTGTGCAGAACTTTGAAGGGCACAACTCTATTGTTAACGCAATGTCCGCCAACAGTGACGGCGTGCTGTTTTCTGGCGGTGACGATGGCTCCATGCGCTTCTGGGACTGGCGCAGCGGACATTGCTTCCAGGAATCTCAGACCATGGTCCAGCCGGGATCGCTGGACAGCGAGGCTGGCATTCTTTGCTCTACTTTTGATCGCACTGGCTTCCGTCTGATCACGGGCGAGGCAGACAAGACAATCAAGATATGGAAGGAGAACGACGATGCTACCGAAGAGTCGCACCCAGTCGACTTTAGGCCAAGCCTTGGCCGCCGGCGCCACTAGCTGGGTCCTTGTCTTTATCAATACATTTTCAACTTTAAATCATCAATTTATATCAGGGAGCTAATGATAAACGATAAATGACAAATGTATGTTTTAATTTAATTCGTTTTTTGTTTTGTCAAATTTCGGTATGTTCAGCATAGCTTCAGATATGCGGCCGTGATCTCGGAGCCTGCCACAAATGCCTGCTCCACCAGGTGCTTTGCACTCGAGCGAGTTGTTTTGTTGCTGCTGCTCTCGGAATTGAGGTTTTTAAAGGCTGCTTCCGGCACCCATTGTCTCGGAGCCGCCTGCAGCCTGGGTGCCGACACGTCATCAGCACCTGTGAATGTTGACGTCGATGCCGATGCCAGATTTGATGTGCGGTAGAGCGGCGACGGGTGAGAGGGTTCGGCGAAGCGGTGGCGGCGATCAGGAATGCACTGACCCTCCTTATTACTGCCCCAAATAAGCACATCGTACCCGAAGAGCGGAGCCTTGTTCACCTCGGCGCCAGACTGGTCCAACACAACGTTGGTATGGTTGTCGCGGACAGCCACAACGTGGTCACCGGCCGCAGAGATCGAGCGCAGGCCCAGTGGCTTGCGCGATTGCGACTGCGGATCAAACTCGTGCTTGTCAGAGAGCGCGGAAATAACAGCTGGCTTGCCCTGCATGTGGACCAAAGACCCGGTACCCAGCTGGCCGTCAATGCCGCGGCCGCACGAGAGCAGGCGCAGGCTGTCGCCGCGCCTGACTTGGATGTATGACGTTGCGCTGCTGGCGGCCAGCATCTCTGCGCGCTCCAGCGCCGGGCGGAAATGCTCGTCCTTCCACAGCCTGCGCAGCGGAGTGAGTTCACGCACGGTGGAGTTCCCTTCGGTGTAGTTGCCCATGGCCAGTTGGCCAAAGTCGTTGGCGCCACAACCGAGCACGTCGCCATCGACCGTAAGCAGCAGCGTATGGCGGCCGCCGCACACGGCGGCACTGAACTTGCGGTCGGCCGGAACGCGCTTAAGCACAAATGGCTGCACGGTGGCCGCAGCGGCTGCTCCGAGGCCCAGCTGGCTGCGGTCGTTGCCGCGAGGGCCGAGAGCGCAGGTGTAGACGTGACCGCTGCTCGTGGTTGCCGCAATGTGGTCTTCGCCGGCAGACAGCGACACGACGTTCTCGCGCCAGCCCAGCCGCGGCTCAAAGGCAAGCGTGGCGGGCTCTGCGCTGGCGCTGGCAGTTGCGGGAACCAGGCGGACTCGGCTCTTGCTGTCCAGGACCGCAACGTAGTCGTTGCTGGCAACCAGCAAACGGATGCTGGAGTCGCGCAGCGTGCACAGCGGCGTGTGCGGAACAGCGGCGCCGGCAAAGCCAGTGCCCCACTGGTAAAGGCAGCCGTCAGCGTCGACGGCCGCAGCGTGCGTGGTGGCAAAGGCCGCGCTGCGCAAAAGCTTGCCCCCAAGGCCCGGGACGGCTGCCTTGAGGCCGACACCAGAGCCTGGGTGCAGGGGATCAACCAGCCCATACTTGTTGGACCCGGTCACATACAGGCCCGGGTGCGTCCAGGCCCAGTTGACCTGCTCCAGCGCCGACATTGTCGACACAGGCGCCATTCTGGCACGCAGCCGCCGCACGCGCTGCGCCTGGCTCTTGGCCTCGGCCTTGGCCTCGGCTGTGGACTGCGCGCCCGTGCTGGCTGCCCCGCTGCCCAACCACGGCAGGTGCTTGGCGATCCCTGCGCCAAACTCGCTGTATGCGTAGTACGCGACTCCGCCGATCAAGACCACGGTCGCGCCAATGGCGTAGCTCGAGACCTCGGGCGCGACACCCTCGACTTCGGCGTCGAGCCCGCTGAGCGGGGGCGTTGACGGGTGCGTGGTGTCGGGCTGTGTGCGAAGCGAGCGCAATGCGGGCTGCGCCGGGCCTCTCGGTGCTTGGCGGAAGACCGCCTTCGCTGAACGAGCTGCGGCTATGCGAAACATACTTAATAACTAACTGTAGCTGTGGCGAAATGAAAGGAATAAAAAAGGAAGGGAGAGGAATGTGGATCAGAGATAATGCAGGCTGGCCCGCAATGGCGGGGGTGTTTTTGAAGAAGAAGAATAATTGGGAATTGGAACCACGAAATGCAGTTGCATTTGCAATTACAATTGCAAATATAATAAAATCGGCTGAATGCAAACCTTGGGGCCAAATTAAGCCTTCTTTGTTCTGCCGATTGTAATTTATCTTTTTTCACCTTTAATTTTCCACACACATACCCACCAATTCTCACGCACCCACCCACAGTCATTACGGCGATGCGCGATCCGACATACACGTACTGCCGCGAGCTGCTGGCTCCGAGCACAGTGGACCGCGCGGTCAGTCTGAGCTTCACGCGTGTTGGTGTTAGTAATCTCGCGCTGGCGCGCGGCAACGTGCTGGAGCTCTACGAGGTGCAGCTGGTGGCGCGGCCCGACGGCGGCGGCGGCGGCGGCGAGGCGGCCGACGACTACACGTACCGCGCGTCGGGCGGCGAGGACTTTGGCCTTCCGATGATCCAGGACGACGCGCAGCAGCAGCGGCGGCTCGGCAACAAGTACACCAGCAACAGCACGAAGCGGCCACAGCTGCACCTGGTGAGCCGGTGGACCCTTCATGGCCGCATCATGGACATGCAGGCTGTGCGCGGCGGCTCAGGCGGTGGCTCAGGTGGCGGCCGGCAGCGCGTCGACCGGCTGCTGCTATCGTTCGCAGACGCCAAAATGTCGCTGGTGGCGTTCGACCGCGCCTCGCAGAGCATCACCACCGAGTCGATTCACTACTACGAGCACGACCAGCTGAAGCAGCGCGCCTTCAACGACGCGCAGACCTGTGACCTGCGCATGGATCCGGACGGCCGCTGCGTGGCCATGCGTATCTACGACGACCAGCTGGCGATCCTGCCGCTGGCCGCGCCCGGTGACGCTCCCGCGTCGGCATCGGCGCCCTCCGGCCAGAGCTTTGTCGTCGACCTGCGTGCCGACGGCGTCGACGTGCGCAACGTGCGCGACTTTGCGTTCCTCAACGGCTACCTGGAGCCGACGCTGGTGCTGCTGCACGAGCAAGTGCCGATGTGGCCCGGCGTCATCGAGAGCGCTCGCGACTCTAGCGTCGTCACCGTTGTGTCGCTCGACCTGTCGCGCCGCTGCGTGTCCCGGCTCAACGCTGCCGGTCGCCTGCCCTACGACTGCCAGGCGCTGGTGCCCGTGCCCGAGCCGATCGGCGGCGTCCTCGTGCTGGCGACCAACTCGGTGGCACACGTGGTCAACGGTGCCGTCTCGTGCATCTCGGTGCTCAACAGCCTGGCCATGCACGGCATGGGCATTGAACTGCGCGCCAGCATCGATACGACCAACGAGGCTTTGGGCCTGGTGCTGGACCCGCACCGCTCGGCCTGCGTGCTAGTCGGCCGCAGCACGGCTGCGCTGTGGACGCAGCACGGCTTTGTGTTCCTGCTGCGGCTGGACGGCGACGGCCGCCTGGTCAAGCGCATTGTGGCAACCCAGATCAGCGGCGCCGACCCGCGCGCCGACGCGCTGCCGCCGATCGCGCACGCATGGGACGACATCGGCGTGCTGCCCTCGTGCGCCGTCGAGGTGCGCATTGCTTCTGACGACGGCGGCGATGAAAACAGTGGCGACGGCAGCGACGGCAGCAGCAGGGACAACGCGCTTGATGGGCTGCTGCTCTTTGTCGGCGGCGCGTCGGGGCGGTCGCTGCTTTTGGGCGTCGACCAAGCAGGGCGGTCGCTGTGCCCCGAGCCCGGCAGCGCCAGCGACAGCGACAGCGGCGCGGGGATGGACATTGACGCGCCGATGGACATCGACTCGCTTCGACTCACGGTGCACGACGAGATTCTGGCCACAGGCCCGGTTGTCGACATGGAGGTCGGGTCGCTGGGCGCCGAGGACCTTGAGCTGGTAACGTGCGGCGGCAACGAGTGGCGCGGCTGCCTGCGCGTGCAGCGGCGGCACGTGCAGCCCGAAGTTGTCGCGTCATTCGACCTGCCGGGCGCGCCGGTGCGCGGCGTGTGGACGGTGCGGTGTCTCAAGGAGTATCGCATCGGCGGTGTCATGCAGGCGGCCGACGCCGGGTCGCTGGCCGACATGAGCGACAGCTTTGTGGTTCTGTCCCGCGACCATGCGACAACCGTGCTGTCCGGAGGCGACGAGCTGCAGCAGCTGGACCGCACGGGCTTCTACACCGATGGCCCCACCATTGAGGCCGGCGAGATTCTGGGCAGCACGCGCGTGGTGCAGGTGCACGCGTGCGGCCTGCGCCTAGTCAACGCACTCGGCCGAGAAACTCAGTCGCTGCTGTTCGACTCGGGTGAATCTGCCGTGGCTGCCGAGATCTCCGACCCCTACGTGCTTGTGCGCATGGCCGACGGCTCGTTTACAATGTTCGAGGCCCTTATTGATTCGGGGGAGCTGCGCGAGATCATTGTTCCCGAGGCCTTGCGCGCCGGCTGCGGCAACGTCGTGTATGCGTCGCTGTTCGACGACGCGTGCCGCGTGCTTGAGACCAACCGCGAGCACGTCGACCGCAACCGCGAGGCCATCCGTGAGCAGCTGGGCGCGGCGCTGGCCGGCGCGGCTGGCAGCGGCAGTAGCGGCAGCATGCCCGGCATGATCGGCGACTTGGACGATCTCTACGCCGAAACGGGCCACTCGCAACGCCGCAAGCCTGGGGCCGGTCGCTTTACCGCGAGGAAGCAGCGCAAACGCACCGAAAATAACCCTGGCAGCCGCGATGACAACGGCGAGGATGATGACAATGACGATGATGACTTTGACGCGCTGTATGACGAGGACGAGGGCGAGGACGCCGGCGCCGATGGCTCTGTGCCTTCCAGCAAGGCGCCTGCAGAGTCACCCGGCGACACCGCTGACAATGCTGACGGCGAGGGCGTGCGTGGTGAGAGCCCAATGTACGCGCTCGTGGCGCTGGCAAACGGAGACCTCAGCGTCTTCCGGCTACCACACTTTGACCGCGCATGGACGACGGCGCGCTTCGACAGCCTGGCGGACACCTTGGTGGACACCTTGGCGGCCAGCGCGCCGATGGCCGAGCAGGAGAGCAGGGCTGAGTCGCGGATCGACCAGTTCCGGCTGGTGCAGCTAGGCGGTGACGACATTTCCACGGCGCTCCTTGTTGTGCTGACAACGGCCGGCGAGCTGGCCGTCTACCGCGCCTTCAGCCACTGCTCGCCCGAGTACGCCAAGGCCGTGGTCGAGCAAGCAGCGCCGGCGGCAGCGGCTGGAACGGCAGCCGCTGCCGCAGCGTGTGGGGACGACACGGGGCTGGCGCTGCGGTTCACGCGCGTGGCGCACGATGTGCTGGCCTACGAGCCCGACTACGAGCGGCGCGTGCAGCGTGTGCAGGCGCGCCAGACACGCGTGTTCGACGCGTGGACGCGTCGCGATCGCGAGCGGATGGCGCGCGAGGCAAAGGCGCAGGCGCGCGCCAAGCAGCAGCAGCATCGCGATGCGGCGGTGGCAGCCACGGCTGTCGACTGGGGCGAGTCCGATGAGGACGATGAGGCCGCCGAGGGCGGTCAGGAGCAGCCCGCGGCCGACGGCGGTGCGCACGATGCAGCGGCAGCTGAGAGCGATGCCGCCAAGGATGGCGATGGCGATGGCGATGGCGACGGCAACGACACCGCCATGGGTGGCGAGGAGCAGATGCCCGACCTTGATCTGATCGACGCGCAGATCGGCGACCGCGCCGTGGCGCCCACGCGCAAGATCACGGTGCTGGGCAACCTTGGCGGCTACGCGGCGGTCTTCGTCGCGGCGCTGCAGCCGGCCATCGTGCTTGTCGGCGCCAAGCGCTACGCGCGCGTGCACCCGGTGCGCGTGCCGGCACGGCTGCCGGCCGTGCTGACCAGAATTACGAAGGACGCCGATGCCGCCGGGCTGCTGACGCCCTGGCAGCCGATCGTCGGCACTGCGCGCTTCCACAGCGCCGCCTGCCCGCACGGGCTCATCGCGCTGACGCAGGCCGGCACGCTTGTCATCGGCGCGCTGCCTGCGCCCGCGTCGGCGGCCCTGCGCGGCGGCGTCGAATTCGACGCGCCGTGGCCCGTGCGCTGCCTGCCAGTCGGCACGCGCCACGTGGGGCTTAGCGCGCTCGGCGGCGTGGTATTCCACCGGCCGTCGGGCAGCTACGCCGTGGCGGCGGCTGTGCCCGAGCCGTTCGCGCTCAAGGAGCCGAACTGCGAGGTGGCGGCGCGCCAGGCGCTGGAGGACGGCGTCGACTCCGTCGATGACACGCAGGTGATCCCCGAGCACAAGCGCCGCGACGTGCGCACGACGTCGGCGCCGCCGCTGCAGCCGCACGCGCACGTCGACCTGCTGAGCCCCGTCACGTGGGAGACCGTCGACTCATACGCGCTGGAGCGCAACGAGCACGTGGCAGCGCTGGAGTCGCTGGAGCTGGAGTCGGCGCAGAGCGTCGGCGGCCGGCGCGCAGTGGTGTGCGTCGGCACAGGCTTTGTGTTGGGCGAGGACGTGGCGTCGCGCGGCCGCGTGCTGATCTTCGACGTCATCGACGTCGTGCCGCTGCCGGGCCGGCCGCAGACGAACCGGCGGCTCAAGCTGCTGTGCCAGGAGGAGCTGCGCGGCACAGTGACGGCGCTGGGCGAGCTGCGCGGCAACCTGGCCGTGTCGGTCGGCTCGAAGGTGTTTGTGCGGTCGCTGCAGCGCAACGAGCAGCTGGTCAGCGTGGCCTTCCTCGACTGCGCGACGTGGGTGCGGTCGCTGGCCGGGCTCAACAGCCTGCTGCTGGTTGGCGACCTGACCGCCGGGCTGTGCCTCGCGGGCTTCCAGGACGAAGGCCCGACGCGCATCCAGGTGCTCGCGCGCGACGCGTCCAGCCACCTGCCGATCGAGCACGCCGAGTACGCCGTGCTGGGCCACCACATGCAGCTGCTGGCCGCAGACACGCTGGGCGCGCTGCACTTCTTCAGCTACGCGCCGCACGATGCGCAGTCGGCCGGCGGCCAGCGGCTGCTGCGCCGCGGCGAGTTCAACCTGCGCTCGCGCGTGGCGGCCGTGCGCCGGCTCGTCGGCATGCCGCGGCTCGGCGCTGAGCCGAGCCAGCCGCAGCACGTGTGCCTGGTGGCCACGGCGGCAGGCGCTGTGCACGCCGTGTCGATGGTGTCCGAGAAGACGTTCAAGCGGCTGCACCGCATCACGACGCAGATGGTGCACGCTGTGGCGCCGCTGGCTGCGCTCAACCCACGTGAGTTCCGTGCGGTGCCGCTGCATCGGCGCCAGCACCACGCGCCGCGCCGCACTGTGCTCGACGCCGACCTGCTTGCGCCGCTGTTCGCGCATGGCCCGCTTGAGCGCCAGCGCGACGCCGCCCAGCGCAACGGCACCACGCCTGACCGTGTGCTGCGCGACATTGTCGAGACGGAGCGCGCATTTGCCTTTTTTTGAGCGGCGGAACGGGCGCGAAACGCAACCACTGTCGAGAGAAAACCGATCATCGCTCGATCATCAACCGGAGCCTGGCCATTATCAAGGGAAATCAGATCTGGCGCCGGCTACGGGAGGGCCTGATCGCCACTGCTTAGGCAGACTTGTGCCACCCAAAATAGTACAGTAAAACGTGGATTGGCGCACAGCATCCGCCCGGTCTGGTCACACATTCTCCCCCCAAAATAATATATATTTTTCTCTAAATGCATTTTCTCCTCTTCAATTGGGCCTTCCTTTTGCTTTCCTGAATTCACGAGCATTTACTTTTTATTATCTATTTTTCTCACAATCCACATTTAATGAATCGCAGCTCCGCTCCCGACGCAGCCTGCGCGGCGGCGGGCCAGTCGCTGCAGCAGCGCCGCGTGCAGGCCGCCGTGTCGCACGGCCTCCGCGCGCGACAGGAGTCGCCGATGTTCCACGAGTCCACGGACCCGACGCTCGAGTTTGTCTACCACCCGCGCACGCTGTCGGTCCTGGTCGCGCTGCTGGCTGGCTTCCTGTACGTCGCGCTGTACGTCGACCCGTCGAACGACATGCTGAACACAAAGTGGGGCCTGGTTGCGCTGTGCTCGGTGTTTGTCGTCGTGTCTGTCATTTTGTTCCGCGACGGCCCGTTTGTGCGGCCGCACCCGGCGTTCTGGCGCGGCGTGTTGGCGCTCAACGTGCTGTACGAGATGTTCCTGGTGTTTTTGCTGTTCCAGAGCAAGCAGACCGGCCGCCAGATCATGACGTTCTTCGACCCGGAGCTGGGCACGCTGCTGCCCGAGCGGTCGTACGGCGACGACTGCGCGCTGACGGCCGCCAACTTGTGGAACGGCATTGACATCTTTGTGCTGGCGCATTCGCTCGGGTGGTTTGGCAAGGCGCTGATCATCCGCAACCACACAATGTGTTGGATCATGTCCATTGTCTTTGAGCTGCTCGAGTACTCGCTGGCGCACCAGCTGCCCAACTTTAACGAATGCTGGTGGGACCACTGGATTCTCGACGTCTTCACGTGCAACTGGCTGGGCATCTACATCGGCATGAAGTGGTGCGAGTACTTCAAGATGAAGACGTACACGTGGCACGGCATCCGCGACATCCCCTCGCTCACCGGCAAGCTGAGCCGCGCTGGCGCACAATTTACGCCGCACAGCTGGACCGCCTACGAGTGGGCGCCGACGCGTCGCTTCAAGAACTTTGCCGGCTTCATCCTTTTTGCCGTGCTGATCATGCTGGCCGAGCTCAACGTTTTCTATCTCAAATCGCTGCTGTGGGTGCCGCCAGAGCACCCGTTGGTCACCGCTCGCCTGGCGCTGCTGTTCCTGTTTGCGCTGCCCAGCGTGCGCGAGTACTACGAGTACTACTCTAACCCGCGGTGCAAGCGCATGGGCGCGCATGGATGGATGGTCATTGTGACGCTGCTGACTGAGCTGCTGATCATTGTCAAGTTTGGCCGTGGCGAGTTTACCGAGCCCTTCCCACGCCTTGTGATTATCTTCTGGTCATCTGTGGTTGGCCTGATCGTTGCCTTTTCGCTGTGGCAGTTCGCCATCAAGCCGCGCCTGTGGCCTGATTCCCCCGATTCACTTGATTCTGATAGATCTTCGGATGGCCAGCAGCAGCAGCAGCAGCAGCAGCACCAGAGCTTGCATGCCATGGACAGGACAAAGATAGATTAGCCTCAACTGATCTTGATCAGAACATATATTTTCCGCCAATAAAAAAAAATTATTTACCTCCTGGGCTTGTCAATCGATAAACTTCTGATGATCCCAGATCGAGATCGAATTGCAAATCAAATGCTCAATCAAGCGGCGCCGTTGCTAATGCGGGTTGGCCAAACCAATGCCTGCCTGCCTGCCTGCCTGCCTTGATATGTTCTGTTTTGTTCAATACTCCAGCGTGGGAAAAATAAAGAAAGAAAAAAATTATCAGTGCCGGGATAATATCATGCACAATTATGCGAGAAAGAAAATGTACAGTCCGCTCGTGCCCTTATCCTGCACCCGCCTCCATCCTCTTCTTTTCTTTCTCCTCGACTTTACTGTTGTTTCGTCATTATTTCCTCCTATTTGAAATGGCTGCCTCTACTCTCCCTGAAATCAGAACATTCTTGAGCCCAGCGCCCTGCCAGCCGCCAGCAGCGACGCTCTGGTCGCTATATACACTGACCTCGCCGCCTTGACAGCGCTCACTGCACTTACCACCGACTCTGTATCCTCGATTCGCTTGCCCAGTCGGTCGACAAGGACTTTGGCCAGTCCGTCACCCTGGTCCCATCGGCATCGATCAGCGGCGGCCGCCTGGTTTTGTCTCCCACAGGCTCGCTGAACGACGACGCCGACGACGTGCGCAAATTCTCCGACGCAGTCAAGGCGGGAATTGCTAGGGCCGTGCAAGCTGGATCCACCCGCCCAGCCCTGCTCCTCGTCCAGCCGCCTCCCTCTACAAACCAGGTTTTGGACGCCGACTACTCGCGGTGGGTCGAGGTGTGGTGCTAGCCGCACTGACGCCTCCTACGTGACCCTGGTTGTTCGCGAGCATCGCCAGACCCTGTGCCCGCTGGTGTTTTGGAGAAGCTACAGTCGATTGACCTGATCTTTGGCCAGCCCATTGACGACTCTGAGGTGCAGGCAGCTGTTGTGCGCGCCAAGGCCATTGAGACAGGCAGGCGTCTTCTGTTGATGTTGGATATGGCGACCCAGAGCGCATGACTCCGTATAACTGCGCACAGACTATCGAGGAGGCCTTGAAGAACGTGCCTGGCGTTAAGTACACGGAGATCAAGGACCTGGAGGTCATCAAGCGGGAGTACCCCCTGCTGTACAACTCGGCACGCGCCTCGTTCTCTGAGAAGCGCACCTGGCCGTGCGTGGTCAAGCTGAGTACCGGTCCCCGGAGCCAGCAAAGGTCAAGGAGCACCTGTATTTGGTCGGCAAGGGCGTTACCTACGACACGGGAGGTATCTCGCTGAAGATCGGCGGCTCGATGCGCGGCATGTCGCGCGACAAGCTTGGCGCCTGTGGAGTAGCAGGCTTCGTGCTCGCGACAGGCATTATTCAGGAGCCATCTGTGAACCTTAGCTGCATTCTTGCCTTTGAGTGCAACTCGATCGGCCCCAACGCATGCTTCCCGACGAGATCATTGTGTCCCGTGCTGGTGTGCGCGTTCTGATAAACGACACCGACGCTGAGGGTCGTCTAGTGATGACTGACCCCGTTGCCGAGTGCCGTGAGCGCATCATGGCCGCGCGTGCGGCGGGCGACAAGACCCCTGCGGCCATTTACACGGCAGCGACGCTGACTGGACACGTTATTCGTGCCTACGGATGGTACGGCGCAACTGTGCCAACGGCCCTGCGCGCAAAGACAAATACGACCGGCGCTTGGCCGTGTCTGGACTGGCGTACGGTGATCCGTTCGAGAATAGCATCATGCGTCGGGAGGACTACCAGTTTGTCGAATCAAAGACTGACAGAGAAGATGTGTACCAGAGCAACGCCAGTCCAAGCACACTGACTGATCGCGGCCACCAGTACCCTGCTGCGTTTATCATCAAGGCATCGGGCTTGGACAAGCATAGCTTGAAGGCTGGCGAGCAGGACGCTATTCCCTTTGTGCATGTCGACATTGCCGGTAGTGCTGAGGATGGAGTTGAGCTTGGCCAGGGTCTGTGCGCCATCACTGGAAGCCCCGTGGCTACCTTTGCGGGTGCCTTTTGGACAAGCGCACTGTAAGTATTGGTGCCACTTATTTTCCAATGGAGAACTGGAATAAGAATGGCCAATGATATTCTTGACGCTGATTTTGAAAACTACAATTGTTGAAGGCGAGCTGCATTCTGGTCAGGCCGGCGTATGACAGACATAACCGTTCTTTTATTTATTCATTTTATTTGACAAATTTTGGTTTCCAATTTCAGCCCTTCTGTTTCTAATTTCCTGGTTTCCTGGTTTGTGTACTTTGCCATTTTTGCACAACTGCTTGATGTTTGAGGCTTAAAAAAATAAAAAATAAAAAATAAAAAAGAACAATGCCAAATTTATCCGGGTGAATCTAAATTATTATTTTTTTTGAAAAAAAAACCTGATTTCTCATATGTAATAATATTCCCAATGTCTGCTTACAGCCGTCAACTCAAATAAAAATGGGGGAGTGCGCCAGTTTGTGTATTTGCTGATTGGCTCACAAACATTAACAATAAAATTTGTGGACAAGTGGAAAAGGGGGACAGCGCACGAAAATATGTAATTAATTTAAAGGATAACCCTCGCCGTTACATGAGTTTAATTGTAGTAATAATATACGAATAAGAAATTAACGGGTCTCGCAAATTAAAAACAATTGTAAATATTATCGCACCTGCTGCTTCAGCTTTAAACCCAAAAATAGAAATAATCTGAAATCAATAGAGAGTGGGCGATGAGTCAAATGTCAAATGTCAAATGCCAAATGTCAAATGTCAAACAACTAAACAAGTGTGAATACATTATACTGCATTTGGAGAACAATAAAACAATAGGTGTTCTAATCTTGGACATCTGGCTAATCATAACACAGTGTAATAAAAAATTCGACGAAATAAAAAAACGACCAGTTTTCAGCTAGCCAGTTGTTGGCTGTAATGGATTGCATAAATTGAATTGTGTGTGGATAATCAAAAACAATGCTTTATTTTATTGTTGTTATTGCTGTTGTCACTGTTGTCCATTTTTGGAACATGCTCTGTTCCTGTTTACTTTTTAATTATATGATTACTGCTTGCAAGTCTATGTGCATTCCACATTCCTGATAACCGCGAGTACTTTAATAAAATAAGACTTCGCCGCCCAATTTGTTCCTCCCCGCCTTTTTTTCTACTAGTTTTTCTACTAACTTTTTTGAGTCATCGTCCTCGTCACTCGCTTGCGCCTCTTTTAGGCCTTTACTGTTGTTTGTCATCCATGTAAGCACAATCCGCTAACTGTAGCTGGCAGAATAGCTTATTGTTTTTGAAGACACGCTGGGGACTTTCTGCAACCCTGGTGGCTATTTTTGGATTTGCAACACTGGCTTTTAAAAAGAAAAGAAAATGAAGACCCTTGATGTCGCTAATAGCAGAGTGTGAGATTGATTGGAATGGATTCGTGGGCAGAAAGAAACAAATAAATAAATAAAGAACGTAAACAATTGTTTGTGTTGGTTCGTACGGAGAGGTATACAGATACTTCAGCCCATTTCCAGAAGTCCCCTTTGGGGTAAATCCATGTTGACAGCTCCAAACTGGCTCACAAATCATTATCCGCCACATTGTTAGCACACCTTATTTTGTTATTTTTGGCCGTGCTAATCTGTTTATCAAATGAGCATTAGACGTGGTGTTTGTTGTCACTGACAAATGCTCCCAGCATTGGTCTGAACGGATATTTGCTGTACCATTTGCCACCTTATGAAAGTTCTAACTACTCCCTAAATCCAATACAAACTATCCAGCGTGCATGAATTGAAAGCAGCGGCAAGTCGATCCTTTTAACGTCAATCTAGATATTTTACCTTGTAGCAGCCATTTACTGCCACCAACCCATCGTCCAACACCCCCTCCTCACTTTTCCCTTTTTTTATCTCGCATACATTCTGTGTTGCATATGCCAGGATTTCTTTTGTAAAACGATGCTTTTGCAGTTGCATATTCTACTGGCGCTCAGGAACTGTTTGTGAAACCTCTTTGTTTAGTCTTGTTTTGAAAAAAAAAAACTTATTTCCACCCGCCGCCCTGGATGGGATGGATAGATGCGGTCGTGCATCCACCCGCCCTGTAACAATAAAGTTGGTGATATCTACAAGAACACACATATTAACCATCCTACCCCAGGCCACTAGTTCCTGTTTTTTCTTTATCTTCATTTTATTTTGTCATTATTTTACAAATCAAACCGTAGTTCCCCTCCGTCTTGTATATCTATACCACGCCCGCTTATATTTAATCTCCTGGCGGCCTCCTCTGCATTCATTTTGATATTTGTGTCAGATTCACTTGGCTTTTTTATTTTTATTGGTTCTTTTCTTTATTTATTTTTAACTTGTGCACACGCATTTTTTGTCTACTCATTTTATTCATATTCGCTTAATTTTAATTATATTGATCTTCCTTTAAAGGAGGCAGTTACACTGTTTTGTTCATACATTTATTATTATCCTCTTGAATAGTCCCATTTTCTCACATACATACACACATACGCACATACCTACATATAAATATTTACTTACTATATCTTTTTTCTCTTACACATAAAGTTCTCAGTACGCTTGATAAATAACAACAGTACTTGTAAGCAGCAATTGCTTGATATATTTAAAATTGTACTGTTTGCCATCTTGCCTCCAAGCCGGCTGCTTTTATTCCGCATTATCATTATTTTTTACTTTTCTATTATTTTCGGTCATTGCTGGCTCTTGGAATCACATTTTATCCAGCAGAAACCAAAAAATTTAAAGTTTCGTTACAACTCTTCTTCTCTTTTTTAGATTTACAACATATAAACCTTTTTAACATATAGCTGCACTTACGATGACTGCAAACCAGTTTAGCGACCCAATTAAATACGCCCATCCCTCCAAGATGCCTGTCCCCTCTAGATCCGTCGAGCAAATTCCAGTGCCGTCGGCCGCAACGGCTACCCACGCGCAAATTCCACAAAACCAGTCGGGCCATTCTGATTTGTACGCATCCAATTATTCTTACTACGACATCCAGCAGCACCAAAATCGCACTCCGCTTAACCGTGCACTCCATCTGCAGGGTCTTCGCCAGTTTTAACAGCGGCAGCGGCAACAGTAGCAGAATTGGGAGGAGCGGCGCACACAAAGGAAGCGCACTCCGCAGCACTGCCGCCATCAATGCAATCAGCGGCAGACATCTCATCCTCACAGGTTGCATCATCAGCGGCAACCACAACTGCATCAGCGTCTGTAGCCAGTGCAGCTCAACATTTGCAGCTGAGATATCAACCGCCACTTTTGCAGCCTGAGAGGCAGCAGCAGCAAGCAAGGATACACAAAGATAGCACACACAATCATTGGGTAATGATTTGGCACGCAAGTATCCTCAGCAGCCACAACAGCCGCCATCCTCAGCACTACGCTTGCACCAGCATTCTTATTCCTATCCACTTTCAAATTCTCACTTGCATTTACAACCTTTATCTTTACCCTCAGTGCATCAGCACCAGCACCAACACCAGCAACAACAACAACAACAACAACAGCTCCAACCCCACAGTCACAATATTCATCCAGCCATGCCGCCACCCCGCTCATGCTGCCTGCAAATTTGCCGCAAACTATGCACAGCAGTCAACGCACTCTCAAATTGCTAAACAGGAACTGCTGCCACCGCCACAGCAACAACAGCAGAGCCAGCGCTACCAGAATATGCACCAAGCCGACCATCTTTGCATCAGCAGCAGCAGCATTATTTGGCACCTCGTACTACTTACCAGGACCAGCACCAGCCAGCACCAGCACCAGCAACAACAGCAACAGCCAGCAACAACAACAACAGCAACAACAACAGCGGCATCATCGTTCCAATTACAGACAACCCTTGCCAACGTCCGCGCCAGCCATAGCCTCGCAGCAGCAGCATAATACTTTTTGCGCAGCTCCAGCCATGTCAAACATGGACCCAGCTTCCTTAGCAAATAGCAGCAGCGGTACATCACGCCATCCAGCACCAACCCACATTACCTCACCTCATCATCATCAGCATCAGCATCGGCCGTACGATCTGCATTCCCCTGCACCGGCATCGCGGACATTCTGGAACCAATACGAGACCGGGCTGCTAGTAAAGCTCTGGCTTGAGTTTGAGCCGCAGTTTACCGCCAACAAGCGCAACGCAGCCGTGTGGGCGCAGCTAGCAGAGCGGCTGACCAAGATATCGGGTCGCCAACGCGTTGTCCGCGAGTGCCGCATAAAATGGAAGAATATGTGGGCCAAACACAGAGTAAGTATACGGTTGTCGACACATCTGTCAATATTTATTGTTTTATTATGCTGGCGCCACATCTCTTGCTTTCGGGAACACCGCTGCACTTGCTTGCATTCCTTACAGAACAATTGTTGTATGTTTGTGTTTTTGGAATAAGTCTCCGGCGTTTTTTACAGCATATCCAACGGTGATTGTGTCGCTCAAGCTGCCCAATTGTATACCTTAACTCGCTTATATATTTTTGCTCGGTCAAATGCGAGTAGCACGTAACTATAATACTCGCTAACCAAACTACGGCTGTGCACGCACATTTTGCCAATTAATTTATTTCTGTAGGATCTGGTCAACGCGTCGCACATGGGCATTGATGCCAAGCTGCGCGAGTTCCCTCATTTTGTAGAGTTTACGGCCATTAGGCAGCGCAGTACGAATCAGTCGGCAGGCACAAACGAGTAAGTCATACATAAAGCAAAACTAGGACGGTGACTGTAGTTCAGTTGGCCCAATGCCTACATGTGGCAGCAGAAGAAATCTGGTTTGCAAATCAACCGATCGATGCGCACAATGCACGCAATGTGCAGGATGCAAGTGAATCCAAAGTATAAATAAGGACTTCACATTTGTGCTTGCCTCTGCTGTGTATAAAGCATTTTGACCAGCCAGTCAATTTGTCCCAACACGCTGTGCGCTCTTTGTCATCGTTTGTAACATAAACTTTTTTGTCCACAAGGAAAAACAAAAAACAAAACAAAACTCGTCATTGGTGTTTTGTTTTGTCGCGTGCAATGCCTGCAAAGTGTTTAATTGACAACACAAAGTGTGCATATGGATAGCCACCACCTTTAATAACAGCACGAATTGCTTTGTGGCAACAGCAAAGTGCAAAATATTTACATTTCTGAATTATTTCAACTGCCGCTCGGTAAATCCCTTGTTGCCACAGTTGCTAAGTGAGAACCAGTTTGCCAACATATTTATCTCAGCCGGGCCGATAATCCCTCAACCAGTGTTATGCTTTTCTATTCCCTGTTTGTGTGCAAATGTTATTTATCTGCTAATTTTGAGTGACAATTGCTCTTTCATTATAGAGGCTCTGAAGGCGATATTACTCCCTCGATGGAAGACCGCCCCACAGTGCCCCCAAGGGCTCCTCCCGTTATCCCCTTTGCACCAGGCTCAGATGAAGGCGAGCATGCACAGCTGCGTGAAAGTCATCTCGGATCAACATCCCCAACGGCAGCTCACGCCGGCAGATGGAGGCCAAATAGCCAGCCTTGCGTCGATCTGGCGGCTCCATGGACATATGCGCCGACAGCAGCGCCCACTGTGAGCAGCGTTCCATGCACATCCATTCGTATGACCTTGCGGAAGTTAAGGCCCCGGAGCACAGGCGGCAGACGTCGCTCGCTTCAATTTTAATTGACGCTGTACCTCGGCGCCCGTGCTGCCAAGAACAAGCGTCTCGTCGTCGGCGCTGCAGGATCTCTTGGCGCCAAGGACGGATACCCTGCTGGCAGGGTTTATCAGAGCAGTGCCGCGGTCCCCAAAGCAGCACAGCCAATGGCAACTGTGGGGTGCTCGTCTCGCGGGAGCAGCGTCTCTGCTCGCTCCTACCAGCAGACCCACATGTTGGAATTGACGAGCTCCCCGAGCTGCTGCATCGGCTCGACCGCTTGTCTGGCGCGGAAGAGAGCTTTGAAGAAGATGGTGCATTTAGAAACAACAGCGAGCAATGCGACAAGGTAGTTACAGAGGAGGGCATGCTGGAGCGCATGCGCACCCTGGCGGGCACATCGTCGGCTACAGATATTTCGAATGCGGTGAATCAGATTGTGGGATATGTTGAGCGCGAGAGCCAACGCAGACAGCTGCAGAGCGAGCGGCACCACCGGTGGTCACCGCGCTGGCAGACATTCTGGGCAGACATGCTCTCCGCTGGGCAGCCGCCAAGTATCAGGCTCAGCGTATGGACTGTTGGGATCTACACAACAGGCCAGTGCACACAGCGATACTGGGCGGAACGGAGCTATTGCAAGCCACGAGACAACGCCAACCATATCTCCTGCAGTATCCACGCCCACCTCTGCGCCCGCTGCTGTCTCGGATTCGGTTTCTGCCACAAAGGCCGGCTCGCCATTGATGTTGCAGAAGCAGCAGCCAAAATAAAACAATTTACCATATCACAACTCGAGGAGTGACTCAAAATGACGCTCTGGCTTTTGACCTTTCAAATTAAATAAAAATTTATTCATTTCAATTGTAGAATCCAAAGCCCACATAATGATGACGCGCCATTGGTTGAACAAAGACCAGTTTTATCTTGCGATCTGACCACCGATGGCAAATGGCCGAATCAAATCACCATGATCGAACTCTGGCCTTTCAAGGTGCAAAAGGCCAAAGTCTCAAGCTTGTTAGGTTTGGCAATTGACTGCGTTTGCGTTTGGTTAATTTCTTTTCTTTTTTCTTTTTTCTTTTTTTTTTGTTTTACGCACAGAATTCTTCCAGAGGCAATTTATTTTCTTATTACTAAATTTTAAATTCGGATCTTGTGCCACCGACCAGCAGCATCAGCAACAGCAACATAAACAAATGGCATCAGTAGAGGCAACCCAATTTGCGTTCCGCGCAGCAAAAGAAATGGGTGTGTGCAATGCGCCGCCCAGCACCTCAGTAGTCAGCATAGAAAACAAGCCCACTGAGGAAGTTCGTGCACTCAAGTACAGCCCAAACGGCAAGTACTTGGCATGGGCAATCGCCAGCGAGGTGCGCATTGTCGACGCACAGACGCTTGAAACCCTGGCGGTCATTGCGCACATGAACGTTGCTGACGTCCGGTTCTCGCCCAACGGCACGTATCTGATGACGTGGGAGCGGTACTCAAAGAAGGACAGCCCCGATGCTGACAATAGCAACCTCAAAGTTTGGGACGCAACCACTGGAACGCTTCTGGGCGGATTTGTGCAGAATTCGTTCAGCGTGACGGCGCTGCAGTGGACCGACGACGAAAAGTACTGCGCCAAGCTGTTCCGGGCGAGGTGCGTTTCTTTTTGCCGACTGCGCTGAATAAGGCAGCTCTGACGCTCAAGCTGGACGGTATTACAGAGTTTTCTGTGTCGCCGGGCCTCTCGCCGTCGGTGGTGGTGTTTGTTCCCGAGCGCGGGTCGAAGCCTGGTCTGGTGCGCATGTATGGCATTGGTAACTTTCTAGGCCGTGGCCAACAAGACTTTCTTCAAGGCTGACAAGGTTGAGTTCTACTGGCACCGGCTGGGCACCAACCTTCTGGTGCTGACACAGACCGAGGTCGACAAGACTGGACGCAGCTACTACGGTGAATCGGGGCTGTACTTCATGGCCGCAGCCGGCAACTTTGACTGCCGCGTCGTTCTGGACCGCGATGGGCCTATCCATGATGTCGTGTGGAGCCCTGACGAGAAGGAGTTTGTCGTTTCTTACGGCTTCATGCCGGCCAAGACGGCGATGTTCAATCACCGCGCTGAGCTCGTCTTCGATTTTGGCATTGCGCCGCGCAACTTTGTGCGCTACAACCCGCACGGCCGCGTGCTGGCCATTGCCGGACTGGGCAACCTGTCTGGCCAGGTTGACTTGTGGGACCGCAAGAAGCTTAAGAAAATTGCGTCTGTCGATGCCCATGGCGCGTCGTTCTGCGAGTGGAGCCCCGACGGCCGCTACTTGCTGGCCGCCACGCTGTCGCCGCGCCTGCGAGTCGACAATGGCATTCGCATCTGGCACTACTCGGGCACGCTGGTCTACAAACAAGACACGCCCGAGCTGTACCAGGTCGACTGGCGCCCGGCGCCTGTGGCCCGCTTCCCACAGCGCTCGGCCCTTAGCCCAGTGCCGGCAGGCATTGCGCTGGTCTCTTCTGCCGCTGACGCTGCTACCACCGCCGCTGCCAAGCCCGCTGGTGCCTACCGCCCACCGCACGCGCGCACGCGTGAGGTGAGCAGCTCCTCAAGCGCGCCGCGCTCGATCTCGGACATGGCCGAGCGCAAGATTTTTGGTGCCACTGCCCCCTCGCCGCGCGCGTCGTACCAGGCGCCGCGCCCAAAACGCCCAAGCTGCCGGTGGGCGCTAGCCCCGACATGCTTGCCAAGGCAGGTGCCGACAAGAAGCGCCGCACTCGCAACCGCTCCAAGAAGACCACTGGCGAAGGCGCAGCAGCGGACAGCGCCGCTGAGCAGCCTAGCGCTGTGGAGGCTGCCCCCACCACCGAGATTGACATCCTCAAGAAGGTGCGCGCCCTCAAGAAGAAGGTCGGCCAGATCGACTCGCTGGCCAAGAAGCGCGACGCCGGCGAAGTCCTTGAGGCCAACCAGCTGCCAAGATCGCTGCCCGTGGCCAGATTGACGCTGAGATTGCCGAGCTCAACGCCAAGATAGCCAGTCTCGCGGTCTGATCTCGCGGTACCGGGCAGGTCTCGGTAGTAGCACCTCGCTTTGTCGCCTTACGTCGCAGCTCTCCGGCAACGACCGCGTACCCCCTCGCCAGTTTTTGCGCGCCCCATGTGCAAACCCGGTGCAAATGGAGGTACACTCTAGATTTATTCGTTAGTTTTATTAATATTACTTTAAAGCAAATGGTCCATTCATAAATGGCCATTTGCTTTAAACACTAAAGAAATAAGACTACTACGTGGCGTGGCAGGGTAGACAATCAGCCTTATTCATCAACTTTAGTTTTTGTCTTTTACTTGTTTTATATCCACTGAATGGATCTATTTTCTCTTTTTTTCTTACCTCTGGCGAAAGGTGTTAGCTTGCTGTTGACTTGCCACCTTTAACAAATCCTTAACCTGCAGGGTAACCTTCGGAGATTGTGTTTACGCACTTTCCTTTACATTTCGTTACAGTGTATGATCAAAGATCACGCAATCTCTTTTTTTTACCTTGCGCTGATTTTGGCGCGTTTTTTCCGTCAGCATTTCGGGCTTTTATGCGCGTAATTTTTTCTTGCTTAAAATTGTTGCCCTCCGCAATTTGCAACCTTTCTGTTTCTTCGTTCTCTTCCAAATCGAAACAATCGAGAATTTCTATAGCAAAATAAAAACAGAAGCGTCTGCTTAGGCTTTTGGCTCAATCGAAATCGAAATCTTGCACTTAACACTTTCCAACCAATTACCAGTGCTCCACTTTTCTTTAAAATGTCGACAAAGATGAACTTCGGCCCCGAATGGTACATGCTCCTCAAGCTCAAATCTTGTCAATTAGCTGTCTGTTGTCTCGAAAATCGCGTAGCGCACAAATGCTCCCGAATGGCCCACCTGCTAATACACCTAATTTTGCCTTCATTCGACTTCCCTGCGTCTGATACTTGTGTTTATAGGATGCGTAGCGCGCCCGCAGCGAACAAGCCTACTGCCAACGGAAGCGGCAGCAGCAACGGTAGCAATGGAGGCAGTGGCAGCCCCACTAATGCTGGCAGTTTTGCAGCGGGAATCCTAGCGATAGGGCCCCTGATCTTTCCAGCAACGGCTCACTTGCCGGTGCACCCATGCCTGAGGGCGCTGAATCACGTAGATACACTCACGATATGATGATGCGGCTTTTCAAGTCTCAGGAGCTTTCAGATGGCTTTGTCGCTAGCGAGCATGTGTTTTCTGCAGACTCACTCGACCCCGTCTCACTGTCCGAGCTATCTAACAAGGAACAAGAGATCCTCGCGGGTTCGGTAAACAGCGGCACGTCGAAGCGCTACAACGGAAATCAGCAGCAGCAGCAGCAGCAACAGCAAGCTCAGCAGCAGCAAGCCAATCGCCAGCAGCAGCAGCTACAGGCTCAACAGCAGCAGTCCTCCAATTTTTACTCGCGCAGTGGCCCTGGCATGCAAAGATCTGGTAGCCAGAGCATGCTTCCTGGCGCCAGAGCGAAATCCAAGGACGATCAGCCGCGTGGTAGCGACAGGCAGACCACGGCACCTCGAATGTAATGGCGGGGCGGACCACCCTTACGGGATACCCGGAGGCGTCACTGCCGACGAGGACGACGACGGTAGCAGTAGCCTGTGGGCTCGCCAATCGATCGTGCGCGACACTGTCGGGACCTTTGGTGCTGACGGCGTGTTCCGAATGGGGGCTGCTGAGGACAGCGACCTCCTTGAAGGGCCGCCGTCGCGAGGCACCGCTCGTGGTGATCCACTGCGAGACATTGGTGATTATGCGTCACGCGCCGCATCGCCTGCGGTCGGCGTCTCGCGAATGGCGGAGCTGGAATGCTACTGCAGTCCCAGTCTCAAGGAAAACTGGCTGCGGCTCGATCCCCGACGGTCAACCGGACCCACTCTGGGGTGAACCATGGCGGCTCGTCGTGGGACGATCTGGGGTCCAAGCAGTCGACTACCATGCAGCAACAGATGCTTGTCGAGCGAGCGGAGCAAATGAAGTGGTGGTATCGCGACCCGCAAGGGAGCATCCAGGGCCCATTTTCGGCAACTAATATGCAGGACTGGTTCTCTGCTGACTACTTCCCCGCTGACCTGCAGGTGTGCCACGAGGGCAGTGCTGGCTTTGAGGCGCTGAGCAGCTTGGTCGCGCGCATCGGCAACCCCCAAAGCGTCTTTATATTTGCAGCGTTGGTCTTTATAACCCAGAGCATCCAGCAACGCAGCGGCATCAACACCCCGGCAACCCCTGCAGCCATGTCCCGTGCGCCAAGCGCCATTCAGCTAACCATGTTGGACGCCGATGTAAATGTGTCGGCGGCGGCGACAGCGGCGGGAACTTCCTCAGCGGGAGCGCTAGACAACCTGCAGCAAGATGTGCGCAACATGTCCAACGGTGTCAATGCGCCCTTTTCTGCGTCTGCCAGTATGTTTGGAGGCGGCGCACCATCTGGTGACATCAACACCGCTCGATCCAGTGCTTCCGGAACCCCTTCCGCGGGCGCAGGCACGAGCGCCGCCGCAACCCAGGCAGCCCAGCTCTCGCTTCTGCTCAATGAGCAGTTTCTGCTGGTGTCGGCCATTAACGACCGCCAGCACACATTGTCACGGTTCAAGAGCAGCTGCAGCAGAGCTTGGCCAAGCTGATGCAGGATCTGACGCAGGAAAGCAACGCTATTCATTTCAGGGCGCAGATCGACCGCGTGCCCGTTCAGACTGATCTCTTATTTGCGCTTCAGCAGCGCTTCCAGTCGGCCGAAGAGAGACTTCGCTACGAGTCTGCACAGTTCACCCAGATTCAGGGTGCCATATTGCGCAGTTAGAGGCCAAGATTGACCCGGTCATCAGAGATATCGTGCTGCGCAGCGGCCCCGCGTTTGCGCTGAACTTTATAAGCCAGCAACTTCAGGACCTTAGCAAGCAGATCGCGGAGATGCCAACTCTCAGCAAGTTGGCTCACCGGTGAGCGCCCAAGCAACGCAAGAACCAGCCAGCACTTTGGCCTCTGCCTCTCGTGACGTTGCTCGTGCCACTCCGCTATCCTGGCTACTGACGAAACCGCTAGCGAGTCTGCCGTTGCCAAGCCAACTAGCAATGCACTCTCGAGCAGCGCTGCTACCGTTGAGCTGGCCCGCCAGTCATCTGAGGCTCTGCAGGCGCTGACTCCGTTTCTGAGGCGCAAGTTAAGATGAGCGCATGGGAATTTCCGGCAACACAAACGCTAACGCTGACAGCAGCACCGTCACCAGAACAACAGCGCCAAGAACGCAGGCGCGTCGAAGCAGTCGCAGACAAACCGTCGGCCACCAAGGCTGCAGCTGCACCGAGCGCGAAGGCCAGCGCTGCCAAAGCAAAGCCACAGCCCAGACTGCCAGCAGCAAGGGCGCTGCCATTGCGACTGCCACTGCCGCTGCTTCCGTCACTGCCACTGCGACCACGACTCCGCCGACTGCTGCTAAGCCTAGCAAGGGCGAACCCAAGGCGAGCTCCACCTTGCCCAGCGTCACTCTCACCGCCCAGCTACTCCTGCCCCCTGGTCGACTAGCGCCAGCACCAAGGCCAAGCAGCCAAAGAAGTCGCTTCTGCAGATCCAGCAGGAGGAAGAGGAGGCAATGAAGAAGCGCCAGCTGGCGGATGAGCAAAACCGCGCGCAGAACGTCATTTCACGCGGTTTTGCCGGCAGCTACGCCGACCGTCTCGGCGGAAGCAGTGGAGGAGCAGTCGCCCCGCCACGCTCCTTGGCATCGATCATGGAGGAGCAGTCGAAGGAGACTGCCAAGGCCAACACAGCGAGCACCTTCACTGCCAGCGTTGTGCGAACAGCCGCACCGATACCCCGCGCACCCTGAGCCTGGCGATGCCGTCCCCCCTGTGTCCGCGTCACAGCCGCTGCGCTCTGCTGTGCCGTCCCTGTCGCCACAGACATCGGCCTGGGGCACCACCACTGGCAGCACTAGCAACAGCGCAGCCGCTGCCTTCGCATCATCTGTCGCCGCCGCCACCGCCGCCTCCAACGCTGCAAGCAAGCAGCAGGCTCCCAAACCCGCTGCAAAGGAACCGGTCAGCGTTAGCATCACCAGCACAACCAACATCGCGGTCATGCCGTCGATGGAGTTCCTTGAGTGGTGCTACTCTCGCTTGGGCAGCCTGCAGGGCATTGACATCAACAAGTTTATCGAGGTGCTGCTGACTTTCCCGACGCAGCCGGCCGAGACCACGCTGGAAATTATTGCCGAGCAGATTTACGCGTACTCCTCGATCCTCAACGGGCGCGCCTTTGCTGAGACTTTGTCAAGCGCCGCCGCAGAGACTTTGGTGCCGTGCGCAACGGGTCGCTCAAGAGTGCGCCAGTCAACTGGATGCAGGTGCTGGGATCCTCGGCAGCAAAGTCGACGACGTCGGACGCTAGCACCGCCGCATCGGGAATTGGCTCTGGATTTGCTAGGATCGCTAACACTGGCTCGTCTGGGTCCCGTGGCTCCAGTACTGACTCGTCGTTCCAGGTTGTCAGCAAGAAGGGCAGAAAGTGATGTATTTAGGTGTTTTTACTCTTAGAGCTCTGTTTAGCTTTTTATCTCACGTGGATCCTGTCCACTGAAGAAAAGAATGACCAAACATCTAAAAAAAATTCAGAGTAATATGCTGCCAAATGCTTAAAAGTATAACGTGTGTGCTACCTTTTTGTCCTACCTCTTTACCTTTGGCGGAAGGTTGTTACCTCTGCGATTGTGTTCACCCACTTAACACACTAACGAAATGTAAAGGTTATACCCCCCACAGGTTGGGGGTTTGTTACAGTGTTGGTTTTCCATGAGCAAAACAGGCCACGAATTGCGCTGGCTGTTAATCAACCCATTTCCTTTTCTGCTTGTATTTTATTTTGTATTCTTTCTTTTCCTTTTCTTTTTTGTTATTCTTCTCGTTTTACTATTTATTTGCACACACATACACATACACATATACGCACGCACGCACTCACTCACGCACACAGAGGTTCCGATGATTCGCTTCATCTTCGTGCAGAACCGGCAGGGCAAGACGCGGCTAGAAAAGTGGTATGGCAGCTACAGCGACCAGGAAAAGCAAAAGCTCAAGGCGGAGGTCCACCGCACAGTAGCATCCCGCGACCAAAAACACCAGTCAAACTTTGTCGAGTTCCACAATCACCGCATCGTGTACCGTCGCTACGCCGGTCTGTTTTTTTGCTTCTGCATTGACACTAACGACAATGAGCTGGCGTACCTCGAGGCCATCCACCTATTTGTCGAGGTGCTTGACTCGTATCATGGCAATGTGTGTGAGCTGGACTTGGTGTTCAACTTTTACCTGGTATACGCTGTCCTTGACGAAATGATTCTAGCCGGTGAGATCCAAGAGACCAGTCGTAGCGTTATTCTTGGGCGGTTGGACCAGCTCAACAACCTCGAGTGACGGGTGTCCCCTGCTTATTTCTCTTGTAGCAGAGCCTATAAATATTTTTAACGTCAGCTTTTTTTGTTTATTTCTCATCATGCATGTATTATCTTGATAAACGGCACACTGAAAGTGCAGATGGTGGAAGGGTGAGGAAATGGTGATATTAAACTGAATCTAAATGAATGGGATAGGCTGGCAGCTCGCACCCGCGCGTGTGGCATTGTGTGGATATGTTTTCTTTGCATTTCACTCTGTACTCGTCTTTGGCAATTCCGACGCAGCGGAAAGTCGGTACAGCGGATTAAGGTACACCTGATTTTCTTGGTCAGCGGTATATGGCGGTTGCTCTTTGACCTGGACAAAGGCGTGGGTGCCTGCCAGCGCGTTGTGCCAGTGGCGATAGGCATTTGCCTCGCGTCGAGCAAGCTTTTCCCTGTACTTGTCGAGCTGGTCGCGAGCGAGCGTGGCCAAAGGTAGTCTGGATGGACAACCAGGCACTCGGCGCCGACCTGGCCGAATCCAAACGACTTGAGCAGCCCAGCCTTGATTCCGGGCGTCTGAATCGAGCGCGACGAGTACACAATGTGCTCACACTCCTTGAGCTCGGCTGCAATGTTATCGGCATTGCGGTTGCCCGGCACTATCCCCGTGCGCAGCGACTGCAGGACCCCGTTGAGCATCCATATTGCGGCCGGGCCCTTCGGGTGGCCGTGAGATACTTTTGACAGACGGACAGTATTATGTTTCCTGGCGTGCGGCCTAAATGCCTGAGCTGCTGCTCTATAATCTCGGACTCATTCTTATCATTGGCCTTGGTTGATGTCCCGTGGAATGAAGCAACGCCAATATCGTCTACTGTCAGGCCCCAGACGGCGAGTGAACCGCGTAGTGGTGATATGTAAGGGTTGCGCTTCCAGAAAGAGTTGCCCCAGGTATCGAGGGCCTCGGCGTGCTGGCGATTGGCCTCCGAATCTACAAAATCGAGCTGCTGCTTGTTGGCGACTGGCGGCAACTTGAGGGCGGCCGCCTGGGCGTGCTCTTCCTTGACCCATTCTTTGATTTGCGTTTGGCGGCGCTCGAGCTGGCGGCGACGGTACACAATGTCCAGAAGCTGGCTTGCTGGGCTGGATCCCGAGAATGGAACCTCTCTAGCTGAGGTCAGCACACCCTTCCCAGGCGCAGGCACAGAACGGCCCTCCTTGTCAGTCGCAGTGCCGGTCATTGCGATGATGCCGTAGATCGGCACGCCCATGGCTATGGCAGTTGACGCAGCCATGAGCGTGACTATGCCAGCACCCTCGCCCTCAACAAAGCCATTGCGAGTTGACGTGCACGGGCGGGACATTTCAGCAGGACTGCGTCCTTGGGCAAACTCTCCGGTTGTGCTACAGGTTGCATTCATCTGGGCAAACTCGTAGCTTGTCTCTTCACTGATGGCGTCGACACCGCCTGCCAGCATGACTTTGGCCTTGCCGGACTGTATGGCTTCAACGGCAGCATCGATTGAGGTTATCCCGGTAGCACACGCGCCAATGGTCGTCTTGATTGGCCCGGAAGCAGACATGAGTAGCATGTTGATCCAGGCGGGCGGGGTGCTCAAGAACGTCTCTTGGTATACGTCGGTCTGCTGGTCCTTGTCGCAGAGGCGTTCAGCAAAAACGCTCTTCGTCGATTTGAGGCCGCCGAGGGCGGTGCTCGTGGAGCTGCCAACCTCGCTCACGTGCACATAGCGGTAGATCTCATAAGGATCGGTGATCCCTGAGCGCAGCAGCGCCTCGACAGTGGCGACCAGTGCGTAACAAGTGATGGGGTCGACCTGCTCTGCAATGTTTTTTGGAATCCCAAAGCGCACCGGATCCCAGCCAGTCGGCAGCTGGGCAGCGACAAGGCGGTCAAAGCGCAGCGCCTTGGGCATCATCAGCGTCGCGCCTCTGAGGAAGCGTACATGCCAGGTGCTAGAGTCAGGGCCACCTGGCCAGATGCGCACGTGATCGGGACTGCGAAGCTTAAACTGGCGGGCCTCGTCCTCGGTGGTCTCAAAGGGCTCCATATCATGCTCAATCTGTAGCTCGCGCAGCATGGGCTTTTTCTGTGGGTCATATCCGGCAAAGGACTCTGGCTCAATCAAGCGGATTCCTGTGTGCTCGAGGATGTACTTTTCGTAGCGCGATTTGATCAGCTTGTCTGGGACCGGCTCCTCGGTCTTAGCGTCGACCCAGCCGGTGTACATCTTGCCGGTGTGTTTGCTCTTGCCATTTGTGTGCTTTATGAGGCCCATGATCCACGCCAGCTCAATGCAGCCCTCAAGGGAAAACTCGCCAAAGGCCTCCATCTGCCAGCGGGTCTCGGCGTTGCCGTGAGGGCCAACCTCGCCATACCCGGTGATGACGACAACCCTGTCCAGGTTGATCATGCCCTGCAGGTGGTGCAGATGCTTGAGCTGGGCGTACTCTTTGACGCAAGGGAGCTTGAATTGGTGGTTAGCCAGCGTTTCGGTGGTGCGCATGCGATAAACGCGCTCTATGTCGCCGCTCTCGCCAGCAAAGACACTGGCGTCCTTGAAGTCGGCGAGGCTGTCTGCGGATACAGCGCTGACAATGGCTGACATTTCGGCGAGCGCAGCACGCAGCTCGTTGGTGGCACGGATGGCGTGCGGATGGTGCTGGAAGCGGCCAGCGAGATCGGCCCACACAGGGCGCATCGCGGCAAGTGCGTACATCCTGGGGTGCAACAGCCCAAGGATGACAAAGGACATTTCGGCTGGCGAAAAGGTGCGCACGCCAATGCGCTCGACGCGCTCTGCAAGGACGTTGTTGGACGTCATGAGGCCCGTGCTGCGCGTCCAGCCAATAACGGCGGCGGCGATGGAGATCTGGGGCTGCCAGGCGGGCTCCGAGTGCCAGCGCTCAAGGAGCGTCTCTAGGCCAGCCTTCGACTCGGAGTACAGGCCGTCGCGGCCAAACGCGCCGTGGTTTGGGGAGAGCGGCAGCACGGCGAGAGTAGGGTGCATGTCGATGTGCAGGCGCTGCTTTTGGGCGGCAATGACGCCGAGCAGGCGGATGGTGTTTGTGAGCATGGCGCGATGTGCAAGCTCGGAGCGCGAGTCTATATCGGTAATGTCGCGCCCTGCCTCCGGAATGGCAGCAAAGGGCAGGACAAAGTCGAGGTCCCAGCCGAGGCCGCGCGACTTGGCGCCAGGGTCTGCGTAGATGTAGTCGACGAGGCTGGCAACGTCCTGGCGCGAGGCCTGGTTGAACGGGACGATGACGAGGGAGGAGCCGCGCGCGCCGTGCCGCTGGTATATCTGCTCGAAGCGGCTGGTGACCTTGCGCGAGTAGCTGGATGTTGTGACAACAACGCTGGCGCCGGCCTCGAGAAGAGCCTTGAGCACCTCTGCGCCGATTGACCCCTACCACAGCCAGTTATGAGAGCGTGCTTACCGACAAGGGACAGGCCGTTTGTGCACATGTCGCGCAAAGTGTCCGAGTAAATGGCGGACAGTGCGGGTCGAATCTCCAGGCAGTAGGATCATCGGCAGGCTTGCTGCACAGGTGCACCATTGGCGGCAGCAATCTGCTGCTTGGGCTGGCCTGTGGCTGGTCGGAGGAGACAGCCGGCCGACGCAGACCAAGCTTGCCGAGCACTGTTCCAGAGCGTCACTGGGAGCATGGATCCGCTGGCCATCCGTGCTCGGCTTTGATGCGACTGTATTTGTGGCTGACAAAGTGGAAGTGACAGCGTCGACAAAGTCGGCAATCGACTTTTCGCTGGGCCGCGGAATCTCTGTGTACTCGATGGAACCAAATGTGCCGCCAGGGCTGCCGATGCACAAACGGGGAGCCATGAGCATGGCAGTGAACTGTAGGCGGGCGGGGCAAAGGCAGAATCGTCGGCGCACATATCGGCAACCACTCTGATCAGGCTGGAACCATACTTGTGCGCCAGCTTGTGGCCGGGAGACGATCCCTGCTGGGCGCAGTGGACAATGTAGCGCAGCGAGTCCATCAGCAATGGGCTCAGGCGGTTGGCCAGGCGCAGGCAGCGCGGAGCGCTGTGGATGTCGCTGCGCGACACCTTGCCACAGAGTATGTCAAAAAAGAGCTCAACGAGATCCTGGCGCGCCCAGTTCCACCAAGAGTCATAGTGGCGAGCCATGGCAGCAGAAAAGACCGGACGGATGCCCTCGCAAAACGCTGCGCCCAGCTCGGAGGAATACGTGTCAAGGTCAGCGAGCAACTCTGCCTGCAACCTGCTGCTGTCATTGTTGCCGCCCACGTCGCGATCGGTGGTGATGCCGAGGAACGTGGCCATGGCGCTGATGGAGCGCTTGACAAGTTGCGACTGCGCGTGCTGTGCTGCAGCAAACTCTTCGCTGTTTATCACAGCGGCAGGACCGCTGCCTCCGCCTGCACGGCCTTCGGCTGCTGCCTCGGGCACTGGGTACGAGATCTCGGCGACACGCGCATACTCGGCCGCGACAGAGTCAAGCCATGCACGGGCGGCAGACTCGGAGTCGAGTCGACTGGTCGGCTCCATGGCTAGGGCAACAAGCAGCAGCGCCTGCTGGCGCAGCGGGCCGAGGCTGTAGGTGCGCGCGAGATGGTCGGCAATCCAGCGCGGGTGATGGCGCCGGGCATCTTGCTGGCCAGCATGCGGGCGACCAGGTGAGCGAACTCTTGCCGAGTAAGCTGGTCAGCGGCGGCAGGGCACTGGCAAGCTCGGCGAGCGGAATCTCTTCGGGCCTGTCTGGGACATCGTCTCCATAGTCTTTTTGCAGGTCGCCGATGATCTCGTTTTGCAGAGTCGACTTGCCGGCGACAAAGTCCCTGATCGGCCTTGCGGGGCTAACGGAGGCAAAGGGGCACTTGAGCCTGTGGGCAATGAGGCAGCGGATAACGATGATGGGCGGTACCGGGCAGTCGTCGACCGGTTTCGAGGGCGATGGCAGTGCTGGCACTACCGAGATGGCCGATGACAAAGGTGTGGGCTTGTGTGTTGCCGTTGTCGTTGCCGTTGCCGTTGCCGTTGCCGTTGCCGTTGCCGCCGCTGCCGCTGCCGCTGGCTGCTGCCGGCGTAGTAGGCGCCGGTATAGCAGGGATGGACCGGCTATTATGCGGCTGCTCGGCATTCTTGCCGGCACCATTGGCTTTGCTCTCGCCCGGCTCCTCAACCCCCGCCTGGTGCAGTATCTCATCCATGTCGCTAGACGTTGACAGGATGGCCGGACGCCGTGACACCGGCTTGGCTGCAAGCGTGTGGCGCAGCATGTTCGATAGGACAGGCGCCGGACTGATTTCAATGAAGCGCTCGATAGCGGCCTGATTCAGCAGATAGTCCTGTATCTCGATCCACCGCACAGGTGCTGCCAGCTGGTGAGCCAGCACCTCGACAAGCAGCGTGTGTGCTAGGCGCTGCTCGTGAGAGTGGTCTGCAAGCAACTTGTCGTTCCACGTGTCAAGGGCGCGGCCAATGGCGCCCGACCCCGTCAGCGTATGCACGCTCTCGAAATAGCGCCTGGTGATGTCGAAGGGCGCGGCGGTGAGGTTTGGCACGTAGCGGCCGCGCAGGCGCGCGACGTGGACGTGGCTGACAGGCAGGTGCTCAAGCAGAAGGCTGCGGAAAACGGCAACGCTGGGGCGCAGCAGCGACGAATGGAATGGCATGTCTACGCCGGGGACGGGCACTGTGGCACGGGAGGTAAGCAGCTCGGCAAGCTCGTCCGAGTCTGCACAGGCGTCGACACGGCCAAGCGCCTTCGCAGCGGCGGCTTTGGTCACCTCGTGCTGAGCACTGGATATTTGGCCCAGCGCGACCGCCAGCGCCGCAAGCAGCCTCGTCTCGCCGGCAACAACGTACTGTGCGCCGTGCACGTTGTGGTTGACGACCTCGAGAAGCCCGCCTCCGGCGGCGGCAGCAAGGCACTTTACAGCGGCACCGAGGTCAGCGGCGCCAAAGCATGGCGCGACCCGTGCGGGGCTGACGGCCAGCAACGCGTAGGGCGAGCGGCCCGATGCTGGGTCCCGCCTCACGGCGCGCTGCATGGTCAGCCCGCGCACAAAGCCGACGGTGGCGGCGGCCTCGGCGCTGAAAAGGCGCGCGACAGCGGCCAGCGCGGCGAACTCGCCCAGTGAGTGGCCGGCGAAGGCGGCGTCGGCAGGAAAGGCGCCCCTGGCGCGCAAGTGCTCGGCCTCGGCCACGGCGGCAACGAGCAGCGCCGCCTGCGAAAACTGCGTTGCGTGCAGCAGCCCGCGCGGCGACGTGAAGGCGTGCGACGCTGCGTCGGGCGCAATCTCGGCCGGCAGCAGCGCGCGCAGGGCCTCGCGCACGCGAGCGCCGCGTGGCCCGGCAAAGTGGACAGTTGCCGAGCGCGGGTTGTTGCGGACGACGTGCAGAAGCGACACGCCGTACGCGTCGCGCAGGGCTGCGTCGGCCGCGTCCCACGCGTGCCTCGCGGCGGGCGACGCGGCATACAGAGCCATGCCCATGCCAGCCGCCTGCGTGCCCTGGCCGCCAAACAGCAGCGCGGTGCGCGGCGCGTCGATCTCAGCCGACGCGTCCAGCACGCGGCCGGTGCCAGAGTCGGCGGAGGCCCCCACAAGCAGCCGCCCGCCGCGCAGCCCAACGACGCGCACGCGCACAGCCAGGCTCTCGCCTGGCAGCACAACGCCGACAAAGCGCGCGCTGTAAGACGCCATGCGCGAGCCGTCGCCGCCACAGGCAGCGGCCTCCACCGCGCCGCGCACTGCAGCCGATGTCCACATGCCGTGCGTGATCGGCCCCGGCAGCCCGGCTGCGGCCGCAAAGGCCGCGTGCGTGTGGATCGGGTTGAGGTCGCCCGACGCCTTCGCGTAGCCCGACGCGTCGCGTGGCACCTGTACGTCGTACGACCCGAGCACCCGGCCGCCAAAGGCGTGCGTCTTCTCGGCCGGCTCGCCGTGGCGCGCAAGGAACCCCAGCGCCGCGCTGCCCTCACAGTCGACGTCGGCTACGTGTGTCCACTCCGCGCTGCTACTGAGCCGCGCCAGCACGGGCCCCGAGGTCGTGGTGGCCAGCGGCCTGCCAAGTGCGCCAAGCTGGTGCCGCGACTCGAGCCGGAACTGCAGCGTCGCGCCAACCCGCACAAGGCCGCCTGCACCAGCCCCAGCCGCCACGTGCGCCGGCACAAACCACTCCTTTGCCTGCACGCGCGCCAGAGCTGCCCGGTCGCGGATGCGCAGCTCGGTGAGCGGCTCGTCGACGAGCCGGAACCCGGGAGCGGCGCTGCCGCTGCTGCCGCGGAACAGAAAGGCCGAGTGCACGGCCACCGCCGGCCTTCCGTCCACAAGCACGTGCCCGCGGATGCTGACTGTGCGTCCTGCGGGGCCGTCGACGACCTCGGCCAGCCGCGCCTCGCTGCGCAGGTGCGCGCCCACGCGCATCGCCGCGCCGCTGACACGCGTGAAGGCGTTGGACACGTGCACCAGCCGCCCAAGGTCGCCGGCGCACTCGGCCGAAAGCAGGCACGCGCCCAGCGCTGGGAATATGACGCGCATCGCATAGTCCAGCGGCACGGCCTGGCTGTCTGCGCGCCTGGCCGCGCCGATGGCCGCGCAAAACACAGCCACGTCGTCCTGCGTGGCCACGATGTCGGGCCCGCAGTGCAGGCGTGCTGCCGGGCCAAGCAGCCGCGCTGCCGCTGCCACGTCGTCGAACCACAGCTGCGTGTAGAACCGCCGGATGCGGTCGGTACGCCCGGCCATCACCTCATGCACGACCGCCGCGCCCGTCTGCGGTGCGTACAGGAACCGCAGCTCCAGCACGCACTGCCGCCCGCGCGCCTGGGCGAACATGCGGAACGCGATCAGGCTGCCGCCCAGCGCGCTGATCTCGGCCTCCTTGCCGCCGCTCGCCCCGGCGATTACCACGGCGATCGGCTGGCCGTTGCGCAGCGCCACTCGCGCCACCTGGCCTGCCGCCGGGCGCAGCGCCTGCCGCACAAAGTTGCTCGCCACGCGCTGGCCCTGCACAACGCTGGCCGTTGTTAGCAGCGCCCGCAGCCAGCCCGGCTCGCTTCCGCCCAGCGCCTCGAGCCATGCGTCGGCCTCGGGCAGCTGCCGCGCGTCTGCGGCTATGCTGAACACGTGCGCTGTGTCTTTCAGCGTGGCCGCGACGCCCTGCGGGACTCCGGTGCGAGCCGGCGCGCTGGCTGCAAGATACTCGACCGTGGGCACGGCGGACGCGTCGCCGCCGTAGTAGCGCTCGAGCAGCGCCGCGATCTGGCCGTGGTAGATGCCGTCGAGGATGCTCTTGACGGGCTCGTTGGCCTTGGTCGCGTAGCGCACAGCAACGGGGCCCTGCAGAATGCACACGCGGCCGACGTCCTGTCCGGGGACGGCATCGACATCCTCGGCCTGCCACAGCGAGTCCTTCTTGAACCAGACGTGGAAGTCCTTGTCCATGACCGGGATGAACGGCACGGGCTTCTGGCCGGGGCGCATGCACAGGCTGATGAAGTGTTGCACGTCCTCGGTGGCCAGCAGCTGCGTGCTGCCCTCGGGGTAGGCCTCGACGATGGCCTGCACCTGGGCGAACGGGTTGTTGAGCTGGTCGAAGGACTGCAGAAGGGCCGGCTTTTCGGTGGTAGAGAAGCGCTCCTCGAGACGCACCAGGTAGTCGCCGACGAGGTTGCGCATGGTGATGTCGATCCAGCGCGACTGGTGCGAAATGTACAGCACCTCGACCATGCGGTTGGCGACCTCGGCGTACGTCATCTCCTCGAGGTCGGCAGGCTTGCCGTCAGCCTTGCGGCCGAACCAGGGCTTCTGAAAGTCGTCGTTGAGGCGCCTGATGATGTAGTCCTTTTTTTCCATCAGCACGGCGAGGCGCTTCTCGCGCGGCAGCGAGAAGATAGTGTCGTCCATCTCCTTCCACAACATAACACCGCGAGTGGCGATCTTGTGGATGGGCTCGCCCATTTCCGACATCACAGTGACAATGCCGCCCGCGGGCCCTGGTATGTCTTCTCCCACTCGGAGTCGTCGATGCCAGGCGCGGCAACAATGGCCTCCTTGACAGCGTCCGAGGCCATACCCTCCTTGGCGACCATGACGCGCGAGCCGAACAGGCAGCCGTCGAAGGGCATGGGTGCGCAGTCGAAGCGACGGCTCCACTCACCGGTAAGGTAGGGCAGAGTGTCGTCGACACCGCCAAAGCCCGAACCGGCGACAAGCACAATGTTGCGCTGGGCGCGGATGGCGCCGTACGTCTCGAGGATAGGCTGATGGAAGTCCTCGAAAGAGTGGTGGCCACCGGCACGACCACTGGTCCACTGGAGCAAGATCGGGAAATTGGGATTGGCCTGCGCGATCTTGATGACCAGGCGGATGGTCGCCACGGATCCGGGCTTTAGCCCAATGTGGCGGAAGCCAACGGCGCTGATGCTCGAGATGATCTCGTTGCATACGTCGAACGACGGTACACCGGCACCGATGCACAGGCCCTCCATGGGGACACCCTCGCGGCGCATCTGCTGCACAGCTGGGTATGGGTGTTCCACAGCGACGGGTTCACGTAGATTGAGTTGACTGTGATGCCGAGTCCAGGGTCGACGAGTGTAAGGATCTTGTCGACCTTGGCGCGTAGCATGGCCTCGGTGAAATGCCCGCCCCGGACAGCTCGATGTGGTAACCAGCGCGCATGACAGCCGACACAAATACCTCGCTGACAGTCGACGGCGTCATACCGGCAACCATCACTGGCGGCTTGCCAAGCAGACGGCTCATGGGCGTGTCGATCTGCAGCTGGCCGTCAAACCTGGTGCGCACCAGGCGCGGCCGGAACTGCTGCCCCCAGTCCGCCGCCTTTAGCAGCAGCGACGCATCGCTGGCGTACAGATCGATCTTGCTTGCCACACTCAGCTGCTGCTGCTGCGAGGAGGAGACACCAGCACTGGGAAACGCGCCCGCACAGACAACCGCTACGCCGCGGCCTTCGAGAATCCGCTGCGTGATTGCGCCAAATCCATTGGCTCCGCCGGGGCCGAAATCCACCACGTGCGTTATGCCCTTGCACGCGACAGCCATTGGCCAATCCACCGGCAGCATGCACATGCTCTGCAGCAAGTAGTGCGCGATATTCGGCTCGCTGCGGATGTCGTGGCCGTCGTTGCTGGCACGCACCGGCCGACGCATGTCCTGCAGATCAAGCAGCCAGCCCTTGTGTGTTGCATATGCGCACGCGCCTTCCGTTGCATGCTGCAGTAATGCACAGTGGTATGGCGCGTTTATGGACAGGAACTTGATCAGCACCCCCGGCTTGCGCTGCGAAAACGCAACCCGCGATTGGTCATTCCCTCGGCTGTCAAACTCGCGCTGTAGCTCCTGCACAAATGGACCCAGCGACTCGACAACCCCCGACACTACAAACATCCTTGCCCCATTTGTCAACGACAAGTGCACCTGCTTGTCCGCCAACGCATGCATGCTGTTATGCCGGTCGATTGCTGCCTTCAGTTGCTCTCGCGTCAGCTTCACCACTGAAACCATCGGTGTGACCTGCTGCTGTCCGTCTACTGCGATGGGCGCTGCCCCTGTAACCATAGGGTAGTCCAGCTGGGGGAACGATCCGCATAAAATGAGCAACCCGAGCCCAATCTCTGATATGCGGTAAAACGACGCCTCGTCGGTGACTGCTGCCAACACTGCAGCCGTAGTAATCCCCTGGCTGTGTCCGGCAATGGCTAAATATATAAATATTGGCCGCATATTTTAGTGCATCTTAGTGTATTTTAATGCATGGTCTTGTGTAAACTGTGTGTGCGAGCAAGCTAAGCCCCATGTATACTCTGAAAACGTACCTTCGAATGAATCGGCCAGTTCTCCAGGCGTCATTCCCAGCGTCTTGTAAAGCACCATTACTTGCATCAGCTGCGTCAGTCCGACAAGCGGAATGCACACTGGAACTGACATCATGTAACGCTGATTCGGTACTTGCTCGGGATGCTCTAGCCACAGCATCAGGTCAAGACCAAATTGGTACAGCTGCCTAAACTTTGGTTCCGCTGCCTCTTGCTTTAGAAATGCCGCCATCCGCATCACAAAATCTCTCACCAGCGGCCGATACGTGGTGTATACTGACCGGGTTTCCTCCATGTAGTGGTCCATTCCGCCCTGTCCTCCAAAAATGGCCAGCCGGCCGAACCCGGGCGTAGTGAACAGCGCTGACTTTGCCTTTGGGCCGTGACGTGCTGCCTCACTGTTTGGGTGTGCTGATCCTGTCGATAACCAATCCTAGCGTCCTGAACGGCCAAAATATCAACGATGTGGTAGTAAGCGCGCACTACTTCCTGAATTTTCTTAGCACCAAGGCCATGCTTACTGGCGCACACATGAATATCTTCGCCTGAATTACAGTACTTTTCAACAAATGCCTCAAATATTGCCGTACTCACTGGCAATCTGCCCTTGTTTGCTGCGTACTCCATAAACTGAGCCGACAGACAATCTCGCCTGCGTCTGTGCTATTATACAACGCATTTGCTGAACTACTTTTCTCGCCATAAACTGTTTGAATAACGACTGAACATCGCAGCAACCGCGTATGGCACCTGTAAGTCTATGCCGCCGGTCTCGCTGGCTGCCGATGAAGCTGAAGTTGGTTCTAATTTGATTTGGTCCATGGTAGTGAATACGCGTAATGACATAAAAACGACTACAAGTTCAAAGTGTACAACAGCGGATTTGTTAGTTGGTCTGAAAAGTGATAGTACGCTTTTATGTGTTCGGCGGATAGACCATGTATGTGTTTGCCATTTCTCTCCCTCTCGCGCGCACATACCAACCACGTTTTGTACAGCTACTGCAGTTGCATTGATTACAAATAAAAATGGCATTTACCTTATATGCTGGCACAAATTGGTGCAATATTTTCAGCAATAATATTATCAAATATAGTGGTAAACAAAATGTGAGATACTGTCTTGACCTGCACCGATTATAATATGAGAAGTAATAGGAAAAAGTCGGCAGAAAAATAAAAATGATAACCCTGGGTTTTGCCACTTCTGTTCATAAACTTAGCGCTGACAACTAAAAAAATTGTTTTATTACATTATTTCCATGTTGCGCCCAACAATAACAGTGAGCTTTTTCTAAAAACAAGATGTAAGTGCATGAACAAAATAAACTGAAACGAATAATAATAATATGTATATGGTGATTTCTGAAAATAAAAATACATTGTATCGCATTATTTACAAGCCACATGAGCGCCACCACTCCCAGGTGTACGCAAATAACATGTTTTTAGATGGCAATGCAGAACATATTTGTGTTTTTTGTTGTTTGTTGAATAGACATGGATTTAGAATATAGTTTTATTATTGAATGGAATTAATAAATTTGAATAGCAATAAGCATCATCCAAATATATTTAACTGCAAATGTCGACAAAAACGACAAATAAAAATTATAAATCAATTAAATATAATTATGAATATATTTTTATTGCTTTGTCTATTGAGTCTCAGCTCTGCTACCAAAAGTTTTTCGGCCATCATTATTGATCAAAATAATTGGGAATTAAAACCTTTTAAATAGTATTGTTAAGCCTGTGTGGGAGCGTACGGAATAAATTTAACTAAATAAATAAAACATATGTCTGATACCAACTAAAAAATGCGGCGCCGTGTGGGCGGCGCTGTAAAGGTCTTGTTGACATTTAATGTGGGCCGATAATATCGGAAATGGGCATTGCGGCCGCAACAATGTTATTGACGATGTTGGTGCTTGAAAATGGAAAGAGGGGTTTGAAATATGGCTCTAGAGCCACATGTATTGACTTATTCTGTTATAAAGTTTGTGTGGGTATGCAGAAGATTTAACGAGTTGGTGGATTTTGCTGTTCCTAACAACCAGTCAATCAGAAACAAACGCCGTAGTTACAGTGATAGTGACTCATAACATGTAATTAAATATGTCGTCGCTACCAGCCTATTATATTGTTGGCCTGCTGCTAAACTATTGTATTGCAACTTTTTGGCATAATTTTATTTTTCAAGTTACCTTTCATGGCTATGTGGCAGTTTTTTTATGCAAGGCCCCCGTTATATGTTTGCCTGTTGAGTCTCACCCTCACCTTATAACCAGACCCACTGCTGTACAGCATTAAACCCCATTAAACCCTCTAAATTTACACTGCCTTCTTTATCAATTATATTTTTTGGTGCTTATTCATTTTTCTTGTTATTGTTTCATCTATATATTTTTGAACGTCAAATGTGATTAGATTACCTAATACTTTGATTAATTTTCCAACTAACCTTTATAATGGATAATACCTTTATCACTGAACTTTTGACCTTTTTTCTTATTCAAAAACTAATTTCCAAGAGGCATCCCTCACCCCTTTTCAATCATCTAAATCTGATCTTCGAATTTGTTTTATACTTTAAAATGTAGTTATTTTACAAAATCTATTTTGTTAACGACAAAATCAACACTGGCTTCCAATGCATCAATGACCTCGCCTACATTGTCCGCCAGCTTGCCCGGAGCAGGCTTAAAGTTAATTCCCAAGTAGAAAGTGACACTCATACCAGTGCTTCTGTGATACAATAAATTGCGGCTTGTCTCCGGTGATTGATTAATGAACCAATCGCTAGTTAATTCCCTACTTGGATATGCGGGAATTCATACGCACACATAAATACTAATGAATATGAACAGTCTCCACTGTTCATCCCTTAGCTTTATTTTAGTTTATTTTTGTTCAATATATATATTTTTTAACGTAACAGCTTCTCCCACAATGTGTGGAGAATGACCAAGTGCACCCCATGTTAACAGGTAAATTGAATAACTAGAATCAATTTACCCTATATCAATAACACAACAAAATGTATTTCTCTGCTCTTCTCTTTTCTTTGTTTTGGACAGGAGAGAAATATATTCTAGCTATTCAATTCACTTATTAATAGTATGTGCTGGTATCATCATGCATGTTTGTTGGTTAATATGTCTTGATAACAGTGGCGACACATGTGTTTGGTGGGCCTCAGAATTTAGGAGGTTTAGTAAAGGTTAAACTTGCAATGACATTAGTATTCTACTGTTCATAGCTTTTTTGTATATAATGTTAATTTACTATACACAAGTAGTTTTTAGTTTAGCACTTTAAAAGTTAATCCGCAATGGTCTAGTGGCTAGGATCCGACGCTCTCACCGTCGTGGCCGGGGTTCAATTCCCCGTTGCGGAATTTTTTGGTGTATATAAAAATTAATTTGAGAGTAAGCTTAATAATAAAGCATATTTGCAAGTGTATCAGTACTAAAGCTATACTTTCTATTTTTTATTTATTAACCCACCCAAGCTAATGACCCTTTAACTGCCATACCTTTAAAAAAACCCAAAACACCATATTTTCTTGTTTTCATAATCCTGTTTTCCAACTTCTATGAGAGAAAATGGATATTGTAATAAAACTTATTCATACTAACTAATTTATTAAAAATCCACTATAAGGAGCTTAAAGAGCTCGCTTATCTATTCGAAACTATCACCGTGAAAATAGAAATCGTGATCGTAAACAATCACAATTCAAACAATCGCAAATCCAATTGCAATTGTCACGTGACATTGCAATAATTGATGTCACAGATATGTTGTGCAAACATAGTGTTAACGGGTGATTTCAATACATGTACTTAAAACTGTATTCTAAAAACTAGGAAAAGAGAATAGCACAAACTAATAAATGTTGTTGTTTTGCCCTTTTTATGGCTGTGAGTCTTTGTACTCAAGGTCAACTGATGGGCATTGCCTATTAAGGAAATCTGTGCCCAACACTCCTCCATCCTAAGACGTTACCAACTGGTCTAAATAACGTCTAAGTCATCATCGACATTGTATTCTTTGATCCAAGCTGACTCAGCTTCTGAGTAACCAGTCCATTGGATGAGATATTGCCTGCAGCCTTGATGGTCATGATGCTCCAAAATGGCATTGACTTCAAAGTGGTCTGAAGTATTGTCAACTGGTCCTGGGTGTAGTGGTTTGGTTGGTCTTGAAATGTATGCCTTGAGTGATGATATGTGGAAAACGTTGTGTGCACGGACATTGGGAGGCAGCTTAATGCAGTATGTGACAGATGAAAGTGCCTCTAGGACCTTGTATGGCCTAAGTCAGCAGTCGCTTGGTTTAGCAGATGTGCAGTAGTTGTGTTTATAGTCAGAGTTGATCATGTTGGCACTGATCATGATAAGATCTCTAGCCTTGAACTGGATGTTGTGGCAGTTATGGTTTACTTGGGCTGCCATTGCATCCTGAGCAGCTGCCAGTGTGTCACATGCTTGACTGTGACATCAGAAATGGGGGTCGAGTCACGTGACAGCACAGACGTGTAAAATATGTTTATGATATTTTACGCGTACAGCGAATTTTGAATAGTGAGCTCTTCAGCTCTTTCCGTAGTCTCATTTTCATTAATATATATTATAGCTAGTCCGAATCTCATTACATTGACGGATGACTTGCTGGTGACGGTTTATGAAATCAGATAGGGTCAAGTTGGCCTGGTTGGTCTGTGGGTTGAGTAGGACATTGGGTGTGACCAGTTCATGGCCATGTAAAATATGCATTAATGTGAGCTCAGTGACAGCTTGCTTGGAAGTGTTAATTGCATACTTGGCAAATGGCAGCATGTTGTTCCAGTTCTTTTGGTTGTAGTCAGTGAATGCATGCAAAACTTGTTCAACTGTCCAATTTCTCCTCTCCATTTCCCCATCTTCTTCTGTGTGTCTTGCTGTCGTCATATTTGTCTTGACACCACACAATTTCATCAACTCCTTCCAAAAATCAGATGTAAAATGTGGGTTGTGGTCAGAGACAATGACACAAGGCATGCCATAGTGTCAGAACACTGTCTCCAGGTAAAGTCGAGCAATCACAGGCACAGACGTCTGCTTCTCCTTCAGCGGAATTAAATATGAGAACTTGGATAGTTTGCACACAATAACAAAAATTGCATCATAACTGCATGGTGTCTTTGGCAGAGACATCACCAAGTCCATCGATATTGTGTGGAAGGGGAAAGGTGGGACAGCATGTGGCTGTAGTAAACCATTCCTATTGACAGTGTGGTCCTTGATGTGCTGACAGTGGTCACAGGAGCCAATGTAATACTCAACAATCCTGTTTATGCATGGCCAGTAGAAATCATGCAAACATACAAATGTTGGCTTCACTGCTAAATGTCCAGCTGTAGTGTGTCATGGTTTTTCTTGACGATGTCTGACTGCAGCTCATCAGTGTGTGGAATGCAGAGTCGTAGCCATGTATCAGCAATGTTGTAAAGCAAGCCGTCGAAATCCTCATAGCACTTAATTTTTGTTGCCAGTCCTTTATCAATCGGGTCATTTGGGTGCAACAAAGTGCAGTAGACCTTTTTGAATGTGCTATCCTTCATGTATCCCTGTCGAATCTGCTCATACAGCTTTTCATTGCCTGAGAGCACTGCAACTGCTGATATCTCAAGGTGTGGGTGACACGAAAGCCCGTCAGCCAGCTAGTTGTCCTTGCCAGGCTTGAAAAAAATGACTAGATCATGTTCATTGATGGCATAAAGCCAGTGCAATGGTATGGGCGACAAACGACTCGGCATTTTAATGTACTTGAATGGGT